TTTGTTGGGCGATATGGCTTATTGTTTTGATGTCAACATGCTTGTCAAACGTGCGCAGCGAAATTGATTTTTTTTTATATAAACTCACAAAAGCTTTTGTTAAAGACACAGGCATTTTCTAGATTTCCAGACAGATTGAAAACTTTTATCCATTTTCTGTCAATTGCTGTGTGTTCGTCATCATCAAAGTAAAATGAATATATTATTTTTATTATTTAGGAAGTGAAGAAAACGAGCGTTGTCCTCGTTAAAAAAATTGTTTTTATGTTCAACAACAAAACAGCTTTACCAGTTTTGGTCACAGTCTCTGCGACCCTTTTTCTTTAAGCAAGAAAACAAAAAAAATCAAAAAAATTTAACAAACCACTTGAACAATATAATTTATATAAATTATATTAATATACAGTTAAAAATATATGACTATTATATCATTATTATATGAAATAAATTCTATGATGAAATTTTAAAACTAAAAAACTAATAATGGTAATTTATGTACCAAACTATTTCATGAAGGGAGCTCAATATTGTATTAGTCTGCAAGAAAAACGTTTGCTCATGGGATAGGTTTGTAGTGTTAATACATAAATTTATTTTTTATTAGTTTTAAGATTTCGGTTTTTTGCTTATGTTTTTTTTTTCAAGTTTGCTGATTTTTTAATTAATTTTTTTTTTCATAGGGTTGCAGACCGTGATCACAGCTTTAGTAGAGCCGTTTTTTTGTTGAATAAAAAACTTTTTTTCAACAGGTACAAAACAGTATTCTTCACTTCCATAATCGGTTCCTCGAGTGCTGATTCCTTGATAAAAATTTTATTTTTTACTAGAAATAATAATTTGTCATTGGCCTGTAATTCACAATCGGGTTTTGTTTGCTCGGTTGTTATAAACTATGAATTATGAATGAATGTATATTTCAAGACATTTTTTGTCTATTCTGTCTCTGTATTTTTTGACGTAATTCTCTCTCTTGTAACGAATAATCAAATTTATAATGTTAAATTTTGGAATGATGCATTTATTAGGGCAGAGAAAGTGATACATTAATGATCATAATTTGAAACTAAATCAATATTTGTTCAGCTCTTTGAAAAAAAGGAAGAAGGTACTTTTGCATAGGTTCAATTTAGACTTTGATTGAATAGAAAAACATACGCAATGAGGTAAAAATATTTTTGAAAATATTTCAGATGAGTTCATAATACTTAACTCCATATCAATGTTGCATTAAATTAATCAGAATGACGTGATGTCATTCTGTAACAGGTTCTTTCTGACGGTTCTACATGAGTGAGTGATTCTTGCCCGCACGACGTGGCGTCTAGAACGTGCGGAACGGTTTCGCGCCGCTTTTAGCTGACGCACTTCATCGGAGAGTGCCTGCCAACGGCGGCCGGAGGCTAAAAGCCGCGACATTCACACTGATTCGATTATCGCGTCGCGTCTCCTCCATTCAGCCGCCTAATTAGATTCCAATCACTGTGGGAGTACGACCTGCGCTCAAGCGCCGGCGCTTCTTTCGGCATCGTTTCACCAACTGACAGCGCTTTGCCCTTTACTGCCAATCTAAAAAGAGGGAAAATTTGCAGTTGACTTCGAGGCCAATTCGGTTTCTTCTTCTATTCGATTTAGGAAAGCACAAATCCAAGATCTGACGGGAAAGGTTCAAAGAAAAATTAGCTTTTACCGTCAACAAAAAAACACGCCTAATAATTGAATACAAAAGGCTCAATCCGGCGTATGGGGTTTTATTTTATTTCAAAAGTTTTAGCAAAAAATTTTTTAGAGGTGGTGCCTAATTGTCCAAAAATAAAATCCCAACATACTTGTAATGAATTTTTTCTATAAATTGGGACAAATAAGAAAAAATAATAATAATGAAACGATGCAAAAATAATTCACACTAACCGTATGAGAATCAAAGCCAAAGATAATTAAAAAATTTATTATGTGTTGTAAACAAGTATACGTAAAATTGCAATTTTGTTTTGTTCATATGTCACATGCGTTGTTTCAAGTCAATGATGAAATATCGATACTACCAAAACTATTGCAAATATGCTCAACCGAATTCAAAAAATGACGAGTCACTGGTTCAGAAAATTAAAGAATTGTCGGATTACACCAAAACGTGGCTCTTTTTTCGATTACAAAGCGCAAATGCCACAACAAGAATAATTTTACCACGTTTAATCCTATTTCAGTCCGTTAGTGCGTCCGGCTGGATAAAGCAGCCCAGGATAATCCGCTTAACATTTCCGCAGAACGGAAACAAACACACAATCTCCAACTTTTCAGGCCTAATTTATGGCAAATTTATTCTGTCTGTTGATTTGGGTATTCAAATTTCTCATTATTTCGTCAAACGTCGCCCTCGAGGGCCAATTTGCTGACTGCGGTTGGCTCCTTTACAATGCAAATCACCGCTTGATATTTAATCAGCGAAATTTTTTGCTCTCGTCGTCAGGAAAAAATATGAAAGAGGACTTCTTGCCGAGCGGAAAAGTAAACACGGGGCCATAGCATTTGCAATCAGCCAAGTCGGAAACTCGCATTTCATCGCTGAGGTTTGCAGATCGATATCGGTCGAGGTTTCGGCGGCTGCATCTCTCGCCGGCTAAACGTCTCAGTCACCCGCCGACTGGAAAATTGCCCCGGCTAACAGACATTGCCACCTTTCTTCCTCGTCGTGAGATGCGATTGCGATTGCACGCCTGCCAAGTAAAAAAAAACCCTGGGCAAATCCGTAGCCACCGCACAGCCGACACGTTTCTAAATTTTCCACCCAGCGGGGGAAAAATATAACATTTTGGATGATGAATTTCACAAGCTCCAAGGAAAATAGGTTTCATGATCGAGGCTTCAAATCTTCGTTCAAGTTTCAATTAATCAATTATATAAGAAACTGATTGAGAAGAGGAGACTGAATCATCAACGTTTTATTAAAAATTTCAAAATCAACAGTTCTGGTGGCTTCTCATGGTGGATTAATTAAGCCAATATGAAAATTAAATTATGTTTTTTTAAATTAATTATCCAATTAAATCTGCGCCTCTGACATTAACACTATTGATCTTGAAAATTCCATGGCCATTCTTTATTAACATTATGGCTAAAACATGAACTTTTATTGAATTGTTTGAATATCAACTATATCGTTTTCTCCTCTATCTAATGAATTTCTTCCTCCTTTTAAGATAATTCTACAAATTGAATTTATATTCAAGTAAGGAGTGCTTTATTTTAAAGGAATTAAATTCAGATTTTAATGAGAGTGGGAAGTAAATGCTATGAAAAGAATCTCTCGTGGGAAGATGTGTCTCTTACCGCAATCATTTGCATTCATCTCTAGGTCGTAGCGATTTCCAACCCTTTGCAATTTTCCACCACGTGCGAAAGTATTCAAGTCGTCGCTTTTGCTGCACATCCCCACGGAACCACGCCAGCGATTTCCCGGCAATCTCGCCGGCTCAATTTTCAGACACGATTTTGTTTTACAACGCTAGTCTGGAAGGCACAACCGCACTACACTCTTTCTCACTCTCGAAGTCCGCGAATTTTATTTTCACCTCCTTCCGGCCTCAGCGGAATTCGGCTTTGTATTCACACACAGCGAGCGCTCTCTGCTGCTTTTCTCTCTTAGCGAGAGAGCGAGTGGGCACGTGTAACAACTTCATTGTTATATTTTTCTTACACGGGCCAGTTTATTATACGGGGGCGCCGCTCTCTCTCTCTCCGGCTTTGTTTTTCCTGGCTTAATGATCAGCGAGCACGGAGAAGCACACACGCGGCCATTTTTCGCCTACATTGTGCGAAGCTTAATTATCCGACTCCCAATTTGGGCTTCTCGTTATGGACTCGCTGCACCTGCCTATTTAATTAAACACGCATTTTTTCTTCTCTTGGGCGAAAACATACTTTTTGAATGATGCACGGACGCCTTCCGACCACTCTCTTTAACAAAATGTGACGCGCAGGTAGAGAGACGCGGACTCTTCTTTGTTTTGCAGCGTGCTCTCGACGGCCGGGCGCGCGCGTTTTAATTAAGGTGAGCCGGCAGCAGCAGCCACCCCATTGTTGAGCTGCTGTCCTCGATCAATTATACCGAGGGGGTTGATTTCTGATGGAGCACGCCGGATTTCATTAGTGGCGACGACAAATGAGCCGATCGATTCACTCTCCATACTGCGCGTCTCTTGATTGTTTTCAGAGGCTCTGTTTGCTTTGACATTCGATAGGTTTTTTGGGTTTGACGGTCGAAAGTACAAAATGTTTAATTAGATTAGACCAAATCTGGTAATCGTTTAATGCAGACCATCAAAAAATTAATGAACTTTTTAACATAAAAGGCCCACACCGCTAAATATTTATTCCCTCAATGTGAAAGTTGCGGACTATTTTTTTTTCGTGGATATATACAACTGAAACCGGGTTGTGCCTTTCTCCACCAAAAGCAATTAAATCTCACAATCAGAGTAACGACATTACTAATTTCCAGACTCCAGAATATTGCTTTTTTTACTGAATTGAACCATATTTATTAAAATTAAGATTAAAACTTCCCTCAAGATCCAAATTTCTTGAGCGGAAAGCAGATGAACCTCTACTCTTGTTTACAAGATTGTTTTATTAAAATTTTGACATGGTAATTTTTGACCTCATGATTAAACAAGAGAAAAAAACACTGTTACTTAAATTATTCAGTGAGTGAGTCAATCAGATGGACGTATTAATTAAATTTTGACTGATTTTTCAATTCATATCTTTACATTAGTAATTAAACTGACAAAAAGCTTTATTTCCAATTCTCAAATTTAATTAATTTCGCCTCAGGAGGCTGATTTTGTTGAAGCAAATGAACTTTTCAGCGTAAATAAGACTTTGGCACACAAAGCTGTCTTGAGAGCGTTTTCCAATTTAGCCAGGTGGATTCTCCTTCTCTAGCCCGATTGGCAAAAAGGGCAGGTAATGAACTTTTCCGGAGTCAGACAGACACTCACCTTGGTATCGTTGGTGAGGAGGTGCAGCTTGAGACCGGGCAGCAGCGACGTGCGCTGATTGATGTGCCTCACGGCCATGCGGGCCGCCTCCAACTCGCTGCGCCCCTCCGACCGAGCCACCCCCGTCGTCGTCGTCAGCTCAAAGAGGCCGAGCAGGGAGATGGTGCGCGGCGGTGGCCCTGCCCTCAGGGCCCACGGACTCGACAGGTTAAAGCTGCAGCATGGCCACGCCAGCAGCATCAACAGGAGCAAGCGCATTACCAATCTGGAACAAGTGAAATAGGAAAAGATTTAGAGGAAAAAGTACAAACTTTTAAAAGGAGGTTTCAAACTATGAAATTGTAACAATTTGGGCAAATTAACAAGAAAAAAGGTAGTGTAAAAATTTGAAACAATATTTAAATTAATTTTCAGCCAGAAATTTATTTTATTTTTTAAAATAAAATAAAATTTTCATTTAATTTAATTAAATTTTTATTTTCATTTTTTTAAATATCGTTTTTAACTTCTGTATTTCTCTTTTTCTGTTCTGCCAGTTTCTAATTTCCTCCATGATTGCTGTGAATATAGCAACTTTTGGATTTGTAATGTATTTACACTGTCAAGCTAAACTAGGGTAAAAAGAATTTCCCAAAGTTATAACAATGTTGAAGAGGAACAAAGAGAATGGCTGTGTGTTCCAGTTGAGAGAATCGCATGCAAACGACGTACTGCACGTTCAATGAATTGAAAGAGAGAAAAAAAAAACATTCGTTTGCCAGGTAAAAACGCACCTATACAGCCCATTCAACGCTCCAGCAAACGCGTAACAAGAAGTGAATATACATCATCAGCATATTGCTGTGTAGCAATTCACACACGCAATAATTGTACGGTATTGTTATGTGAACGGCGCAAGATGTGCAAAACTATGCTGGTAAATACACTTGTGCACTCATTCGTGCAGCAATTAATCCATCTTGTCTGCTTTGCAGTTTATAGCTTCATCAACTCCTCCATATTATACAAGTTTCATCCTCTTCCAAGTTTGCTCGGCTAATTACTGAGAGATCGACGCAGGGGATTTCTGAGAACTAGAAGCAACTCGCCGCTACAGGCGATAACTAGGGTTGTTTTCCCTTGATAGGAGCTGTCACGAATCACAGTTGGGGACGTTTAGACACCAATTATTGTTCCAAGGTCACTTTTGATTGCTCTGGAAAGCATCAAAAATTTTATATTGGGAATTCATTTAAATTACCGATAAATGAACATTAAAAACTAGATTTAAAAATAATTTTCTAATCGGAGTAATTAGAAAAACCGCAATTAAAGACTGTTCCTCCTTGATTCAGTTTAAATTTAAATCTGAAGTAAAAAAGGAATGAATTTCAAATTTGTTTTCCTTAAGTTTTATAGTCAGTAAAATTTATAACAATAGGTGCCTTAATTTTTTTGGTCCAGACCGCTCGTGCTGCGCTTGAATGGTTTGCACATTGTAATGTTTCTTAGCAAATCCACCCCGCTAAGCACATTAGTGGAATAGAGAGGCAAAAAATTGCGCGTTGTCGGCCTGTGGAGCGGAAGAGTGATCACTCCCCGGACTAATTCTCGCGCTCGGTTGCACACTCAATTCAATCTGCTTTGTGCTGGTGGCGCATGTGCTAATGAGTGGTGTGCTAATGAGGGATTAGGCTATCCAGATAAATAAACACAAACGCCTTGGGGGCGACCGCATAGGCGAACTGGAAAGCCAGTCGCGACAAACACACATTGCGAAACCCCGGGGAAATCGGCAAACTCGGAATTCGCTTGACTTCAGTCCGTAATGGTGAGACAGCTAGAGAGGTGCGAATCGGCTCGGATTATCAAATTCTGTCCCAGGACGCCTTTGCGCCATCCGGCTTTATCGTTCGTCGGCTTTAGGGTTAATGTTGTTTTCGACTAGCATAGACATGGTGTAACCCCGTGGGAAAATTGTTTTGCTGAGCTCTTTTCTAAACTATAAAAAAAAGGAAACCTAAACACAGTTCCGGAGTTTCCAGACGCAGCTACTTTTAAATTCGCACGCTAAAAATAATAAAAGCTATAGATGTGATAAATAAACTAAATTATAAAAAAATAATAATTATATAACCATGCTAATGTTTTATATTAACTTACACTTTCATCAGACTCATCAGTATGCATAATACGAAGTCAAATGAATATGTGTCTTCAAATATTTTTATGTAAAGGTATGAAATTATCAATAAATCACTTTTTTTTTAATGTTCCCATTAGCTGATTTCAATATTGAGATTGAGAGACGTCGTTTCACTTTTATTTTATTTTTTTAGTTCTTATTTTTTAACAAACACCTTTCAGCTGAAGATTGGTGTGTTGCTCTTTGCATATACAAGGACTTCTACACGAGCAGCTTGAAAGCAAAAACAGCTGTGAGCACAAATTTATTTCATCGTCTCCAGTGTTTCGCAGCAGTCTATCTTCAGCAGTGGAATAATGGCTCGCAGCCGGCACTTCCAGCTTTCACGGGCGGCGAGATAATTTGCGACGCCGGAGAAGAAATGCATCAACTTTGCATAAAGTCTCTTTCTCTCTAGTAGGCAACGCTGTCACGCTCAAAGGGCGCCGCCGCCGCCGCCTCATCTCTCCCTCTCACTGCCGCCAGATAAAGCAAAGAGCATTTTCAGGAAACTCATACACACGAAATTAAATGAGAATATGCTCTCATCTGCAAAAACAAACTTGAATAAAGTGCGTCTGCTCTGGAAATTTTTCAGAAGTGTTTTTTCAACGTATATTTATGTAGATTTCACGTCAGTCGGCAAGATCATCGAAAGAGTCGATCAGTAAGAAAAGTTGCTCATCACGGAAAGTTTAATTGCGTATCTTTTGTGCTACCGAATGCAATTTAAAGTTCCGCGCGTGGAAATAGAGAGGGGAAATTAATTAAATGCCGCGCGCTAATCTGTCTTTTGTGCGTACTGATAGGATAACTTTTGTTTCAAATTGTTCAAAAGAATTTCCCCTCTGAAGAGTAGCAAACAATTCATCCTCTTGAGTGAGAGTTTTTATTTATTTATTTTTTTTCAATTTTAGCTTCATTCTTTGCACACTTCTCAGATGGAAAAGACACAAATTATAAATTACTTAAATTATAAGCAGAAAAAGGTGCTTTTTAAATAAATAGTCTTTAACAATTGAATGTAAACAATGTATTTGTAACAATGTCAACAAATAAACAACAATAATAAGAAAACTAATGATGTTGGTAATAAAACAAAAAATAAATCTGTCGATTAAACATTTTAAAAAATGCATTAATTTGTCTGAAATTAAAACTTTTTAAGAATCTGTGATAAATTCAAAATTTGTCTGTCAATCTTTTTATAAGAGTAAATTTTATTTCATTGAAACTGCGCATCTGCTGACTGTTGTAACAGCTTAACATTCATGCGGCGTTATTTCCCAAGAGCTCCTGCCGACCTAAATACATTATTTTATGCACAAGGCATGGTCATGCAAAAATTCACTGCGCTGCTCGTCACGGAATGGCACGTGCTTTCGGCAATTAAAGTCCGCCGGGAAGCGCGACCGCCGCCGGACGGACTAGAAACAGCAAGCAGGTGCAAATTTATTCACGAGGCTAGGCCGCGTGTTTTCACGACACGCGTTTGATTTTCTGCGCCCCCCAAGGAATACACCGCAGGAATAATGTGGACGACGCAAACGGCCTTGCAGTTAAACACAAATTTGCATTCGGGCACGGAAGCAGCATCCGCTTTTATATTGCGAGAGCGAAGAGACCAATTAGGGGCCTGCTTTTTGGTCGGCGGCTTGCTTTCAAAAGGCTTTTCACCTTCCAAATCCAGTCTTCAATAATTGAAATGCGCGGCAAAAGTAAAAGTGTGTATAGCGGTGCCGTTTCATTTCGTGCTCCATTTCTCACTCCACCTTTTTTATGAAAGAGATCACAAGTTAATTAGTGAGCGCTCCGTACAGAGGATCTCTTTGATGTCACATGCTTTATTATGACTGTCATGTTACCAAGACTGGGCACTTAGGAAATGTAACAAAATACTTCAATGAAACTGTTAACACCAAATATTATGTGTCTAAAATACCAAAAATTCCAGAGTAAATCAACATTAAAGATTAATCCAAAAGCCTTCTGCTTTTTTAAAACCTTATTCAAATCATAATTTGTAGCTTCAAAGCGTTCACATAATTTAATTTATAGGAGAGCATTATTAAAAAAAAAAACCAAATCCGAATAGCAAAGGCTCTTTTTAATCTCTTTGTATTGAAATTCTCGGTTCACTGCATTTTGCCCAGGTTTTTATGGACATGATAAAAAAATCATTTATATTTTATATCTTTCTATAAGAAAAAATTAGCAAATTCTCAACTAAAATACTTTTGGCTTCAGATCAAAGCATGATTTTCCGTATTGTGCAGAAGATATATCTTTTTTTTCTGATGTGACCATCGGTTTGCATGACGTTTATCACACCCCCAGTCATTAAATTGGGACGACGAGCATAATTGAAGCGCCGGCTCACCGCATAAAGGGTATGTTAAGCTCTGTGTCAATATTGGCCGCTGGATGCTCGTCCTCTATAAACATTTTATCAGCGCGCCAATAACCGACCGAATGCTGCTGGTGCGAGCCAGTGAGTAAGCAAGCAAGCTAAGCCCAAATCCCCGAGAAAGTGAAACCCACTGGCCGTAAACTGCTCGTTCACAATTGCGTTCGGTGCCAAATTTCTAGCTGCTCAAATATTTTGACGCGCGCGCGATTGAATTACTGATGTCCGACTGCGTTTCGCCTGATCACACGAGGTCCGTCTCTTTTTGATGTTTTCCGCATTTATGCATCGATTGTCTGAGGAATGTGCGGCAGTGAAATTGAATGAGCGCGATGAAACATCTTATCAAGCCTCAAGCTGTTTTCAGCGAATTTAAGAGGGCGCCCATAAAATTTTATGTTTCCTTCAAATGCTTCTGGCCGTGAATCCGGGTCACGAACGACGAGCTTTCGTTGGCAAGAGACTTCATTGAAATTCAGAGTTGTGACGCATATATAGTTTATATTTAAATATATGTATTGTGTATATATGTGTATTGTATATTATGTACATATATATGTATGTATATTTAAATATATTAAAAAAATATAAGGTTACAGAAACATTTACAATATTCAATTCAAATATGTATCAGCTGAAGCTTTTAAGTTTTCATCTCCCTGTCAGCAAAATAAAAAAATCTCGATCAAATCGAATGAAGTCTTTTCCACACAATTTCGACTGGTATTGTTTTTGCTCCGCCTTTCACTGCCTGGATCAACTACCTGCGAGGTTTTTTTCTCTAGCGGCGTTATACATTAATATTTTGACACCAGCATATCGTGCTGCATGAAATATTAAACACGAGTTAATTATTACACCTGCGCCAAACACAAATCTCACCTGCGTGGGTCGAGGCGGATTTTCCTAGGGTCAACTCAACAATACGGCCGCTTTTTGCAGGTCGTACAACACATTTTCGTGATTGCCGGACCCTGCATGCGAGTAATCGAATTGGTTTCCGATGCTCTGCCGCAGAGGAAGTCCTCATTTGCATGAGATTGTTATATCGGAGGCAAACTGATTGCGAGTCTAATTGAAGTGGGAGCAGCCGCGACGCAAGAGAGCAATGAGATATAATTGCATTACGACACGCCGAGGTAGTAGTAGCAATTCTAAACTTTTTCCTTGAAAATTCCTTCAGTCATAAAATAATCTTACTTTTAATTAAAATAAGCACAAAAATGAAAGAATTGATTTAAGATGCTACTTTGCTAAAAAAATTGATGCATTAATAAACATGATTTGAAACTAAAAAAAGGAGAAGTATGTATTAAAAAAGCTCGGAAAGAGAAATGGAAAAACAGCGTTCTCGGTCATACCATTTCCCTAAACTCAATCGGATCGGTGTTTTTATGCAAACTGTTGAACATGTGTGCGTAGCCGGCTGCATACCCAAACATTCGCCAGGCGCCGTGAAATATTAAATAGGTGTCATTGGAGACTCGAATTTTTTGCGCCGGTGATTTTTTTACTGTTTGTTTGAAAAGAGCCCACGTTGGCATTATTTTTAATTCACCATAGGCACACACAATACCTCGTAAACTTTGACCTTTAGCGAGAGTAGTCGTTCGATTACGCTCTTTGCAGGGAGGAGCGCTTCAAATTTAGTTTCGAAAGTGTGCATATTAAAGCGTAGAGAGGGAGAGCGAGAACCACTCTCTCCCACTCACTTGAGGTACACACTGTACAGAAGAGAAAAGATTTAATACTTTTCTCTTTGCTCAGACATCAAAGTAAATTAGCAGAGATGAGAAATTTGAAGGCAGTCCAGTGACACTCGGCTGCTTCGTCTTTCTTTTCACTCGCGTGAGACGATAAAAGAAAAGGCTCGTCACGAGATAAAGATAGCGTGCATTCATTTTGTTGGAAAGAAAATTTCCAGCCCGTTTCGCGCGTTGTCGCCATTGATGAGATGCAACGCGTAATACATCAAGCGCCTTCTCAAGTCACGCGTTTCTTGTAAGAAGCAATCTTGTTTGTTGAAATTTTCTGCATTTCCAGTGATTAATTTTGCTGAAAGCATTCATTTCCCGACGCATACTTTGAATTAGAGTTTCTGGTCAAATATAAAACCTGCAGACCCAACTTCTGAATTGAACAAGTTTCCAGTTTTGTATATTATTTAGTATCGTCTCTAAATACAATGAGCGAAGTAAAACTTTAAGATTCGCAGCAAGAGAAACCAATGACAAAAAAAGATTTTTAAAACGATTTTCTTTTCTTCTCCTTAATAACGAATAAAAATGGGGATGACATTTGAAAATTTAATCCCGTCCATTAATTAAAAATAGAGATCACATTTCTCTGTACTCTGGAAATTTATTATCCCTCCATTTCTATGAACTCTACTTTAAAACAGAGATAAAACCCTGGAACTCCCTTTCTTTCTAGCATAAAAAATGCAAACACAATTTATTTGCTCTACTTTTTTTGCCTCGCATCTCCAGTCCCTTAGGAGCGAGCAATTTTAATTTCAGAGAACCCTTTCCTGCCTCTCCATGGAACAGTTCGTCTTTAATCTGATCTTTGGAGGATTGGACCTGCCGTGTGACTTTGTCAAGTCGGCTGCGCCAAAACAAACAGAGGGCAGTGGTGCTACCGATGCGCCTGCTGAACTTGAGAGGACCTCGCGCTTTGTGTATTTAATAATATATAAAGCATCATAGCTCAACAAAGCCTGAGCTACGCTGCACTTCTGCGAACTAACTTCCCCGAAAACACACCGTTGCAATAAATATGTCGGTTTGAATTATTTACTCTTCAGCCGAGGATCAATTTTATTTGTTAAAATCCCTTTTTGAGTTTGAAAAAAAAATCAAAAGAAGGCTATAGCAGCATGATTATTCAAAGCTATTATAAGACACACAAGACATTCTAAATCATCATTAGCACCCCATTAATAATCAAATTTATTCTTATAATTTAACATTTATTTTGATTCACAATTTACTATTTTTATTTTTCATGTGGAAGATTCAGTGAAAAAATATATTATTTTTAATCATTTTAGTAATTTAATATCATCTTTTATTAACAATAAAACAATGAATTTATGAAAATGAATGATGTGAGCGTGAATGTTTATATCAATAAAATTTCTTAGCAAATGAAACCTCGTACATTCTTCCATCTGCCGCAAAAAGAAGAAATATTCTTTGACCTGGACCTCTAAAGTTTTCTTAGTCAAAAGAGAATCGCTTAACAATTCATTTCCATAAATCAAAGGGTAGTATGGATTAATATAGTAATTAGTCATGTTGGAAGTTTCATGAAATCTAAATCTCGAAGAAGAATTTCTGTGTGTACCTCAGCTTTTAGAAGTGCAATGCAAACAGATTGGATCTGTAGAAAGAGTCAAATGAAACCCTCTCGTTGGACCAAAGGGGTTTGATCCCTTTAAAACCTCGGCAAACCAGCTTAGGCGCTAGTGTGTTTCACTTGCTTACGATCCTGCCATTGAAAACAAATCCCTTATACTCACGGCAAAAGAGTCAAAATCTGCAAAGTAAACCGATTATTGCATGCGGTGCAAAGGCGCCAAATCAAAGCGAGAAAGCTTCAGCGCCGTGTGCTCTCGTGCACATCCACCCTTGACACTTTCTGCGCGTCGCCATGATTGATTCCCGGCGAGGCGCACTCCAGAGACACTTCTTTCTTCTCAACCTCACCCACCAGCCGCTGCTGCTGATGTACGCAAATTAATAATAACACCGTCAGTAAATAATCGATCGACCTTCTCATGGGACGCTTTCTTAGTTTTGTCAAAAGTTTGACTTGCTTCAATAGAGCGAGGCAATTCGACTTTGTTAATTTATATTTTTGAAATAATTTTTTACCCCCAAACCCAGTTTCACAACTGATTTCTTTACCATCTTGACCTCGATGAAGCTAATAATATCAACTTCTGGTTCCAGACCTATAAAAATATTTTCCAAGCGCCCTAGTTTAGTAACAAGTGCACCTCTCTGCCTATTTTTCCCGCAGCTATCTTCCACCTCTGCTCACAGAGCGCTTTTCCCACAACTCAAAATACCCACGCGGTGCTTGAAATTTAACAAAGAGGTAATTATTTTCCTATTAAACACGGCTGCTGCCACATGTGTGGTGGAAAAAGTTCAAACAAAAGCTGTCACGACAAAAAGCTTTTCCAAAATGATGCGGATTTTATGCAAATTAATGCGAACGACGCTGGTAATTAATCAGCTTTTTGTTCAAATATAAACACAATATTTACCTCAACAGTTGTAAGCTTATTAAGATTAATGGCCTGCAAAATACAAAATACCACTGCAGGCTTTGTTTTACTATTCAAAGTTCATTTTAGGCAAACGAAAGAATCAATCATTTTTGTCGCCCAATATTAAACATATTTAAAAAAAGACCAATTCTATTGCAACCAAGCGGGAGTTGAATTGATCTGAAATTTGCATTCGCCCGCTTTCTCGAGTCGCACAGGAGTGTATGTGTGACGTCAATCACGTGACGGACGAATCGGCATAATATGATTTCATCGAGACCAAAACTAAGAGCAAAAAAGCAATTTTGGGAACAGACGCACTATCAGCTGCTTTTCGTCGCGCATTCGGCGGATCACGAAACGGCGAGGCAGCGGGTTATCAAGTTTAATTATTGTGTATATACGCTGTATCTGAGCGCGCTGCTCTCACTGGCAGACATTCTCATTAAAAAGTGATATGCTTTAGCTTTGCATAAAGCACTCGTGGATGAGCCTAATTGGGCGTTCAAAATTTCACTAGCTTGTATTTCCAACATTCACATTTCACATGCATGAAATTTTAAACAGTTGCTTGATTATTGGAGTGCACGATAAAAAACTGGTCTAAAATGTAAAACTAAATTTTCATCTTATTTTCAGCGATTAAATTTATTATTTATTTAATGCAACTAAATGACCTCCAGCTTTTACTGTTTTAAAATAAGTTGTAAACGAATTTTGATTTTCAGAATTCTCTCGCAAGCAAATGACAATTTTGAAATAATATGAATACTTACTGAGAGTGAATTATAATCAAGTTGGACTCTTCTTGATGGTTTCACTGTGGGGTTTATTCTGTTGTGCTGCGTACACAACTTTTCCAAGCATGATAAATGTTTTGCACAACGTACGGTCCCGGTCTATATTGGTGCCGCATTTTGAAACTGGCATTTTCAGTCCAGCACTTCCCTCCGCCGCATTGTTCTGCAATAGGTTTGACATTTCAGAGCACAAGAGCAAAACACAAAGGAAAGGTTATAAAAATACTCTTGATACTTTTACAGTTGAAATCGAAAATTCAATGAAATTTTTAGAGGTTTATTAAATGATTAGTTTTATGTAAGAATCTTCTAAGAAAAATATATGGCTCACTGGCTCACTAAATAACCTAAATATTTATAATACATTATTTTTAAATTTTTTTTCTTTAATACACTATCATAAATTTCTAATTTTTATGTTTCAATATAAGCATATATTTTTAATTGTTTATATATTTTTGAGTCCTTAAACCTTAAATATTAAATAAAAAATTGTCAAAAGAAAGAAGCAAAAATTTGAAAATCATCCATTTTCTTAATCATAGCAATGAACAAGAAAGCGCGATTCATCACTAAAATTGAGTGACTAGCAAAAATATTCATAAAAAAGGTGGTATCCAGAAAGAATAATGCTTCAGAGAGTCGACTTCATTCGTTAAACCTAGACCTTTAAATACTTAATTGAGCTTGAAAATGTATAATATTTTTAAATTAAAAAGTGTACTTATTAATATCAATGTAGTCCAAGCGGTATTCCACTATGATTAAAGATATGTTGTTAAAGCAATGTTGTCCTGAAAGAAAATAACAACTCAGATAGTCGATTTTATCCTTTAATAATGATTACAACGTCATATACAGTGGAAAATATTGATATTAATTTTTGCTATCAGCTTAAGATATCTTTCAATTAGCTGAAATGTAAAATTTAACACTCCCGTTATGAAAGTGGCGTTGAATTTCAGAAAATTTAAAAGGAAAGCAATGAATAGTCGCCAAATAATCGTGACCGGGGCAGTGTCAAACGTACACATAAAGAATTAATATTAGCGCCTTTTTCCAATCACCTCAGCGGCCTTTTTTTATGTCAAGACAAGGACTTGACCTGGGATGTTACGACAAGCAGGCAAGCTCAACTAGCCGCCGACTGCGCTCTTTATGGGATGCTGGTTGTCATTGATTAATGACTTCAAATTGCTCTGCGCGTCGTTGACTGACCCTTGCAACTTATGCAGCAGCATGCCCTGCCACGTAGATTCATTTCCATCGCCCTGAAATCGAGTGCGGCGGCTTAGCGGCAGATGGATCGTCGAGCTTGGCCAAAGAGAGCCGCTCAATTTTCACTTTAATGTGGATGGATTTTCTCAGATTTCGTGCAGCAATAGCAGGTTAGTGCCAGTTTACTGGACAGTACGTTCAGATTTTGTTAAGGAGAACCAAGAAAAAGTTACAATTTTTTGCTAATAATATAATGAAATGTGTGCTATTCACACCACTATTCACTTGATTTTAGTTTTAATAAAATGGAAAAAAATAAACATAAAGAAACACATAATTATTTAACTTTCCAACTGAAGACTTAAAAATATTTTAATAACCAATTAATTTATCCATTTTCCAAAGGGCCCTCGCTTTGGTTTCCTTCAAATTTAGAGAAAAAAATTATCTAGTACACTGATTTTCTTTAACAAAAATAAGAAGTAAAATCATCTCATGGACAGGCTTTTTTATATTGAAATTCTGCAAAAATTATTGTTGTATGGCTGTTGAAGAATAAATCTGCTTAATAATGTTTGTTCCAGACTTGATGGCCTGAAAGGGAAGTGAAAAAACTAAACAATTTAATGTGAATTTTTGAAGAGCAGCCAATTAAAGTAGGATTAAATGTCAAGGAGCGGCAGTACAGCCCCTCTAGAGACATCCCAATCAGACGTAGAGAAAGGTCAAGCACGCGTTCAAGGGCGCTAAATTGTGCCGGAAAGTAGTTTATGAGCGATGCCTTTGTGCGAGCGGATGGTCAGCGACGAAAAGCGGTTTACAGGATCATTTTGCGGAACATAACCAGCCAGACCACAGGAAAGCCACTCGAGCGGCGTGTTTCTCGTATTATGGTGGCACCGCGGAACGCACGACAACCTCAAGCACTGCCAGAATTCTATGTGTGCCCTTATTGTGTGTGTAATTGCCGCCCTGGCCGGGGCGAAACCGCACCACCACTCGCTCGCTACTCGCAGTTTTAATTAAAGCTCTCAACTATTCGCCAATAAACCCGGCCACCCTCTCTTTGCCGGCAAAAACGCATCATATGTACGAGCAAGCGAGCCCAGGTGAAACAAACATTGCGCGGTCGCTTAAATTGGATTAGGCGCTGCGCGAGAGAGTGAGTTTCATAATGCAAACGCTAGCTTGACGTGAAATAATGGTTGATTAAGTACGCACAATCTGATTATTAAGATGGATTAAGGCACTGGATCCGTATAAAGCTTTGTTTGCAAAAGTTGGAGCAGCGAGTGGAGGTGGATTTATTTGATCGAGCTTTGCCTGCCTTTGCTGCTGTCAACAGCTCAAAGGTGCGCCTCCAAATCCCATATTGCTCTGTTTTTTAGTCTGCTGCTGGATTTTCTCTACTCGTCGCTCAAATTTCGACAGCTTCAGCTACGAGTTACCGAGTGATTGAAAACTTATACAATCCTATTGGAGAAGTTAAATCTTGAAAACTTGACAGCGTCGAGTACGTGCGTGTTTTATTTCTTAATATGAAAACTAATATTAGCACATTTTACTCTTTTTACACATTTTTAATGCACTGCACCAAAATGTATTGGTGCCGCAACCCTGATTATGATTTTTGTTCATCAATTTCACCGGTCATATTTAAATATTTATGGTTTTTTGATTAAATTAAATCTGGCTTGCTCGGTGAAGATGAGCGATTAATTTCACGAAATTTGATAATGAAAAAAGCGACGGAAAAAATAAATCGATTATGGAAGCCCAATTTCAATTATTTATGCATCATTTTTTTTTAATATTTTATTCTGATTAAATAAAAAAATGAGAAAATATTTTGAAACGCAATGTTGTATCCATTCCATTTTAAAACTACCAAAGTCATTTTTTTTTATAAACAAACAAAAAAGAAATCCTTTATGATTGAGTTGCAGAGTTTTCTAGGGTATCTCTTGCAAGCCTCTTCATACAGCCTCATTATACAAATACTTTGCCGTGGAAACGAACCTTATGCAGCGCCTGCTAACGTCACGCTCCAGCAACTGCCTTAGCCCGCCTTGATCAAACAGAACCCAATTTTTCTCAATACGCCCTTTGTGCTGACATTTTAAGCGAGCGCTCAAACTCCCTATCAATCAATTTATTTCATCAGCCAGCTTCCTACGCATATTACGACCCCTTTTATTGGTTCTTTTTTTATCATTAATTGAGTGACGCTGTGGAACTGTATTCGTTGAAGGAGCAATAAAAACTCTTTTCCTAAAGTCAGGTCTGGTGAAGTGGCAGGTTAAACGCCCTTGATTTCCGGCAAATAAGTGTTGATTAAATCACTATTGAAGTAGCAAAATAAGCAATTAAGTGAGGTTTATTTTTGCTCTGATAAACGCAAATAAAATAAATTGCGATTTAAGTATGATTTGCTCTGTTGAATTCTAAGTCAGATACCATGCACACTCACTCACAATCAGAAAAGATGGAGACGTGGAAGTAGTTAAATGATGCATGAGAGGAAGAGGCTGCTTTTGATGGGAAGCATTAGCAAAATTATAATTACAAATATATAACAGACACACGCTCGAGGAAAAAATTTAACGTGATTTCCTTAGCCCAAATCTACCAAATTCAAATCATCTTTTGAGTTACATATATTTGGTCTATATACAATTGAGTGTTATTATCTTGACTTAATTAAGGTACGTAGAAGAAATAACAAATGAATTAAACATTAATAAATGAAATAACATATTATGTTTGTTTGTAAGTTATGATAGAAAAAAATTTTTATTTCCCTTTTTGTATTGCTATTTATTCAAAACTTATTATGATAAATAACAAACATAATTCCCATTAATGACGGCCATCAGGAATCATATTGATTCAGATATTTGATATATATTTCCACAACAATGATACTCAACTTTGATTCCATTGTATTGTTTGATCATTTGGATAATTTGAACAAAATCATGAACTCATCAAATATCTGGAATTTTTTTTACAATCGCATGATAAAATTTCAGATATACTTTTAATATTTTTTTTGTTTTGAAAAATTAGCAACATGTTTTGTACTGACCTTATTCAATTGTAGACGTCCTCCTTGAACTTGGTTCTGGATCTCATGGCGAGCGATGTTTCGAGTGCGTTTGCTGGTGGCGAGAGCAAAAGTGCGCGGTGTGCCGATCCGACGGAGCACCGACATTGACTGAGGAGGAGAGCCTCGGCCGCCACCGCCGCCGTCCTGTGCATTTCAAAATTTGCAGACACGAAACTTCGGTGACCAAAAAGAGCGCATGCGTTTCGCGCGCGCGGTGGTCTCTCGATCTCGACCCAGCAGGTCACACAGTAGGCGCTGAAAACCGACTAGCATTATAGAAGGACTGCATTTTTCTCTTTCATTATTAGTCGCTAACAATGAGACAGATGATTGGAGAAGAGCATGGAGAAAATCGATGCCCTTGCTGTTTTTGTTGTAAATGCTTGCCTTTTAGCAGCACATGTGGCACGATTATTTACCTCCCATTGAAATCAATCTGCTGCAGCTACATATTGCATTATTATACCCAGCTAGTACTGCAAAAAAGAGTTGAACCATTATTTGCATCATAATAATAAACAATATATGGAATTTTTTACGGAAATTCCAATTCTAATAAAAAGAAATATTTTCGAAATTTTGGGGTTAAAAATTAAATTAGGTATGTATATAACATGCGCTGCCAAACTATAAATTTGTCCGATCGAACTTAAAGTTTAGGTATAAGTAATCGATTCAAAAAATAAACTATTAAGTAAGTACGGTTTTATTGATAAATTCCAATGTGTAATGCGGTGTAATGATGTTTCTGATTAAAATAATGGCTGCTTTATAACAAGTTTTTTTATTATGTACGCTACTCAAGTCACAGTTTCAATTTTACTTTTTTTTTTTCAAACGGATATAAAAATAAAAATATTACATGTAAAAATAATAAAATTTCCAAGGCAAATCAATTCCATCCGAGAATTTGTATTTTATCTCCATTTCTTTGACTGCTTTAAATTTCCTTTTTTTTGCGATATATGTTTTAATTCCCTCCTTAAAGCGCAAACTCGACACAACCTGCATTCGAAACGAACGGTCATAAAAAGAAAAGACGATGACGGATCAAATTCAAATCGGAGCTCGGTGAAAGCCAAGCTCCCTCGGGGTTGCGCCTCTCTCGTGACTCTGATATCCGTCTTATTCGCTCGGATGGAAATCGCACTCGTGCAAATGTGCTGACTATGAAGTGTACACTTCCTATCGCCTGCCTTTGACACGCCGATCTTGTTATTAGGCAAATTTGAGGTCTTCAACGTATTATTTGACCTCATCTTGGCTCACATTCAGCTCCTGTCGTTTTCTATCTGTGCTGATCAAGGCAAGCCTGCGGCTTCTTCTCTCTCCCTTACTTTTTGAGAATATCATTATATATTAATAATAATAATGCTGGGCGCTCTGCTGACAGCCCAGTAGCTCACAATAATACGATTAGATAATATTATAATAATATAACTAATTGAAAATAGCTTGAAACTACATTTCTTTTATTATTCATTTTTAAATTTAAAATAAAAAAGTTTATATCCTTCATTTTAAAAATTAATTTTAAATAGACACAACAATATCAAAGTTGAAATATACATAAATTTTGTATTTTTATTTAATTTATCTTCAGATATAACAAATTTTAAGTATTTATTATTCAATAAATTTCTACTTATAATTTAGCTTGCTCATTTTGTAACAAAATATGATTTATAAATTATTTCGTTATTGCTTCACATTTTTTCTTATTTAGACATTTTAAAGATTTTCATGTTTTTAAATATAGATGCTCTTCCGACCCGACGTGTGATATTCCTCTGTTTAAACTGCCCCAGTTGAGGTATTGCGGTTACATATACACACGAACTTTCTGAATAAATAGAGAATTCTAAATTTTTTGTTGCAACAACACCGCTGGGACGGTAAGTAGGTGCTGCAACGTGATTAATTATTCCTTAGTTACGGAATCATGTGCAATGCAAAGATGACCTTCTTGTGCTTTTCAAACTTGCGAGTGAGTGACCCCATCCCGATGTAACTTAAGTCGTGTTTTTTTTTTATCACATTGCGCGCGCCCAGAAAACGACTCAAGTATAAAACAAGTCATATCATTTTTTTTTTAAATAAAAAATTTTACAATAAGACAAAAAGCTTTGAACTGATAGAACCAGTTCATCAATTGGAATTATCTTATTCTTTCACATTATTGAAATGTACGTATATCATTTTAAGTTTGTGCATTATTTAATGACTATTGTTTGGTCACTTATATATTAATGAAATAAAAACACATTTGCTTTACAGCTGTATCAAATTAAATATTTACCAAAAAATAGTGTGTATTGTTTTCCAGGATATTTACATTTTTTTTATGCCTGGGAAATGATCTGCAGAGGAGAGAAGCGCTTCAGGCTAAATAAAAAAAAGCGCAAAAAGGGTTTGACATAATTCCGTTTGCCTTTAGGCGATGCATGCGACTTAGTGATATAGAATATGTATTATATTTTACAGAGCATGAAAATAGCTTTATATGATAATGCACCTCTTTCAACAAAAAGCTGCAAGAGGAAACTGCTGGAAGTTTTCCCGTCTCCTTTTCCTTTACATAAATTATTTCAGCAAAAATGATGAGATGACTTTTTTTTTCCAAAGTTCCAGAAATTATGAAGCAAATCGAGCTTATATTTTTGATGGTGATTTGATCGTGAAATTCTAACTCATATTTTTTTCTTTAAAGAAAGAATTTTAAATCTTTTTCATGAATATATTTTGGTTATTCACTTACATGTAGGTTTGCAGTTCGGTCAAGTTACGGAAAAGTTTTTATTTTATTTGTTATTTTACTTTCATATTTCTATGTTACATAAATATATTTCAAATTAACGTCATGTGCTATTGCCGACATGTATTAAAATACTGGTATACGGTATCATAACATGTACGCTGCAAACAACGCTACTCCAAAGCCACGCAGGTTGCATAACGCACAGATAAATTTCTTAACTTGCGTCCCAGGTGGCAGCAGTACACTTGGTCACCATCACCAGCAAAAAGAGTGGATGTAGACAGTTCATCATTGAGCACCAATTTACTTTTCCTTTTCTTTCGGATATTTTCCTTTAAGGAGGGAAAGACCTGCATTCTGGAAGTTGGGGTATGAACTGCTTTATGTATTATATAAAGATTGACGCAGGTTCAGCTAAAAGAAACAATAGATTAAAATTTCTTATTTGTAGAAAAAGAAAAGCTTTTAAAATGAAAGGTAAATTGAATATTTGCATTTAATAAAAAATAGTCATTCTTTGTTTATGCATTATGTACCTTATAATATTTATATTTCTTTTTAACCAACTGTCAAAATCTATTAAGTTTTATTTTTATTGCAAAGTGTGTTCATTTAATCTTGGGCTGCCAATGACTACGCAATTTTTTGATGGTAGTACATACATAATTTGTCTAATATTGTTTACAATTATGTTGAAAATAAAAATTATGATATTGAAATTTTTATGGCAATTAATATGTCTTGTATTTTTAACCTACCATTGTAGATCATCAGCTATTAGTTTGTCGTATATCTATAACATATTTTTAACTGATGCGAAGCTCAGCAGTTCATGCTCAAGGAAATATCAACAAAAACATTTAATTTACATTTAGGCCTTACAAAATATTTCATTACATAAAATATATGTACAACTTAATCACTTGACAATTTCTACAGTCCATTCACTCCTATTTGCTACCAGTCCTATTGAGATCTCTTATGACTGCAGTTGCTGGTCCTTGCAACACTTTCCTTGATAATCTGATCATTCCAGAAACATGGTCTCTTCCAAAAAACTTGACCTGGATTTCCTGGCCCTCCTCCAAACCAAGCGCAGTGGGATGAGAAACCTTAAAGGAGTGCTGACCCCTCGCTATTACTGCATTTCCATATAAAACTAAGCGGTACGAACAACATATTACCAGGGTGGTCGAAAATTCGGCATTTTCATCGGCGAATTTGGCGATTGAAATTTCGGTCCGTGGACTTTTTTTGCGCATTCGTCATGTTGGCCCGCTCTTTTTTGAAGCAGCGAAACACACTCTCTTCCTTCCTCCTGCTGGCTGGCGGCCGCTGCTGCTCCATCCTCGAAGACGAGAGCGAACAAGTCTGGACGGCGGCGAGAGACGTGCCGCTCTCGCCGCGAGAGGAAGGAAGGAAAATTAAAAAGCACTTTGCTTGGTTTTATTGAGATCAGCGCCAATTAAAAACGGTCTTAAATAAAAAATTCATATTTTCAGCATTGATAGCTGATGAATCGACAAAACTTTCAATTTTTTATTTTTGAAAAAATCTTTATTAGGAGCGGAGTTATAAAGCATTTTGTTGCGTTGAATATATCTAATTGAGAAAATTTTTTAAAAATATAAACTTAAATAGCAAAATGTAGCCAATTAAATTACCCTTCTTTTCTTTTTGAGTGCCGATGACGTCAGAATTTTTTTTATTTGCCGCCCGAGGAATCAAAGTCAAAGTTTGATATTTTCAGAACGAAATAAATTTTTTACAATTATTTCAAGATAGCCAATCGACTGGAAATTTAATTTTGACCCTATATCTCAATTTTCATTAACAAATCTCCAGCCGTTATCAAAAAGAGCATGTATTTTGAAAAGCGCCTAGTGACCTTGATGATCAAATAAAGTTGTTATTGGATAATTATTTTTTTATTTGAAAACGGCTGGAGATTTATTAGTGAAAATTGAGATATAGGGTCAAAATTAAATTTCCAGTCGATTGGCTATCTCGAAATAATTGTAAAAAATTTATTTCGTTCTGAAAATATCAAACTTTGACTTTGATTCCTCGGGCGGCAAATAAAAAAAATTCTGACGTCATCGGCACTCAAAAAGAAAAGAAGGGTAATTTAATTGGCTACATTTTGCTATTTAAGTTTATATTTTTAAAAAATTTTCTCAATTAGATATATTCAACGCAACAAAATGCTTTATAACTCCGCTCCTAATAAAGATTTTTTCAAAAATAAAAAATTAAAAGTTTTGTCGATTCATCAGCTATCAATGCTGAAAATATGAATTTTTTATTTAAGACCGTTTTTAATTGGCGCTGATCTCAATAAAACCAAGCAAAGTGCTTTTTAATTTTCCTTCCTTCCTCTCGCGGCGAGAGCGGCACGTCTCTCGCCGCCGTCCAGACTTGTTCGCTCTCGTCTTCGAGGATGGAGCAGCAGCGGCCGCCAGCCAGCAGGAGGAAGGAAGAGAGTGTGTTTTGCTGCTTCAAAAAAGAGCGGGCCAACATGGCGAATGCGCAAAAAAAGTCCACGGACCGAAATTTCAATCGCCAAATTCGCCGATGAAAATGCCGAATTTTCGACCACCCTGGTAATATGTTGTTCGTACCGCTTAGTTTTATATGGAAATGCAGTAATAGCGAGGGGTCAGCACTCCTTTAAAAATATTTTGTGATTATAAAATTCAACACCTTTTTCTATAATTTATACTTTTCTCTGATCGAGCTGAGAATTGTGCAGCAGAGTTGGAATCATGCCAGGATAAAGCGTTACCATGACACCAATTTCTCGAAGCTCCAGCTCCACAATCTTTGCAGTGTAAATGGCACCAAATTCCAGTTCTGGCTCCCTGGGTGCTTCAGTTTGTTTCTCCATGAACTCTTTGGCCTCATGTAAGGCACTTTGATTGGGGCCGGCCAAAAAAGAGGAAGATATTGTCCTCCAGTTGGCTGACTTGCACTCCTGTTTCTGCAGTCAGTTTCTTCAGATTGGACCCACCCAGGCCAAGAAACTTTGATCTTTTATGAGGGGGAACTTCTATCCTCTCCGACACTGGCCAGTTGTCCTTGTGCTTTCTGCAGAGATGTGTCAAATTTAAATTGCATAATAATTTTCCACTTTTAAAGGAGTGCTGACCCCTCACGTTGACTTTAATTCTTGATTCAATTCAGGGTCCTGATTAAAACCTGAAAAGGGCGGCCGAAAATTCAGCGTTTTTGAGAAATCTCAAAATGAAATTGGGCTGATTGGACTTTTTTTGCGCTTGGTCGCCATCTTGGTCCAACAATCGAAAATGTGAAATTGTTGTTTGCAATTTGGATGGCCGTGACCTGAGCCACGTTAGGTCAAGAAAATACAATGAAAAATAATTGAAAATGAATAAAATTTTGTGAAATCAAAGCTAAAGAGTTGCTTGAAATGACCCCTTAATTGAAATTATTAAATTATTTGGCACACATGAGACATAAAAGGGTTTGCTAAAAGTACTGCCATTTGTGAGCAAGTCAAAGTGAGGGGTCAGCACTCCTTTAACCTTGGTTTCTTAATAGTCTCATCCATGATATCTATGATTCTACTTTTTGGTTCGGCCCCCTGTTGCAATGCCTCCATCACTATTTTCAGTGGCAATCCTGGAATCTTGACATCTGCCTGCAGAGCAGTGATACCTTTTTTGGTGCCAGCCAGTTTGAAGTCCATGTCACCCAAATAATCCTCAATTCCCTGTTAATGAAGAATGAGCTAGTTTTCAACAAATAAAAATACATCACATACAAGAATTTCTGTGAGAATTCTGTAATCCTCCATGTGCTTTGTGTCCTCTTTTTTGAAACGGGTGACCAGTCCAATGGCCACTCCGGCCGCTGCACTGGAAATTGGCACTCCTGCGTCCATCAGGGCCATGCTGCCACCACAAAAAGACGCCATTGAAGATGAACCATTTGACTCCAGCACTTCTGAAGTCAGTCTTATTGTAAACTGGAAATCTTTAGGCACAACTGGTCGCAGGCCCTTTTCAGCAAGAGCTCCGTGGCCCATTTCTCTCCTCCCAGCTGCTCCTGATTTGCCAATTTCCTTTGTTGCATATGGTGGAAACTCATAGTGCAGGAAAAAGTTTTTCTCCTTCATTCCACTGTCAGAAAATCAGGTCAATTTTTTTAATATTATGATAATAAATTTACCTAGTAAGTATTGATACAGGGTCCAGACACATGGCAGAATCTGGTGAGTCGAGGGCCACAGTGCAGAAAACCTGAGTTTGGCCTTGTTGGAAGTGCTGAGCCATGTAGAGGTTTGTACAAATCAACTTGTGTTGAAATTGGCCTAATCTGGGTTAAACTCCGTCCATCGCACCTATGAAAATAGTCACTTACAATTAATGCTTTTAAATACAAATTGTGATATTCTTAAATCCTTTTCTCATTTCATTAAACAAATGAAAGGATAAAAATTAAGACACTTCTGCATCATCTTGCCTGGTATTTTCCTCGAATATGAGTGATCGGAAGGTTTCTTTAAAAACTTTGTTAAACGAGTCCACTGCAAAATTGTAATTTGCAATATCTTCCACCACCTTCTCAATGACATCAGTTCTAAGCTGAGCGACAGCCTTGTCTCTGGACAACTTGTCGTGAGTACTATCTCGGAGGATTTCCCTCAAGCGCATCTCACTTATGCTTCTCACAGCCTCCCATATTTCACTTGGAACGGGTGTCGCAGGCTCTAAATTCCTTTTCATCTTTCCGTACACCTTGGTCAGTCTTTGGATGCCAAGCACTATGTTGTAAATCTCTTTCACTCCTGCTCTCACAGCTTTTTGAAATTCCTGAAAACAATATTTAATTAAACAATATTTTCAATTAAAATAATTCAGAAGTGATGTAAATAATTTATCAGTTACACAATGCATAATTCACAATGATAGTCAATCAAAGCGTGAAACTAGAGAATGCATTAAAAAATAAAAGAATTTGATTTTTTCAAGCTAGGTGAAGATTGACTTTTTATGATTTGTAGAAATCTTACAACACATAAATTGATAAATTATGATCATTGACTTATCTTTTTTCTGTAACAAACAGCAAATATATTTGCTAATAAGGCACTCACTGTGATCAGAACATTATCTGCTGCTGCTTCCAACATGAAAACCAAGTTTTGCTTTGTGGCACTGACGATCAAATGCAAACTGCTGTCCGCAAGCTCCCTTCTTGTGGGGTTGATGAGCACTTCGGTCCCAGCAAGGCCCACCCTTACAGCCCCCACAGGTCCATTCCAAGGAATATCGGACAGACTCAGAGCAGCCGAAGCAGCGTTGATGCTGACAATGTCTGGGTCGTTGACACTGTCGACGGCCAGCAAGTTGCACATAAGTTGCGTTTCAAAATTATACACTAGAAATTTTGAATAATTTTTTGTTTTAATAAAACACGCATAAAATCATTTTCGGGAAAAACCTTCAGGAAAAAGTGGCCGGACAGAACGGTCAATCAGTCGACTAGTGAGGATTTCTTTTTCGGAAGGCCCAAGTTCTCTCCGGAGAAAATTTGTGGGAATTCTTCCCGCGGCGGCTGCTTTTTGCCGGTAGTCCACGGTCAGTGTGGTGAAGTTGGCTGGGTAAGCTTTGTTCCTAGAGACGGCGGTGACCATGACGGCCGTGTCACCCATTTGGGCAACGGCACAACCATCTGTGAACCTGGCCAATTTTCCGGTAGATATTTTAATTGTACGGCTGTGAAAATTACAAATAATAATTTATAGTTTACAGCAGGTTTACAGTAAAAAATATAAAGTAATTTTTATAACAGACCCATTCGAGAATGGAATTTCGATCTCCGGCGAGGAAAGGCCACTGCAGTTTCGTGTCGGGTTCAAATTCCTCATAAAAGCAAAACTGCTGCTGGCGCCGAATCGCAGATATCTGAACACTTAACACTTTCAACATATTTTGCCCAAAATTCGCCGAGACCGCACGAGGTTTGCGTACTGCTTATCTCCTTGCTGTTTGTAAGACGTTTTGGTCATTTGGTGTTGAAATCGGTTTCAGATGTACTACTTTACTATTACTATTATTGTTGTTGTTGTTGATATTGATTATGGCTTTGGCAGGACCATTCAGCCAGATCTGTGTGTTGGGTGAATTTAATTACTTAATGTGGAAAATATTTTTGTAGAAGACATGCAGGGCATGATAAATTTCTTTGGTATTACTTTACTATTATTTTGGTGAAAAATAAAAATGGGAGGTGTCTTCGTGTCTTGTTGTGAGTTGGTAGGTGAGGCCCAAGTGGAGTCACGCCCCTTTCTCGGCACAAGGCTGTCGGCCGTATATTTGTACAATTTTCCCCAAATTTTGAATCCACATGCACAGTCAAAGTTTAGACTCCACAGAAGTCCAAAAAATCCGCCCTGTTTTCAATTCAGCCCCACATCGCCCCCTAATAAGATTAACCGTCCAAAAATTTGGAACTTGACTTTCGAGTATTCCCGCGGAATTCCCCGAAAGCAGATTGGCGGATCGAATCCCGCTTTTTTGGGAGCCAATAGAGAAGTGAGACAAGTGAGTAACAAAAAGGATCCGATCAAGATCCGATGAGATAGGCACATCTGCACTTCTTGCATCAGTGTCAATCTTGTTGAGTGTGATCATAACTCATTCGTCCTCCTACTCCTCCTTGCATTCGTCTTTCGTCTCATTCCTCATCCGTAGAGAGAGTAAAACAAATTTCCTTGGTAAAAATGGGAGACGCGGACAACCGCGCCCCTTTTTCGGCACAACACTTAAAACCAATCAGCGACGACAAGACGAATGACTAACGCCGCCGCTGATTGGTGAAAGTCTTGTGCCGGAGAAAGGGTCCGTTCGCGTCTCCCATTTTTAATGTTTACTCTCTCTACTTACTACTTACTCATCCCCAGCTTCCAGCTGTTGTCTGTGGTTGCTCATCGTTGCTCATTAAAGAGGTAATTTTTTCGTTTTAATTGAAAGATATGCGTTTCAAATATTTTTTTTCAATTGTCACATTTTGAATCCTTGTTAAATTCTGCGTCAATTTATGTGTATGTACATTATTATCATTTGATAGAGAAACAGAAACAGCCTATTGTAAAATAACAATAAAATATAATCGTATTTGTTTGAAGAAATTGACAACTCGAGGAGAATATCATGGCAATGAAGAGATCGTGCTTTTCCTTGCAGAAATTGTTATTTATTCAAAAACAAATGGCTCTTATGGCTCTACATTCTTTTATAAGCCAGCGAGCAGCGCGTTTGCTCATGAAATAGGGTCGCAGACCGTGACCGGAACTAGTAGAGCCATTTGTTTTTGAATAAAAAACATTTTCTCCAACGAGGAAAAGCCCGATCTCTTCATTTTCAATAAAATTATCATTTTTAGGGTTTCTCAACGTGGAGGCTCGATTTCTTTTATCAAGTACTAAAATAAAAGCTCCTAACTTTTACTAGATAATGATGAACTTCAATACTGCTGTTCCGAGGTCCAGACGAAGACTGTCCATCAATGATTGTATTGGTGAAATGGCTTCAAAAATAATAGCCGACTTTAACTCTGACGATGCAAACTGCACCAGCGAACTTGAGGTGATTAAAATCAAATTTTGAATGACAATTTAGTAAAAAAATTTAAGACTTCACTTATCGTTCCGTTTGTTAGGTCCAAATATATATATGAATTATAATAAACTCAAAGAAAGTAAAAAAAAAAAATTTGCAAAACTGCGCAAAAGCCGCAAAACAGAAAAGTGTTTTATGTAACGATTCTCCAAAGCTAGCAGATTTAAATAGTTCATGAGAGAAACCTTTAAAGAAAACCATTGTAAGATCGATGATCCTTTTGAAAAAAAATTATATTTGTTGTTCTAACCCACCCAAATCTCTTAAAGGTGGATGAATCACAAGAGCAAGCTGTTGAAATGGAGACTACATTTGAAGCCAATCAGGCAGACAAGCCTATTGATGTAACTGTTGACTGTGCTACTCAGACTGAGGTATTTACATATAAAAGAATTACTTTCTAAATGACAATTATTTAGAAACTGACAACAAATTTAACTGATACATTAATTTATCTCTTTTAGGAGGCGATCTTCACCCAGACTGCTCTTGAAAATGAGGCAAAAACTCTACTCAAAAAGTCCGTTCTTGATTCGCGAGCATTCCGTGGAAAGAAAAGGCAGGCTGGCTACAACAAATTCATTGCCTTCATGAGAGATCAGTTAAAGCAAAGAAAGTTGTCGCCTGGCATCAAGCTGGAACGTAAAGTTTTGAGTTCTATGTGGGCGGCCATTGATGAGGACAATCAGATGCAGTGGGCCGACTACAATTAAAGTGAATATATAGTGTCATAATTTACAAGGTTTTGCACGTTCTGTGTCCGAGCCTTTCTGTATAAATTTGGAGTATAATGTCCAATTTTGTCAGTCCAATGAGAGAACAGAAAAGTCGGTTTTATTTCGGAGAGATTACTTCATGCGGTGCTAATTTTTATTCAGCGCTGGCGGGCGTTTAGTGCAAATATATACATGCAGCACGGAATTTGAACAGAATATGCGAGGCAGGATTGACTTCAGAGAGATGTTTTATAGCGAGTTTATTAGGCCCATTGTCTGCTCGCGCTTTTATTGATTTGCGAAGTCAGGCGCTGCTGCCAGTGACACACAACGCATATTTGACGACGGGCCAGGATGTGCCGCCACAAACAGAGAGAGAGAGAGGAGGGTCGCCGGCATTATCAAGATGCAAATTAATTACCTTAGTATGTGCAGTGCTATAATGGAAATCCGCAGAGACGAAAACTTTCCCGCCCTAACTGCACAAGAGTAAATTACAAACGCCACCCTCAATTTGACTTAAGCGCGAATTTGCTAGCTTCAGATAATAATGATTCTCCTGGGATGCATTAGTTAGATTAATTAAAATTTAAGTTTTAATAGCAGTTGCTGTAATTTTTTAGTTTTGAGAGTGAAAAAAGCATTTTTCTCAGCTAAAACTGTTTATTTTGTGTTCTTGAACTATTTACGTTTTGTGATTAAAAATAATGATACGTTTCATCTTTCCAGTTAATATACAGATAACAAATAACACGGGAGATCTGCGCTTCTGATTGCAATGACTTCATAAATATATAATATATTCAGACAGAAATCCACATTAGACTACTTTCATATTTAATGACTGGAAGCGACTGAATCAGAGCCCCTATGCTAAAAAGCTTGGGTTTCAGAAAGCTGACTAATCAATCAATGTACAATATTTGGAAACAAAATAATCCTCTAGGATTTTGTGCTGAATTTAAAATATTGCCAGATCTAATAACAACGCAAACAAGCTAATTTACCTTAAAATTGATCGTCAATGGACAATTTTATGTCACTTATTCACTTGCAAATCACTGTTTTGTTATAATTTTAAAATAAATTTTACTGGTTGGTTATAGAAAAAAGTGAACCAATTATCATAGAAATTGGTGGAAACCAGTCCCAAATTAATTTATGGTCTTCCAAAATTCAATACTTGCATCCATCTCATTTTTATAATAAAATCATCTCACAGTCAATTTTGAGGATCACAATTATGGGTATGTAAAATCAGAGTCTCACTTTGCCGCCAGCGTTTCCAAGAAGACAATTTCGAAAGCCTCTTCTAGCAAAATAGGAATCCAATTGTTGGCTTCAATGGAAGCCCTTCGACCTGAAGCAAGAGCCGAGAAGAATCCTTTGCAGCTGGTGGAGAGACTGGATTGATGCTTGGCAAAGCAGTGGCTCTCCTGCCGACGCATCCATCGGAGGCATTGATCCAGGGACGTGACTGTCCAAAAGTCGGGACAGCCTTACAATGTGAGGCACAAAATCAGGCCCTTGCTGACCAGGGCTAAGAAGACTCTCGTTGTAATCAGCCACAAAAGCCCAACGGTACCTTTAATTTTTTTGTATCGATTACTTTCAAATATAAAGTCAGTATAACTAATTACATTGTGAATTGGGGAAGCATTGAAGCAGGCACCGTCAACATGAGGTCAAGCAGTTTGCACGCTGCGAGCTGAAGGGACAGCCACGCAGGATGGCCTGAGGGGAGAAAGGCCTTCGTCCAGTGCCCAAGCAGCGTCCAGTTCCGACAAAAGGCGTAGTTGTGAGCTGCAATGGAATATTTTAGATATCTCTGAATTGGGGTCAATTATAAAATGTACTTGTTGAGACAGTTGTCCCTGAGAGGCATAGAAATGAAAAAAATTCATTAGAAAGAATATAAAACATGGAAACAGCTAGACTACTTTACAATGAATTTATAAAAAAAAGAAACATTGACTACAAAGATAAAGTAAAACATGCGCAAGGTGAAACTTTATCTATGATTATCTTGTTTTTAATTTTATTTGAATTAATTTTATATTCTGGAAAACTAAATAACACAAAATAAAAATCTTAGAGAATTAAATTAGAATGAGTGATTATTGAAATAGTCCTATTACCGGTCGCCAGACAATTGGTGTTCCATGTGCATCATGGCCTGGACAAGTTCTGATATGACCACTGGCCACAACGAGGTGACGTGGTGGGCCGACATGCGAAGCAGTAAAACTCGTAAAGCAGAGAAAGACCTGGGCGTGCAAAGTCGGACCAGCTTGAGTAAGTCAAAGACAGTCAGAAAAACGTTCTTGAATGTCTGGCATTTGTCCGTGGTACTGATCACGCTTTCCACAGAGCAGTACAAATGCTAAACGCTTCAACAACTGGGCCCTTTGCTCCCATTCTTGCTCTCGCGCGGGTTTTTGAAGAGTCCACCCTATATTTTTTAATGATTTATGGTTGAAAAAAAAAAATAAAAAAAGGGATATTTATCAATTACAAATTTGCTAATTATCTTTGAAAAACTAGCAAATTCATTCAGGAATCAATTGAAAAAATTTTCACATAAAAAGAAAAGACAATATACCTGGGTCACTCCAACTCGAGCAAGCAGCTCTCTAAAAGTAGCCCCATCCGTCAAACTGTCAACGATGGTGCGTCAAGAAGCCATGCACTTTGGTTCAAACTGGAAGAAGGCAGGGTCAAGTAACAATTCAAGAGCTTCACGTCGCCAAGCCCGTCGAGTGTATTGATAAACGGCAGCGGCGGCCAGCAACTGCGAAAAAGCTCTGAAGGCAGCCACCTTCCGGACGCTAAGGTTGCGAAGGTATGGGAAGACGTGAGCCAGTACACCACCCAGTAAGGTTGCGGCGCAGTCTTTGTCCTGACTTCCAAAGGCCACGTCAATAAAGGAGCCAGGGTTGAAGCCAAGGCAGTGAGAGCAGCCACACTGTGGTTCTCCTCCTCTGCACGGACTGCCAAATCCCGTCGCAACCAGGTAGTCTATTCCAACCCGGTAGCCGCCAAAGTTTCCACTTACTAGAATCGGGAACAAGACAAAATTATAAGAATATTATTGAAGTAGAAATAATAGCTAGGAGCTAACAATAAGATCCCATTTTTTTGTTAAGATTTAAAAATCCTTATTTTGATTTGCTTGTTTTCAAAATCAAATATAGTTGAATATAACGAAGCCAATTTAAATTTCTCTATATCGCCATTCTGCAGTATCATACCTCAGCAACAGTGTCTTGCACAGGTTTAGCTTCCTTCTTGTCCAAAGACACTCGCTGAAGAAGGCTGCCAAGCAAATCGAGAGCCATGAATGGCGTCGGGTGGCGCCAAACTGGCGCAATCTGAGCAGAGACAAAAGACTAGACCAGCTGTCAGCCAATTCAGACGCGGTTGCAGCTTTCTGGAGGTAGCAGTCAAGGAACTGCAGCAGACTGACTTCAATCGATTGACCCTAACAAAAGAAACCTTTTGGAATAAGATCTTTAAAAAGATTAAATTATTACAAGTTGAGGCGGTTGCTTGAGAACTGCTGCAGCTGTGGCAACGAGTCGATCAAGAAGAAAAACTCTGATGCTGGAGACGAGATCAACTAATTCTTCCTGACCCTGACCGCTGGAAGCTGCAACTGCAGCTATTGTGGCAACAAAAGCGTTGCTATGGTGGAGAGCAACTGGGCCCAAAAAGTGGACCACTTGCTGACGAATTGAAAGAGGAGATCCAAGAACGTGTCCGTCAGAAACGTTGGCAACAGCTGCCCAAAGACGGACGGCGCAGGCTACAAAACGGTGCATGTTGGCCAGGACATATCTACGAGCTTCAGCTACAGATCCCCCTTTTGGTGCCTCCTGCAAACAATAATTAAAGTTTTTTAGAAGTGTAATTGAGTATCACATAATTCAAATTAATTGTTTGCATTTTTGTAGGCAACTTTTGAAATTATACACATCAATGTCTCAGGAGCTGTAATTTCTAGATATGATTTCAATTACTGTAACACTTTTGTTAGTTCTACGATCAAAATAAAAATTATAGATAATGATAATTTAAGAAAAACTTGATGTCTTCTACTTACAACCAAAAATGTTAAATAAGTACATAATATGTAATTTATTAAAAAATATTAAAATTCAAATCTAGCACACAAAAATACAGTTATTAGGACAAATTTAAATTTTTACCTGGAAAGAAACTGCTGCTGAGTCCAAAAGGCAGAAGTGCAGCAGTGCAGACAGAGCTTTGAGTTGAGTGGTCACATACTGGGCAGACAAACAGCAGTGTTCTGGCCCCAGTTCGCCGTAGAAGCCAGCAACCCTTTCCAAGTTGGTGCAAACAAGACTGGCTGCGTTCAGCACCACATGTGGCAGCGCCGGCCCCATGTACGGAAGAGCGGACGTCAACATGGACGTCCAGCTTTGGTGCAAGTGACCACTGTGCTCAGCCTTCAGGGCAGCACTCACAGCGGCCACAAACTTTGGTTGCTGAGGAACTGGAAGGCCAGGGACGTAGCTCAAGCGATGACCTGCTAGAGCAGTAGCACCTTCGGCCGAAGACGTTGCTGCCCTTTTGGCCGCCTGCTCTTTGAGTACCAGCAAGGCGAAGAAGTTGACCTTGCGATGCCTCTTCGTGAGCAGGAGGTCGCTGAAGGCACACGTACAGCAGATCCACCACTCAGATTAAAAATGAGAATTTCTTCTGTGAAAGCCTCCTGTTTTGGACGGTGGACAGAAGCAAGCAGGAGTGACATAACTGTTTGTGGGAGGCGGCAACGCTGCAAAAGGTCACCAAGATACTGCCCTAGACCTCGACCGCCATCTCTAGCAAGGGATGCCAGTTCCGTGAGAATCAGAGTCAGTAACTCAGCAGCCGCTTGTCTAGAAATAAAAAAGTTTTATAATTCCATTTTTATTTTGCTTTTTTCTAAGAAAGTACCTGTTTACTGTCAGTTCAGTTTCAGTAAGTCGTGCTTGTCCCAAATTAGGATAAAAACTCCTAGTGCACCAAAGCAGAGAGGAAACGACAGCCTCAAGGAACATGCTGCTCCTTGCAGATGCCATCCATTCAGGAGCCAGCTCACCAGAAAAACTCAGGCCACTGTTTGCTGCTTGTGCGTGCCGGGCCAGAAGAGTGACAAGAGCTAAAAAAAATTAAATATGAAACCTGCAAATAACTTTTTTAAAGTTTTTATTTAAACTGTACCTGGTCCTCTTCCGGAAGCCAAGGCCAACCCAGTGGAAGCAGTTGAAGACAAAAAGGAACGAGGGGCTGCTGAAAGAAGACCCCTGACAGCATCAATGGCATAAAGCAACCCTTTGAGCATCGTAAACTTGATAGTACAGGAGAAAGTGTGAGTGTAGAGGATGAATGGCACAACTAGGAGCAGGTGGGTCTTGCGCCTCTACGGCTGTAATGATGTCCTGCAGAACACCCTCCACTTCATCACCATCCGGCATCTATATTTTTTTTTCATTATTTTTTACAATTTAAAATGATTTGGGTAAACCCACAGAGAGACTCGGAAGGACCAATTAGGTGGCTCTGCTCCTCATAGGGTTTGCGTCGATCAAACCTCCCCAAGAAAAAAAACTTACAGCTGGCGCGGCAGTCTAACCTAAAATATAATTCATAGCCGTGGGAATAATTTATTGTTAATGACATTATAATTCTCTAATCAAACAAATTTCATAGCAATAAAAAACTTCATTTGCAACTAAAAAATAAATTATATGAAGGAACTAAAGTTTAAGCTAAAAGCGATGGAAGCTTTTTGTTCTACATCATTGTGAGTTCTAATAAAATGTCATGGTTATTTGCTTGTAAGAATTATTAATTTTAAATCAAAGATTGATTTTCATTCCTACCGATGAGTGGGAGGAAAGTACATCCCAGAGGCATGCGTTTAAGGGGGGTCTTTGCCAACCGCATCGCACACAAGGTCTAGCAGACCTGAGGTGCGTGCAAAATGATCCGAGCCCTCTTCAAGGGCAGGCAGGAGGCCACAAAGCAGTCCTGGCAGGGCGGGCGCGGCAGAAGACAGGGCCCCAGAGGAACAAAGTGGGTTTCGTAGAGGGGCAAAAGCGCTGGCCTGACGGATATGGCAGCGTGAGGGAGCAAAGGGAAGAGGCCCGAGGCCCAGACAAACAGGTCGCGACTCAAACAAGCAGTGCCCATGCACTTAAGAATCACGTCGTAGCACTCGAGGGCCTTCAGGTGCACTCCGAAAAGCAGGGCTGGATGCAGACATTGCGCCAAGCGCTTGCCAATTTTCATTTGCTTGGGCGCACGACCTAAAAATTTTAAAACAGGTGAAAACCCCATAGAATATGCAACAGTTTTAATGAGTAAAAAAACATAACATAGAAATAAGCTTTTACCTGAAATTTTGTGTGCATTAATACTTTAGTCAGTTCGCCCAAAGATCAAGTCGGCCCATTCTGACGTGAACTCGAAGGATTTGAGCGCCTTATCAAACAGCCGCCGTGTAACTAACATAAAAGCAGATGATAGAATAAATTTTGTCTATTAAGGGCAATCAAAAATGTCAAAAAGTGACAGGTAAAGCGTTTCTCAAGGAATTTGCGCGAAGGGTATGTATGTAGTATGCTGACCTGCGATATTTCGGGTCCTTGGACATCAACTGGAACTCATTTTTTTCTGCTCATATCTCTGCAAATACCAAAATTTCCTTGTTTTCCTGATCAAATCTAGACTTTGCGTTCCGTGACAAACATGGCAACTCGCACAGCTGGTTGCCGGTCAGCGGTATGTTTCGGTTTCTTGCAAACCGCTTAAAATTTCCACAAAAACCGGTTTAATATTTTTTTTAAAAAAAAATTAAGGGAATATTGATTACACTACACTTTAATGATTAGACTGATTAAAGGGCTAAAATGAACAGTATGGAACATAAATGACTTCAACTATTTTTTTTTTTTAAAGTATAAAACTAATTGGTATAGGTAAGGAGATTTTTGGAAAAATAAAAACAAAATATAGTTTCTTAATATATATCCCATAGTTTTTTACAATTTTATTTTATCTTTTTATTCAAAGTACATTTATAAATATCAGCTTGAATTGTAACATCACTAATCTAATCTGTGAAAAAACTAAAGATAACATATAAGGAGCAACTCGTACTAGGTCCTAGTAGACAAACAAATCAACAAGTCGCTGATGCTCTCATACATGGTCGACCTATAATAGGGGTTTTTTTTGACTGCATGACAGGCAATCGCCTTCAGTCTTTCCAGCGACCTGGGAATTTTTAACTTGCCCTCAAGCAACTTCATTCTAACTTGATGGTGCAATGCAACGCTGGAATCTGATCTTGGGCCACATTCTTCACTGGCAGGTTCGTCCAAGTTCATTAAGCAACCCAGGCTGGCATAAACCGCCCGCTGTGCGCTGCCCAAGAGACGGCTCTCCGCGAATGATTTGGTCAGCTCCTTGAAAGTAATTATGCTTCCAGGTGGCAACATGGCAGGGTTTTTTACGTTCCAACTTTTCAAGAAAGTTGTCTGGAATTCTTCGTAATAGACTTCCATCAGTCTCTGGAGCTCATCTGGAGCGAATCCGGCTACGGTGCAGTTGTAGAGCAGGCTAACCAGGTCTGTGCTTGGACTAGTCAGGTTGACATTTTTCATCCTTTTCATTTTGCAAGTCACAGGGCCACTCTTATCGTAGAGGAATACAAAGTTGTCTGGGTAGCAATCAACCAGACAAAGAGTGTTTTTGTTGACTGTAGTTGACTTTGAAGCTTCCTCCATGGCCTCCCAAAGTTCGTTCCGAAGGACCTTCAGTGCTTTCTGCCCAACTCGATCAGCTGCTAGGAATCCTTCACCCAGCAAGGGCAAAATTGCTGTCATAATTTGCACAGCCATCTGTACCTGAAATAATTTTTAAAATTCAAAGATCTGACAAGTAATTAAATATATTCAATTATTCATAATGTTTTACAATTTGTTAATAAAATGTGTTGCAATGACATTTTTTCCATTTTTTTTCTTACCTGTGAGTAAAACTCAGGATTGAATCTGGCGTTGAAGTATGTGTTTGTCACAAGGGTGGGGAAGCACTCGAGGAATGTGAGTCGGTAATCGTCTTGATGAACATCCAAGAATTTTGATAAGCCATGTAGCTGAGCTAGGGCTTTGATTGAGAGTCGAAGATGCGGATCATCAAAAGGTGCAGTGGTAGATTTGAAGCCATCGGAGTATTCAAGGGCAAGGAGATCAGTACTGCCTTTAGTCAGAGAGTAGGGCAGGTATTTGGGTGCCTGTTGAAGAGTTTCATGATCTTGGCTCTGAGCTAAATAACAGTCGAGGAATGATTTTGTCTTGTTAGAGCCCAGTAGCTCCCGAACGTTAGGGATGATGCATCCAAAGAAGACGAGCTCCTTTTGGAAAAGCTTTTGGTTCACAGTATCATCTTTGGTTTTGCTCGGTCGGATCATTTTTAATTGCATCCTAACCCTGTGCTCCTCTCCGTCTTTCGTGTACAGCATCGAAATGTTGTAAACGCTTCGTCTCTCAACAGGGGTAAGCCGGTAATCCGTGACAACTCCGATCTCATATTCATTTTCTGCGTCCTCGCTGCGTAGGTTGAGGTAACTATTAAGAGATTTTTTCAGAGCCAGCGAAACGTCCTTTTCAGTAATTTCTGAAGCCATTTTCCTTACTGCGCTTCGTCACAACCTATAAAAAATAAAAAGAAACCAAAAATTAATGAAAAATAAGGAATCTAAAAATAATAGCTTTTGTGTGGGAGAAAATTCTGTTTTAGAAATTATACCTTGAAAAAACTGGCTTTGTTTAAATGTTTTTAAGGTGCGATTGCCTGTTGGGTTTTGCCGTCCACCTTTTCCTCGGTGAGTCTCCGAAGCTAGAACACATTGGCACTAATGTGTAGATCTGTAAATTTGCAAAAGAATCTCTTACTTTTTGAATGTTTACTTTTTGTTCATCACAGAGTTTAAATAAACCCATGCAACAACCAACAGCAATTTTTAAGTTCTGATCATTGAATTTTACGATTTAACCTATGACTCAGGACAAACAGCCAAAATCAATTTTTTCTTCTTATATTTAAACTGCAGAAATAAATTACAATCAACATTTATGGAAATTAAAATTTTGAATTCTTTAAAATTCTTACTGCAAATTGAACTTTTTCTAATTTAAAATTAAACAGATTAATGCTTGAGCAATATAGACAAATTATACATTATTTTGAAGAGAAATTATCAAGGAATAATTCAAAAATAGCATGAGCTGCCAAAATCATCTCTTATCCAAACATAACATTTTTAAACCGCATGCATGACCTTATCAATAGAGGAACGCAATTCTATTGTACCTTTAATCCTTATAGCACTCTTATCAAGACTAAAAACTCCACTCCAGCAGTGGCGGGGACGGCAAGTGCGATCCCAGCAAACAAAATTTTAGAAATTTTCTGAAGGATGTCTTCTGCACACGCACTCTCAAATCAGCAGCAGCAGCAGGGAGAGCTATAGGAAATAAATACAAAGATGCATTATATAAAATAAAAATTTTAGATAGCAATATATGTCAATATCAAATGTTTATAAAATACCTCAACGTTGAAGATTAAATATTAAATTTATGATTTACTCTATGCATACAGAATTTATGTATTTGCAGAAATCGACTTCACTTAGCTGACCACTTTTGGTCATAAAAATCATTCCTTGCAAAAATTAAAACTGGAGATGCAGTTAAATTATTGGAATTATGAACATAAAAGTTGAAAATAAGAAAAATTGCCATCGCGGAATTAGTAAACAAAAAGTCAACACCAAGGCAAGAGCATAATGACGGCACGGCCGACGGATTTCGCTGTTAATTTACATTAATTTAAGTGAAATTCGTTAAGGGCCGGGACAGACGGATCCTTTTGAATTGATTTTAATTACCATTCACTTTGAGCTACAAAGAAATTTTGGCGCAAATCTAAGAGCAGTCAGCGGCACACCTCCTTTTTTGTTTTAAATAATCAAGATTTTCTAGTAGTTCACAAAACCGCCACCTCTTCGACAGCGCTTGTTTGCCCGAATATTGCAAACGAATATTCCAGGAATATTTTTGAATATTGTTTTCTAATATTCCTGTCAACTATATTGCTGAATATTCACTCCACATAAAGTATTTATTCAAACATATTCCTTGCTGATTGGGACTCTGATGCCGCCGCTCGTCTTCGTCAGCAGTTTGAGGCGGTGCCATCACATGATCACATCATATTACTTTCTCATTCTGAAACGGTCACGCTAGTAAAAAGAGGCGTGGATGTAAACAAGTTTCACCAAAACTCGGGATCACAGGAGATTATTATTTTAAATTTACTTTTCATATATATCAAAATTACACCACTCCCTTGCTCAGCAAAAAGTTAGATAGAGAATGGACATCGATGATATGGCCCTGATAGGGCCAGGAGTCAATTTGTCTGAGGTATGTATTTAACATTAATTATCTATAATTATCTATTAGCATTATATAAAAAAGTATGGGCATACATATTCAAGATTTGTAGCGTATGCATATTATGTGATTTTTTTTATTTATTATTTTATCCACAGATCCCTCCTATTAATCAAAAAAGGACTCTTGCTTTTGTCAATACGTTCATCACTAACACAGTGACAATACTGAACAATCTTGCTAGGACAAGTGAACTGAAACTTCATAAGTTCGAAGAGAAGCTGCAGAGAATGGATGCATCCCTCTGTATTTTAGAGGCTAAGGTTTTATACCATTTGAATGTGTTTTCGTTGTTACAAATATAAATATTTCTGATTTCTTAGCTTGCCTCTATTCCTGGCCTGGAAACAGTGCCTGTTGAACTGCCCAAGGTGGAGCAGAATCAAGTGGCTGCAGTAACAGGCGTAACAGCACCACAAGAATCTCCGAAGCAAGAAGATGCAAACGTCTCAGAAGCAGAACCTCAAGGTGTTGCAGCAGTGCTTGCAGAGCCTGATCCTCAGTACACTAAATTTTTCAAAATGGTTCAATTTGGCGTGCCCCCTCAAGCGGTAAAACTGAAAATGATATCAGAAGGACTGGATCCAAATATTTTAGAGTAAGAAATATTGTGATTTTACATTGAAATGTTATCGATTCTTTTTTTTTTATTTTTAGAGATATTTAATCAGTACCAAAGGTTCCAAAAAGAAAAGCTTCTTTGGATTCATCAAGTGAAGAGAACTCGGAATAATTAAAAATGTAATGCTGTGATAAAGACATTTAAATAAATTGGGTCGATTTGTACAAAATTTATTTTTTCAGTTTATATTAAAAAAAAAATTGCTTAAACTAAATAGTACCTATGTCCCAAAACAGAAAAGAGCAGGGTACAATTGCTTTTAAACCAGCATTCGGAACTGAACGGAGGGATTTTAATTCTCAATAAGCTGAGGAAGTACACACCTTGACTGTAAATTTAACAATTATGATGTTCATTATACATTGCGAAGAAAATTATTTTGATACATAAATATAGATAATAATAAATCATTTTTTATTCTTCTGAGAATTTTTTATATATTTAGGCTAATAATGATTTTTAAAATATAGATTTTGCTAATGAAAGGTACATTTGAAAAATTGTATTGATTAAATGAGTCCATTTTAGAGAGCTTTAGTTTCTTTTCATGGTATTTTCAGTCAAATATAAACAATTCCATAAGAACCAAGAAAAAAATCTATCCAAAATTTTAAGCCGAATATACTGATTAGTAATTAAAAATATGGAAGTCTGATCTACGTTAAATTTTCAGTGGTATTGTGATAAAAACGTATTTAAGATGAAAACTATTTTTATCAAAGGATACTTTCCAATGATCATAACACTAATTATTGTACAGCTTGATGAATTTATTGAAAAAATGTCCGAACTATACAACAAAGGTGACAAAGTTGAAAAAGAAAAACGAGGGTACATCACTTGTGAAGCAGCTTTTAGAACTGGATCATCTGACCCTGCAATCAAAAGAAATGCAACGTTTAAGTGAAAGGCAAATGCACACTGGAAAATTTTTCCACTAAAGAAACCGAGGACTTTCAATGAGAATGATGTAATAATAGCAGGTGATGAATTAAGAACAGAGCTGGAAAAGTGTCGAAAACAACCAAGTTCATTAAAAGCATTATCCTTTAAGTAAGCTGGAGTTTCTATTCATATTGGCTTCCAGGGGGACCACCTGGCTCTTAGGCAGTAGGACAGTCTGTTTAGCAGCCTAGCATTTAACTTAACAATTGTAAACTAGTAGCACACCAGAATCACAATCTCGAATTTAATTGAAGTATCATGATGCACTTCAAATTAACAATACAAAAGCTATGCTTCGTCATACTGTCACATAATTTACAATATAGAATGTGACTGCGAAGTTATAAATTTTATAGAATAACTTGCGTACAATAAGTCTGGTATTTGCAAATTCTTAAAATATGCATATTTTTGGTACGTGAATGACTATTAACTATTTATCTAGAGTTAAAAAAGATTCATTCATATTTCATACCCCAAAGATTTCAAAACAAATCCTCACCTTTCTCTTCTTGTCTCCTCCAAGTTCAAAGTGCTTGCACCTCTTCAGCGGAATCTGCTTTCTGAATTTGCAGTCTGAGCATTCCATCCTTAACACAATCTTCTTGGTTGTCTTAGCCTGCAAAACCATTCACTTGTTAGCAATGTATAAAATGCTTCGAATTTTTTTAGGATATAACGATGGAAACTAGTTTACAGCCACGGCCAATTATTGACAAGTCCCATGTGCGAGTTCAACACTGTACATGGTAATATTGGAATGCATGGGTCAATAACCAATATGCAGCGAATAACAAGAAATATGAAAAATCAAATGTCAAAAGCCGTGAGGTCTAAAAGTTATCAAGTCCTTTAGATACTATGAGGCATTTCTGTTTTTCTAGGCTGCCAGGGGGACCACCTGTCTCTTAGGCAACAGGTAAGTCCGTTTAGAAGCCTTAATTACAAATTAGTAAAGAAAGATCAAAATGTTGATCAAAATCAATCAGAGCATGTTTTAAAAATCACATAAGTGAGTACCGTTCAAATTAGCAACTCCATTGAGTACAAAGCTTTAAAATAACTAAATTGGCAGAATAAAAGATGATCTCAAGATAAGTTAGGCATAGTTAGGTAGGATACTGGGAATTATATGCAGCTGCACCATGGTCACAGAAATCTTGTATTATATCATACAAATTGTAAGTTTATGAGCTTTTTTGAACTCTTACGAAAATGCAGATTGCAGATAAAGTAAAGTTTACGGCCACAAAATAATATAATTATAAATATTATACATTATACGCATACTCTATCATAATCATATCTTATTGTTAGAACAGATGTTTTGATTGCACCCCAGTAGCAACAATTTCTTAAACTCACTACATATCCTAGCACCATAATGTTAGAGCATGTACATACTTGAAAAAATCAAGTACACATAATTATAAAATACAAAACTTAAATAAAAATTCACTCCACTAACCACAACAGATGCTGTTTAAGTTCATGAAAACAAACTTTTACCAACAGTAACTTCTGTCAAATATTTTAGCTGCTTGATATGAGTTTATATTTTATTCATTAAATCGCAAAGTTAAAAAATCACTTAAGAAACCTAGAAAAGGCATGACAATTTCAAAACATCACCTTTTTCCTGAAGATGGGTTTTGTCTGCCCACCGAACCCTTGCTGTTTTCTGTCGTAACGCCTTCTTCCCTGAGCAGCATGACGTTCCTTCGACTTCTTATACTGCGTTACTTTGTGGGCCTTATGCTTCTTGCATTTTTTGCAGAAGGTCTTCCGCAACTTTGGTACATTCACCTGAAATCATGACATGTGTTGAGATTGGCTCCGGCATGGAATAGAGCTTTGTTTATGTCTGAATATTCCCGGACTGAACTTGGATCACGATCCAAAATGCTGATTGAAAGAAAGCTGGATATTTCTTTCGTCGAAAACAAACGTAAGTGTACAATTTCAGCGAATATTAGAGGCAGATGATTGAGGATAAAATATGAATCCGGCGGATAATGCCACACTCACCATTTTTGCAGACTTGATGGACCGCAATCTTGGTTTTCACAGTGGCCGCTAGATGTCAATGTCGCATCGTATTTCCAACTTTCCATGAAGCGGCGAGTCTCGAACCCCCTCAAGACTTGCTCGGCAAAGTGATATTTTTATAGAAATTTACAATATCAATTTAATAAAAATAATAGAATCCTAATTAAACATCTAAATATTAATTTTTTTAGTTTCAAAAAGTTTAGAACTTTCGAAATTTTGAAAAAATATAGTCAAAATGCCAGCGCAGGTAGGGGTGGGGGAAGCGAGCGGCGACCAATGAGAGCGAAGTTTGGTTTGACCCGCGTTCTGCGCGCCATATTCATTTTTGAACCGGCTTTTGGCAGCACAACTTCTTCAGTGTCGCTCCAGCAGTCCTCACACAAACTCCAAAACCAAAATGAGTTCCACGGAAAACAACGCCGAAGTGGCTGTTGAGAACGTCAAGGAGAACAACGACAAAGTTGTTTCCGACGCCAAGGCGGAAATCAAGGGCACCAAGAGGCCGGCGGAGGTAAATTTCAAATATTTTCCCTCAACAAATCTTTGATTTTCCCACTCGGAATTATGGCGGCCATGAGACCGCATGCATGCGTACGTATCCCGGCCAAACACCTTTGCCAACCCAATGCAGGCTCATTCGGCCGTTCGTCGGCCAAATTCGCCCTTCTGGAATTGGCGTGCGGTGAAATTGCAAGTTTTTATTCGGCGAGCGCGGCAAAATACAATGGACGCTATTCACCCATGTGAGTGCCGGCCGGCGTTTCTAGTAGGACCGGTTTTGGTGGCGACTCGCGCCGAAAACCGATGTCATTCGGCCGCCGACGCAAGCTCTGATCAATCACTGCCGATTGTTGTGCAATTTGCGTGTTTTTATTGTGAAATCGCGTTTTATTCTTATTGAAATACATGCGCGCGTCTTTATTTTCGGGCGCCTCGCTGCGAGGCTAGTTTCGCTTCATATTTGAACATGGCGGTCTTTTATTGTGGAGGCCCTGCGCGCGAGGCTAGGCCATCTTTTGAATCGATAATTCCAAACCAAAGACCTTTTACAAACTTTGTTTAGCCGCTTTTTGGCAATTTCGCCATTTCATCTAAATTTGCACCAAAAAAATTATTAAATTTTTTATTTTTTTTTCAAACTCCGGCTAATGGACTTAGCGTTTCTATTTGGACCTCGTGGTTGCTATGTACTGAGGCACTTTGAAAGCCGGTGACGCCGGTATAAATTATTTATCTTGTTATTTCACGAGATGCGCTCGCCTCTTTGCGCACTTGATCAAAAATTTTATTATCGTTTATTAAAAAAGTTTGATTTTCCATTTTTAATTAATGAAAATTTTAATTCTATTTAAAAGAAATTAGGTATTTGTTTGAAAATGTCCTATTTTCAACTTTAAAGCTACATTTATTGCTAATTTGGAAATGCAAATTGCCGGCGTTTTAACACGTGTTTAGTAATTAATTAGCGCCTTATCAGCGGCGCTGCAATCCAGACGAATGCATCCAACAGGTTGGATTTGCGTGAAACCCGGGCCGAGAGAAAATCACAACAAGCGCCGCGAGATATCACGGCAATCGACAACACTCCTCGTGCATTTCAATTGCGATTTTTTTTCTCTTTCTTGATCGCAATCTGCCGCCCGCGTTTGCAACTAACAGAGTTACGCGGGGGGAATTTATTATTATTCGGGACGGCCATTCACGTTTTCCATTTTTTGTTCCTATGATCGGCGGGAAAGCTTGGGGGAGCGTGGCGTGCCGCGCGCGCGAGGGCACCTGGCCCGGCAGGTGATGCCGGGCCTCCTGTAAAGTATGCAACAGATGCGACTCCGATGCCAAAAAGCTTCAATTACACGCTTCGTTGAATTTTATAAGGTGTTGTTTCTGCAGAAATATGAGGCAATTTAATTTTGCAATTATTTATTTATTTGTTTATTCTCCATTCATTCAATTATGCTCAATTTTTTTTTTATTAGTTACAATTGACGTTTATACTAAATCTTATTTCCCTTATTGTTTGTTAAGCAAGTAGCACTGTTCGCCTTAAATTTTTTTAATTTTTTATTTTACAATTCATTTTGTATAATCTTAAATTTTTCCCCATATCTCGAGACCTGTGACATTCGAGGGGGTCCTTCAGCAAAGTCGGAGGAGCCCCATGATACACGCAGGGATATCAAAAAGGGTACTCGTGGCGACAGCCTGCAACTCGCTGATCTCCCCCGTTTACCCTTAACACTTCATCTCCTCTCTTCTTCTTATTGCCCTTAATCTTGTTCCTGTTTGCCTTGCTGAAATAAATATCCCGAAAAATTTTTTAAATGTTCGATTTCCCCAGCGAGCCTCATTCATCCCACGCAGTAAATGAATAAATACTACGTTTTGTCTTTGACTGTCTGTCTGTTGCAGCGTCGCCCCGATTCGGGACTAATTTTGATAATTCAATTGGCTGTGCCGCGGGCGCATTTTTATTTTTTGTTGACGCGCAGCTCAGTCAGAGAGGCACGAGCCAGAGCTGTTTATTATAAATGGGCCAGGGGACATCTGCTCATTATGCCGGGGGATTTTTTTTATCATCGGCCGGCGCACGCGTCCGCCGAGCAGGTGCCGCTTTCTTTACTTTGACCGCGCTCGACCAAATTATCGTTTTGTCTTGAGACGCAAATTTTTTCGCGCCTTTTGCAACACCTTAAGTTATCTATTTTTTTTCCGCAAACGGCTAAGGCAGGAAAAGCGGCAAAGCAAGGAAAGAAAGCGGCGGTCGGTGGTGGGGGAAGGCGGCAGCCAACGGGAGGGCGTCTGGGCCGCTAGCCTCGCGCTGGGCCTCGGAAAAGTCGCGCCGCCGGCCGCTCGGCGAATGCCCGACTGCCGCCGCTTGGCCTCGTTTCGGTGGCCCGGCGCGAGGCTATCCGCAGAGCGGGAAAAGCCGATATTCCTCTCGCTCGCTCTCTCTCCTCTCTCTCACGGGCTGAGTGCACTGCTTGATTTATCATAAAGCGAACGAACACGAAAAGCTGCCGGTGTGTGATGTGCGAGGAGTGTGTTTATGAGAAACCATGGCCGCAATTGGTCGGCCGTCTTTTCGGGGCTTCCTCTCAGCATAATTGCCCGCCGACATTGATAATCAGATGAATATCGCAATGAATAAAAGCCGATTAGACTTGCAATTGTTAATTACGCCGAGCGGTGACTGACCCCTTTGCTTGCGTGTTTTGACAAGGTGGCTGATGGTTTTGTTTGAATTTTTCGCAGGACAAAGATGACGATGTGAAAAAACAGAAAAAGGAGGAGAATGGTGACGACGATGAGGTCGAAGATGAGGAGGATGTTGAAGGAGAGGATGAGGATGAAGAAGAAGAAATTCCTGAGGGTGAAGGTGAGCTATAAATGCTTTTGATCTAATTTACATAAAAATATTTACAATTTTAGTTTTTATATTATGACACCATTGAATAAGTCAAAATTAAATAATTAAACACCACAAATAAAAGAATTAAATTTTGCAATTCTGATTTTTTGTCCTTGTGCTTGCAGAGGAGGAAGATGATGATGCAGAGGGTGAGGGAGAAGCAGAAGATGGTGACGACGATGACGACGCATAAGGTTCAAAAACTTAACAGTAATTTTTGAAACAACAGAGACACTGGTACCATGACCACATGATCATGGACTGATTTACCTGCCACCCTCCCCTGCACTTGGGGGTATGGAGTGGCCATCATTGCGTTATTTATGTTTATACTTTCAAATGTACCCCTCACATTCACCACCACCAATCACAACTGCTGTTTCGAGACTTTTAAACACTCCCGAGATGTCGAGTTGGAGAACTTAACTTGTTGAATCAAAGTCCGAGTGTTGATTGTGTGACTTGTGCGTACGACTGTATGACGATGCAAGCGAGTTCCGCGAAATTTCCGCCCTCATGGCCAGCTCATCCATTATTCCGAGTCTGGGAGGTCAGTCGGAATCTGGCAGGACCCGATTCACCTTCCAGCTCGCAACAGTCAAACAACCGGCCAGCCTCGACTCTCGAAAACGGACCACCTGCACTCCAGAAACAGCCAGTCAGGACTGTCGTCAGTTGTTCTTTGCCCACTCTTTACCCCTAAGTACTTAGTATGTAAAGCAACAAATTTTGAGATATTTGTATGGGGAGATAATAATTTTTTATTAGACACACACACACTTGAATAGGAAACATGCAAAAACACACACTTAAGATCATCCATCATTCTTGCTAGCCAACGATTTTTGTTCCACGATACTATTCAGTTCGCTGCCCAGTTTGCGCTCGCTTAAGTTTTGAATCACACACGAGATGCTTTTCCCAATGCCTGTTTGCCCTCCTTATTTTTGGTACTCTCACACACATACACATCCCTATTATCATTTCATGAATTATTTTGTAAACGGTTGGGTAGTTGAAAAAAGAACAGAATGAAATGCCTAGAATAGACTTTTAAATTGTAAGACGTAATTTGTACAAAGGTCTCTCCCAAATATTGCAAAATAAACCTCTTAATAAAACTGATCTTTGCATTTGACGAATCAATCCAATGCCTGCCTTGGTATTCAGACAAATTTTTTTTAATTTTATTTATTTCGAGGCAATAAAAAGGAACACGAAAAAATGTTTGCTTCTTTTTCTTTGCTTAAATCACATCTCTCACATCATCAGTTAAAATGATTCACCCCTTGCGTCAAAAAGTGCATGGTTACAAAGCAGTATAAACAAATAATACATAAATATTAAAGAAAAGTGGAGCGACCTCTGTTTTGGTACTGATTATTGGTAATAAACATAGAGAAAGACTTAATAGGAAGGATGCTCTACTCAATTAATAACCAAGTTGCAGTCCCGCCGTCGATGACGGCATTTATGTTTGGTGTGTTCACATCCAGTCATTGTGTAACTTTGTAAATGACCAAAAACTGTCATAGTGTGCAAGAAACAATTATTACACACGGCCAAAAACGAAACCACTTTAAACAATTCAGGTTGAGCCACGCGCTGGCTCGATAGACGCCGTGGAGAGAGGAAAATCATAAAAGTCATGTTTGTCTCACTTGTTTATCGGGGTCACATACAAAGATCATTATTTGGTTGATCGACTAGGTGACAGAAAGATGATACTGACAAAATAAATTTTATTTAAATTACACCGTCTTTTTTCTCATCCACAATTCACAGTAATAATAATTATTATGAAAGGTATGATATGCAAATGAGGCTGTCGCTTCGACCGCCATCTACAACAATACAGTCGAATCGCGGGCATGTTACTGCTGGTCAATAGAGGGCCCTTACGATTGATGAGAAAAAACCAAAGAGCAGCCGGCCGGTGTGTGTATAAATTCACAGACGAAGAGCAAGTCGGACTGCGCTGCCTTTGAGAAATAAGCGTCAATGTCAAAGGGAGCGATTGAATAAAAATTCTTCTCTGGCTTCTCACTCAAAGGAAGGAAAACACACGAATGCTGATTATATTTTCTTTAAAATTATCTCACATACATACCCCTTTGTACAAATTCTTTCCTTCGGCATAATTTGAATACACACTCGTCGTTTTTGGCATCTCATCATCGCCGCCCACGGCTCTCAAGGTCTTTTCAGTTAGATGCTCACCTATGGACAAAAATTTCCTCTCTCCCGCTCATACAGCGAAGAAAGACATTTTACTATTTATTTGTCAGAGCGGACAAAAAAACGTCAAGCTTTTTTCGCCACATAATTATTTCTCGTTTCCGGCGAAGTTTGGCTGAAATAGGAGCATGCTCCTTGGATCGATAGACGTGGTCCTTGTGTGTGCGTTGGCTTTGGCACGACCCTCGTTTCGGTAACGTGCATCCGACAACAAACAATATGCGCCCAGCGGATTCAACGCCAATCGATAAAAGAGATTAAGATTAAAAAAAGGATCGATTTCCAAATTGAAAGCAAGCGCAACACATTTCTTGAAATACCATAACTAAAATGTATATGGAAATATTTTTTTATGTTAGAGGCGGAGGAGTGAGGGAGAGGAGGATGACTTTTTCATCGTGAGAACACGGCGGGCCAAAGATGCGGTAGGTTGGATCGCGGGCACACATTCATCGTGATTCAAAGGCAATTTTGAATCGTGCCGAGCTCGCACAGGAGAGAATTCGACTGGCACAAATATTTTTCCACCGGCGTGCCTTATCACGTTACGTTTTTATTAATGAGAATTACCTTTTATATTTCAACATATTTTTTTCCTTGTCGATCGTGAACATGAAAATATTAAGTAAAGCTGGAAGTGGTGGAAATTAATTTCCAGCTGCAGCAGGTGCAAGCGTAATTTCAGGTCAGCGAACCGCCGGCAGACGCTTCCCTTCGTTGAAAGAAAGGTGGCTCTCAAATAATGCGAGTGTGCGGTTCCGGCGTCTGAATAAAAAAATGCCTTCGGAATTAGTGCCTTTACACGCAGACAGCAGTTTCTTTGCATTGCGAGCATCCATTCGAAGAGCGGATGTTTCCACCTCTCGAGACAGCAACTCGTGCGTGCAGTCCAGAAAGAAATGAGCCGCCGGACTCCATAATATGCTTCCCCCAAGTTCTCTTTATATTAGTTTTTGTATCATTAAAAAAAATTTTTTTTGATTGATTTTTTAATATCTTTTCTGCGGCTATGCAAAAAAATTTGCAGTGCCCGGGCATTTTCTGCAAAAAAGCGGAGGAAAAACCTGCGATTTTGGAAAATGCGCAACCGGTTTTGCCCTTGGGTTCACCTTTCCTTGTTTAAGGCTTTTAGTGCGAGTAGTTGGTGCAATCGGTGCCGCGGCTCGGTGTTATTCTGGCGCCGTCACCATTCAACTTTCGCAATAGAGCAAAAGATGGCAACCGAATGCGCTCGAAAAGGGTCGACCCTTTGCTATACGCGACCCGCGCCAAGTGGGCTCTGAAAAGTTTTTTTCTTCTAGAAACATTGCAATTTCCAGCCAAATTGTCGCGCCTCTCAGGTGCAAATTATTCGCTTGTAAAAGAAAAATGTTTGTATTTTTGCGAGGTGGCGTTTTTGCACAATTTTTGCGCAAAATGAACCTAGCGCATCAAATGAGTTTTAATTAGCATGAAAACTTAATTTTTTCATGTCCAATGAAAGGTGTGGGAGGAGGATGGGTGGCTTAAAGGTGATTGTAAAATAGCTATCCGAAACTTAATTTTTGGATTCTCTATATTTTCGGTATTGTTCTTGAAATCTTCATGCTTAAGTGCATTCGGCTGCGCCGTGATCCCTATGCCGGCAGTTTATTTGAGGGGATTGCGTAGGCTCAAATAAATAATGGTTTGGATTTTTACTAGAAACTTGAAAACCTGCGAAGACTAGGTTGAAAAATGAGAAAAGTCAAATTGCTTGTTTAAGTTTATTGAAAAAAATTCCATTGTGAGGTAAAATGAGGCCTCGAATGTGAGAGTAGCATTTTGCTATGCCATTATACCAGAGAGATAGCATTGATCATATAGGGGAAGATTTTGTCGAGCCCCGTGAGAGGCTAGGTGTGACGTCAGCGGCCCAGCCAGTTTGCGTCGCTTTAAATACTAAGTTTTCCTCCCAGCTATGTAAGTGTCAGGATGGCCGAGCGGTCTAAGGCGCTGCGTTCAGGTCGCAGTCTGGTTCTCCAGGCGTGGGTTCGAATCCCACTTCTGACAAATTTTTTAATTGGGTCTTTATCACGACACACTATTACGTTAGCTAATACATTTTATGAATTAAGAAGCATGGTGATTAAACTGAAATAAAATTTGATGAACACATACATTTTTAACTGGACATAATTTTTATGCACGGGAACAAGTTTGTTTTGTTTAAAAAGTGGTGATTAAGCATGAAATAAAATAAAACTAAAATTATTCGATTCCATCATTGCAACATTATTTTATTGAACTAATGCGACTACAGTATTATTTTACACCAAGTAATAACAAATTTTTTCATGAATGGAGCACTACATAATAATCAGTTGCATTGCTAAAAAAAATACAATGAATTTAATGTTTCATTTTTTTTTTTTTATTATTTTCCTAACATTTTTATTCTCCTTTTCAAGTTTGCCTTAATTTTTCTTTTATCAAAAATTATGCTTGCGATATGAAAATCACAGCGTTGCTTTTGTTGCTTCTTAAAAAGCTAAAATTTATTTTAAACTATAGTTTTTCCTTTTGAAAAAAAAAAGATATTTTCTATAAATAATCATCAGTAATCATCATACTTACCTATTAATGCTTAGAGTAAATTGAAAGTGCGCAGCAACAAACAATTAAACATTTCGGAAAAATATTTTCATAAAATAATTGAAAAGTTGTTTATACTATATAGAAAATGGTGAGTGGGAACTTTTATGAGAAATATTGTCGTTGAACTTCGGCGAGTTAGCGCTATTTGCTAATTAAGGGATCAAACACTTATTGGTCCTAATGCACGTGGTGAGAACCTAGAATTAAAACTACAGGAAAAGCAGTACAGATTCTGGCATGTTAGGGTGATTGCCTACAAACATGGACATGTTTCATCACAAATTATAATATAACATTAGATAGTCAGCTCTTTTCACAAAAAAGTAACTAACTCTACATATGCAGTGTGACTGAAGAGCTTGTTGGAAATACCAGATACCCGCGTCTATTTTATTTATTCACATCAAAAAAATATAGTTAATTGATAACGTATGCAACACTCGACTTCCATTTACTCTAATAAATATATTTTATAAATCCACCGCTATTGACAAATATACTCTTCTATATCCCAAGCATTCAATGATTTTAAAGCTCTCAATTTAATCAGAGGACCCTAAGTCTCCAATTGAATTTTTTTTTTTATCCACAATGTGTGTGTGTGTGTGTGTTTTTTTTCCTACATCCTCCTGAAAATTTAGTTCCATTTCCATTATGTATATATAATTTTGATTTATTTTAATTTTTTAATTTTAGGTGTTATATTTATATGATACAAATGAGTATAATTGAAGGTCTATTTTTTTTTTAAATTCCATCGAAAATATTTTTTTTCAATTAAGTTGACTTTTAGGAGAATTAGAACTTGTAATTTTGAAGATATAAAAAATTAAAACTGACAAAACTCCTATTTTTATCAAAAAAGAGAGGCTCAAATTTGTCGCTTGAAATTTCTACTAGTGCGCTCTACTTGCAAAAATCAACAAATTATAATCACTGTTTTCCTGCAAAAGTGAACAATAAATGGTATAATTATAATAAAAATCCAACAATTGAATTTTATCACTCTCGCGATCAGGTACTTGTCAGTCTATCTATTTCTTATGCACGGCTGGCTCTTGGATCTTCACTTCCAGCATGGCCGCAGTCTCATAGGATTCGCTCCCTTTCAGGTCATTCCGCGAAATGGGAAGAATGTGACCATTGCCCAGGTGCCCATTGCCGGAGGCAGCAGCGTGATCCTGCGTACAGAATTTCATAAAAATTATAAAATTAAATAAGTTCCAAATCAAATGTCTGATATATATAGAAGAATCAACAGTTTTAAAATAGAAAAGGAAAAGGCATTCGTATTAATTATATGAAGTTGAAATTGGATTTTCAATTTTAATAAAAGTTTTGTTTCATGATTTTATTACAAACTAGTGAGCCTAGTGAGGATAAACCTTTTGAGGAATAATTAGTTTCACTACAAAAAAATTAAAGGATTTATGGCTTTGACAGGCAAGGACTTTTTAGCAGGAGGAGAAATTTAACAAGGATCAGCTTTTAGCAGGTAGAAAATATTTCAGTGCCATTCAGGCGTAAAGAGAAACTTATTCCCAGTTAGGGGGCAAGTTATTTTGTGTGTGAAGGTGTAAGATTAATATGGGGTTTTCAGACTGAGAAATAGATGGACTCACATCTCTGTCTGTCAGGTTGCGGACAATCGATCCGTGGGAGGGTGAGGCTTTCAGTTCTGCCTTGGACAAGTGCTCGACCACAGCGGCAGCATAGCAGTCGCCAAGCATGTTGTTAGTTGTGCGGACGCGATCGCTGCGGCATAACGAAAAAATAGATAACAAAATGCACACAAAAAGGTCCTAAGGGGAAATGCGTGTTTATTTTTCAAGGAAAAGTATTATTGGATAAATTTATTGTGAAGAAATTTACTCACACAAACCAGTCGACGGCGAAAAGCAGAGAGACGTCTTGGACGGGCGCATCGATGGCAGTCAGCACAATCAACATGAGCACCAACGCAGCGCTTGGGACGCTGGCTGACGCTATGCTAGCCGCCGTGGAAGTGAGACTAGAAGCAGAAGAGTTTTGGAAATTTGACAAAAAATAGTATTCATATTTGAAAATTAAATTTTTAACTATTTTATTTATATTTACAATTAAATATACTTTATTAAAAAAAATTAAAATATTTTCCAATCAATGAATAATTTTAATGATTTAAATTATTAATTAATTTATTAATCCATATTTCCAGAGAAAAAAGCTTTTTTGCGCATTATGAATTAAAAATAAAGCTGATTTCCAATAACTTATAAATATACTTTATTAAAAAAAAATTATGCTTTAAGAAGATTCATTATAATAATTAAATTTCATTTATCAGTACAACTTCAACCTTTTTATTTTAGTACTGAAGTTGCTCAGGAAGAATAATTGATACATTTCAATCAGTTCATATACCAAAACAAAAAATATTGCTCAAATAAAATCGCGTGTGGGATATAAAAAAAATGAGATACTCACGCAATGGTGACATATTCCCCCATGCTCAGCGGAATCTCATTGATCTGGGCTATGAAGACAGAGGCGATGCTGACGAAGAGAGCCGTGCCGTCCATATTCACAGTGGCGCCAATGGGCAACACAAACCGAGACACCCTCGAGTCCACTTTCACTTTCTGGTCCATGCATCTGAAGGTGACGGGAAGAGCCGCGGCCCTGTGCATGCATCACATTAGTCCAACCGAGTGCTCGCAGCCCCGAATTCGAAGCGGGCATTAAAAATAAATATATAATCAAGAAAGCGCCATGAGTCCGTAAAACCCATGAATGTTCCGATTCTGGTCTGTTCATTAAAAAAATCATTTTGCGCAAATGTACACAGCTGAAAAGAAGAGATTGTGTGTATGTGTGTGCTAACAACAGAGAGTTTCATTCGCACGCGTCTTTCAAAAAGAGCAGCAGCCTCTGATTGCTCTGGAGAAGCAAAGGCAGCGATTTTCCAATTGAGGAACACTGGCGAGAGAGATGAGACCGCTCACTTCCGCCGCTCCATTGTCGTGTTCTGAATGAAAGGTGACATTTTTTGCAACTCACACCATATACACGCTCAATGGAGATTTAATGAGGCAAATGATTGGGTGACACTGAGTGTGTATGTGTGTGCGATATGCGGCATCAGCTAAAACAGGGACACTTATTGTTTGGGCACCATTGTGCCTTTTATTTGTTAATAATGAATAGAAATTGCTACACAAATTTTATACATAAAAATTGCCACTGGGGCCAAATTTAATATTAAGTTCTGTGACTGGTGGAATTATAAAAAACATTATCCCTTGGGGGTGGGTGAATTTTCATGTTATTTTTTCCTGCGTTGTTATGTTTTTGTGACGAGTATTGATTATGGATGTTGGTTTTGCTGACCATTCCATCGTACTTACCCATCGAGGCGATCAACAAAACCCTTTTTCATAGGCTGACAATTGTTGGCGGCGCGCGGCGTTCTCTTTCTTGTAGAAATAGAGCTTCTCGTATACAGATCGCAATGTTTATTATATTAAGTGTCACAAAAATTTTTTCTTTTCTCAAGATTAAATGAGCGCGCAAAACGCGAGGTTTTTGCTGTAACTGAACACGAGAGAGGGCAAAAGTGACATTAAAAAAGCAGCAACTCAAAAGAGCAAAGTACAAGTAAAATAAAATGTGGGAGATCAAAATTCTAAAATTATAAACAAGAAGTGGTGCAAGTAGGCGCAACCAAGAGTTCTGCAATTTAAGTGTGCAGTTCCACGTTTTATTCTTTCTATTTTTAATTTTAGGAAAAAGAAACTGAAAACTTTTCAAAGTGCAGAAATCTCATTTTGGAGTGTGTTTTTGCTAAATCGTGAAAATGATGAAGATGGGTATTACTGCGGAAGTGAAGCGAATTTTTGATAAAGAGAAGATTATTTTGTCACTGAGACGATAACATTTGAGAGGAAACAAAAATGAGATTTGAATTTTTGAGTAATAAGGTTTCAGATTCACTTCGACAGAGAAAGAAATGAAGAATGTTTGCATGCACAAAGAGAATGAAATAATTTTTAAAATTTATAATACAGCAAAAGAGGCAAACATTTTGGATTTTATTTTTCATAAAAAATATATATCTGAAAATTAATAAGAGAAAATTTTGCCTCTTTTACAGTTGAGTGCCAAAAGTGTTTAACAATGTTTCATTTTGCAACAACTTTACTTTGGACACTCAAGACAATTTTGCATATAACTGCTGGTAACGCAGGGAGATCTACTTTATAGGTTTGATTCTTCCTCCCGGCCGCAAGGTTAAAGGATGGGGGGTTGCAGGTTAAAATGTCTCCCTGTTTTACCTAAATCAGCCCGGCAGATACGGAGTCATCAGGTCGGGTCAGCTTGATTAAATCAGTTCTCAATGAGATTTTTTTATAATTCTTTTGTTTTGTTTTAAATTTTTTTTCTTAATATGCCTTCAACAAGACATAATATTTACTAAAATTCAATAAATTTTCTTATTCTAATTTAATCCAAATTGCAAAATTAGCCTTGCTGGAGCTAATTTTCATCATCCTGATTTAGCCAGGCTGGCGACAGCAGAATTCTAAGTATCTCCCAGCACTGCATACCTCGATCAATTTTTCAGGGACAGAGGGGATTAGGCGAGAAGGGTGGCCGGTGGTAAAAGGGCCATCACTCACGTTGAAGCGGTGGCAAAAGCCGTCAGGGTGGCCTGAACGAGGCCGCAGTAGAACTTGAATGGGTTGCGCTTCACAATGGCCAGGTAGATGAGCTGCATAAACACAAGTTGGTACAGCAGCACGCCCAGAACCACCGTGAAGATGAACCAGCCCAATTGAACAGTCACCAGGCCCAGGTTTTCCACACACAGGATTTTCCCCGCAATCACGCTGCTCACGCCGATCGGAGTCAACCTTTGCAAATTTGAAGTTCAAATTAGAATTCAAACTCGATTTTCGTAACGCATAAAATACAACATCTATTTTAAACATAATTATGCATTATATCATTTTGACTGAACAGCAATAAGAAGAAATTTTTTATTTGAAATGGCGATAGTGCCAATAGTCCATCAATTAATCATATTGTGTAATACCTAAAGTCAGGTTAGACGGTCCATTTCAAAAAAACAAGTTTCACTGACTTGAGCTCACGGCCCTTGTTGCAATCATATCGGCTAAAGCAAATAGCTTTGAAAAAATATGCAACCCGCGCAACATTTATGAAAGGAATTAAATAATTATTTGTTTTAAAGTGTATTCAGCGACAAATAAATATAAAAAAACACTAAAGATCAATGAGTGAAATAAAAATTATCAAGTTATAAAAGAGCTATTACAAAATCACAATAAAACCCGTTATTAGAAGTGGATGGTTATGGCAAAAAGTATAAAAAAGTATTTTGTTTGTTTTTCGTCAAAACTGATGGCCTAGTTTTATGTTAAATTATAATTTCACAATCTTACAATTTGACATACCACATAACTCCTGTGACCATTTTCATGATGACCTCGTCAACGGCTGAGAAGAACTCTACGACCACTCTGGCTTTTCGCCCCAGGGTACCAAGAACGGTTCCGAAAACGAGGCAGAAGAAAATTATTCCGAGGGTGTTGGTTCCTTCTCTGAAATAAAAAAACAAGGCATTTCAAATTTAATCAGAAATAATAATATATTAGTAAATAATCCGTGAAACACGTGCATTGCAACGCGACTTCATGGGTGATTCTGTAATAAGATAATTGATGCTTACTGTGGGGCAAATATAAGGCTTCATTATATGCAGTAAGCAATTTTAAACGATTTGACCTCAGCAATACATGATTTTCCTGCGCTTTTCTTTTTTTGTTATTTTTCCTTTTTTATAACAATTAAGTTTCTAAGCTCTCATAGTTTGAAGTAAAATCAAAAGTAAAAATTTCTCCTACCTGTATTGGACGTCCCGCACCATATTGATGCTGGCTTTCAAAACATCGATATCGGCTGACGCAATCAAAGTGTCATTCTCAGTGCCGTTGCGGACATAAACTTTGCGTGGGATGTAGACGGTGTGCGCCTGAAATAATCCAACAAAGAAAAGCTTACAATTGATGGCCTCGCTTTTTATTTCAACTTAAGCTTAAAAATTCCAAATGAGAATTTTAATGAAAGCGGCAAAACGTCTTTTGTTGAAATCATACAACTTCTCCCAGTGATAGAAGATGAAAATCCCCGAGGCTATATAACAAGAAAAGTTGGGATCTGGAGTGCCACTGGAATTGTTGAGCCAACTCTCAAAAAAAGTATGAGACGCGGAGAGGGTTGAGGAGCTCCGTGAATTGCAGTTCTCTTTCACAAAGGCTTATTGTGAGTCCCAGAATGTTGTGGATATTTAATATTATCAAATTATGAAAGCAGCCAACTGAGATCATTGGAGAGTTGTCCCGCAAAAATACGATTTTTTACGCCTTTCTACGTGTATCTAGCAAACGCCCTTGGCAAACGATTTTCCCTATGTCCATTTCGGAGCTGCGTGCCAAAAATTTGACGCAGCAACTTTTTGCACGCATCGCCTAGGTTATTAATCTCGCGCCCACACAAAAGGAGAGTGTGAAAAATAAATTAAGAACAAGCCCTTACGTTTGCCAAGAGGGGCCAATTTTGAAAAATGGCCAAATTTCTGTGACGTCAAAGTTAAAGAGCGACGGGTTGGATTATTTTGCTTACCTGTTGAAATGCGGCTTGAAACAGGTTGTCAGGGAAAATGTTTCTGAAAACAGACAAAACGAGTTAAAAAAAACTGTTAATTTAGGATTAAGCAGAATTAAAAACTTAAGAACCAATTTAGTAAATAAATAATCTTCCTTGATTAAATAATTTGAATTTATTTATTTTTTATTTACAATTGTATATTTAAATAAAAAATAATTTTAGATAAAATACCTTCCAAGATCGAGGAATCCATCTAGGATGTTCACTTCTCGTTGTTCGGTGCCTGCTCCCAGTAACTTCTTGGTTTCAGGGTCGCCGGGGTGCATGATGACGGCGAGGGCGACGCCGAGGGCGGCATTGAAAAGCGACGTAAGCAAAAAGTATACCATTGTGCGAATGGCGAGGCGACCGTTCATTTTGGCGTTCAGACTCGCCGCTCCTTTTATTGTAGAAGAAAAAATACATACATTTTTTAATAAGAAAAATACTTTAACGTGGTGATGTATTGGGTTTCACAATCAGAGGTAAGATTTTGAGCAATTTGGCAGTCACAGAAGTTAATTTTAAATTAGCTGGCACATTTGGCAGGACAAAAGGGAGACCGCAATTTTATAGCCCTCGGCTTTTTCTTTTTTGATTCTCGTGTGATTGCCCAAATTTAATGGTTTTTGAGGCTCGAAATAAACCGCTCGAAGTTCGTTCAACTTGATGGGTGTGTGAGAGGGAGCGGCGTGGAATATGATGATGAATTTATTTTTGGCCGCGCGCAGACTGAGAGGCGAAATTCATTTTGAAATAAACATGCGACTCCAGACGAGCGCGACAAAAAGAAAACGGCGGTCTATTTTCGGTGGCAAAAATCTCTCACCTGCGATCAAGCTGGCTATAACTAGGGGCAGGATCATCAGTTTCAGCAGTCTCATGAAGAGTTCTCCAGGGTAGGACACCAGCAGGATGGTGTCAGGAGTTAAATGCAACGGCCGGAGTCCAACTCCTAAAATCAAACAAATACAAATTCGTCATGATCAAAATGTTCAAAATGAAACAAAATCGTTATTTTTTTTATCACTATAGAAGAATATATGCAGAAGTGAAAAAATTTGCAAAAAAATCTGCTTTGCTTTTTGATAACGCTTCAAACTTTTAAAGTAAAAGTAGATAATATTATGCTTCAAAAAATGAAATTGCTAAGAATTAATCAATCAAAAGGTCAGATCACAAAGAATTGATTTTTATAAAGGTAAAATCTTTTAATTTAGCATCGTAACTAATAATATATTATCGAGGTCACTGTTTTGAAAATTTTAAGAAGGCTGCCAACATTTATTTGCAAATTTTAGCGAGTATGCTGTCGGCGGTTTATGAATAGCTCGAGATCAATCAATATAAATTTAGGCGATGCGAAGTTTGCCGCTTAATTGACAAATGTGTGTTGTCAAAATTAAACTCCACTCATTGGATACGAGTTGTGTCAAACAGAGGAATTTGGCCGCCGTCCCAAATCAAATAACTTGGCGGAAATAATTTGCAACCTTACTCTCACGTGTCTGTCTGGTAAACATACATGAAACCCTTGCGTTTTCCTCTCCGATTGCTAAAGTCAAGCACGTGTGCCTTTAACCGCGAGACAGTGGAAAATTCCACCAACATATTCATGGTAATGCGATTCAGATCGATTTTCCATCAAAGGGAAAAGAAATTGAGTTCTTTATTGAAATCAACATTGCTTTTGCAATATGGTCTGTAACAAAGAAGCGCCAACAAACGCCTTCTATTTTTGCGCAACATTTTGATATTATATAATAGACTAAATGGACGTATTGAACTGACTGACAAAGGTTTTTAACTATAGTGCGAGGTACTACAAGGAAGAATTTTAACTACCCGACGGTGTGTTTGCTCGTGCACCCGCTCTCGTGGGCTTAATTTATTGCTTTTCAATATATGCACACCACATGGGAAGACTTTTTTAGCGTACGAACATTGATTGCATGTAAGTTATAGTTGAGCAGTAATTTAGTTTGTATTATCTTGAGGGAGCCGGTCAGAAATATAACCTTATATTAATAATAATTCAATTATAGGGGTTTTAGTTTCAGAAACTGAATTATTTACATGGAATTTAAGTTTTTAGTGTTCAAATTAATTAACCCATCAATTTCATGAATTGGCTTTTTATAACTTTTTATTAAATAATTATGCAGTTTTCATTCATCGATCGTTTGTTTGTTAAGAGAAAGTCGTGCACAGCTCAAGAGGCACAAGATACTACAAGTTGATATTCTCATTTTGTTTATATCTCGCTTGTCCTCTTCTCTTTCAATGGTCGTTTGCTATAGCTCTATCATGCACTCCAAAGGCTGCTGGGAGATGCCATAAGTGCGCACAATTCCTGAATGGTGACGATAATTGTTTGCGAGGAGCGAACTGCGACGTAATTCAGTGAGAGAACATTTTAGTGCTCGCTTGGCGCTACAACGGCTCACGTTTGCACGCAAAGTGTGTTTACAAGCATATATAAGCGTGCAGCATTTCCATCAACTTTCCATTCATTCAGACATTCAACATTTACCTCCACCATGTTACAGACAGATTTTTCAATTAGAGTATGAATACTATGAATAATTACATGTGACAGTTATTGCAATATATTCATTCGTTTAATGACGGAATCACATGATTTAAGCTCATTATGTAAATCAAAACGGTGGTACCTTTTTATGTTTTTATGAGGAGGTTACATTTAATTGATGTAAAACATAAATTAAAAACAAACGCCTAAATTGTTTGCATTAATATTTGGTTCACAAATTGAAATTTGCAAAATATAATTATTTATTTAGGTATTTGTTTTTATAACTAGCAGATTAACCTCAAGAGTTATAGGAAATGATAAGTTGATCACATATTTAAAAAAAAATCAGAATCTGTTTTTTCCAAATTAGTTGAGAGCAATAATTTGATCACTTTTTATACATTATTTAAACAAAACGGCCGCTTTATGAATGAATGAAACAGCGCTGGCTTCTGATTCAAAAGCCTGAGGCCTCTTATTTATTAGTCAGCGGCCAAAAAGCCGCGCTAATCCGCCTATACTCAAAACGCTGACGCGCGCAGTCGGACCCGCACAACGGCAGCGAAACGCTTCCCTAGAGCAAATTAATTAATGAGGCACGTGTGCAAATTTCGACTTGGGTTCGAGCAAATAATTGCGCGCCGTTGAGAGGAAAAGACGCTCACAGAGTTGAAGAAAGAGCCCATTAGTAAAAAATAAAAACACAATTGCAAGTAAAGTATCTCTTTTAAAATCACGCCAGCAGTTCGTCTATTTAACATTCTTGGCCGCACCAAAGCAAATTTGTTTGCTTCTAAATTGCTCTGCCAATATATAGAGTCGAGAGACGTAAAAGCGGTGGTTTAAAAAGGCTTTATGTCCTTTCCATCTCCTGCTGCCTGAAATGAGGCGCTTTTCCTTCCATGAGGTCATGCATGTGACCAAAGAAAAGGAAAGATCTCGAGCGCGGTGAACAACTGGCGGAGAATGCAGTTTTCCCCATTGGAGAGCGGCCAAAAGGGTGCAGCTCCTTTGGTGATAATTAAAAATGGCTGATTTCTGCCGATTGCTAATAGATTTTAAGTTCAACTCATTCTGACGAAGAGTGCTCGATTTGAAAAGTAGGCCTCTTGCATGCTAATATGTTTTGCGTGTTTTTCATTAAGGAGAAGGTCACTCTGTAAGCCCAACAAAGGAAACCTTATAGGGGTTGCTTTGAAAAATCCTTTCATTGTTTGCACCGAAGACAAGAGAAGAGCTGATGGCGGAGAGGTGTGCGAAAAGTGGGCTACGTACATGCCTATTACATAATATACATCCCGGAGAGTGCAAGCATCTGCATCAGCAGCGCTTTAATCAACAAATAACCTGCAGCGTGTGCGGCTGCTGGAGTATTGTGCGTTTTCCCCTAATTGTTTATACGCAACCTTACTTTTCAATTTTATATTTTATTTAAATCATTGTGTCCCCACCGTTCATATTTCTCTCTTTACAAGTGTTTTTTTTTTTTTTTTTTTTTTTAATCTCAAATGAGATGAAAAATAATAAATCTGTAATTTAAAGAAATTGAAGTTTCTGTTTGTGCTGGAACTTTTCCGAAATTTTCTAAAATTTTCTCGTTCCATGGAAAATATGAAAATAATTAAATTATCGATTTTTTAGATTTTCCAAGCTACTTCAGCAGAACATGTGAGACCCCTAGAATTCTTAGCTGTCTCACATGACATACTTTTATTAGAGATATAAAAAAGATTAAAATAATTATGCGATATGTAGCAATGCAAAATTTTTGCATTAAATTTCAAACACAAAAATAATTGCATAATAATTCAACCTTGTGTAATAATAAGAAAGTAAAATTTTACTCACCGAGTACAACTCCGAAGAAGACTCCTGAGACGGTGACCAGGAGCAGCAGGTTCTTCCTGAGCCAGCGCTTGATCTGTCTGAGTTTGCTGCAGCTGGCCGCCGCCGCCGAAGGATCGCCCATTTTGGAGAACAGAAATTCTGAAAAGGGATTCGAGTGCTCCATTTCAGATTTTAAGTTTCAGATCAAATCGCCAGTGACGTGGTTTTTTTAATCGCGTTGTGGGAAATCGAGCCGTGTTTGCTTTCGTCGCTGCCTACTTTTCGTCGCTTTCTTTAGGTCCCAAACTTGTGGGACTCGAAAGTGGGTGCGCACGAGAAAGAACTGTGATCTTGACGAGGGAGCGCGAGTGACTTGCTGCCGGCAAAAATGACTAGGTGTGCAGAAATATACTAAGGCAAGAAGGGTTGTGCTGGATGTTGCCTGTGGATTCACGCCGGCGCATCACTGTGCACCATCGATTTGCGCCCCGCCGTGCACACCGTGAATATATTTATCAGACAACAAGTCACCCTTCCAGCCCCTTCAGTAAACCCACAGTGCTCTTAGAATGCAACTTGCACTTTTTCTGAATTGTGGAAAAAATTTGAACTTTGATTTTACAATAGTATATATTTATAATAAAATTTTAGATTAAAAAAAAGTTTTGACGCATTTAATCTTTTCCGATCTTTTCATCAGAAAAATTTTGTTGGTCAGATATTTCTGCACGAAAATTAATTAAAAATAATTTCTTTTTATAAATTGTTTATATTTTAAATAAATCAAGAATCTTCTTTAAATTTAACATCATATTTTAAAATTAGAGCAGTTTTATAAAATAATATTTAATTACTTTGATTTATTTGAGAGGAGGTTAGCTTACACCGTGATTTGTATTGAAAAATGATCAATTTCCAATGCAAGCAGCGTTCCATCAATTTTAATAGTCTTTTATTGGGGCGGTGAGCGATAGTGATCAAGACGCACATAACGTCTTTCGCAAATTATGGCAGGCACCACTTAAATCTTCAAAAACATCATGGAACGAGATAAGAGTTGGTTTTAAGTACATGCTCTTTTATGTAAATACAAAGAAAATTTGTAAACAGATTATAAGTGATTTTCAGGTAAGCAAAATTTTCATATAATAACTTTGAGGCCTATATACTCAGCACGATCTTGAAAGATTAAAAAGCGGGATTCCCACAATGAAATGAAAGTATGATAAGCTATAATTCATGGTACATTTCAAAGTCTGCCTGACTAATTTGTAAAAGAGGAAATGAAAACGCAGGGCAAAGTGCACGAAATCAAATCCACACAATTTTTGCACCTGCCTAAGTGGATTAATTTAATCAAATATTGATCAACAAGTACAAGTATGTGTTTTTACGCGTGCTCCAATTCGTTATCATCCTCGACAAACCCACTCAAGTTTTGATTAATTACAAAATAAACAAATAATTGCAAAATTGTAACATTATATTATAATATATCGCAAGTAATATATTATTTAATGGTATATAACTCAACTAATTGTAAGTTTATAATTGTTAATATAGGTTTAAGGAAAACGTAAAAAATAGGTGAGATTTCGATGTTATTTTAATTTTACAGCTCAACAATGAACAATATGTAAAAGATTTTTCATACATTTTTCCGCCGTTTGTATTGTGAATCAGGAAAAATGTTCATATTACAATGTACTGCTTTACTTCCTTAAGGTTGTATTGGTTTCTATGATCTGAATTTAACTTATACATATTAAAAAAAAATTAAATAGCCCCTTAAACATGTTTATACCACAATCGGATACCCAATACCCATATTATTTGTTTATTGTTGTTTATATTTAATATTTGTTTGATTCTCGTGGAAGTTGCTTTTGGCACATTTGCAGTATACTTAATAATATTTTATCTGAGGAACACAAAAAAGAAAATTATCACCGCACTGATGGAGACTTCACAGTGACATTGGGTACAAATAGTTTGAGAAGCCGTGAAAATGCCAGAGGTTGACCGCGGAGAAAATAGATCACGTCAGCGCGCTTGAATTTCAAGGAACGACCCGAAGTGCGATTTATTAATGAGGCGGATGATTGCAAGTGCGAGCGATTAAAAGGCGTCCGGTGCGCCTAGGAATGTGACACACGGGGCCAACCCAGTTTCGCCAATCCATCAAGGCGCCGCTGAAAAGCTAATTTGGGTATGAGTGTCACATATAAATTATTGTCGTCATTGCACTTGGCGACACAGTCAAACACACAAACACACCTAACGACCGATTTGAACTCTAAATTCTCAATCGTTGCCTCACAAGTCACTCTCGAATAGCAATTAATTAAAAGCAAACAGACTTACAATGGATACAATTAAATTGTTAAAAAATTAAAAGCAAAGAACAAAAAGCTGCTTTAGTATAAATTCAAACATTTCATCACTTATAAATTTTTTGACTAAATGATTTAAAAAACAAAATATTTATATTCTAGACTCTAGAGTTTATTATCAGATCCAATTTTTGCCCATTTTTTAAGTACCGCACCTGAGCCGGTTGTTTCTTCTATTATCACGAATGTTTTTATTTGTGTCTATTCGAATTTGAACTACTACAACTTTTGTTTGTGAAGATGATAGTTGGTCTAGACTGAAAATATTAAGCAAAAAAATCGCAACTTATGCAAAGAAATACCCAGTGCTTGTCGTACAAACAAAGACACGCGAGTCACTTCACGCGTAAATAAATTATCCAACTTCCCAGCTGGGCCGCCGCTAGGAATTCAGATGCGGCCCGCGAGTGACGCTTTAAGTGATGTTAAAATTAAATCGCGCTCCTCTGGCGGAAGAATTATATCGGTCGGGGGCACGTGGTGGCCTAGGGGGCCACGCCAAGTTACTCATTGGATAAAAAAAAATAAACGGCAACAGCCCATTAACATCTGCTGAACCGAATGATATTATTTTTGGAACGTCTTTGTTTTATCTTTTTGAAACAAAAACACGTTATCTTTGCATTCTTAAATAATAGAAAAAAGAACAAAAACCCGGTCTGATTAATAATTTTCGGCGTCATGCTTGTCTTTTTTATTTAAATCGCTTTTATACGCATGTAAATAATGATGCGCGCTCTTCAAAATTTAACGAGTTTAAAAAAATAAAAAAATTTTGCTAATAAAAATATACAGTTTCCCAAATCAATACAAGTCAAACACAAATAAATTTTAAAGCAATAATTTAAAATATCATTTTGCAGAAATTTATTCTAGAATTAAGTATTAGTTTCAAGAACTTTAAAAATTTCTATTAGCCTTACTTTAATGTTAAAGTTACAATTAAAAATTAAAAATTGGGAAAGGGCTAATTATTTGGCTTAGTAAGTATTTAAATTTACGAGTGATTCATGTAATGGATTATTTGGATTATTTTATGAGTATATACATATCCACGAGAATTAACATTTAGATCGCTTCCTGCTTTGTTTAATTTATTTCCTTCAAAGCGTGATTTAAAATTTTAATGATAATGAAAACATCGCTAATCATAGGCTATTTGTATTAAATTTGCCTATTTATTTAAACTTTGCTATTCTTCCTATATTTGGGAATTATATCAAAGTTGCTTTTTTATTATGTCACAAAAAATTTAATCCACTTGAACACATTTAACAAAAAGAAGAACGATCCAGTATTAGGCAATAACTGAGAGTAAAAGTGTAACTCTTTGAAAGCGCGACTGGCACACTTTGCTATTTTACTCTTTGTGTGAGAACAAAATATTATCCAACAGACTTGCGCCCCAAGGACAACTTACTCGCGTAATTTGTCACGTTAAATCAGAGACTATATTACATTTTTTTTATCTACTCATTCTTCATTCTTATTGGTAAAGGTCGCGATTTTAATTTTAAGTGCAGCTGAGGAAAGCAAAATTTTTCACAAATAAAAATTTGTCACGATTTCATCATTTTTCCAACCACGTGGCTTTTTGACGTAAAATATCAAGCTAAGTTTCGGACATAAAAGTAACTTTAATTTCAATTTTCGCATAATTATGACTTACCCGGAGGGCGAGCCGTAGTATATAAGGGAAGTCGTGGTGGATGAGAGCGCGGCTGCGTCCCGATTCAAGCACAAATATCAACCGACTGGCCGCCGCGACTATTGACGAGACTTGGTCCGTCGACTTCTTTCTTCTCGCGCGGCTGCTGACGCGCTAATTTAGGAGTATGCGACGCTCGCGGTGGCCCCACACTTTATATATACTTGGCGCACAATCTGTCTCTTTAATGAAGACGCAGCAGCGATCGGTCAGCCGCACCGATAACAATAATGCATCTTGGGGTTTCCGTCCCACATCAGTGATAAGGAGTAGAAAAGAGCGCCGAAAAATTGCGCTCAGAAAGTGAGCATAATTTGCTTTGTAATCTGTTGCATCACGCGCGGCTGGGCGTGCGGGATAATCGTGTGTGTATAGTGTCAATTTTTATGGCGTGATATGATAGTGCAGTGCGTTTGCATAGAGGAATAAGCGCCTTGTTTGGGGGGTCTGATAACACGCGCGACCCAGCTAAAAAAAGCAAATACAGAGCTAGACCACACCTTTCGTCTAGTCCGCTACTTGTTTTGATATTTATTTAACGCAGCACTTGAATTTTATTTAGTCTGCAATATGGATTTAACATATTTCACTTACGTTAGGTGTCACAATTAAATCACACAAAAAATTAAATTATCTTTGTTTCTGGTTATTTTCTAATGACCCAGGAAGGCCAGGAAACACTTACACGGCATCAGCAAAACTTAATATGATTTTCTGAGTAAATATTCCTTTAAAATTTTAAATGTCCCATTATAAATAATAAATGATTAACCTTATTTTCCCTCATTAATAAGAATGTGTGAGAGTTTTTCTCTCTCAAAATTAGATTGGTTTCTGTTCCGCAGCCATATTTTCCTTATACATCAAGAAATCACAACAAAAGGATGCTACTTGAACAAAAAGAAATAGTATTCTTTACGTCTAACAATAAGTATTTTGATTTGATTTGGTTCAACATTTATCATGATTCGCCCCCCTCAAGGGCCCTGAGTCTGAGCACCACTGCGTTATCAACAAAATATCATTTATAAAATTTCCTTTGAAATGAAATTTATTTAGGGCCTGGTGATTTAGAGAGTTGACTAGAAACTCGAATCATAGAAAATAATGTATATGATTTTATTATTTATTCCTATATCCTGTTGTAACACTTACCAAAGTCAATGTTATTTTTACAAAAATTTATTTGCATCATGGAAGTGAAGAAAATGGCATTAGAGCTCGTGGGAAAAAAAATATTTCTAAAACAATTTTTTGACGAAGGAAAAGGCCGCTTTCTTCACTCCAGTAAAATTTTGTATATGATGAGAAATTTAAAAAGCTAATTATTTCTCCTCAAATTGACTAATAAATTTCATAAGTTTCCTTCAAAGCCTGTTGACTTTTGCGAGATTACGCCTAATTTTGTGTGAGTATGCAATCTGCTCACCAGCTCTGCACTGCAGGTTGTATAATAAAACATTTTTCAAATTCAATTTATTGCTTCTAAAAATTGTTTGTTTGTTTATTCATTGTTATTTGATTATTTAAAGGACTTCTTATTGACATAGTCAAATCAAGTCCTTATAACAATATAAACAGATTTTTGCGATTGTTGAAAGAAAATTGGAAATTTTGATCACCATTGTTGTAAAGACTTGATTTGACTATGTCAATAAGGAGTCCTTAAAATAATATTGATGTAAAAAACAATGTATTCTTTTCCATCAATTATTGAAATAAAGTAGAGCTAAAGATGACAAAATTTTACCAAATAAGAAATAAGTAGACCATTTTTCAGACATTTTCAAATTTTTGTTTTGGTAAGCCGTTCATATTCTAAAAATATACTGAGTCAGTTTTCAAATTTTGGCATTACTTCAGCATTTTTTTTTATTCCAGCTCAAAATCAAATTTGAAAACATTTCAGATAAGATCAAATCAGAGTTTGAGATTTATAGCCTATCCTATAACCTCATTGATTATGGATTTTTTTTTTAATAAATTGATTGCAAACAGTAAAGGGGCAAAATACGTACGTTGAACGATAGCCTTCCATATTTTTTTTTTTTAAATTTTAATTTTTTGCCCAAAAGAAAAATTGCCTTGGTGAATTTAGCGAACATACCGAACCGAGCCCTGATTCCGTCCAAAGAAGTCCTCGGTCCTCATCTAGGTGGTCATAAAATGATCACTTTCATTTTGGATAATTTCGGAAAACTATCATATTAAAAAATAATAGAAGTTCTAAATACTATTATCACTAAATCACTATAATGTACTAATTGCATTCTGTATTCTGTGTTACTTTTACTTCACTAGTTCACTCCAAATACCCGGTTCGCTCGGTTCGCTGCTCCTTTTCAAATTTCAAATCGTCAGTCACTTGACGCTCATTGGCTCTCCGATTGGTTGGGGCTGCTCCAGCTGACAACGAACAATCGAGCATCTAACGTCAACAGAACGCACCCCACGTGCACCTGATGTAAGATACCAGGTCTTGGCTAATTTTAGGCAAAAAATGTGGAAAGTGTCGAAGCATCTGCGATTCGGTGCCAGCAAAAGTTTGGCTTTTATCAGGAATTCAAACCCGACACGAAATTGCAGTGGCCTTTCCTCGCCGGAGATTGAAATTCCATTCTCGAATGGGTCTGTTTTACATAACTCGTATAATTTTGTACTATAAATTATAATTTTTACAGCCGCACTATAAAAATATCTACCGGAAAATTGGCCAGGTTCACAGATGGTTGTGCCGTTGCCCAAATGGGTGACACGGCCGTCATGGTCACCGCCGTCTCTAGGAACAAAGCTTCCCCAGCCAACTTCACCCCACTGACCGTGGACTACCGGCAAAAAGCAGCCGCCGCGGGAAGAATTCCCACAAATTTTCTCCGGAGAGAACTTGGGCCTTCCGAAAAAGAAATCCTCACTAGTCGACTGATTGACCGTTCTGTCCGGCCACTTTTTCCTGAAGGTTTTTCCCGAAAATGATTTTATGCGTGTTTTATTAAAACAAAAAATTATTCAAAATTTCTAGGGTATAATTTTGAAACGCAACTTATGTGCAACTTGCTGGCCGTCGACAGTGTCAACGACCCAGACATTGTCAGCATCAACGCTGCTTCGGCTGCTCTGAGTCTGTCCGATATTCCTTGGAATGGACCTGTGGGGGCTGTAAGGGTGGGCCTTGCTGGGACCGAAGTGCTCATCAACCCCACAAGAAGGGAGCTTGCAGACAGCAGTTTGAATTTGATTGTCAGTGCCACAAAGCAAAACTTGGTAGTCATGTTGGAAGCAGCAGCAGATAATGTTCTGATCACAGTGAGTGCCTTAGCAAATATAATAATTACTGGTTGTTACAGAAAAAAATAAAAGTCAATGATCATAATTTGTCAAATTAAATATGGTTAGCTTTCTTCAAATTATGAAAAGTCAATCTTCACCTAGCTTAAAAAATCCAATACTTTTATTTTATGCATTCTCTACAATTTTCACGCTTTGATTGACTATCATTGTGAATTATGCATTGTGTAACAGTGATAAATTATTTACATTACTTCTCAATTATTTTAATTAAAAATAATTTTCAATTCAATATTGATTTCAGGAATTTCAAAAAGCTGTGAGAGCAGGAGTGAAAGAAATTTACAACATAGTGCTTGGCATCCAAAGACTGACCAAGGTGTACGGAAAGATCAAAAGAAATTTAGAGCCTGCGACACCCGTTCCAAGTGAAATATGGGAGGCTGTGAGAAGCTTGAGTGAGATGCGTTTGAGGGAAATCCTCCGAGATAGTACACACGACAAGTTGTCCAGAGACGAGGCTGTTGCTCAGCTAAGAACTGATGTCATCGAGAAGGTGGTGGATGATAGTGCAAATTACAATTTTGCAGTGGACTCTTTTAACAAAGTTTTTAAAGAAACCTTCCGATCACTCATATTCGAGGAAAATACCAGGCAAGATGATGCGGAAGTGTCTTAATTTTTATCCATTATTTCATTTGTTTAATGAAATGAGAAAAGGATTAAAGAATATCACAATTTGTATTTAAAAGCATTAATTATAAGTGACTATTTTCATAGGTGCGATGGACGGAGTTTAACCCAGATTAGGCCAATTTCAACACAAGTTGATTTGTACAAACCTCTGCATGGCTCAGCACTGTTCCAACGAGGCCAAACTCAGGTTTTCTGCACAGTGGCCCTTGATTCACCAGATTCTGCCATGCGTCTCGACCCTGTTTCGATACTTACTAGGTAAATTTCATCAAAATATTTATAAAAAAAATCACTGTTTTTCTGACAATTAGTGGTGTGAAGGAGAAAAACTTTTTCCTACATTATGAGTTTCCACCATATGCAACAAAGGAAATTGGCAAATCAGGAGCAGCTGGGAGGAGAGAAATGGGCCACGGAGCTCTTGCTGAAAAGGGCCTACGACCAGTTGTGCCTAAAGATTTCCAGTTTACAATAAGACTGACTTCAGAAGTGCTTGAGTCAAATGGTTCGTCTTCAATGGCGTCTGTGTGTGGTGGCAGCATGGCCCTGATGGACGCAGGAGTGCCAATTTCCAGTGCAGCGGCCGGAGTGGCCATTGGACTGGTCACCCGCTACAAAGAAGGAGACACAAAGCACATGGAGGATTACAGAATTCTCACAGACATTCTTGTTTGTTGTATTTTTTATTTATTAGCAACTAGCTTATTCTTCATTAACAGGGAATCGAGGATTATTTGGGTGATATGGACTTCAAACTAGCTGGCACCAAAAAAGGTATCACTGCTCTGCAGGCAGATGTTAAGATTCCAGGATTGCCACTGAAAATTGTGATGGAGGCATTGCAACAGGGTGCAGAAGCAAAAAGTAGAATCATAGATATCATGGATGAGACTATTAAGAAACCAAGGTAAAAACTGGAAAATTATTATGAAATTTAAATTTTGACGCATCTCTGCAGAAAGCACAAGGACAACTGGCCAGTGTCGGAGAGGATAGAAGTTCCCCCTCACAAAAGATCAAAGTTTCTTGGCTTAGGTGGGTCCAATCTGAAGAAACTGACTGCAGAAACAGGAGTGCAAGTCAGCCAACTGGAAGACAATATCTTCCTCTTTTTTGGCCCCAACCAAAGTGCCTTAGACGAGGCCAAAGAGTTCATGGAGAAACAAACTGAAGCACCCAGGGAGCCAGAACTGGAATTTGGTGCCATTTACACTGCAAAGATTGTGGAGCTTCGAGAAATTGGTGTCATGGTAACGCTGTATCCTGGCATGATCCCAACTCTGTTGCACAATTCTCAGCTCGATCAGAGAAAAGTATAAATTATTAGAAAAAGGTGCTGAATTTTCTTATCACGAAAAAATTTTTAAGGTTTCTCATCCCACTGCGCTTGGTTTGGAGGAGGGCCAAGAAATCCAGGTCAAGTTTTTTGGAAGAGACCCTGTTTCTGGAATGATCAGATTATCAAGAAAAGTGTTGCAAGGACCAGCATCTGCAGCCATAAGAGATCTCAATAGGACTGGTAGCAAATAAGAGTGAATGTGCTATAGAAATCATGAAATGATTCAGTTGTACATATATTTTATGTAATGAAATATTTTTTAAGGCCTAAATTTAAAATAAATGTTTTTGTTGATATTCCCTTGAGCACAAACTGCTTAGCTTCACATCAGTTAAAATTTATGTTTTAGAAACATAACAAACTGAAAGCTGATGATCAAAAATGGTAGGTTAAAAATACAAGACGTATTAGTAGCCTAAAGAAATTTGAATATCATTATTTTTATTTTTTACATAATTGTATAAAATATTAGATAAGTTACTTCTCTCAAAATATTGCGTGCAGTGTGTAGTCCTTGGCGGCTCAAAATTAAAAGAGCACACCTTGCAATCAAAATAAAACAGACAATAATCTTTGTCACTTTTGTCTTTGTCAGTCAGTAAAAATAAGTAATCTAGATATTAATGTATGTGTAAACAAAAGATGATATTCTTTTGCAAAATGCAAAGATTTTATTTGCCTTCAATTTTAAAGCATTCTTTTTAGAAATAGCACATTTTAATTCCTTTAGCCGAGCCTGGATCTTTGTGCACTCGTCGGTGCTTTTTGCCTCTGGAGTGAATACACCACAGCACTAGTGCTGCCAAAAGTTTCTTCAAGGGGCCACCCATTCCAAATAAAAGTGATCATACTATTAAATTTTTTTCTTTCCAATTCTAATTTATTTTATTTATTTATTTTTCAAAAAAGTCAACATATAGCTGATGAGATCAACAATATTAGGTTAAAATTACAAGACGTATAAGCCATATGAATTTTTTATATCATAATTTTTATTTTTTACATAATTGTATACAATATACTTCTTTCAGATATACATAGTGGAGGCGTTGGTGGCCCAAAATTATAAGAATAAATTGCAATCAAAATAAAACTTAATAGACAATATCTTTTGTCAGTCAGTAAAAACAAAATCTAAATATATATAATGTAAACAAAAACAAAGAATGATATTTTCTAAAAATGCAAATATTGAATTTACCTTCCATTTCAAAAGCATTATTTTTGCAAATTACACAATATTTAATTCTTTAGTTATTGATTGATAAAAATAAAAGAAAAAAATGACACATTAAATTCAATTATTCTAATTTGCAGCATATCACGAAGGTGTGAAAAAGGACATTGTGTGTACTTGCCTTGTTGGTGCAACACACCAAAGACGCAATTTTTTGGGAAAAATTTTCGGCACCCACGTCTGCATTCCCATGGCAACTATCTAAATTTCTTTTTCTACGCATTTGTGATACATTGTGAATTTAGAATTTTACAGAATTTAATGTGTAATTCTTTTTTATAAATTTATACTCCTTCCAAAACGGAAAAAAATGTATATCGTAAATATTTAATTATTGAACTGAATATAGACAAAGTTTTGTTGTGCCAAATAAGGACATTCACAGCTAGTTTGCTTGAAGGTTAATTAAATTCCAATTGAAGTACAGATCATTGCAATTCAGAGTCCTTCACTTCTTAATTTCAGGACAAACTAACCAAATAACCAATATCAATTAACATCACAATTTTAGATCAGAGGTTTTGACAAAACCGCTAGTCAGAGTCACTCGAGTCTTCACTGCTGCTGTTCGTTCTGCGCCGGTACTCCCTTTTGTTTGGCTTCCTCTCACTTTTCTTGAACTTAATATCTGATGAGTTGGCGTGGGAACTGCTGCTGCTTCCGTTCAGTTCCACCCCACTGTCCTGCTGCAACTTTCCCCTGCTTGGGCACACAGCATCGTCACTCTCTGAGCTTGAGTCACTTTCACTGTCCGAGCCTTCTTTGGAAACTTTTTTCACCCTCTTTGGCAGCTCCTCCTCATCAGAACTCTCAACCACTCTATTTCTGCGTTTGGTCTTTGCCTTTTTGCTTTGACAAAAGCAACGTCTCTTGCCATTCACAGTACTGCCGGATGAAGTGGACGGACCAGCCACGGAATCAGGGTTAACAGTTCTGTTTGAAGAAGTCTGCACTGGGGGCGGAGAGACAGGAGTAGTTTGTGTTGAGGTAGTTTGTCGCTTGGCCTGATGATTGCGGCTTCGCATTAACATTTTGCGCTTTCGGGCGATCATTAGGGCAATTCTGTTGTTAGTTTCATCAAACTCGCCTGATTGTCAAGAGAAGCAAATTAGCAACAATATTTGTGAAGTAAAAAAAAGGACTTCGCCTAATTGTGACTTAAATAGAAAATAAATTGTATAATTAAGGAAAAGCCCGTTTTTTTTATGAATATCTCCCTTAGTGCCACTTAGTGCTAACCGCTAACTACTTTACTCAAACATTTGGGAATCTTCAAGCTATAGTTTCAGTTACCATTTCCATTGCCTCTTAGGATGGCACTCATCTGCCTCCTTCTAATTCTCCTTCGATATCCCATAAGATAGACATCATAGTCCTCTGAAAAATAAAATCTATTATGTTTAAAATTGTTTGAGTAATGCCTTTCAAAAATATGTCCCTCGCTTCGGAATTGGGATTTTTCTTATTTTAATATTTAAATCTTCTACTCTCATTATGCTGCATTAAAATTAAGAATTTGAACATAAAAATCCTACCATGAATGATAAAATAATTTAACAAGAGTCATCATCAATATTTTATTTTCTATTAAAATTTCATTTTTATTTTCAAGCTTTTTTGTGCATTAAGGCGAGTTATAGTTTGTTATAGTATTATAGTCATACCAGATGATGAAGCTGTGGACTCGATGTCAGAGGAAAGTTTCTCTCCATCCTCATCTGTGCTCCATCCTTCCACCTCTCGTTGTACTAGTGAATCAAAGAAAGCCATCATCCTGGGATCTTCTTCTGTGTTTTGCTGACTGTAGTCATGTGACATAAACTGAAAAATTTGCAGTAATTAAGTTTCCAGCAATTTAAATATGATTCAACCAAATTAAATTATGTGCATTGAAACCAAGTGAAAAAATGTTATAATAAAAAATGAATATGAAATTCATAGATGTAAATTATATTTCTGTTATTATCTTCTTCACGAAGAATTTCTTTCAAAATTACCTGTCCACTTTGAAGTACCAAAGTAATATATTCTTCATGTGTGTACATCTTCCTTGGTTTCTTTTTAATTTGCAGCAAAGGATCATCACAGTTTCCAGGAAATCTCATTGGACTCCAAAGCTGCCAGTAAAGAATAATAAATTAAGATAAATTTGAACACTATTTACATTGGGGGGGAGGACACACCTTTATAATTTTCTCAACACCTGAAGAGGCAACCATGTTGTAGGCAGAATTGTACCTGACTTGGTTCACAATGGACCTGTGACCACTCAACACATAGTGAGCTTTTTTCACAGATATACCTATAAAAGACAATTTAGAATTTAAAAATGCCCCAGAAGTAAAGTGAATGAAGCCTTGTACCTTCTTGATTTTCTAACTGGGGCACTTTCCACATGTATAAGTTGAAGTCGTCGGACCCCGAGAGAACATACTCATCGTTGGGTCCTGCAAAGCAACAGCTTTTCATGGTGCAAGAGTTGTAGTAGCCCGGATTGTCAAACTCGACAACCGCTTTTGATGAGTGGGTCGGGTACATGAGGGCCTCCCTGCGTCTGCGCAGGCCGAGGAGGTATGAGCCCTTCTGATTGAAGCGCACGCTCATGTAGCTCTCGTTTTGACTTTCTCCATAACAGATCAAGTGCCTAATTTGCAACTTTGGTTATGAGAAACAGGTCTAATTAAAGAAAGAGGTATGACAGACTCTTTGGGTTTCCGGACATCGTAGAGACAGAGTCCTTGTTTGGCGTTTGCTGTGGCCACCAGTCTTGGTTCCATGGGGTTGAACATCACCCCGTGATACGCCCCTGTACTTGTTGCCAGCACTAAGGGATCTGCAACAGTAATGAAAAACTTATCTCAATCCCTAGGGAGAAATTTACTTGTAATATTTTAATAAATAGTTAATACTGAAATTCAAATATAAAAACGAATGAGCTCTCAAAATTAATCAGGCTGACCCCATAATTATTTAAATAAATATTAGATCAAAAATTATAGAAGTCATACAAAATACAAGAATTCTTGGTAAATGATTTTAATTATTCAATTTTAATTTGTTAAAACCTTCTAAAAATTCCAAACTTCACAAATAAAGGATTTTTTAACAGTATATTATTATTTTGATTGATATCAGCACCATTTTATATTTTAAAATTTGGAATGGTATAATATGTATTAAACTGCATTTCTCGATCACCCTCATTAGTTTGTTTTACCATTATCACTTGGCTCTCTCCTAATGTCATAAATAAGTACTCGACCATCATCACTGGCACTGCAAAAAACATTGTCGTTGCCTGGCTCAAGAGAAATGCAGTAAACAGGCTTATCGTGCAGGTAGTAGCGAAGGGGGCTTCCTCTATAGAAAAATATCAAGGTGCTTAATTTGAGACTTCAATGCTTGTGAAAAGAATATTACGTGTTCAAGTCGTGGATGATGACAGTCTCGTCATTTCCAGCAGAGAAGATTTTGCTGTTGTCACTGTTCAGGGTGAGGCAGAAGATGTTGCTGCCGTGCTCAGCTCGCATGGCCATTGGATTTACAGGTACTGGACGGTCATCAATTATGTCATCAACCTTCCAAGCCAAAACTCTCCTGTCGTCTCCACCTAAAATAATAGTATGTAAAAATCTTTTTAAATCATATTAAAATATTTTGATTTTTTTGAAACAAAAATGGCTTTTGTATGATTTTAATTAAAATTTATGTAACAAAAGAACACAGAGGCCAATAGAGTGGAAACTTCTTCATTTGCGAAATAAATACTTCAAAGTTGAAGTCGAACCTGAAACGAGCAATTTGCCATCGGTTGAAAACTCGATAGCGTTGACGCAACCATAGTGCGAGTACAGGTCCTTTCGGTGCCAAACCTTAGCCGCGTCGATTTTGTTCCTCAGAAGCTTTCGGGCCATCAAATCGGGCTCGGCGGACAGCGATCGGCCAAACATAAATGTGGCCGTGTTGGCCTCTCCTCTATGGTACATCATGTTTAATGGCTCGACGCCTTTCGTCGTGTGATTCGTCTGCACCCTGCGTTCACATGGACCCTGATTTCAAGGATTCAAAAATTTTCGAGTGTCGAATTCGTAAAAATAATGTTAATTCGATAGAGAAAAGACGACAGTCGACAATCAAGAGAAAAATGCAGATTCTCAAAACCTCAAAAGCATTGCCTCAAAAGCAAGAAGTCTCAAAAGCTTTTCAGTTTTTCACTTTTCGTGACCACACCCCCCTCCCGTGGCGCGGTGGCGGCAATCGGGCCAATCGGCAATGACATAAACAAACATTAACAAACCCAAACCCACAGACTGAAAGCTTCCTCTCCGAGTGGAGCGCAACGATGACAAGCTGGACCACCAAATCCAAAAATTTGTCCACGAGGCCCTTGGGCAGATCTGCTCCAATCAAAAGTGCCAAAGCCTGCAGATAGAGAGCATGCGGAGGTAGCCGACAAGTCCAACAATTCCCAGTCTACTTCTGGAACAGGACGACTGCCTCGTCCCAATCAGTTTGCTCCGTTTTTCAAGGTTGGCGGTGAATTTTATTCCATTTCAGACGTAAAACATTTTTGTGTGACGTAAATTGTAACCCATTTTGCCATGTGATTGTTTGTTTTTTCTAGGCTAGCCTTACCTCCAATCAATTTGAAAAACTTCAATATCGCAGCACAACCTGGACTATATACACAATCATGAAGGCTGTGAATAATGCCATGTCTCAGGTGAATTTCGTCAAGGTATATTCCCCAATAATCAATGAATTATTTTGTTATCCGCTTTGCCTAAATGACTATAATCTCGGGCTAATTTTTTTTAAACCAACTGAATTTTGATATGCCATAAAATGAAAATAGTTTGTATATTTATACTGATCTCTCTCAGGAAAAGGCTGCTTCTCTTGCCTCAAACCTTAATAACCCGCTTGAGAACACTGTTGCTGATCTGCTGAAGAGTACGTGCCAAGACTCGCCAGGGGCTTGGGCAAAAAGCGGAAGCAAGCCTTTGATAATTTCTCCAAAATGGCTTTTAAGAAGTTTATTAAAGACACGCAACAAAGCCCAATGGACAGGCTTTCCAAAAAGCAAATCAGTGCTATGTGGGCCTCTATCCCAAAGGACAAACAGTTGCTTTGGGCTGATGAGGAGGAGGTTAAAAAGCAGTAAATGAACCTGGAAGTTTGTTCATACAGTGAGTTTCATTAGTGGAGACTGAATGCAAAAAGCAATATTTTTATTTAGTAGAATTTTACATTTTCACTCTGAACACAGAAAATAGATAAGACCACAGACTGTCTGGATAAGAAAATCCTGTAAAATGTATCTCATATAGTCTAACTGACTGCTGGAAAAGTATAAGCTACTTTTATGATGTTCCTGAACTGAAAAATATCCAAAATACAAAAATTTTTATAATATTTAAAGAAGAAAAAATGGCACATTAAATTCAATTATTCTAATTTAATTTGCAACATGTCACAAAGGTGCGGAAAAGGATATTTTGATAGGTACCGTGTGTACTTACTCGTCTTGTTGTTGCAACACGAGGAGACGATAGTTTTTTTCCCTGAAATTAGAGGACCTTAATTTTCTTTAAGTTCTCTGTATTTTTAAAAAGCCATACATTCCATTACCTAATTTTTTTCCCCCAAAAAAACTATCGTCTCATCTTTCGTTTGTTGCAACAACAAGACGAGTAAGTACACACGGCACCTATCAAAATTTCCTTTTCCGCACCTCTGTGTGTATTGCGGATTCAATTAGAATAATTGAATTTAATGTGTCATTTTTTCATTTTTTTTTTATATTTTAAATTTTTTTTTCCTAAATAGAACAAATTTATGTTGCAAATTAAAAAGTCCTTCTTGAACTTGTCTTGGGCGCTGCGCTCGTCAGGTGAAATGCTGGCAAAAGGTGTCTGCACTGCTAGACTATCAAAAGTTGGATTTGACTTCTTGTCCTAAATACCCACAATTTTAAATTTTTTTTTTTTTTAATAAAATAAAAGTATTTTTACCATGGGGACTGAATCACGACTCTGGTTTGTAATAAGTCTCAGCAGAGTAGATTCGACTACCGCCTTGTCCAGATGCTCGGTGTCCTGGGCAGGTAAAATGATGTCGAAAGGTGTCTTAGTCACTCGATCATTTAAGTCAATTTCCATTTCGGAGCCAGTTTCATCCTTAAAGAGATTTATGTAAAAGATTTTGGGTTAAACAACTAAGGGACTCATTTTAAATTAATATTAAAGGTTCAGTGGTTTCGGGTCAAATTATCAGCGAAAAGATTCTCTCAAAATTTCTTTCACGGTACGATTCACTCTCAGAGCTATATAATATATTCTGGGCCCTAAACTTGTTTCGCCTGAAGGCCCTGAAGTGTGTACAAAATATGTGCATATAATTTCTGAAGAAACGGGTTGCTAATTATTGGGCCACAATTGTAATTTTGATAATTCTTCATATATATTACATATATAATTTTATATATATTTTTTTTGATAATGTGACCCAAAAAGGATACAGAGACTCATTTAAAAGCTAGATATTTTTTGCTAACAATATTATTTTAATTCCTATTATGACTATACCTCGAGTTTGAATTTTCCTGCCAAAAATTCTTCAAGAATTCTTGCCACCCTTTCTTCGCACTTGTCGATGCAGCTATCAGGCTACCTGCAAGTCGATGGTCCAGCATCAGCAGACGGTGATGTAGAGGTTTGAATTGCGAAGATTCCATTTTCTCATCCGGATCCAAGATCAACTTGCTCGACTGGATTCCCATCAAAAATTTCCAAGAACACTCGAGTCTATGAAATTTTTAAGAACTTGTTTACTACAATGCTATTTATGATTTAATTGTTGCGAAGAACTTTTTTTCAAAATGAATTTAACGGAAAAACATAGGGCGGATGCAAATTAAGTCTGATGTCTTGTTTATAAACGGTGGGCGTTACCGTTTCGTTTTCGAATCGTGTCTCGTTCTGATAAGCAAATTTCTCAAAATACTTTGATTAATCGTCCCTAAACGAATAGAAATTACACAATATTTCATCGTTAGGCCTTTTAGAGGGTGAAACGTATGTTTCCTCATATATTTTTGAAGCATTAATTTTTTTAACTGTATATGTAGCAATGTAGCAGTCGCCGCCTGAGGCCTGAAGGCGCGCGCAGCTCCAATTAAATTACCACCTAAAATTGCCATGTGTACCATAGTCTTCTAGCAAGAAGGAAAATTCTATTTGTTAATTTTATTTTTTATGGTAATGTTATAGTACGCGCGACGTGTTTTTTCATAGGTTGGCAACACTTATGCTCCCATGTAAAAGTATCACGTCGCGCGCTCTATACTGGAGACCTGACCCTAAGCCACGGTTTCTTCGACAAAAACCTGACCCCTTCTCACTGTGGTGCTGGACTGATCTCAAGCGATGGTCGCACTGCTGTGCTTTCAATGGTCGAGGAAGTTAAGGTAATTTTGTTTATTTAATATCAGATGTAAAAGATTTTTGTACAAAGTCGCTCTTGCGCTCTCGCTGTGCTCTGTAGAGCACGAGCAGAACAAATATTTTTATGGTGGGCAAGAGCGGGCGGAGAAAAAAACGAGAGCCGCAGTTTTTTGTGAATATTAAGTTTGTGTATAATTAAGGGTGACATATTTCCTTGCTCCTCAGTCAGCTGCTGCCTCCTTTCAAATGAGTGACAAAGTTCTCAAGGCTGAGCACAAGCCTAAGGAAATAGATGACTATATACACAGTGACCAGCCTTCAATGGAAGGACCATATTAAAGAGGCAATTATGGAGGCCCTTTGCAAAGCTGACCCCAGGACATCCCAGAATTTCTTGGACAAAAACCTGACCCCTTCTCACTCTGGCTCTTCGCTGGACTGATTTCAAGCCATCCTCTTGTCTCAACGTTTGGAGGTTTTTAGAGGTAATTTTATTTTATTTTTACATCAGATATGTTACACATTTTTGTACTAACAATAAGTCGCTCTTGCGCTCTCGCTGTGCTCTGTAGAGCACGAGCAGAGTAAATATTTTTATGGCGGGCAAGAGCGGCCGAAGCAAAAAACAATTATTGTTTTTTTTTTTTTTTTTAGTGAATTATTGTGTGTTCATCATTAAGGTTAACTTGTTCCTTTAGGCTTCGCAGACAAAGTCAATGCTAAGCAAAACCCAAGATATTTCCAAGCCAAGGATGGAGCCTTATCAGAATTAAGTCTGCTCTAGTAAGCATCGAGACGAAGAACACCATAAGTCAAATGATTCAGGAAGTGCTCTCAACATTGGCAAGTGAACAAGCCCTCGAGGATTCCAGTGAAGTGATGTCTGTTGTGGTAATTACCTTAATTAAAATTTATTATCTAAAATTTTGATCAAATTTATTTAAATTTCCCATGTGATCAAAATCATCTGTGTCATGTTTAGGCTAGCATTGCCTCTAACAAATTGGAAATATGTTGAATAAATCACACAACCTGGAGTCCAAAATTATGGAGGCTGTTAATAATATCATGTCCCTGGTTAATTTGGACAATGTTTAATATCATTCTCAAATATATGCGCAAATGAAATTATTTTATCCTCTTTGCCTTAATGATTTAAAAGTTAATGCTCTTCGTTAAATTATTTTATGTTAATTAGCAGATGTCTGTCAATAATCCAATTGAACTTTGGCAGATTCAAAATACTGATACTGTATTTAATTAAAATTGATAATGTTTCTTTAACTGAAAAATGTCAAAAATACTAAAAAAAAGGAAACACTACCTGAGCATGGAGTTTGGTTCAAATTTTCATATGTTAAGAAGCTAAAATAAATAAAAATACCTGAATTTACATTTAATTACTTTTTATTGATAACCTAGCTTTCCAAATATTTTTTCTTCACATAAAAACCATACTTAATGTTCCGTAGCTGATGATTGGAAGAAGGGCACTGATGATGAGATGATACACCCTGAGCAGTGAACAGTACAGTGTGTCCCTGTGTCCTACAGAATAATAGTTAGTAGCAGTAACACCCTACAAGTTGCAACTGGGGGTTGCTGTCAAAGTCTTTGCCTCTATTAAATTTATCCAAACTGAAAATATTAATTTAACTCTAGATCAAATAAAAAAGGAAGGTATGATTTAATTTCAATATAAACCAAAAATAAAAAATCACTCTTACTTTGTTATTTATATATAAAACTATAATACTATCCAGTATGCGAAAAATTTCCGACGATTTTACCGCGCAGCACCGCCCGTTCTAGTTAATGGAATGTATGGCCTTTGAACAGAACTTAAATATAATTAAGGTCCTCTAAATGGCACATGGAAAAGCGTGGATGAAATTGTTCATCTTTTGTCAGAATCGTTTTTGCCTTTGTGACTCAACAATTTTTGTTAGCATTGTAAAAGAGCCAGTAGCAACTTGCAAACTATGTTTTTTAGAAAATCAAGACAAAGAGCACCTATTCAGGTGCCCAAAATTAAAAGAAGATTTAAACGCGATACCTGAACATTGGAGCAGGATAGAAAAAGAAGCCTATCTTTATTGGATAGCCAGAAAGAAGAATGACTATATATATATTAAACCTCACAACCTCGGCATAAGAAAAATTTTTTGTTAGCATTATATATTTGTAGCTCTGAAGATGGACGAATGTGCAAAATTGAGTTCTATAAATAACAGCAAATTCAATTAACAGACCAAGATTTCTCAAACAAGCTTGATACAAAAATCGAGATTAATTGCAGAACTTTAGTTTTCGTCACTTTTCTTGGGCCACGACATTTTATTACATAATGAATGTGGACTAGTTACTGCAACCTTGGGCTTCGATCAGCAGATATTAGGTGAATGCTGTTTTTCTCACAGATATGTTCAACATCCAACACATCCAAGAGAAATAAAAAAATAAGTTGGTGTGAAAACTTTGCAATTGACCAATTTTTCTGCGGAACCAAATTGAAATTTATTTTACATTCTTTGCTGCATCTATGGCCATATAATATCATCTTATAAATAAAATCCAGTGGCAAGTATTCCAGAAAAAAAATTATTAACTGGAAATCACTGCAGATTCTAAAAGCTGACATCTCCATAGTCTGCATTCCACTTTTGGTAATGCACCAGACTCAAGGGGGAGACGCTCTTCCTGATTCTTTTCAGCGACTCGGTAAAATCTTTAAGGATGATATTCCTCATGAACCTAGGATCCATGCATCTCACTTGATCTGGGTCTAATTCTGGAAAAAATTTATAAATTAATACAAGAGTGTAAAAGATTGATCATTTTTAACTACCTCTAATTGGCCCAAGGGCAGCATCTTTAGCTAAAGCTGTGAGGTCACTGCCAGAGTAACCCTCAGTGAGATGAGCAAGTTGTGCAAGGTCTTGTTCTGAAAGAGGAGAACCTTGCTTTGCTAAAAGCCTTCCTAGAAGAGCCATGCGAGTCTCTGGCCCAGGAAGAGTCACATAAACTCGTTTCGAAAATCTCCTGCAGAATCAAAATAAAATATTTTTAACTTGGTATACATTTTAAATTACGATTTTGAAATGATTTAAAATTAAAATAATTTTAATTTTGTACAATATTAGGGCAGAGGTGTAAACATTAATAGCAGAAACATAAACTTGGAATTTCTCCATTTCTTCCATTAAAAAATTTGGAGCATAAACCATGCATATGAGAAACATAAAATATTGTTTTTTAGAAACATAGTGGGCTGCGCTTGCAGATTGTTGCGATCCTATCCTTGCGCTCACGCTCGCAGTCATAAGAGCACTGTGGTTGAAAATTTTGCACTCGCATTCTGCGCTCTTTTTTAAAATTTTCCAAATTCAATACACACAAAAACAAAGATTCCATTTTCCACTTAGTATTTCAAGTTTGCGACTAGTGTCTTGAACTGAGCAGCACCAAATGTAAAAAAAAGTTTAAAAATTTATAAATAACAAATTAACTATTCATCTGGCAAAAAAGGAGAACATTCCAGGGACTTTCTTTATATAATTAAAAAATTCTTGCTGTGGCAGAGAAACGAATAGCGCAAAATGATAAAATTGCGCTTGCGATCACTGAGTCATAAAAAAAGCTGCCCTCTTGCCCAAAATTATGAGAAAATAACATAACATCATATTTTTGTAATTGTTTATCCCTCTCGGGACAGGCACCAGCGGTAGCAGATCAGCTGGGATAGAACCCAGGGCCTCTAAGTTACGGGGGGGGGGGGGGGGGGTGGGTCTCTTACCTCAGTGCCGCCTCGTCTAACTCTTGAGGTCTGTTGGTAGCAGCCATGACCAGAACTTTGTCCTCAGTGCTTGAGGGCAGTCCGTCAAATTCAACAAGGAACTCCGTTTTCAGCCTCCTACTTGCTTCATGTTCTCCCTCTCTACGTTCTGACAGCAACGAGTCAACTTCGTCCACAAAAATAATCGAGGGCTACAATGAAAAGTTTTGCAAACAAATGTCCAAAAAGATAGTTATTTAATGCTATGGCAGTGCTTAAAGGTGGTCTGATACAGATTTTCAAAGTGCTTGTGGGATCTGGCCCTTTCATAAAATTCATACCTGCAGCTCTCTGGCGACAGCAAAAAGGGCTCTGACCAATTTTTCCCCTTCACCAACAAACTTTGAGGTCAAACTGGCAGCGCTGATGCTGAAGAAGGTGGCGCTGCACTCGGCAGCCACGGCTCTGGCCAGCAGAGTCTTGCCGTTGCCCGGCGGTCCAAACAAAAGGAGGCCTCGGGCAGGGGCTCTGAGGCCTGTGAAGAGTTCAGGGCGCAGAGCAGGCAGCACCACCATTTCCTGCAGGGCCTGCTTGGCCGAATCTTGACCAGCAATGTCATCCCACTCGACAGGAGGCCCGCCCTCCAGAATTTCGTCTAGAATTAGTTGAGCCAATTTCGGGTCCACACCTTTCAGGGATGTTTTCCTGGCAGCCGCTACTCGACCCGAGGCACCACTGCCTCCACTTGGACGACGGCCGGGCGAATGTGATGGGCCCTAGAATAATTTTGGATTTTGATGAAAACTTTCATAAATCTGAATACAATATATATATTTTTTTTTTAATTTTAAAAATCTCAGCAAAAACATAACTGAATATTAATTAACTGGATATTAATAATAATATTATTAAAATTATTATACTATTTTTCAGACACAATTTTGAAATAATTTTGGGCCATCGGTGTGGCTAAATTTTTATCAAATTTTCTCAGCAGCTAAAGCCACTGTAAAAAAATTATGAACTTTTGAGCATTACCGAAAGTTGTCTTTTCATAGGGGGTGGTGTTGAGTAAGGCTTGTGCTTGGTAGGTGCATTGTTTGTGCCAGCACCGTTGGTGTAGACGGGTTGACGAGATCCCAGATTGCGAGGCAGCGTGTTGCTTCTTGCAGCCATGCCTGGAATGTTTTTGCGCCCGGCCGCGTTCACCCTTCTTCCAGAAGCTGTTTGAGACGCACATAATTAGTACCAGAGTCCAACTCCAACACAGTTTATCACCTTCAGACATGCTTGTCTAGTGTTATTTTTAAATAACAAATTAGTTTAGAGTAAGAGCAATCTACTTTTTTAGTTACAAGTTTAAGAAGGAAAAAATAATGTTAGATGCAGAAGATCACCATAGTTGTAGCATTTTAAAAGATTAAACAGCAGGCATTGGGGTGGTGAGGACAGCAGACTCTCTCAAGGGTCCCTGTAAACTATATTATATTCTCCCAAAACTAGTGAATCAGAAATAATTATGTCATCAAGCATCTAAATAAATCAACTAGTTTGTGCAATAGTAGGGAATGAATAGAATAAAAAAAAATTATAGAGTATTTGTAAAAAAAAAAGCTATGAAAAATTAAGTGGGTAATATATTGCCATGTTTGCTAAAAATAGGGCTTGGAAACTATTCAATATGAAAATCTGCGTTATTGCGTGACAATGGTCTAACTTCCGCAAAAAAAGGGAGGCTGCTCACTATTTTTTATAGTTGAATGTCTATTTCCTCTGGGCACCCACACCCATGCAGAGTTCACGAGACCAACACTCACCAATTCAGCAAATTGCAATCCCTTGCTTGATAGCAAAACTAGAATTTAATCGTAAATGACAGAGGAAAAAGAGCAAGAGTTGTTGAGAGAGAACAGATTCGCCAACATGAAAGGGGGTTTTCTCAGTTAAGGTGCAATGCTCTGCCACACGAATGAACGACACACACCAGCACCAGCTCAACAAAATGTATACTGTGCAAACCAAAAGGTTAGTTACAGAAGCGCCAAGTGAAGAAGCCCATTGTAGATGCTGTGATAAATGAGAGTGTTGGTACTTGAGATTAATAGACAAGGGTTCATTAATTCATAAAGACGTCTTTTGTATGCATGCAGCAGAAAATCTGTCTATTTTTTTTTCAAGTAAATAAAATTCATATAATTTTTGAAAAAATTATTTACTGGCTTTGTGATTAAAGCACTTAAAGAAGTATTTAATTTTTTCCGCGTAAAATTTAAAAAAAAGTGAAACATTTTATTTTCATTCAATATTTTATGCTTCAACCCTTGCATATTTCTGTACTCAAATGTGGACTGCAACATGAAGAGGATAATACCTTCGGCAGGGGAACTGGGTTGCGACTTCAGGGGGGTGGGTCTGGCAGGAGGGGTGCGAGGTGACCTGGGCTCGGCTGCAATGCGGGTTGTTCCTGCAACCAGCAGCTGCTGAGGGGCCGAGGGCCTGCGAGGGAAAGAGGTGGGCCTTTTGAGGGGCTGCTTTCTTGAAGCAACAGCTTCCGGGTCGTCAGTCACAGCCAAGTGACCCAGCATAACTATTTGCTCTAAAAACAAAACAGTGCATGAGGAAGGGCGAGTGACTGGAGGAACCTAAATTGAGGCATCTCAAGATGTGAAGGACGCAGGCCGCTAAAAACCAGAGGGCTTTGGTCAAGGGGGCAATCACACTTTTCAGCTCACCGAGAAAGTCAAGGCGGTCTTTCGCCATCTCCAAGTTGGTCTTCATTTTGCTCTGCAGTCTCTGGGCGCGTTCCCAAACCTCGCCTTTGCCGGAACACTCGATCGCGATTCCTTTTTCCAGCTCGGCGATTCCTTTCTTGTAAAGCTCAACGGCCATTTCTTTCTGACCTAGAACAAAAATCAATAGCATTTTTTGAAAGTTCTGTTCAAAAATTTGAACGTTTGAAACAATTTATAATTTTATTATAAATTTTCAAAAATTATGTTTTTTTGTTCTAAATAAGAAGTATTGTGATAAAATAAACTGGAAGAATTTATTTAATAATAAATTTTCAGTCTAGGCTTCAATTTAGTAGGTCAATACATAAATTAAGATCATGAAGCAAATGTCGATAAATTTTTTTTCTTAAAAAATCCAAAATTTCATTATTTCGCAGATTTAGAAGGTTGCAGTCGCAAAGATCAAGAATCATATAAGATCTTAAATTTAAAAATAAACTGCACAACTGTTCAAATCAAATCATAATCAATGATTATTGACGATGATTTGCGTACCTTGAAGTAGAGTGGATTGAAATTAACATGTTAATTTGTGTAAGAAATTATGAACCAATTCAAACAACAAAATAATTTAAAGCAATTATAATTTATAATGCTATAATTCTCTGCGTCGTTCAGTCAAAAGTAGGTAATTGTGATCTTCCAAATTAGGTACAGCAGATGACAACAAATGCTGACCTCCGTCGTGTTTGCACTTTTCAGTCGCGCTCTGCAGCGCTCTGTGTGCACAAAACGGTGTGAGTGAGCTGAGCCTTCGGAGAGATCTCGAATGTCAGTGCAATTTGCGTTAATGAAAAAAAAAACTTTGCAAACACCAGTGTGATCGGCATTGTTTTCGTTCACACCGGTTCGAGGTAATAATTGAAAGTGGAGATTGCAACCACAGCTCTTTTACTTGATTTAAACCGCAGGGGGTATATCTGCTTTTGATTATAGTCTGATCAAATTACTTTTGTTTCTCATTTCAGCTGTTTATATCCGACATAAGCTTAAAACGCTTGGAACTAACAGATTGATCAGCATCAGAAATCCTGTGAAATAAATTAATCCTAAAATATTTCAATAAAGATATGTCAATAAACTTTCTTTGCAACTAAAGACCATTGTATTATTTTTAATCTGCATAGTTATTTTACTATTCTAAAGTTCAAGTGATTTATTTGCTCATTCTCTAGAAAAATTTAAAATTGATTAAATATGAAAAATTTAATTTAATTGTTTGAATTCCAGAATATTTTTTTAATTTAATGAATGCTACTATTTGAATACCAATTTAATAAAAATGTGAATTTAAGAAGAAAATACTTGGTGATGAAAGAGGATAATTAAATATTACTTAAAACTTACATCAGAAATGTAAGCAAATTATTGGAGAGATGGATAGTACGAACTTATTGTTAGATTAACTCTCCTCATGGCAATCATAAAACTTGATACAGACATGCAGGGGCGATTATTGTTCTTTTATTTACCCACCCCATCTATGATTTCAACTTTTCTGCGGTGGAACAAACAGCTCGGGTGCCGCGTGCTCGCGTGTTTCTGCACGATGGCTTGGATTACGAAGTCAAAAATCAATACAGCATTATATTATCGGCAGGCAGATGAAGTTTCTTGTTTCTACCCCGATCCACGCACCATAAAACAACGATGGTGCAAATGCGAGGCTATTTCCACCTTGCCCGGTAATTGAGCGCGAGTCATGCAAATTGAGATGAGGATAAATAAATTTGAGCGCCCAATGCAAGAAGTTTCAAGGACCGCAACGCGTGGGCCGCGAAAAGGAGGCCACGCGTCTCCGATCAGTTTCATTAAACATGAACTTGCGACTTCCACGACGTGGTTGCAAGTGTGCATGCAACTTTCATTTCATCTTTTAAAAATACGATTGAAAGGAAAGATTATAATTATTTTTTGAATAAGAAACATTACTTATTTTGTTTTGATGATTAATTTGCCAAAATCTATTATTATAGTTTCTTCCAACCCAATGATCTTTGAATTCTGAAATTAAAGACAGTAAAAAATTTTCATATTGATCATTAAAATCAATTAGTTAAAGAGTATCAAGATTATTGAAATTGAAACTATATTTAATTCTTTTTATCAAATACCGAAAATCTTTCATTCGCTCTCCTCTGCATTGTTTGAAATTATTCACAAGTACAAACATTTGTCGCTTTTGAACCGCAAGAAAGTTTTATATCCTTGTCACTTGAAAATCAATAAAGGGTCCTTTAGAAGGCAGTACTGACACGGCTGGAGTCACAGCGAGCGGCCAGGAGACTGTCAATATTTAAATGGGCATGAAGACACCCGTCCCTTATGGCGGGCGGCTGTGCTCCCTGCATAAACGGTGTTGCAATGCAATGTAGGTCAGACCCAAAATACTCAAGGGTGGATAGGGTGCCCCATTACCGTGTACAGTCACGCATATGAAAAAAGTTGAGTTAGAATCAAGGAAAAAATCCAGCTAAAACAAACTCCGATTTGAAATAGAGAAAATATAAAAAGTTTTTTCAAAGCAATGTGCGTGTTTTGATCTGGATTTGTGGTTTTATAAATCACTTTATCTCTTCAAATTTTTTAATGATTTTTTTTAATTTTGATGTAAATTGTAATTAGTGGAGAATAAATGACAATTTCAAGTAATAAAAATTGTAAAAAATTATTTATAAAATTTAAAAAGCATTAAATTTTTGAAGGTAGAGAATTATTTTAAAACTTGAAGAATTTTATTGCAAAGTTTTTTGTCAGAGCTAAAATAATTGTTCCTCGTACGAAAAACGCTGGTCAGATTGTTTCCTAATTCTTCTCTCCGTGGGTTTCCTTTCCTTGTACCCTGCTAACAAATTGCTTCATCCCTCTGCTGAAGAGACTCCATACTGTCCCAATTAGCAATTGCTCTGGTACGCATTTATTTTTCTCAGCCATTTGCGCTGCTGCAGTAATCCACTTAGCCGATTGAGTTACGACCAGCGTGAAAACCCCTCGGTTAGCCTTTTAGTCTGGCAGGGCTGACAAACAGGAAGGACGGGAAACAACTCGTGGAACGCGTCCAAAAATCCCTAATGGGTTGCGAAAAATAATTACTCAGACTTGGCGCTTGACGCGGACAGATTTGCAACCCTTGCGAAATTCTCTTCCCTTGTCTCTTATGGAATTTTATTCTCTGGACACCCTCATTAGCTTAATAATCCAGTTGGAGATCTGATAAAATAAATATAATTTATAGCCGGTTGGTTTCATCGATTCGGCTGCTCAAGAGGGAAAAAGTTTGCCGAGCAAAGTTCAAAGCAAACAAAGTTTCAATGGCACATCTGCATGAAAGCCGCCGATATTGATGATGCCCATACAATAAAAAGCATGATGCAGGCCAAGGTTTTATACCAAACTGACTTTGCTTGCTCATTTCATGCAGTTCACTTTCATTAAAAACTTTTGTAGAAATCATATTGAACATAAACTAGGAAAAACATAAACAATAAGTAATCAACTATAAAACCAGTTTGAGGATTTTAGATTTATCTAAATTATTTAACAAAAACTACTTGTTGATTTTGTATAATTTTAAATGGAATGTCTCTTTTCCTTATATTTGTAAAGATCCATAAAAATGGTTTGAATTGTGTGAAAAACTGTATTTTTTTTAAGCATTTTAACATTAATTTTTCAACTTCATATATCATGATATTTTTTTTAATAGTTGAGCACAAGTCACGCCGCCAGACCCATCAGTCAGCCGGACTTTTTTTCAGGTCGGGGTAAATGGGTCGTCGTCCTTGCCCTCGGCACGCAACCCCCGGCCAAGGGTGGTCGGCCGCGACTGGCTATTCTCAGAACGGCCTGTCTGCATTCCGGCGATTAAAAGTCTATTATTCGCATGCCTGTCTGTCGGCGCAACAAAAGAATGAAAGGTGCATGGAGACCGCGCGGTATGCCGACGGACGACCCGTGTGCAACAGCAAGCAATTGCGCCTCATTGCACCAGGGGGTTGAAAAGAGCAACATGGGTGGAGAAAGAAAGAAGTCACTTGGGCAATAAAATCCGCGGCACTGGCGCAATGAGCAAAAGATCAGCGCATCTGCGACCAGCAGCATTTTGTTGCCAAGGCGATTGTCAACCAGAAATTTAGTTGAAATTCATAATATTTGCAATAGAAAACGTTTAATGAGCATTATTAAAAATTTAGATACTTTCTTTTCGTCTCCATTAGTATTGTAGAAAATTTGGAAGGTGTTTCAAATTCAAACTTGTTTCCACACTCCTCTTGCTTATCTGTATGCAGTATTTTTTTATAAATAAAAAAGTGCCAAACTGAACTTTTAAAATTACAATTTTCCCTTTCTTGTATGCAAATAAAAATTTAAAAAAATATTATCATTCACATAACAATGTATTAAATTTTTTTTAAATTTTATTACAATCAGATTTATTACTAGTTTAAGAAACAAGCGCTAAAGCGCTTGCGTTAAACGCAAGCATTTTCGGAATGTTGTTGTGGGAATCCATTTTTAATTTTACTTTTTAATTTTAAATTTCAATTAAATCGGAGAAAAAGAAAAAAAATAAGGTTTAAAACGAGAAAAACGAGAAAAAAGGTAAAAATCAGCGTAAAGAATCAATTTGGAACACTCTATAGGCAATAAGTTGAATGGTGGAAGGTCAGGGAACGCGCGGGAAACCCGCGCGAGTCGAATCGGCCCGAAAGTTTCGAAATCGGCCAGAGTTTAGGCCGCCGAACCCTCTGTAGTAGTTAACGAAGCGTCGGCTTGGTGCAAAAAGGGCGGGAAACTACGGGGGGTAGTCGTCTCCAACGTAATCAAAACCCCCTCAAAGTTGGCATTGGAACACCCTACACAGGCGCCACAACCCGCGGGAACCTTCAAACCGCGCGGGAAACCCTCGGGAGAAAGTTATCTAGAATGTAATCAAAAAATCTCAGAGTCAGCATTGGAACACCCTGTAGTGGGCAGTCAACCCGGGGGCCTTGGGGAACCCGCGTGGACCCCTTGGTATGTAAACGCCTTGAAAACTTTCAAAAGATTTCAAAGTTTACTTTGGAACACCCTATACCGGGCAATTGCCCCTTATCGACTTGATTACCCATCGTAAGATCCGTGGTTTCAACGTACCCGCGAGCCCCGCATAAAATTCCCAAAGTTCATTTTGGAACACCCTGTACTGGATAATTACCCCTTATTTACTTGCACACCCTCGTGGTACCCTTATAAAAATGTCTCCTTCAAAGTAATTAAAAATCCTCAAAGTCAGCATTGGAACACCCTAGACCGGGCAATTAACCCTCCTTGACTTGCTTACCCATCGTAAGATCCTTGGTTTGAACGTACTTGCGAGCCCCACATAAAATTATCAAAGTTCATTTTGGAACACCCTGTACTGTTTAATTAGCCCTTATTTACTTGGACACCCTCGTGGAACCCTTAAGAAAATGTCTCCCTCAAAGTAATGAAAAATCCTCAAAGTCAGCATTGGAACACCGTAACGCTGTCAGCCCTTCCGCGTGAACTTGCGAAACGCGCGTGGAACCCTCGTGGTTGTATATCGCTTTGAAGTTTTTAAATTTTGTTATAGTTTGCTTTGAAACACCCTATACTGGATAACTATCCCTTATTTTCTTGCAGAAGCCGCGTGAATCCGTGGAGCACAATTTATTTGAAACCTCTCAAAAAGATTTTGAGGCCCATTTTGGAGCACCCTGTACCGTGTAATTATCCCTTATTAGCTTGGAAAACGCACGTGAAATCCTCGGTTGTAATTTATTTGAAACGCCTCCAAGAAATTTAAAAGTTTGTTTTGGAACACCCTATACTGGGCAACCTACCCTCACGAACCTTGAAACCCCACGCAAGCCCCTCGATGTTAATGTACTTGAAAGCCTTTATAAATTTAGATGATATGCTTTGGAGCACCCTGTACTGGGCAATTGACCCCTTAGCACTTGCAAAACCGGCAAGAAAGTGTTGGGCATCATATTTTTTTTGCCCATAAAAAATTTCCCATTTGAACTTTGGAACACCCTACAATGGGTCATAATCCTTAATTTACATATGTAATGCCCACGAATTGTACATCGTAATTTATTTGAAAATTTTTTTTTTTTAAATTTTAATAGTTAGCCTTGGAGCACCCTGTAGCAGCATCCTAGCGCGTGTGATTTTAACCCGCGGGAAACACGCGCGCGTCTTTGCCGCGACCGCGGGAAAGACGTCCGTGCCATATGGAATGAAAGTAGTAAAAAATTCCCAAATTTAATTTTGGATCACCCCTTGGTGGTTAGAAAAGGCGCGTGCAATTGTGTTACACGCGGGAATAAATTTTTTGCATATTTTTTTTCAATTTAAATGCAAATCACTAGAAATGTGCTTTGAAAATTTTGTAACATAAAATTAACACGGGCGCATTGGTGAAAGCAGCGGAAAGTTCACCGTGTCAATTTTTTTTTAAATTCTTCTGATTCTTACTCTTTATGTATTTTACAACCGCAATCGACCTTAATTGGCCGCGGGTTATGAATTTCGGCTCGGGGGCCACTGGGAGGCCGCCTTGGGCCCGCGGCGATCATTACGTCTCGTCTGAAGCAAAAGCGCGTGTTAAATCCCATAAGGAAAAAATTGTGCCGAATAATCGGCAATTCGGCCGCGGCGGGCTTGGGAGCCCCCTAGAAAAATCGGCCCAAAAATCAGCTTCATTTTGCTTTTTAAAAATTGAAAATCCGTCATGTAGAACGGCCGCGGCGGCCTCGCGCGTTTGCTTTTTCCCCCCATAAGAATAACACAGGCCGCGAGTTAGCGAAGCGACGGACGAAACTCGGAGGCGCCGCGTGTTAATAAAATTCGCCGGAACCCCGCGATCTATGCTTATTCCATCGGCGGCCGGCCGAATTTGGCCGCGGGTGACGAATTTCGGCCGTGGGACCGCCGGTGGGCCGCCGTGGGCCCGCCTCGAGCGACCCGATTCGCGTCGAGCGAAATCGCATGCTAAATGCCATAAGAAAATAATTTTGCCGAAAAATCGGCAATTCGGCCGCGGCGGGGCCGGGCGACCCCTGGAAAAATCGGCCCAAAAATTAGCTTCATTTTGGTGTGCGAAAAACGAAAATCGGACCACGGGAACGGCCGCCGGCGTCTGCTTGTCCGTTCTCCCATAAGATAATCATTGGAAGGTGGTTTTTCAGAAATTTCAAAACTAAACGCCGCATTCGCTATGGGAATGCGACCCAGGGTCCTATGGTGATTCGGACGCGTCTCGCAAAGGCGCACAATTCCTGTTTTGCACTTTTTTCGATTTTTGACTTTTCGCAATGTAATTTCTCGAAAAAACCGGTTTTTTCACCCTTCGGGGTGCCGGTAAACCTGGGGAAAAAATCGCAAGGGTCGGTTCTACCCGGGAAAATGTAGGGCGCGTCAGGGTGCACCTGGGATTCGATCGGCTGTTCATGTCGATTTTTTTATGTCAGCCGTTTTCGCACTTGAATGCGGAAAAAATGCGATTTTTTGCGATTTTTCAGATTGACCCTGAATTTAAGGTGGGAAGGAGTGCCCCGAGCGAAAAACGGGTGACGACGTCAAATTAGCAAATTTAACGGAGAATCCAACCGTGCTAGCGGCAAATTCCTCGCTCGGGTAGGTACCGAGCAATAAAGCGCGAAAGACAAAAAGACGTGTTTGGGCCGCGCGGGCCCGGCGGGGCCTCGATCAAAAATCGGGCGAATACGGGTGGTCGAAATGGGGTTCCCTACCGGGTGATGCGGCGCTGCGCGGCAAAACAGTCGAGAAAGAAAAGTGCGACTTGGTATTATAGGGTTAGAATTTATTTCATAATTTTACCCCTCCCCCATTACCCCTTGACAATCAGTTATTGAGTCACCCTAGAAAAATGACTGCGATTGCTTGTGACAGATAAGGCTCACGCAAAGATTAGAGTTTTTCAAGACTAAAGCGGACTAAAGTTTAATACTGTTGGACACTATTAACACTTTATTATAAGCAACGAAAAGTATAAAATTTGATTTTGTTTTATTTATTTTTGCAGAATATTGCCAGTCATTTGAGATTTATCTGTCTCGGTGTGAAATGAATTGTTTTTATCCTTGAAATTTAAATTCTATTTCATTGTTCAATAGCCATTTTAAAATTTTTTAAAGTAAATGCCTGTAACTCAGAAAAAATGGTAAATACACAATTTCGAATTTTTTATTTAATCCTTTTGCGCAGAAATTCAAATTTTTATCGATCATCATTTGAAATTTGGGAGAAAAAATTTAATAAAAAAAGAGACGCAACATTTAGCAAACTAGTGACAGATTTAAAATTTAAATTAATTTAAATCTTTGTAGACTATATTTAATTCTAGGTGGAATAAAAGTGATTATAAAACTGGAAAGGTATTAATTCTGAGAACTCTTTTTTCCAAAATTGTCAGTATTTTTTTTTTTAATTTGAAAATTTTCATGTCGGTATGTAAGCGCAGTTGACGTCAAGCACCTCAAATCATGGCAATTTATGAATATAGATTTTATTCAAATAAGGCAAGAGCAGTGAATGAGTCATCAGAGTGAATTACCTTCGTTCTCCTCGTCGAACTTGAGCGCCTTGGAGATGTACTCAAAGGCCCGGCGGTGGTGGTGCTTCTGCTTGGCCAGCAGGGGGTCGCCAGGCCCTGGGCCCGAGGGCTGCTTGGGCAGCGACATGGCTGGGTACTCTTCAGGACTGTCGTCGTCCTGGTGGTCCCGAGGGATCACAACCTCGACCGGGGAGCCAGCGCGCGGCCTGTACACTATTCGCGAGGTGGATGAGTAGAGGTAGCCGAAGATGACGTACAACTGGTAGATGAGTGTCCGGAGGATGTTAAACAAAATAATAACGGGGAAAGAAACAAAATACAAGTTCTTTTTGTGGACCGAATCAGCAGGGTCCGAGCCGCGGGTCGCTTTCTCTTGGTCGTTCTTTTTTGACTTCTTGTTCGGTCGCGGACTGTTTTTGTTGTTGCGGTTCATGCGGTCGCCATCGCTCTGCACATGTGAAAGGTGAGTTATTAAGCGCTGGACGGTGTCCGGCATCGAAGACACTTACAAGTCGTGTGCGACTGCCTCATTTTTGCGCTGTTTACTTATCAAAATTTGAGCGAGAAACACCAACACCACTCTTGGTAGCGAGGACCAAGGGCGAGGACTGTCTGTGTTTGTGTGCGAGGGAAGGGAATGGGATGGGAAATGGGATGATTTCGGTTTCTGTTAAAATGGTTGTTTTTTATAAAAAATATCGGTTATTTAGTTTTATAACAACATACAATTTAGATGATTTTAGTTAAATTCATGCGTTTAAATGTACAAATATGTTATTTGTTTTGTATTTTATATCAAATTAGCAGATAGATTGTTACTGAAGAAAAATTTATGGTAATTTTTCACGTAATAGAAAATACATCAAAATTATGAAACCGGTTATTTGACAAAACCGACGATCGTTATTCCAAAACATTGAGGGAATGCTACAGTAATCTTGTGGTGCCACCTGCTTACCTGGTTTCGAACTAATTGAAACGTGAAATACATGAATGGAAAATAAACACAAAGGAAACAGCTGGGCAAGGACTTGACGTATAAGGTGGTGTTCTGCCGGATCGGCAAATTTTCAAAAGGGAATTCAATGGAAAATAGGTAAGTTTCTCGATTGAAAAAGTCATAAGTATTTCCACTATTTCCTTCTCTAAAAAAGCAAATGATTCGGCCTCACATTTTCATCTTCGATTAGGAAATTGTGCTTCTTTTGCACTGCATCCTTTTCTTCGGGTGCCGTGCTTATATTGATTTGTACGATCTGCAGACACCCACGTACACTTATCCACTTCGCTTTGTGCTACGACGGCATTGTTCAAGAACACTCGAGGCCGGAATTTTTTGCGAGAAAAACTAGCACACAAGTCCCAAAGGCTTTTTGTGTACAAAATTACTACATACATATTCTTGAATTATATTGTATTCAAATTTTGCAGTATAAAAATTCATCAAGGCGCGGTAGTTTGTACAGAATGTGAGCTGAAGGGCGACATCACCGTTGGCAAAAACACGGTCATCCATCCAAAGGCCATGGTCATCGCCGAAGCTGGCCCGATCATAATCGGCGAGAATAATTTGATCGAAGAGCAAGCGCAAATTATCAACCGGTAAAATCGACCTACTTTTAAAAATGGAGCTAGATTTATGACTGATTTTTTTACTACAGGCTGCCTCCCAACCAGGAAAATACAGGGAATGCGACTGTGATGATTATTGGAAATAACAATGTGTTTGAGGTAGACTGTTGCACAGAGGCACTCAAAATTGGTGACCAGAATGTGCTCGAGTCTAAATGTAAGTCCCTGGAACTGTGTACTTTAAATCCCAATTTTAATATCCTTCTTATTTTAAGGTCTTGTTGGGCGAAAAGTAGAGCTTACAAATGGCTGCATTGTTGGGGCACATTGCCGACTTGTAAGCGAGGAGTGTTTGCCTGAAAACACAGTAGTTTATGGAGACAACTGTAGTCGTCGTCAACAAGCTGATAGACCACCGGTACATTAATATATTTTTTATTATTATTTCTTAAGACTATAGTTAATATAAATTTCAGCCGCAAACTCTGCAAATTGATTTTCTGACCAAAGTGCTGCCAAATTATCATCATTTGTACAAGCCAAACATCAAGGAATAATGAAGTCGGCAGCTCCAACCACACCCATGCAATCACAAAACATGAAAGTGTTCTGCTAGACGACTGTAATCAATCTTTGAAAATGTAACACACTTGTTGCTGCCTACGTAATGAACGTAGAAATCTCACTTTAATAAGTGTTATTTTAAATTAATTTATTCCATGAACTGTAATATCTATTTCATTATTTCCAATTATTTATGTTCATTTTTAAGTCGTCACTACTTATCATTAAATAAAAGTATGTTGTCCCGTACAAGACGATATCGTTTTCTTATCTCATGACAAATCGTTATTTCGTCAATGCCTGCGGCTCACCAAAATTGATAACGCATTGTCAGTTTGCATTTATACATTGCCATTTGTGCATCTGACGACCTTATATCCAAAAGTACTTTTACAAAATGTATCTTAAATTAATATGTGTAGCAGTTTTGTGTGGACTTCAAATTGATCTCTCTTACGGTGAGTTTATTAAATTATTTTTTAATGAAGTTATGATAATGAATAACACACCTGGATTAATTTTGACAGTTCTTTTTGACTTAAGGTAATAATACTTATAAAATTGTCTTGATTTTTAAGGATTGAAGTGCTACTCTTGCACCCAATCTGGAGTTGACAATGACCGGAAATGTGAAACGAACCCAAAGTCAATTCAAAACTCGGCTATTAATTGCAACAAAAAGTACTGCGTAATTCGCAGAATCGAGTTTGTTGATCAGCCAAGTGAGATAAAATTAAATCATTCAAATTTCAAATCTAAAATATTTCTCTTTGCCTTAAACAGAAGGGCCCCTATTTTCTTTCTATCGCGGCTGTGAGCAGCGTCCTGACTTCATTAACACGGAGATAACTGATTCACAATTCAAAACTTATTACCGGGCCTGCACTACAAATTTGTGCAACGATGGAGACGGCCGAACTGGCAGTGGCAGCGGGGGTGGCATCAATAGTGACGGAAGTGATGGTGGAGGCGCGATTATGGTGCCAGGTATTGGCGAAAACGCATCTGCCAATATGGTCCCACTTGCTGGAATGTCTTTATTGGTTTTTATTTTCACCATTAAATATTTTCTGTGCTGAAATATATTGTTATAATGATATATTTATAGTAATGTTTCATTAAAATCAAGATATTTATTTTTATTTTAGATTAATTAATACACATGTAACACAAAGTTCCTGCAAATTTTTGTCCGGGACGAATATTGAATGAAATGATGAAAATTTACTAATTGTAAGTTCCCAATTTCTTTGCTTTTTACTTTTTTCAATGTGAACTCTCAGACAAGGAAAGCGGCGGCAAATTTGATCAAAATAGCGTAATAATAGTTCTACAATATAATCACCGTCATCTTGAGATAAAAACACACGAAGAGATCTCTCAACAGCAGGGTATTTAGGAGGCTGCTGTGCAGCGTGTCCGCGAAGCCCGCGGGGGCAAGGCAGGTCGTTCACTTTTCAACAGCTGATGGATGAAGACTCGCTGCGGAGGCTCTGCCTTTGCCGGTGCCTGCCTGCCCAACTACCTGTTGAGCACTTGTGCAGTCGCAACTCGGCCGCTCACACGACCGCAGCACCTGCAGCCCTAGTCAGAGGGAACACGAGGCGCTGCGCCCATCAGTATAAAGAAGTCCACCCACATGCTTGACTCTACACTCTGATCACCACAAGAAGAGCTTCAGCAGTCTTGGACTCATCCAGCCACTGACACTCAACTCTGCTGGACCCACGTGCTTTTTTTATTTGGTGAGAGCATATAATTAATCTACTGCTTTGTGCTTTGCAGTGTTTAGTTAATTTAAAAATGCTGAAAAATATTGTAAATTTAAAAAAAAAATCGGATCTAAATTGGTTAAAAATAATTACGCTATAAATTATTTTATGGTTAATACTTTAGCAGTGACGTTATTTTCTATTGTGGTTCACAGTCAGATTTATTCTTTCAGTTCATACAAATTGCACGACTTGAGACGTCCTCTGTCTTGAGCATTATGAAACATCATGTCACGTTTCATAAACACACGGGGCGCATAAAGGGTCAAAGATCCCTTGCGTTAGTTAAGACTGGCGAGCGAAAAACTCGTTTTCAAATTCAATCTGCTGGCTTTCCACTCTGGCGCGCGGCTAAATGAGCAAAATCATCGAGCTTTGATCATTTGCCTTGCTAGCGAGGGACGCGCGTGTAATTTCACTTGTAAGTTTATTAATACTCGTGTAAATAATTTGCACTGACATGAGTATCGGCTGACATTCCACAAATATATATGCATCTTTGAGTAAATATTTTTTGTGATGGGAAGGGAATCGGCGCGTCGATCTTGAACTTGCACTTGAGAAGAGCTCTCTTTGAGGAGGTATGCGGAGAGAGGCCTATTTATTTTATATTATTCGCGCACACATAAGAGAGCACCGGTATATTTGTCTTTTACTGACCTCCTTTCAACCTGTGACCACAGCAGCGCATTGGGAATGAGTCACTCGGGAAAGCAGGTATCTCACATACATACAATCGTGTTGTTGCGGGGATAATTCGATGCTATAACGCTCAGCCGTTCATTTTTGGCAGCAGGTTAATCTCACAAAGGCGGAGATGGACTGGAAGTTTTGAAATCGCGAGAAAAAAAAGTGTGTCTGTTGCGATTTGCGGTCTCAGAGGAAAATCTCTGCATGTCCGTTTTTTCATGCCTTTTGAGATTATAAGCTGACCTCCTTGTGCATCGCGTTATCCATTAGTATAATTAAGGTTGTTTTGCAAGTATGTGTGCATACATTTGAGATTGGTTTTATGGCAGCACTGCTCACAGCTATATAGAAAATGAGAGCAGAAATGATGAGAAGTGCATCTGTTTTTAACAAGAACAACATGAATCGGTAATAAATTTTCATTTGGTCTTTTATAAAGAAAATAAATTTCATATAGAGTATAATTAAAAATTTCACTCCAATATATCTAAAGATTGATTGATTTTGAACCAAATTCTTCAGGTTGAAAAAAAACCACAATAAACTTTCCAGTTTTCACGGATGATCGCTAATGTACAGTGTAGATCTAAAAAGAAACAAAATTATTTTGCAAAGCATGCAGCATCTAAGTTGTTTCTTTGTGTGTCTAATAATAGGATAGAATAATTTTATTTCCCTTTAAATCAGAACATTTAATTGATCTAAAAATAATGGAATTCCAGTAAACCAAATCTTGAATATGATTTAATTTATATTATGCTCTCATTCAAATCATTCCTAGCTTGAAGTCCCAGAGGAGAGAGCTGGATAAAAAATTAACTTGTCTTTAATTTTAAAATATTTCAGTAAAATTAAAAAAAAAAATCTGATACAGCTTTTTGGCTTTTTATTTCATTAAAATTATAGATGAAACATGACAGTCTTTGAAATAAAATATGAATAATTTTACTGAAAATGATTTTGTTGAAAATTGTTTTGATTTTAGAGCTCAAGCGTTTTCATATAAACGCTTTTTTACAAAAAATGTTTTTGATTTTCCTGTTAATTAATGTAGCTGTAATATTTATTTCATTAATTAAAATTCATATACTGCCAAATTTAGGGAAGTGGAGAATATTATTTAGAAAAAAAATACCGTGGGAATAAAATTATCGTCCAGCCGGCAAGTAAATTACTAGTGATTTTATTTTACTGCTCGATTTTTAAGTCTACATGAGCACGATTTGCTGGGGGATCACTTCTCGGAGAGTATTCATTTGAGCTCCGCTCTATACAGAGAAGTCCATAACGGGACCACTTTGCCGGCAAAGTGTACGCAAGCAAATGAGCGTAAGGCCGGACGAGGAAAGCGCTGAAGGCGAGCAACACACACAACCCTGTTCACAAAAAAGACTGATAATGAACGAGTTTTTCTTCGAGGTAGAACTAGGCATTATAGCGAAGATTTTTTGCACATGTTTGCATATTTTAGTTGCAAGTGTGTCGCTCTCATCAACAATGATTTTTTCGGGGCAAAAAGTGACGCGGCAATTAGTGCGCATTGTCTTGCAACTAGGCTACTGCAATCATTTGCGATGACGCTTTTTGCGCCTCTTCTCTTCGCGCGTCTGCCCCTTTGTGGTGGCAAATTTGACGCGCGGTGCTCCAAATCCAAAGCTGCGAAATGAATGGGAAAAACGTGCGGCGTCGCGCACACCAGATGGACAATTACGGTGCAATTTTCAAGCGATTTGCGGTCGGATTTGCACGCTTGGAGCTGCGGCGACTCACGATTTAAAGTGCATAGCAAAGCCTTGCAGCAGACAAAATCTGATCGCCATATTCTACCACGAAAAATCGCTTTGCCAAGGACGCGCCAAATTATGAGGAAAACTTTGCAAAAGCTGATTGTTTATTTTTCACGTAATAAATTTAATGCATATTTAGTGATTATTTATTATGCATATTTATGTGCATTAAGACATTTAACTTCAACGTTTTAATAATTGTAAAATTTTGCTAGTTAATTTAAAAATATATTTGAACCAAAAACAATATTTTTTAAATAATTTAAAAATGAAAAGCCTAAATAAGTAATTTTTAATTTTGAATATAATCCAGAGAATGAAATAGTTATACCATTTTCAAAAAGAAAATATATATTTTAATTTATTTTCTGACAAAGAGGGATTTTGAAAACGTAATTATTGCCAAGATTTCTAAATTTTTATTAAAATTCAAACTCTCTGAAACGAATTGTGACTAAAATAATTATTGAGCTTCAATTAAAAAAAAATTACTATGTCTGAAATAAGACACTTGCTTTGAGAGAATTGGGATTTCTAATTAACTTTCTTCAAAACCTTGGCATTCACATTTGTATCTATAATGTGGCTTTTCTTGCTCATATATAGTTTTGGATTCACTCTGATATCACAATGTTATTTTACGTATGTTTATTTATTTTCAGCCAAAAGTCATGATCATTCAATATGCACATCAATAAGTCACACTTTAATCTTTTTAGGTTTATTTATTTTTCTTTTAACACTCTTTAAAAAACGTTGTTCCCTCAGTTGAAAATAAAACGTTTGTCCTCTACACACTAGACTGCTGGAATAAGTGCAGTTCCGGTCCAGTTCTCCTTTTCGCCGCTGATGGAATTGCTCTCTCTGCTTTTTTTTCGTTTGACAGAAAGTGCCAAGCAACTTAATTGAATTAGCTGCGAATGTCAAGAACCATAGTTAGACACACGCAGACACGAGAGAGGCGAAAAGTGAGATGAACGGCCGCAGTTCACAAGGCAACGACCCGAAAATTAATATATTGTGTCTGCAAGCTGCACTTTTCGTTCAGGCAAGGTGTGTTGAACGGCGAAAGTGACATATGCCAGTTGGACCAGTTTTAAAGTTCGCCGGTTAGAATGCGAAATGATTTAATCTGGAAAAATTTGCGTTGAAAATCCTCATTTTCCTTCTCTATATCATTTGCAGAGAGAGAAAGCAGTTTGGTGTGTTTTTGTGATTATGATCATCTCATTCATTTATTGGTGAATAATCAAATGTCTCACTCAGTCAGACCACTGAGGGAACCCCTGCAATGTACTATTTTCTTTGGGAAATTCACAGAAGGCGTCAGGAGGCATTAAAATATCGCAAAAAATCTTTGAAGAAAAAATATCCCCTCTCCATTTTGGAGCTAATTCCCTAAAGTTTTGTAGAGCTTTTTTGGAATCAATCTTATAAAAGCGCTTAAAAATGAATATTTTAAAAATATATTAATTATTTTACTCCACTATATAGTTACAATTTTTATCATGAATTTTATATTTCCAGAATATGATTTAAATTCTGTAAAATTCTTCACATTTAATTTTTTATAGTCTAATTTAAATATAATTACAATTTACAACAGCTGTTAGATTTTTAATTAAAACTATGTTAATTTTATTCATTTCCGACTTTTCTCACGCCTTGAATCTTACAATTCATGAAATGGCAACGACATTCATCTATTATATTATTCTTTACTACAAACATGCTTCCTTTCCTTGTAAATTGAGCTCGATTTTATTTTTTGAAGTCGCGTCGATGGTGGATACAGTTATTGATTGCTGCTCATTATCCTCTGACCGCTACATCGCCAACGTCCACGCCAAGCGTGTATTGCAGAAGCAAGCCGAGAGCCGAGATAATTGAAAATTGTCAGAGGCGCATAATGCCCTCTTGTCACGTGTTATTTTCCTTCTCTTGCAAATTAAAAAGCATTTTCTTATCATTAATTTTCGTATGACTATAACATCCGTCTGGCCAAATTAATTCCATAAAAACTGTTGGTAAGCGCGTGAGAGGAGATGGATATAATTTAGCAATTACATACACTTCTTGCAGCGCTTGTCATCGGAAACATTTCTTCTTTTCGCTTTAATTAAGTGCGTCACACTTCGTCTTTGGTGCGACTTTGATGCTGAGTGTTAGCGCGTTTCCTATATTGCGAGAAAAGGAATTTATTGCCGCGGCGTTAGTCAGCAGGAAGGAAGGAAGATGCATATTTGGGGAAACAGCAGTCGCGGTTCAAAAAGAGCCGCCGCGTGATTATAAATGAGGCCAAACCACATCAAAAACCTCCGAACTTATTATAATTTCCCATGTTTAAAAGTAAAATGATTGGCATTCTACACTGACGGGGCACATTAGAGTAAAAAATTTATGTATGGGGAAAGAACGCACGCTTGATGAGGCTTTTTTAAATGTGAATTGCACTATATTGAGTTGGAAATAAAAGTTTTATTTAATGGAATTATGATAAGTTTTTCACACATGAGGAAACAAAACAATCTTTAAGCATTCTTTTGAATACCTGGAATTGTCATGCATTCAGTTTTAACAAATTTTTTATTTTTATAAATAAAAATATGTTTCTAAAATAATTGAAATTTTATGAAGGTTGAATATTTAATTAAAAAAAATCCGATTTAACTAGAAATTTATTTTCATTTCAATCTTTTTTTGCATTAAAAAGACTGGCACACCTGTATTACTTTTCTCGCGCGTTTCATGACTTTCCCTAGATACAACTTACAATTAGAGTCGGCGAGAGGAAAACGAACTTTTGATGACTCAAAGCTTCCTTTGGGAGAGTTAAAGGCTTTAGCATCCGCGCCACGTTGACCTGAACGAAGGTGAAATGAAATTCGCCTGAGAGCGGGCGGGAGATGGAAATTGTGTGAGAAAAATCGGCCGGCGCATCAAATTTTTATCTTTCTCGCGCCGTGCGGCTGCAATCGAAAATAAGGTGCAATGACTCTGGCGAATAGCACCGCGCAAATACACACACCAGCAGCACATTGTTCTCCTAGCCGTTTATACACCAAGGTATATATACACTTTTTTAGACGCTGTAAAAAAAGATCAACGTTCGCGTCCTTGAGACCTTGGCATTGTCCGTGCCGCCGGCAGAAAATATACACCCTCGCGCTTCACTGCATTTCTTCTAAACCGATATAGTTAGCTCCGGCGGCAGCTTACGCGTCACTTTTTTCAAAGGAAAATCGCACCTGAGTGAGCGAGCGACCACCTTTGAGGGGCTTCTCTCCTTTTCGGCCGCATTCCTCTCTCGCGCACCACCCTGATGCAAATAATGAACCTGCCAAGGTTGCGAGTTTCGGGTTCCGAAGCCGCAAGATTTGCATTCACTTGCAATCCGCATAGGTCATCTGTATAATGGAGTTCGACTCCAATTTGTGGTTAGAGTAAAAATAATCTAAAATTTAATATCTGATCTCTCTATAGGCATGAAAATTTTGTGGCCACGACCTTTTTAAGTAAATTTATTTATTCTTTGATGAGTCAAATTCATTGTGGATGATTCAAAATTCTCAGTTGACCCTTTTTTAATTAAAAGTAAATGGAATGTAATAACTATTTATTTATTGAATTATTTGAGCCTGCTGAATTACTTTGCTCAAGTTTGCTCAAAAGTAAAAAGATTTTTTTTATATAATTGGCAATAGTACCGGACAAAATAATTTAATTGTTACACTAACAGCAAATAACAAAGAAAAGATTTTTGCTTGAAACTTCGTTAGGAAAAAATGTGCTCAGTTGTGTGATTCAAAGTATAGTAAAAAAGCTACCCCAAATTGATTTTGTTTCTGGAAAAGATCAGCCCTAAGGCAGCATTTAAAAATTATCATAGCCGCGACGAGGCTTGTTTAAAAGTCCCCCACTCTCTCTCCATGTCGTACTGTATACCTGCTGCACTGCTGCTCGCAGTCAGCAGCGATTACCTGGGGTTCATAGAGCGGCAGTCGCTTCCTCACGATGGACGAGTCATCACCTCCGTCCGTTCTGCTTGCAGACTGCACCATGACGGAGGAAGCCCCGCCGCCCAAGAGACGCGGCTCGCTGCTCTCCGCCTGGACTTTCGGCGCCGCGCTGCTGTTGGCGACGACGTCGATCGGCGCCGCGGGCTCACCCCTCGGACCTCCTCATCCTGCCGTGATGCCAGGTAAGGAAATTGCTACACTTGAATTCTGAAAACCACTTTTCAAATCGAATAAATTTAGATAGAAAACAAGGACTGGGTACTCACGGAGATATTCTGTAAATAAAAGTTAAAAGAGGTCTCCGAACTTGTTAAAAATATTTTTATTCCGCGGGAATAAAACTACATTTTTTTTTGCAATTTAAAAAAAATAGATTAGTATTAAATAATTTTGTATTAAAATATTCCATTGAGTAAACGCTCTGCTCAATTAATAACTTAAGATATTGAAAACTGTGAAAAGATATCATTTTTGGGATCATCGTTATACAAAAACGTTTGTACCCTGATTTTCACTCCATCAATACGTTTAACAATCGCCAATTTTTTTTTTTAGCTAGAAATTACAATTTTGTTTTGAAGTTTTGAATTTTTTGATAGAATTTAGGCCATTATAGAGTTGAAAAAATGAATATCCACTTAAAAAGTTGTACCAAAATAATAATGAAAAAAATTACGAATCCGTGTGAAATCCAGGTGATGCAATTGTGGCAATTATCTATTGTCCTCTTGGAAGTCTCACGAAATTATTTTGACGCACGCTTTGCGGCTTGGAAGGCTGACCCGCATTCATTTCACTCGCGATTCGCCGCCTCGCCGATTCATTTGAGCCTCCAAAGTGCGGTGAACCCACTCGGCTATTTACACTTCTCGCGTATTATTATAATGATACACACACTTCCCACTTTTGAGCAGTGTGAACGCACGGGCTGATTCGCTCACTCAAAAATTATCACATAAGGGTCCTAATCGACCAAATTAAAAACTCAGACACGCTCTATACCAAAACTTTATCATTTTTAAATTTGATCTCGCAAAATTTTTAATATTTACCATAAAAACAAAGAAATCAGCCCTAATAAAGCTACCGTAATCCAAAATCATGATTCAGCTGCACTGAATTATCATTCCGGATACTGCATAATTAAATTACATTCTGAATATCAATTACCCGACCCAAATCTTCCATTAGAAAGCCAGCCAGGACAATCGCGAAACTGGCGGATTCAGTTGTCAAACGCGCATTGGTGATGAATTGGCCAGCCGATCGCGGGGAATTCATAACAAACAAAATAGGATGTAGGTCTGTAGGTGTAAAGAGCAGGAAGAGTTGCGGTTGCAGGAGGGGCGGCGATTGATCTGCATGCGTCTCACATACACTCCGCAAGTACCGCCTTCGCTCGGCACGCGTTCCCTTTATATAAATTGAAATAATGCGACGTCGTCTTCATTTCTGGGTCACTGAGACACAGAACACAATTAAACATAGCCAAGCATTGTTATTTGAATGAAAAAAAAAACACCTGCAACTCTCACCCTTCTAGTTTTTATAATTCTGATCAGGCCTGTTTTATGCTCTATAAACCGTTTTAATTAAAAAACAATGGCATTTTCCCATTAAAATTGCTTCACGCATCATTTGTTTACCAATTACCAAAGGATGAGTAAGGTGGATGAGAACCGACGTTTTTTGTGACTGTCGTATATGATACATTGGGAAGACTCGGGTTAACCGAAGAAAAATTAGGTCGAGTGAGTTGCGGTCATTGACAATTGTGATATAAGGTGATTTTGTTATTTCAAAGAAAAGTTTCAAAATTTTATTTGCTGATGAATGCCAAATGCGGTTTGAAAATTATTTGACTCGGTTGAATTATTAAAATTCTTACATTTTGAAATAGGTATTTGATAAATTTTAATAATAATTAAATTTATAAACTGCACTTGAATTTTAATTTTTTTAATGTTTGCTTCTTAATATTTTTGCACTATAATTATGTTTTGTTTTAAACAATAAATTTATGCTTATTAAAAGGTTTCAAATAATTAAGATGAGCATGGAGCGGCAATCTCTTTAGGACTTCATTATCTATCAGCTTTTATGATCCGATACAAAGAGGAAACTAGCCTGCCCGTTTTATAATTCACGTTTTTCTCTCACATTCTTCATTCTCGGAGGTAATTATACAATCAGTAGGAAGACCGAAGATTGCGTCTCTCGGCTCCGATACACGTCAAGTAAAAAGGGCGCGTTTTCTGTATTAATAGAGAGAGGAAGGCTGGCATCTCTCGCGCTGAGACAATCCCGTTACCTCATACAGAAGTCGTGGGGATGCCACACCGGCACAACTCGCTAGGAAAAGCCTTTCTGCTCTAAAACTTTGCCGCTGTTGGCCTTGAACTGTGGCTGGTCGGCGAGCCAAGTGACGAACGACAGTAATTATCTTCTGAGGTACACTCTTTTCAAACGCAATTAACTTTTGCGTCAGTGCCTTGACAACTCCTGGCGCCAAATATCTAAATCAATCTTAATAAACCACCGTAGAGAAATTTGTTCAACTTTCCCATTTGGCACCACTTTGTAATTTGAATTTTTAACCTCCCTTTGTTGCCTCTGTTGCAACTTGCGCCACCGAAATTTTCATTTTTAAAGATTATTTTTACTTGCATTTAAAAAAAAAATATTATTTACGTTTGAAATTTTCTACAGTCTTTCTATTTACTTTCAAGGAAGTGAAGAACTTTTATTTTCAAAAATCACAATTTTATTTCATTACATTTTAAATTGAAATCGTTTGCTGAGCATTAAATACGAAGGTCTTTCAAAACATTGAGAATTTCAATTGTACCCTCCGGCGAATAAAATAAGCAATAATTCAACATGTGCGTCCTGCTGGGAAAAGGTAAATATTTGCACAACACTCTCTGTACAGCAACTGAGCGAAGTCGCTCAAATTTTTTATTTTTATCGTAAAGAAAATTTACCCAGCAACAACTCTATACACACAAAAGATATATCCCCTCATGAATATAATTATGAGACTTAAATTTATGCAATTTTTTGTTAGTAGCGAGTCTCTTAATAGATGCTGAGAAAAGCCACGCGGATGATGAATATTTTCTGTCCTTCAAATAATAATATTTTAAACCAGACTCTGCTCTTTTTGCGGTTTCCCAAATCGTGGGAGTTTTGCCGCTTTTTACTGTGTCTCTTTCACATCCCAAACGCAAACTTCCGTGAGAGAGCTGAACGACTGCATCAGTATAAATTTTCCCTCTATCTGGCGTTTTAATGAAATTAAAGTGTAGTTTTTATGGAATTCGTCATAGCGATTTCATCGTGCCGAGGTTGATGACATTTTCCGCATTTTTTCGTGAAACATTTCTCCGTAACGCGTTCGTCGCCGCTTCCAGTTAGTTTTATACACACCTACGTTTTATCAACTCATCTTGAAAAAAAATAACATATAACAGTTTTTGTATTTTAAACATAATAAAGAAATCAAAAATTGAATCTAAATATGCGTAAGGTGAAGAAATTAAAATTTAAAGCTTCTCCGCAATCAAAGACCCCTTTTCAATTCTGCTTACTGAAGTGAGAACCAAGAAAAGCCAACTCGTCACGAGAATGGCAGGCAGTTCAAAAGCTCACAGGGGGCCCAGCTCGTGAGAGTTCCAAGTAAAAGAGCTGCAGGCGGATTCAATTGATTATTGTTATTATTGTCAGCCTGCTGGAATGCGATTCAATGCGCGATGAAACGCAGCAGCAAACTCGCGAGCATTCGGCAGAAAAAGATATTGCAGTCCAGCACGGCAAACCCTCTGAATTTTTTTTCTAATTAACTTTCATTTAATATTTCACTGCACGGCACGCTTTTGCATATTATTTAAAAATCGATTAGTTTCTTTAATATTTGCAATTATAAAACATATTTCGTTCTTGTTTCTTTAAATGAAAAAAAAAATTTGTCTATAGCAATTTTTTGCAACCATAGAGAAAATACTGTTAAAATAAACTAAAATTTAAATAATCTGTTGCCAATATAATATATATGTATTTTTAATTTATTAGATTTAGTTACGTTTTTCCACTAGTATTATCAATCTCAATAAATTGATGGTTTTGTAATTATTTTAATTAAATCACTCACCTCTCTTTTATGAAAAAGTTGAATTTACTAATAACTAATAAAATATTAATATTCTGTCATCAATATGAGTGTGAGACTCAAAAGTACAGCTACATGAGAGCCAAGAAATTTTATTGCGTCGATCAAGTTGCCGAAATTATGTGAATAAATTCCCGCAGCTCCTGGGAGTGGGTGTGAACCGAAATGTGACCATTGGCAGAGGAGTGCGTGGAAAGAAGCTGGCCCGTGAGAATGGCTGCAGCATCATCCCAAAAGTTAACTGCGAAAGGCTCTCGCCGGTTAACGGATTAACGGCTCGCCTGTGAGAGTGATGCGCCTCATCTCACTCAGCCACAAAACGCCAGTACCCACTAATTAGTCATGATTTGATAATGAGAGGAAATGAGAAAGAAAAGAAGGCATGCTAATCGCGAGTGAGGTGCGGCATCAATCAGTTTTACGGGACCTGACAAAGGCGAGATGCACTCCTGTGTGAGTGGAAATTTGGAACAAGCGAATTGCTAAATTCTCCTATTAGTCGCAATAAAGAAAAAAAGGCGATCAGCTTTTATTAAAATAAATACAAAACTGGATTTTCTTTTTGCCTCCAGTGAGAAGTTGCTTTTTGTTTTAATTCTCACAAAGAAAAATAAATAGCCACCTCCAAAATGACAAATCAGGAAGTTGAATATATTTTGTTTCCTCATATTTTCTTTTAATCATTACTGAATTGATAGCTGCAGCATAATTCACATTGGAAGAGCATCAGGAGGAGTGATTCAGAGAGGAAAGTGAACCGGACTCGCGGAAAGGGAAATTTCTCTGGGAGTGCTTTTTTAAACAGCATTCTCGTTCATTCATATCTCTTCCTTTTTTGAAGTACGCACGTGCCAAAACGGATTTGCCAACTTTCTAACCGGGCGCTGAAAAAGCTTTAAAAATAAAATCATGAGCGGGCTCTGTTCGATTTTCGTGTGGCGTAGGTTGGGACAATCGAGTGTGTGTTATATTTACTTTTCCTGCACCTTGCCCTCTCGCAGAGGCGGCTCGCGTTTCTCCTTCATCTCACGCGTTGACTGACGGTCTAGGGCGAGGTCGCTGATGTCTTTCTTTTACACCCACTTTAACCTAGTGGCATACTGCCGGCAATGAGTCACTCTCGGGTCACTAGTCTTCGTCGACGGCTCCAGTTGGAATTTTCCTCCGACCGCTTTCTCTGAGAGGATAAAACTTTTACTCGCACCCTTGAGAACTTCTCTATTGAATAAAATATAAAATTATTATGTATAATAGCAATATGTGGACAGAAGAAATGGAGAGAATAGGTTGAAAGAAATTTTGTCAATTTTTCTTCGAGAGATTCTTTTTTTTTAACAATTGGGTTGTAAAATATACGCAAAATATTCAACACATTTTTTAATAAAGTTTAATTAATTGCAACTTGCAATGGATTTACTGCAATAAATTATTACAAGAGCCCCCATCAAGGATATTATATCTCTCGCAATAAATCGTATAGGTCGGGTTCGAAAATAACGTTTCTCTCTCTTGAGCTCATACGTTACGGTAAACCCCCATATGCTTGACGCAGGAAAAAAATATTTAACGCAGCCTCCAGCTTGACGTGAATACTTAATGTGTGCATTAACCAGCATCTTATAAATCTTATTAGTAGCAAAATAGGCGTGTAGAATGAAAAGAGCAGATTTCTATTGCTAAAATTAGTGTTTTTAATATTTGTTGAATCCATTTGGTTTCAGCAAGTCCCGCTATTAATATATAAGCTCCTGCGGCAATCAAATAGCAAAATGAATCGTTTTCCATTTCTCTGCTTTGATCCTAGAGCAATGACCACCTAGGTTAATAGCATTCCTTTCAGCGCGGAGAACTTTTTCTATATTAGGATTTTTTATGATAGTGATAAACTTTTTGTGATTTCTAAGTCAGGAGCATTTTTACATAAAACGTTTTTCAGTAATTTAAAAACAAAAAATGAAACTGTGGTTTTCTGTTTGTAAAAAAAAATTAGTTATTAGATTCCTTTGTCTCTTTTCCCCTTATTCTGCTTAATTTAATATGCTTTCAATCCAAAAGAATTTCACATTAATTTCCCCTTTGCTTCCAGGTAACTTCGCGAGAAACATTCGCAACCTGGAGTGCGTCTCCCGCAAGACTCAGGAAAAGGGCACATGCATGTTCGCACTATCCTGTCTTAAAATGAATGGCACGCATTTGGGTGTTTGCGTGGATCGCTTTTACTACGGCAGTTGCTGCAAACTGCCAGACTTGCAACAGGAAGTTGACCTCGGTGGTGGGGACACCAATGACATCACTTTGGTCGGCATCAAAAAGCCGGTGACCGCCGCCAGCGTAGCTGAAACCACTACCCCCATCCCCACCCAAAAACCCGTGACAACCCTCTCCACCACCCTCAAACCCCAAAAACCAGTGACCACAGCGACCACCCCCGTCAAGAAACCCGTCACTCCTGCTACTACTGCGGCCACTACTAAAAAGCCAGTGACCTCACCGAGCAAACCAGTGACAATTGCTGCAACCACAAAACCACCCCAAAAGCCCACCCCCACATCTCCTCCTAGAAAACCCGAGCCCACAACTGCCAAACCTTTAACCGCAAAACCCACCCCCGTGGCCCCAACCAAACCGACCACCATTGTTGCCAAGCCGACAACTGTGGTGACCAAACCAACCCCTGTAGCCACAAAACCAACGACCGCCGCCACCAAACCGCCTTCGAAACCACCCTCATTGGCCACTAAACCGACCACCGTCGCCTCAAAACCCACCGCCAGCACCGCAGCGACCAAACCACCCTCATTGGCCACAAAGCCCACGTCAAAACCCTCTTCGCCGGCCAAACCAACTCAGAAACCCCTGTCCAGTGCCAAACCGACCTCAGCGACCTCAAAACCGACCTCCCCTACGGTCAGCAATGAGGTCACCACCAGCAAGCCCGCGACTACCCCTGTGCCGAAACCGATTATTGAAGCTGTGGAGGAAGAGACAAATTCCGTATCCGGAAGTCAAAAACCGACCTCGGCCAGACCGACCCCTCCAACCTTCCCCTCATCGACGGTCACTGTCTCGAAGCCAGCACCCACTCAGAGACCAACGCCTCCCACATTCCCGTCTAGCTCTGCAAAGCCAACGGTGACCTTGACTCAAAAACCTTTGGTCACCATAACCGAGAAGCCTTCCGAGTCCACGACGAAGAGGCCAGCGGAGAAACCTCAAAATGTGACTGGTGAGTAGTTTAGAGTTTTCTAATCTCAAAGTTTTCTGATGGTTGAAAAACACGTCTTTGGATGAAAATAGGTGCTCTAAATCAATTTACCTTGGGGAAATTTTGGATCTTTTTATGCATCCCCAGCAGATAATAGATTAAAAATTAGTCACTCTATATCAGCTTTATTCTCGTTTTTAGATATTTTCTTTTTTAAATTAAAAATTTGCAAAGTTTTAATTTTATTTCAATACCAAGTTAATCAATGTGTTTTTCATCATCTGTAATTTTAAATTAGAAAATTCTAGGAATCAAAGAATGACATTGACTTGACCGATGCACGATTGTTATTATTTTGAATGAGCAACTGTACACTCCATTGGAAATTCAATTTTCTCAGAAAGACGCATTTAATTTTTAAGGCAGCGTGACAGTGTCACTCGATTCTCGTTCTTCAAAGCGGTCCCCGGCTCTCTTTCACCCAACAAAGCAAACACATTTCCTCCTCGCGCCTCGTTACAGTTATCTTGCGTCATATCTAATAACGAGTCTCATCAGCGGTAACTGGGCAAATATTGCGGTCGAATCACCTCCTTGGGCTGAAATAAATTTTGCCAAAGTAATTACAATTGAAATTTATGAAATAAAAAATATGCTTGTTTTTTGCCCCCAAGATCTAATTATTAGACCTTTTTGAAATGACCGCGCATCAATACAGCTACAGCATCTATATCGAAAAATGTAAATCGAGTTTGCTGAAAAATTGGCTCCTTTTCTCCAGAATTGGCCAGGAACGCCGAGAGTGAGGCGTGCAGTGCGTTGAATTTATATTCCTCGTGCGCTGTAACGGTGTAAGGTGTTACTTTGGAGAACAGTTGCCCATATGAGTGTGTGTGTTTATTAAGAGCAGACCGGTTGTGAGGACGGACGGCCTGGTGTTGGGTTGCATATCATTGGCCTTCTCTTCTCTATAGATTTAAGAACCCATTGTTTGTCGCACACGCACGCGAAGAGCGCGGTTAGCGGGTCGATAGGGCCACCTTGGCAATTCGACGGCTCAGCTGTTTGAAAAGAAAAATATGTATACGCAATCGATTCAGAAAAATTCAAATGCCAGACGCACGAGTGGAGTTAAGCTGTTAATTTCCCGTTAAGGTTTTCATTTTGAGTGTCAAATTATTGCAAAAGTCAAGATTAAGTAACGCTTTTTGCATTCCTTTTTATTAATTTCAAAAGCTTGTCGATAAACCAGCAGACTAATTTCTTTGTTTTTATCATTCCGTAAATTCTCCGAACGGCCCTTAATGCGGTTTTAATGTCCACTTGTGTCGCGCGGTCACTCTTTGACCAAAGATAACCGCTGTTGAAAGTAACCGCTCGTTCACTTCTTACCCCACAAATTGATAAAAAAAAAAAGATTAATCTTAGTCTATGTTAACACAATACACCTCAAAATTCCATTTTCTGAATGAAATGTAAGAGTCATGCAGTTAAATCGGGAAACTTTTGTTAAAAAAGCTGCAAATAATTCAACTCGTTTACCGTAATTTACATTAAATCCCTTCACAGATGAGAATTGGGTGCAGATTGAACTCTCGACCACTTCTCCGGCGTCTGTTGCCACAAAGCCGACGGCCTCTTACCCTGACGGCAGTTTGTTCACCGAGGAAATTCCACCCAGCGTCAGCCGACCCACCCCGCCAACGTTCCCTCCAAGACCTTCCACCACGGAAGGCACAACAACGTCCATTCCTTTGGTCACGGACGAGCCCGTCGCCCTTAATATGTCCGACTATAAGCAAAGTGAGTTTTGAAATTATACAAATTATTCAGAAATCAGAAATAATATTTTAAACTACAATTTTTGAAAATTTAAAAAGTATACTTTGTTGTAACTCTAATTATGAACAAAGCAATTGAATTTCTTTAGTAATAATTTAATTAAATTATTTAGTAAATAAACAATTTAAATATCACATTATTTCAGAGCAAATTTATTTAATTATTTAACTTTAATTTGCACTGCAACTTCTGGTTCATAATTAATACAATTCTCTAATAACTCTAACATGTTCATTATATTTTATCCTCTGCAACAACTCTTGGGATTGCATTCTGAAAATAATAATAAGCGTGTGAATCGTTCTTTGCCCGGCAGTTTGCGGAAGGAGATTGTTACCTGACGGCAGGATCGTGGGTGGAACTCGGTCCACCTTCGCCAAGTGGCCTTGGCAGGTGAGTGATAAGCACACGCCATTTTCAGCAATGCTGATCGTGCAAGCATGTGTTAATTGCGGCGTCTGAATTTCAGATCTCACTGCGCCAGTGGAGAACCTCGACTTACCTCCACAAGTGCGGAGCTGCCCTTCTCAACGAGAACTGGGCCATCACTGCGGCACATTGTGTAGAAAAGTAAGCCAACAAAAATCTATAAAAAATCTCTATAAGAATTTAAAAAATAAATAAACAAATGAATTAAAGTATTTTTGAAACATTTATATAATATTGAGAAAATTGTTTTGATTTGTCCCTCTTATTAATATTATCTTGCAGTGTGCCCCCGTCAGATTTGCTGTTGCGACTGGGAGAGCACGATTTGAGCACCGAGTCGGAGCCGCACCCTCACTTAGAGCGCAGGGTGCAAATCGTGGCCAGTCACCCCCAATTTGACTCGCGTACCTTCGAGTACGACTTGGCCCTGCTGCGGTTTTACGAGCCTGTGAATTTCCAGCCAAACGTGGTTCCTATTTGCATTCCTGAGGATGACAAAAACTATGTTGGGGAAACTGCATATGTGACTGGATGGGGAAGACTTTACGAAGGTGGTTTTTTTTTGCATTCTCCAAGTTTTAAAAAGTCCTATATTGAGAGATTGTTGCTCAAATTTGAATTAGTTTATTATAAATCACTTTCATCAGTTTATAGAAGAATTTTACGTTCTATTGATTCATTCACAATCAATTTTACTAAAAAATTTATTTTTCCAGACGGTCCTTTGCCCAGCGTGATGCAGGAAGTGTCCGTTCCCGTCCTTGAAAATGCAGTTTGCGAAACCATGTACAGATCGGCAGGTTACATCGAGCACATCCCAGGCATTTTCATTTGTGCCGGTTGGAAGAAGGGGGGATTCGACTCGTGCGAGGTAAGAGCGCCTGAAAATGAGGTGGTTAGGCAGCCTGCGCGACACCACTGTTCAGCAGGTTGCATAGATTATGAATTCTGGGGGCTTAAATTTTGTTTTAGAACCCTCGCTTAAAATTATTAATTTTATTTCTTTTAAATGTTCTGCGTATAATATTCTTGCCCTTAATTAGCTATGACTTCTATGGGAATTAGACTGTTTTACAAATATTAAAATTATCATATTTGACTTTGATAAAACCTAATTTTTAATATTTTCTGCAGGGAGACTCAGGTGGTCCTATGGTCATCCAGCGAGATGACAAGCGCTGGACACTGGCCGGCGTGATTTCGTGGGGCATTGGATGCGCAGAACCCAACCAACCTGGAGTCTACACAAGAATATCAGCCTTCAGAGATTGGATCAACCAGATTCTGCAGTTCTAGAGGGCACCGGTGCCAAGAGAGGATAAAAACAAAGTGTTGTTCTAGTCTTGGCAATTTCCATTAACGGACAGTGTGCTCTTGCAGTCGAATCTGATATTTTTGTTTCGAAGCAAGGTCAAGAGTGGAAATTCCAAGTTAAAGGGTATAGAACAAGTATTTTGTAAACGCAATAGGTTGTGGGAGGAAATGACATGAGGAGATTTACAACGATTATCAATTTCTTTTGAACATCATAAGAAAATGCACAAAAAGAGCCATAAACGTTGACCAAGAAGGACTGCAGCAGTTTTGTCTGCCGGGAAAGGGATTAAACTGTGTCTTTCAATTAAAAGAAAGAAGTGTTACTTACTCGGTCACCCATTTGTCTCATGACAGAAATGAGTGGCCGGAAAGAAAATATTTATTATGTTAAAGTGCGCGTAAGAGAGAAGTGAAATTGAATTGCTTGTACGTTGGAGTACTTTTATTTGCAGATGATGTTGCTTATTTATTGTTTGGATGCTGAGAGAGATTTTTAGATAAGTAGTTTGTTGAAGTTACAAAGATGTTTGTCTAGATTTAAGAGAATGATTGTGATTCTGTAATTTTAATGAATTAGAAGGAAACAATAAAACTTCAATTTTTATAATAATTAATTTTATATTTAATTTTTATTTTGATGATTCAGGAGCAATTTTCAAAATTTTGATTCAACTGAACTAGTAAATCTATTGAGTTACTCTTAACTTGATTCCAAAATTAAAAATAAACTTCTCCAAGTGTTTAAGTAATTTTTGCTAAATCTTAACTAGCCATGAAAAGACCCGCGCTTGAGGGTGTGAAAGTGCATCAGTATTAGTGAACATCTAATGATATCATGGAAATTTATTTAAGATAATTAAGCTGAATGGGCATTATTGGAAATTAACAATTGGCATTTAATTATATTTTAAATAAGCAAGAGAAAGAATTTGCGCGGAGACTTCATTTCAGCCGCCAGAAGAAGATTCAATACTGCAAGCTTTTCAGGCATCTCGCACTAGGCCCTGGCATAGAGGCAGAACAGCGCTTGTTTGTAGGAATGAAAAAGTAAATAGGAAAGCATGCTTTGATATTTCGTTATGAATATCAAACCTTTTAACAAAAATTGAATGTTAAAATTTAAATTATATTTTCGAATGAAAAAACTTGAAATTCTTGTACAATAATTTGGAACTTTCATTGTAAATAATTTACAACCAATTTTTCTCTCCATAAAAATTCTGCTTAACGGAAATTGATATTGTTTGAACAGTTTATTAAATTTAAAAAAATTCGATCTTTAAGATTTTGGAATCTTGATTATTTTAAATTCAGTTACTAAAAAGTACAACTTTATGAATAACCCTTCTAAAGCAGCTACTTAACTTTTCTCTTTAACATATGGCAAAGAGGATAAAAATGATGTAAATATTCCTCTTAATATTTTTTCCTGGTGAATTTTTCTCCAATTTGGGCAAGCCGGCATAGTGAAAGATTGAGCCAGGTTTGATTTAAGTCTAGTGTTCACTAAAAAGTGAGACTTTTGAGGCAAAATTTAGTTGAAAAACCACAGTGGTTATTTCTGCCGTAACATTTCGGCCTTCATTTCTTTCTGTTGTTTTCGGCCTTGTTTTCTTAGGCGATTTTCCTTAAAGTGCCGACCGATGTATACAGAAGATCGTGGCGTATAACCATAAGTATAAAATAATTTCTAATGCTCTCAAAACATGCATGTTGATTAACGTAAGCTGCAATTAAATTATTTAGTAAAAATGATCATAAAACAAATTATATTTTATTTTCCTCTGCTTTAAAACGCTCACATTTTATTGCAAAAGTTTCCTTTTACTAAACCTACTAAGCAAACATAGATTTCTACGTGCTAATTCACGATTGTGGTTCATCGGTCAATATTGATTTCAGTAAAAGCTGACAATTATTAAAATTGTAGAGGATAATCGGAAAGCTTAAAGACGTGCAAACGCATATTCATGTCACGAGGCAAAATCAACAAACCATAGAGTCGTGACTCGGCGCGGCAATTGAATGTGCAAATCTTTTGGATGTTCACACATATTAGAGCCTCTTTCGCTCGCCAAGTGTCATCGCCTTTTTCGATTCGTCTGCCAAACTAGTTTCTTATTTGCGTCTCAATTGCAAGTGAAATTTTCGTTGAAAGAAGACTGTGATCCACTTGCAACTTTCCGCCACCCTTTTACTCCGTCTTTCGTATGGCGTACATCAAAAATGAATTACGGCGTGATTAATCGCTGTAGTCGCAATTAGAAATGTGAGGCAAATGCATAAATATCGGAGCAGAGAGAAAGGAATATTAGAAGTGCATCTGGTGGCCTGGATCTGTGATAATAGCGCGCAATGCAGAAAGAAAATCTCTCTAACCTGGCATAGTGCTGGCAAAAATGGAAACAGCAGCGTCTGTTTTAAAGATAGACCCACACAAAAGAGGCGACTTCGTGAAATTGGGAGATTGTAATAGATATTGATTTTTGTGCGGTGAACCACAAAAATAATCCTGAGCAATTTTTAAATTGCACTTGGCGTCAAGAGAAAATTAATTTGAGAATTGAGCTTGAAAATTGAATTTAAAGTCGGTGTACCTCGGCTCGTTTACATCCAATAGAGCATAACCCGGATGTGCGAGTAGAAAAGGAAAATATGGCTGTTTATGAAATACATTTAAGTGTCTTTTTTTAATTTCATTGGCAGCACATGATTCTTGAGAAGCGGTTAAGTTTGCATTCTGTGTTGGCATCAGTTGTAAATTGGTTATTTTTTTATAATGAAATTATTGTCTTATGGCCGGTTTTTTAAAATAATGACAATTTTCCATATATGTACTGACTAATTATTTATTAACGTATTTTACTTGTTTAATATTATAAATATATATTTTTATTTTTGTGTTTGTGTTTGGAAAACTTTATGATTTGAGTAAAAAATTAAGACAAAAAAAGACAATTAATATTGTTCCATGATCAACAAGACAATAGTCTGATCAGTCACCATGAGGTTTAATTCAAAACCATTGTAGTCAGTAAGTGGGCGACACGTTTTTTGATCATTAATCTGAATGCAACCCAAAAATCACTCAGCTTCGTTACCCACAGCCACAATCGGCAATCGCGACCAACTCTCTGTGTATTATTATCGCGTCCTTAATTTATTTTGCACTTTTGATCGTCAGTTTCTCTTTCGCCCACTCTTGTGCTTAATTTTTCTTACGATCACTACTGGTAAAAGGATGAACAATGGTTCATTTACGGCATTTTTTGCATTAGCATCATCGCCCCTAATATTTTCAAGCAAAATATAATTATGTATGCTTTTTGTTAGTTAAAACTGTAATGCAATACAAATTAAAATAAAATACACTTCCTCGATATTTTGAATTGATAATATTTATTTTATTTTTGCAAATTGAATTCCTCACAAAAATACCAGTTAAATTATAAAAAGGAAGCTGGATAAATAAGATTCATAATTTTTCATTTTACTTGAAGAGAAGTTGATTTAAAATAAACATACTAATTAACTGAAAAAATGTTAATGGTATAATTTTATTTTTAAATTTATATTATATTTGATTATATTTATGCAAATAATTGAAAGTACAAAAAAATGGGGTAAAAATTTAGCAATTTTTGAATTTATGTTTATAAAGTTTACTAATATAGTTATTTAGACCAAATTTAATGTATAATTAAATAATTATACATAACAAGAAAATAATTATAATTCCAAATGCACTTAGAGCGATCGAGATGGAGTGTTGGCGAGTGCAGCTGATGCGGCTGCACATGCCGAGGATGCGGTGCTGTTGTGCGTGGAAAGCAGGTTAGTAGGATCAGACTTGGGTAGGGATGTGCGCGCGCTCGCTTCTCCTGCACACCGGCTGCGGCGAAGGTTGTGTTTTCTTCTCAAAGTCAGGGTCTTCCCTGGCAGGCCTGGCAGTTACCGCGTATACCTGAGCGGCGACGGTGGGCGTTCGGCGAGCGAGCTGCACGTGGTCATGGATTCGCCGGCACGCACGGCCTGAACAACAACAACTAGCACTTCGACCCTCCAAAAATATCTCGCCAGGTAAACAAAAATTTGGTATTATCTCAAAGGAAAATTTTGCCGCCGGCCGAGTTTATTGTTTTTTTTTATGCTGCGCAGAGAGCAGAGGGTGAAACACTTTTGAGGGGGATAAAGTTTCACAATGGAGTAGAAATGAAAATATGAGATTCTTCTAGAGATTTGAAATTTGCTATTTTTAATTAGTAGATTATTTATACTTCAGTTCTGCTTGTTTTATGTTTTGTTATTGTAATAATAATAGTTTAATTCATTAGCTAAAATTGTGAAAAAGGATAAAATTTAATAATAAGTTTATATTTTAAATAAATTCAATTTTTTTTTTTAAATTTTTGATAGCATGAAAAAACAACATTAAGAATGCAAATGTCAATTTTATATTTTACAAAATTTTCTTATTTAGTTTTGTCATTCTCGAGACATACCTTGTCACATTACCATCTCATTTGCACACAATTGCACTTTCCCAGCCGGATTTTGTCCGCACCCAACAAATCTGCACGCAATTGTGCCAAAATGCTGCGCTGCTAATCCCATTCCCGTGAAACCTTTGACCCAGCAAATGCGATCTGGATCTTCTCTTTCTCTAGGAGAGATTTCGCGAGGCACGACAAAGATCGCACGTTTTTTGATAAATTTATTTATCGGATGTCACATATATGAAGTTTTTTGGCGTGTTATGACTGCCATATGCAATACACGTTATTAAGTGGGTTGCCGTGCTTCTGGTGCGACTCTCCGAGCCTAACGGTTCCGCTCTTGGGTAGAAAAGGATCGCTTTTGGATGAGCCGCGCTTATATGAATGTGTACGCACAAACGCCGCTCACTCGCCTGCGATAACTTTTACACAGATGATTTTCAATTTTATCACACGCGTCATTTTGCTCAGCCCTCGTTTCGTCATCTCTGGCCTGATTCGGACAAATTGCTTTTGGCATCTCAAAAGAAGAGCACCACACGATTCGTATATATAAAAATGGCCATAATCATACATTTTCCAGCAGTGACTCATCGTTTATTTTTAGAATCCAATTAAATTTGAAAACATTTGCACTTAATCAAAGCGAGTTATGCTGGAACTCATCAAATATTTTTCTGTTGAGGCCAATTTTTGGCACATAAAAAGTTTGATGAAAATGGCAACGTTAAGAAAAAATGGATCAATTTTTCTATAAAACCTGTGCTCTACCTGAAAGCAGTAACTTCGTAGAAGAGCAAATAATTTGTGCCTTGTTAACACCTGTCTGTCACAAGTTTGTATTTTTTTGTGGGCTAAAAGTGTGTTCTTTGTTCGACGACAGGCTTTTAACACTTTCAAACAACCGACGTGAGTCACGGTTTTTCTTTATTTCCTGCGTATATGTCAAAATGCGTGTTTGGCTCAGTGTCACAATAATGAATGCTCCGAGATTCGAGAGGCCAAATCGGCCGATCAACGCGTTTTGTTGCATCGCGACATGTCCATCGGATAACGGCGCTTCTTTCGCGCATTATTATTGCGAATGGGTTTGTTCTCGCGTGCGGGGGCCAAGCAAAAAGCGGGCGCCGCCGATATTGTTTCACATTGTTTAGAGTGCCACTCATTTAATTAAGGAGAGCACCTCGATTTGTAGCAGGAAAATAAATGTAATGCGGAATAATTGAGAGGTGAAAAATTCAGAACACAGGAAACGCGAACTGCTCCCTGTGCAGTGAAGGTTTACCGAATTGAGGAGCGGTGAACGAAAGAAAGTATATTTAAAAGGATGTGTCAAAAGATTGTAAGAAAAAAATTGGGATCGGTTCGCATTTCCCCCTGAATTATTTAAGACAAAGGATGTGGGAGGCGAGAGAATTTCACACTTCAATATTATTGTTTCTTCATGTTTAAACAGTGCTCATCATTATTCCCCCCTTTTTTTTGCAAATTCCGGGCCAAAGTGATAAAAGATGCTCTCAATTCCAATTTCTTTTCATTCTTATTCAGAAAATAGTTAAATAATTTTGCTCTCTATTTTAAAATAAATCATTATAATATTTGTTTCCACCACTATGAAATACCTAGCGAAAAATTTCAGCTTCATTTCCCATTGCTTTCTAAAAGTTTATTTCGGTTTATTTCCTACAATACATGGTGCTTTTAATGAGCATGAATTAATTCATTCTGATGCTATCGAGCGTCGGAAGGTCAGTATGTTATGTCAGTTAAGCGTAAGATCAGCTGGAACGCCCTGTCCGGCGTGCATCTGAAACTGACCTCGATCTGCTGTTGCATCTCGGCGAGTGCAACTTACCGTAAATTACGTAGAACTCTCACGGGAGCTTCCTCTTTTTGCAGCTGTGCGACCTAGCGACGAGAGGCATTTTACTTTTTAACCGATTTGTGTGTCGCCTGAGAGAGAGAGAGAAGAAACGACATTTATCTTGGAAAATGATGAAGTAAATGAGAGCTTTTAGAGTGCCATTGCTTTTGCCCAGACATGAAAATCGTGGCTTCTTTTCATGAAAAAGCCTCTTCACGCACTGCTTGGTGTTATAGGCGAGTTAATCTAGTGCGATCGCGACAACAGGTGCATCGGAAAGTGCTCGTGATTTTATTGTTTGAAAATTCTCAATTTTAGGTCACTTTTAATTTTTTGTACCTTTTGTATTTAAATCTTAAACAAAAGCAATCAATTAAAATTAACTTTCAGCATAGTAAAGATTATTTTAAAATAAAAATTCCTTGTCTCAATAATGGGATTTTTAAGTGTCATTCGTCATCATAGAAATTGAATTCTTCAGTCTGAAACTTTGCATGTTATTTAATTGACTTCTTTTAACTAAAATAAACCATTCTACGTTTATTTCAATTCCGGCTCATTAAAAAAAATAAAAATACATCTGATTTAGCGAGAAATAAATAGAGTACTAATATTTATATTATATCCTTTGTAAAATTTAATTTTGGTTTCAAATTAAAAAAAGAAAAATTTAATATGAAAGTTCATGCAAATTTTTGTTTTGAGACACAAGCTGAAGCAAATCATAACGACAACTATGAATATATAATTCAGCTCATAATAAGGTTAAGCTTTTAACCCACTGCTATACTTTCTCTCACGCCGGGGTCTTTTCTAGAATTAACTCATTAGAGGCAGTCGAATATTTATCATTCTCTTTTCTTTTGTGCCTCATTTAGTTCTCAAAAGCGTGCAGCGCACCAACTTCATTTACATCAAAAGACGAAAGCCGGAGGTACAAAAACAAACACAGCTCAGAGACTTTCCAAGAATTTCTGCTATTGCACTTAATTTTACCATATTTACACAAAAATTATTTGCTCTCAAGAAATTCCTGATTCACTTGGTCCCATTTTCTGCTTGTCATGCATGCTGGAAAATCAGAGGCGGATTAGAAACGCACGACGAGAGATTAATCGGCCCGGTTTGATTGAAAAATTGAAGCTTCTCTCACAACTATTCGGGTCACCATGCAAGTGATAACGAATTGCGACGACTGAGAAACTGGAAATTTTCACGGCTGCATATAAGAACGTAATGCGCGTTTGACATACTCTGTTGCGATGAAATCGCCGACGCTGTTTTTAATTTTTACAGTAAGCAAATTAAGTTGTCGGTCATTAATTTAGCCAGCCAGCAGCGGTTTATATATTTATGCACAATTAAAAAGGCAATAATGTTAGCACGTGTGGAATTCGAAGGCGATGATATGCCCCAGATTATTTCGCATGGCTAATTGAATCAGGGATTTCAACGCTTGGAGTTTTGCCACTGAAGCGTGGTAGTGAAAAGCTCTCCCGACATAGCAATAATATGATAATATGCATAATCAAGAATGTTTTATGAAATTCGAATATATTTATTGGTAAAAACGATCAATTTTATTCATTTTTTGAAATAATAATGAAATCAACTTTTTTTGACCGCAGAAATGGAATTCAAAGCAATAAGGATCTTTCAATAAGTTTATTGTTGTAGAATATAGAAGTTAAAAATATTATTGCTAAATTTTTAATATATTGACACGAAAGCGGATATTTTATTCAAATTATAGCCAGGGATGCGTAACATCCATAAATTTTGAAGAATGTAATTTTCTTCAAGATAAAAATACCTCGTGGCCCCTTGAATTTAAATAAGAAAACTCAATAACATATCCGTCTTGGTGTGCCCATTTGAGGTCTCTAAAGAACAAAAATAAACTTTTTGTTCTTCACCTTGTGAACAATGGTCCTATTTTAAGTGCTGTGCATAGCGCCAAGTAATCGCTTTTTATGGCCACTGCTGAGACGATCCATTGTACATAAACAGCAAAATTGACGAGTATTTTAGCAAACCCGCAAGAAGCTATTATACGATCTGTTAAAGAAATTTTACTCTTTTTGCAAAGTGAAAATGTGGGGCGCCTTTTGAACCTTTCCGCGCAGAGTGCCGAGTGTTTGTTTTGCGTGCATGTATCCTTTAATTGATGCTAATGCAGGCACATACGGAGTGCTAAAAGTTTCCGAGAGTCACCCGAATACACAACTTAATTTACATTAATTTGAGAAAAAAGACGGTATTGAAGTGCACGTAATTAGTGTAATGGTGCATTCTGTTATATGCCAGAGCCTTTGCGGTTTTTTGTGCGGCTTTTTCTCAGCAGTCAGACCCGCAGGCAAATCGCGCGCTTTTTGTTTAGGTAATTTCAGACAAAAATATATAAATATATTATATGAAGAACTGTGCATGACAAAGGCTATAAAAAACCTGTTAAGAAAACGCAGAAAGAAAAAAAAACATGATAATTGCACGTGAAACTTACTTTGTAAAACGTTATCGGTATATAAGTAAGCAATTTGTTGACACCATTCACTAGCAATAAAATATCAACAATTTAATATCTTGACGCACAAATTATAATAATAAAAATTAATTAATTGAATTTTGAATCATCACTTTCATAAAGATTCACGTTTAAAATTTAATGCTTTTAATTTTTTTAAGATGAATTAAAAAAAATCACTTTCATTTTAGCAGGTGCAGGCGCTTGGCCGTATAGTTTTCATTTTTCATTCTGAGATATTTAATGACCCATCCTTGCGCGGTTTTCTTCCGTTGATTGGTGGAAGGGAGGCTGGCGGCTTCCCAAAGTGGTGTGTGTGTAGCTAGTTATTAGGTATATAGCGAGACTGCAGGTCTTACACAGCCTTAGTTGCGTCTATGCCGTTAAGTGACCAAACACTCGGCAACATTTATGTGTGTGGCGCGGTTCGTGGGGCCGCCGCTTCTTTCGATCAAAATTCTTCTTGATATTGTGCGGTTTTGTTGTGACAGTGACGTGAATTATGGGGTGTTTTTGCAGCTAAATTTTGAGAGGACAAATAATTCGGCGGTGAGTTGTGTTTGAACCTTCCTGCATTTTCCATTCGGAGAAAGTTGACGAGAGATGAAAGATGAAAAATACAGTTAGTTTTTAGCAAGATGACAAGCTCTTCAACGAATTTACTGTTTTTTTTTTATATTATTATTATTATTATTTAGAATACATTAATTCAGGCCTCTCTCCTCTAATGCACTTATTCAAATGTGAAATACTAACAAAAACCGACTAGGAAATTTAGCCTTAATAATGTGAAAAAGGCTTTTAAAAAACTCACGCAGAATAATTTTTTTTGGAAAAATAATAAAAATTTTGAACTTTCTAACTAAACAATAATTAAACTTACATTCCAAAAAGAATTTCTATATCAAAGTCCGCGATTTGTAATTGATAAAATTTTGATCATTTCAACAACGAAATATTTGCAATGATTTCAGGACAAATGATGCCACCCTCGATCAGACAAATGCCAACGCTGCGAGCATCCCTGGCGCAAGTCCTACTGGCTATGCTCCTTGTTCCTTCAGTCCACTCATTCTCACCAAGATTCAACTTCAACTCTAACAGTGAGTTTCGAAATTCAAAATATAACTGCACTTGACACACTGGCTCTCCTTTGTTTTCTGCACTTTTCATATGCCTATTAACACTCACTTAGCCGCCAGCATTGTTTTGATGCCTTATACGCTCGCTAAAATGTAGAGCATGATTAATTAAATTTTTGGTTCGTTGTACAATAATTCCAAAGGGCAGTTCAAGTAAAAATTTGTAATGAGTAAAAGAAAGATCTGTTTTAAGTATTTACTTAGCTACATAGGTTTTGCACATGATATAAAATTACCCGGTTTTTTCGCAAAGTCTGTTAGTCTGGCGTGAAATGCTGAGGCGCGTGTAAAGCAAGTCGCATGAAAGGCGCGGCGATCCTTCTCTTCTATCCTCGTTTACCTCATTTCTCACCTGCATAGTTTGTGAATAACTGCGCTTCGAATTAAAACGTTTAAATCGATTATCGGCTGTGGCAGAAATATTTAATTGGGATTGCAGTAACCTCCCACACTTGACTGGGCGCACCACGGATCAGCGCCCTCCGAAAATTCGGTGAACGACACGATTTTTCGTGATGTTTTGGCGTAGCAAATAACCGGCCACGATTAACATGTTATTTATTGCACTTTCATCCCCGCTTTTTTGCTCCGACGTTGCACTATTAACACACATATAAAGTGCGCACTTGACATGCAGTCAAGTTCTTACTTTTTATGGCACACTTCTGCTTTATATACGCAGAGAGGTTTTAATTCATATTATTTGAATTTCGCTTGAAACATGCATAGAAGAGAACAAGTGTCCTGTGACCTAAATTTGATGTTCCATCAACCGAGCAAATATATTTATACAGTATTTATGGTCCATTCATTTTGCATTCAGTCGTCAAAGATGATTTCCATTCAATAATGGTGGCCTTGAAACGTGCCGTTTCTGCTCTACATCCCTTACGGAGAAGGACAACAGCAGAATAGTTTATAATTTTTTGACCAATTCACTATTATTTAGTACACACTTTCTTTTTTAAGCGGATTCAGGAAAAAATTGGTGCACAACTTCTTCCTTGTATGTGTTGCATTGCGAATCAACACTCAAAATACTTGATGGAGATGGTTCTGGTGGTCGAGCACTTGATTGATACGCGTGCGTTTTTGCTGCGAGCTGCGATGAGCAACGGAGTCATTTTTATTAATAACAACAACAACTATTGTTATGGGTTGCGGAACCAAAAGATAAGATTGAGTCGATCGAGTGGGCACAAATGTGTGGTTTTTAGTTCATTGCAGAGCCGGCCGCGCTTTTGATTTGCTGGCGAGGGCTGCGAGGCATTCATTTAGCGGTGCTTCAAAGAAAGAAAGAAATAAATAAATAAGGCTCTTTTTGGAAAGAAATAACGTACCGGACGGAGCAAGCCAAAATTCACAAACGGAGCTGCATGAATATAGAAAGCTTGGTAAAGTGTAATCAAAAAATTCATTTTCTTGTCCTTTTCTAGAAAAAACTTTCAGGTTTAAATAACGCAGAAAGGTTTTGATAAATGAGGTCCAATCTCGATTTCTACCCGTGAACGAAAGCGAGAAGGCGCGGTGGTTTAACAATGTGTTTGGTGAGAAAATCGTGGGAGGACAAGTGCCATCGAGAAGCCGCCAGCTGAGTGCATGATCCCATTAAGCAGTGTCCTTTTTTACTCTTCAATTATATTGGAACGGCCGCGATCGAGACTGAAAGCCTCTCTAATGCAATCAGGGTGGAAAGTTGGTGTAGGGACAAAAAAGTGCCATTGACATGGGCACAAAGGGTCTCTCTTTCTCGCCGTTTGTCCGCGCCTTTTTCTCTCCGCAGCTCTACTCACTGCGCGCGAGAGGCCTTTATTTGATGTATAAAAAACTCATTGGGTTCCCGTTACCTCTGCCGACCTGGATTCCAGTTGCAGCAGCAGCGAGTCACTCATTTCATATAGGCAAGCCTTTTTCAGCTCGCTGCTATCACGTCTGTGTGTAGTGCGAGTGAGCTGGGGGATGTGACGTCACGTGGTGCTCACTCGCGGTCGGTAATTGATTAATTTACCGTCATTCATGCGCTCCCTATCGCCAACACGCTCTACATGACGACTAGTTTTGCATGATTTTTTGCAACGAAGAAATTAATATACTTTCATTTTACATTCATTTCTAAAGCTTATATTTTATGCCACCAGTCACATTTTCTTCCGTTCATTCCGTTGAACTCAAATAAAATAAAATAAACTAGACCACTATATTCACTAATATCGATTTGAAAAATAAATGGAAATAATAAATGCAAATATATTTATTTCGCATTGGTTAAAAAATAATTTGAATTAAAAATTTTAAATATTAAGTAAAAGAAGATAAAATATTAACAGACTGGCTGAAAAAATTTTACAAGGCATGAACCACAAAAGATGACATAAAAAGAAGACTTTCAAATTCTAATTTTTGCATTCGAAAATTCGTTTTTATGGACCAAAAATTTCAATAATTTATCAAAAATCAAATAGTGAAAACTTATTTATCTAAATCTTCTGACCTCCCAATTGACTAATGTGAAACTTTTTGCAAATTAAAAATGCGTTTTGAAATTTTCAGCAGGTCGAAAACTTTTTGGCGGCTACCGAATCGTGCCGTCGCCATGCAAGTCCGAGACAGACGGCCGGCAGGGGATCTGCATGTTCAACTACGAGTGCGCTCAACGGCAGGGCGACGTCATCGGCGCCTGCATGGACGGCTTCCTGTTCGGCGCGTGCTGCCAACTGCCCCCGGGGGCCTCCTACCCTGGAGACACGTCCAGCCTGCCTGTGAAGCCGGCCTTCGAGAACCCGTCCACGGTGGAGACGGACGTGTTCAGTCTGGTGACAGGCAGCACCACCACCATGCGCACGCCAACCAGGCCTTCCCCGACGACCACGGTGCGCATCCCTCCACCCTCATTCGTGGCCACCAGACCCACCCCTCCGACCTTCTCTGCCGAGAAGGTCACCCAGAGACCACAGGCCACAGTCATTCCGGACGAGGACGTGCAGAACTCGGCGTCCATCAGTCACATTTTGCACCTTTTAAACGACTCGTCTATGGCTGAGTCCATTCCCGAAGCCGGACTGGTGCTTATTTCCTCTTCCTCCACCCAGACTTCATCGCCTACTGAGAGGCCACAGCCATCCCTCTCAACATGGGTAAACATAAAAATTTAAAAAATTTTTTTGGCAAAAACTAATTTACTATAGTTATTAATATTTAATTGATAAATATAATATTAAAACCGTTCTAAAATTTCAATAATATTTGATTTAAAAAATTTTTTGCCCCATTATTTGTGACGCTTTTCTCCAGCTCTATATTTTATGATTGACAATGAGTGATAATATTGAAAACTTGAAAATTGTAATTTGTTTTCCAGGTTTCTGTGAATAAGAGCCCTACCAACCCCTCCACAACGCAAGCCCCTTCGAACCAACCCAGTTTCATTGTGACCTCTAATGACATCCGTCCGGTCACACCCAGGCCCACCCCCTCCGCTCCTGCTCCCACGGTCATCGTCCTCGGACCCTTTGACTCCCAAAACATCAATCCCATTCCGGATGTCATTTCCCGCCCTCCTGGAAGTATCCAATCCGTAGTGGCCGAGGAGCCAAGCACCCCTGCGACCCCTGCTTTCGTCGCCCCTACCTTCGATGACGCCGAGTTGACCAGCAAGGTGCACCAATTTGTGGACAAAATCGTCAATTCCCTTGCTGGAGACTTCCAAAACTTGGAGGATGTGGTGCTGAGCAACAAGAACATCACCCTCAACGCTGCCACGACCCCTGCTCCTTCAACCACCACCAAGAAACCTCTTAGAAAACCAACAACCCCCACGTGAGTGTTTTTGTGGGCAACAAAAAAATTTAATTTTTGCTGAAAAATAATATTTTTAAATTATTGGAAGTTTAATTTCTACGTATATATTCATAAGTAAAAGTTATAATCACTTTTTATTTTTATTAAATTTTATTATTTTTGGAATCTTAAAATGCAGTTTTAATAGGGAAGCAAAAAATATAAAAAAAGGAAGGAAATTGTTAGTTAATTTGTTAAAATAAATAACCTCCAAAGGTTCAAACTAATCTTTTATTTTTATACTTGGTTTTTATTTTTGTAAATTAAAGTTCATATGATCTGCATATAAAGACCAGGTGATTGATTTAAATCCAATTATTAATAAAGAATAATAATCCAGGGTCAAGCCAGTTAAAAAGCCAACATCAAGCAAACCTCCTGTTGAGGCTGTGGTGGCTGAGACTCCAAGACCAACAAAGAAGCCAGCGGCAAACACAAATAAGCCTCCGTCTGCAAACAAGCCAGTCAAACCTGCAACTGTCACTACAACAACTACTACAACCTCTAGACCTGCAGACTTCAGGAGAGGTTTGTGTATTTTTAATTAATTTAAAAAATGTAACGAAAATCCTGAAAATGTTAAGAATGTGGAGTTCGACCTTTGGTGAAGAGTGCAAAGAAGAACGGGCGCATTGTGGGTGGAAAAATCGCCACCTTTGGAGAGTGGCCCTGGCAGGTTTTGGTCAGGGAGTCAACTTGGTTGGGACTTTTCACAAAAAACAAATGTGGCGGAGTGTTGATCACCAGCAAATATGTCGTCACAGCTGCTCATTGCCAACCAGGGTAAGAAACTTTGTGATTTAGAATTATAAATCAAATATCCTGTAATTTTTTAAAATAAAATTCCCATTGAGGTCCCATTGAGTTTTATAAAGGATTTGAAATCATTATTATAACAACTAGTTGCAATGTCAAAAAACTGAAGTTTTTAGTTATTTCAAAATTTTTGACGATTTTCATATCTTTTTGAAAATACATTAATTATATAAAAACCTTTTTTAAACTTCCAGTTTCTTGGCCTCGTTGGTGGCAGTTTTTGGAGAGTACGACCTGAGCAGTGAATTGGAATCGCGCAGGGCAGTGGTGAAGAATGTCAAGAGGGTCATCATCCACCGCTCCTACGAACCAGCCACCTTTGAAAACGACATTGCCCTCCTCGAGCTGGAGTCGGCTGTCCCATTCGAGGAGCACATTGTGCCAATATGCCTGCCCGATGACGACGAGGATTTCACCGGCCGAATGGCCACAGTCAGTGGATGGGGCAGACTGAAATACGGTACTTAGCATTAATATGCACGTGACAGAATTTTACTGGGAAAACTTTGCAGGCGGAGGAGTGCCTAGTGTTCTGCAGGAGGTGCAGGTGCCCATCATGGAGAATAATGTGTGCCAGGACATGTTCCACGCCTCTGGACACACCAAGACAATTATTTCGTCTTTCCTGTGTGCCGGATATGCTAATGGACAAAAGGACTCCTGCGAGGTAAAAATAATTTTGATTACTAATGAAGTTTCCTTCAAATCTGTTACCTAAAGAAAATTTGATATTTTTAATTTAAAAGTATTATAGCCCAAAATGAAAAAAAGGTATTTTAAATTGATAAAAATTGCATCAGATCTTTTATATAATTTTAAATAAGTTCATACTAATTTTAAATTTAAAAATTTCAGGGAGACAGTGGTGGTCCCCTGATGGTGGAAAGGGACGGTCGGTGGATCTTGGCTGGAACAGTTTCTCACGGGATCAAGTGTGCGGCTCCTTTCCTGCCCGGCGTCTACATGAGGACGACCTACTACAAGCCTTGGCTCAAAACCATCACCGGCACCAGCTAAGCAGTCTCCTCTGCTCTCCGTGCCAGTGCCTCACAAAACAGAACTTTCAACGATGTGATACTGACAAAGAAGAGTTTCCAGAACTGCGCCCTCCAAAGTGATTTCCCATTTCTTAACTCCACAGACTCTGATCAGAAGAGATTCCGCGGTGCTAACTTAATTTTCGAACAGGTTTTTAACAACGACGTAGACAGTTAGATTTATTTATTTAATTATTTATTGAAAAAGATTTTATTTATATTTACTTGCAAAAGTTTGTAAGGCTAATAAACAGATCTGTTAAGATACAACTTAAAGGTTTTTCAGCTTTTGTTGCTTAAGGACCATTATTGTAGTTTTTAAGAAATATTTTAAGGAACCTTTATGTCACTATAGTTAATTAGATAATAATTTTCATTTGACCCACTTATGTTTCTAAATTTGATAATACTTCAGCTCAACATAGGATAGGCCTGTCTAGATCTTAGTTATTCCAGTTTGGTCCACCAATCTTGCTTTTCGAAGGCAATGCCATTCAGCTGGCAACAAGTCGAAGCAAATTTGTGGAGGGCCCTTGCTGTGTTGACACAAATCCAACACACAATCACAGAGAATCCTTCCTCCTCGACTGGAGTCTGTGATTGTTTTAATGAGAAGGTGCTAAAAATTTTGTGGGATTATGGAAATACCTCGTCGTTGAAATTTTGCTTCAGCCAATTTTTCACCAACTCCTGGTTGGCATCCAAAAGATTGAGGCAAGCGTCTGGATTGAGCTGTTCATTTTTGCAGATTCTGCACTTATTTTCGCTCGCCATCTCTCTGCCTGCCGTCAAAACCACCTATCGGCCAAATCCTGACAGATCTGCGAAAAATACATCAGAGTAAAATCAAGGTTTGTCAGCTGAAAACAAATTTAAAGTGTGCATGCAAAATGTGAGACTTTTTTTAGTACATTATGTACGATGCGGGCAATTTTACCAACAAACTTTAATTTGAAAATCTCGTTAAAGAATTATATGTTTATGAATTATTTTGTTCAAAAGACCAAAACCTTACCACTTTTATTTGCTTACAAAATTTCTGCTCGCTCTTCGTCCCTCCGTCAGCCCGCGAAAATCAACAAATCAACACATGTTAAATGTTTGTCAGCGATCGGGCTATTCCGGCTGCAGGTGGTTGGACTTGGACTTGATAGGGGGAACTAGTGTACGGCCGGCAAAAACTTTTCTTCCTTGCAAAACAGCTGCACCGCCTGCAACACGTGTTCGGCCGGCGTCGGCACAGAGTGTGTTGTTTACTCATTTTGTGAAAACATTTATGATTCTTTTTTTATCGATCGTCAATAAGAAGTGATTTTCTTGTGCAAATTGTGTGGCGTCGATAAAAAAGTGGCAGCCTTCGTGCAAAAATTTTTCAAAAGTATTTGTGTCTGTTATCAAAGTCATCAAAGTCATTTTGTGCACGTATGCAGCCTTAATTTTTGCTGCTGGCTTCGTAATATTTGAATTTCGCGAGCTTTGCACAATTTTTTTGCCTCACAATTGCTCACAATCAGTTGCGAACAAACTCAAATTTCATAATTACTGCATTACTGGCCTGCGTGGGATCTTTTCTCGTTTATGAAAGGATGACACAACTTTCAATTCTCTGCACCACCTTAATGGTAAGTACACATTTTTTTATTTAATACATAGAACACATTCCCGTACTCCATTAAAAATGTATCATTAAATTGATTAAAGTGGGTAATTTCAAAACGTGATCTTCACATTAAAATATGTATTGCTTCTTGAATTGCATAAAATTTAAGAAATTAAAGAACAAAAATTGGCGTATCCACGTCTTACAAATTATTTTAGGATTTTATTATTTACACAAAATTTAAATTTATTAATGTACTAGATTGAATTTTAATTCATGACACTTCTTGATAATAACCATTTAGTTGCAAATTGTGTATGGTGATCTATCACAAAGGCAAAGCCCATAACGGGATTAAACTCATAGTTAAAAATTTTAATGCGTTAATAATTTTATGAAAAGGCGAGCCATAAATCAAGATTTATATAAATATGTATTCAAACACTCAATCATACAGGACATGCAGTGTCTTTCATTTTTTTTAGTTATATATTCAGAATTAATTAATCTTTTTTTTATTCTTTATTTTATTGTGGTTGAAATTTTATTAAATAATTCATTAATTTGTAATAAAAAATGGACTCGAGGCGTCTACAGTGTATGACTAATTATTGAATTTATTCTATATTGATTGCAATTAAAAATTATGCCTTAATAGGCGATAGCAGTGCTGACAGAAATTAATCTCTTAGTTAAAAATTTTAATGCGTTAATGATTTTATGAAAAGGCGAGCCATAAATCAAGATTGAAAAATTATTTTTGTGGGTTTGAACTTAAAATTAATTTATTTTTATGATTTATAATCAATGCAAATAATTAAATTGGAAATATTTTTCCCATAAAAACATCAAAGATAAATGTAGTAATTTTGATCTTGTTTGATGATTACTAAAAGAAAACTTGTTAAATTTGACAATGCCATTTGCTTCAGTGAAACTAAACATTAAAAAAAAAATGGATCAGGAACAGGTCGTTTTTATTTTTAGAATTTATTGGAGATGTTAAAATAAGAATAAGATAATTAAAAACTAAAGCAACTTAAATATGAATTAACCACGCTCATGATAATATAATAATGTAAGACGTGCAAAAACTATATCCGATTGTTTGCCAAACCAAAACGATACACAAGTGAGAGTTTTTTGGGCTGCTCTCCTTGGCGTGCGTCTTTTTGTATTTGCTTTTCACGCAACAACAGAAGGTGTGTAAAGTGAGGTAAGTAGGATTTCCCGTCAAAAAGATAAATCTCTCACTCCACTTCCTTTTAGAGCACCTATAATCGTCTAGATTTTAGTCCGAGGTGTCATTAGTCTGCCAACAATGAAGAGTCGCTTTGGTCTGATTTCGCTGGTGCTCTGCCAGATGACCCATGTCTGGGCCCAGCAGTCAAAATTTGACGGCTTTAGTCCAAAACCAGGCACACATTTTGACGCTTCCAAGGTGGTTTTCACCAACGAACCCTCGCAACCAGAAGTGGACAAAACGACCAACACAAATGGTAAAAAATCAACCATCAATAATTTTGTTTTTAATTCTGAAGTTTATATTTCTTAATTTTTATGTTTTATGGATAACGTCGTAATCGCTACCAATAAATTTGCCTTTTTTCCCAACAAAATCGTTTTAACCTTATGTGAGAAAAAAAGATTGGCGGTTGAAAGTAAACTTACGTTATAAATTGTTTGATTTTGGCATTGGTGGTGGAATTTTTTTCAACTTTCAGAAGTTTTCAGAACAAAAAAAAAATCATCCACTATGATACAAATTATTTATTTTTTATATTTAAAAGCATAAAACATTTTTCTAATCAAATTGCAGAACGGTTTGGAATTTTCCTTCCGCCAAATTTGCCTGGTGCCAATTTTCCCGGCGGCCGGTGGTTCCCGTCAGGAATGGCCATTGAAATGACTCCGGACACGAGACTGTCCATTCGTCCCAATGAAGCTGTTCGTCTGACCTTTGAGGTTATAAATTATAGAGACGTTCCTCAGGGTATAGTCATGACGGCCACAGACACCGCTGGTTTAATCAGATACGTCAACCCACCAAGGTTGTGCTTAAAATTAAAATTGGAAGCGAAATTTATATATTGATTTTGCAGCGTTTTGGTGGCGCCGCGCGGTTCGAGCAGAGTTTCGGTGGAGCTCTTTCCGACGTCTGAAAACGCAGAAGGCCTGGTGAACACAGTCACTCTGGCGGGTCAAGTCAGAGATGGCGGCTTCGTCACCAGGGCAGCCTTGGTCAGAGTTAGCAAGGAGGTGAGGGAAACTTTGTTTTAATTACATAAATAATTTGTTAATTGCCAATATTTAAGACGGAAGATGATGGTTGGGATCCGACATGCAGTTTTTCTGTTCCTGGTGGTCAATGCAGGGAGCAGAACTACAATAAAGATTCTTGTGTGACGGCGGGTTGGAATGTGGAAGCTACGTTAAGGGATGATTTGTCAGGTAAATTTAATAATTAAAATAAAATTTTCATACCTATTTAGTGAAATATTTAAATTAATTAAAACACTGCCTTGGAGAACTATTTTTTTTCTTGATAATTTGTATAATTCAGACTAAATATTTTTATCTTTAATAATAAATACTTTTTAAATTATTAAATGAGTAGAAAATTGCAACAATTTTAACTCGTGCTTACCATACAATTTTATTTTCTGACAATGTTCAACACTGAACACAGACATCAATATGTTTTTAAACATCTCCAAAACGTCATCATCTTAAATACACTAAAAGCATTTTATCAGTTTTCACTTTCAGAGTGTTTTGTGATAAATTTCATCACTTTCCCGCTTTTATCCTAATCTATTTTCCTGATGATGTTGATGAGTGGCAAATAGATAACCTGGCGCTACTTTCCTTCCTCCTTATCACAGGTTTGCTGAGAGTTGAGTCATCGCCGCCCGGAGCTCTGGTGCTACCACCTAAGTTTATCGCAGGCACGAGGGCACCCGTCACCGTCCTCCTCGCCTCATCTTGCTGCCAGGACAAGATAACGCTCAGGGTGTGGGACGCAAACGGAAACTCCAGATCTTGCGAGATCTACGTCCAAGGTAAACACAATTATTACCAGATAAATTCCTGACTGCATGTTATGCAATTATTAGGTCTCTTGGCCGGTGAAATTGCGGCGATTGTGCTTGGGTGCATTTTGCTCATTGCCCTGATCGCCATCATTGTGATGGCGGTGCTTCTGTGCCGCAGGAAAAGAGCTCACAGGCTGACCAGGCGGGAGCTTCCCACCAGACACTGAAATTTAATTTTAATTTGCTAATATTTGATAATAAAATTGTTGATTACATAATATATAATTTTAATCTAAAGTCAATTTTAACAATTAATTATATCGCATTATTTCTTTGGTGAGTTTTGCTAGTCATTTTTGTAATAGTTGGTAATATATGGAAAAACGTAATTCGTTGAGAAATGTTGATTTATTTGCACATAAATAGTTAACGTTTTGTGACAATGGAAAAATGAATCTTGCCTTTTGAGCAAGACATTTTTATGCGATAGCGATCAGACTCATTAGAAATTTGGAGCAAAATTTAGCTTCTTAGTAGTGGTATCCGTAGCCGTGGGCGAGGGGAGCAGCATGGGCCAGGGGGGCGGCGTGGGCATAAGCCAGGGGAGCCCTGTAGGCGACGGGGGCAGCATGGGCATAAGCCAGGGGGGCGGCGTAGGAGTGAGCGTACTGGACGGGGGCCTTCAGGAGGGCGGGGGCGGCGTAGACGGCGGGGGCAGCCTTGACAACGACGGGGGCGGGAGCGTAGGCCTTGACGACGGGGGCGGCGTGGACGGCGTGTCCGGACCTGGTGACGTGGGCGTTGAAGCCGTTGATGGGGTCGGCGGTGTAGTCGACGGTGCGGGTGGTGCCGTCGGCCTCAAGCAGAGAGTACTGGCCCTTGACGACGTCTCCGTCGCGGGTCTCGTGCTGGCTCTTGTGGTCACCGGTGTGGGGGTCGTTGACGCCATAGTTGAAGGAGTAGTGGGGGCGGGCGTGGAAGTCCACGGCCTTGACGTAGGCGGGGGCGGCGACCACCAGGGGTGCACCGGGCTCGGCGCACACGCAGGCGACCAGAGCGGCGAAAGCGAGAACAATCTGAAATTTCATTTTTTTAATTAATTTACTTACAACACATCTTAATGTTAAATTTAATTTTAATTTTTGGTATAGTATGAATTAATCCCAGAAGTTAGTATTGAAATTTAATTTGTCACTCGACTCAAATAAAAAACCAAAGCAAGTTTCTTTAATAAATATTTCAAGAAAAGTTTTCGTTTTTGAAAGACTTCAGTGAGAATTGCAACAGTGTTCTGCTTTACCTTAGCGACCATGTTGATGATTTGATATCCTGAGGTGGATTATGATTTGGTCTTGACTTTGCGCGCTTATATACCTCGCTCGGGGCTCGCCGCGGTGCATTATTTCCTTTCGGAACCAAGATCGGAGGAGTAGGAGTGGGACTACCTACCTCATTTACCGCACTTTCTGTGATACAAATATTTTACTCGCGACTCGCGATTGCGTCGATTATCTAATATATTATGCTGGATGTCTTGAGACACACTCGGATAAAGAGTTCGTTTAGTGGGCTGGAAGTGACACTCGCGCTTAATGTATTGCAGACAACAAACCCATTTGACACACTGCCGTGCATGCTAAACACATGGCGAGTGTGTAAGTCAAGTATTTAGTAACAACTTTTCTAATAGCGTTCATTATTTAATAAAGTAGTTGCCTCGCAATCCATTATATTAATATGTGCTTAAAAGCAATTTCACTTTTGTTTTTAACGAATTTGAGTTAGAAAAGTTTGTTGTCTAATTTTAAGACTGTTTAATTCAAGATTTTTTTCTTTTCCTCTTATGCATAAATAAAATTACGGTAAAAAATAAGAAATTTTCCAATAATTAGCTTTCATTTTTCAATTTATTCCTTTCAACTGTATAATGAAAAAAAAAACGCAACAAAGTTACTAAAAAGTGCAAATTTTATGAAAAAACCTGAGAAATACCTATCAAAATCATTGTAAGCTTATGTTTCAGCAATTTTTTTCATAACAAACTGGTCTTACTCTTTTATTTCATAGAAATGCAATAAAATATACCAAAATCAAATATTTGATGGATTAAAAAGCATAAGAATAAAGAATTTTTTGTGTGTTATGTTGATTACAAGTACCACAAGACAATATTTAATTGATATTCACTCAATTTATTTTCAATTCCATTTCTCATTTTGAAAGAAAATCAAGTTGTTGATATTCAGAAAATGAAAAATAAAATCTCAAGTCACATGAATATGAAATTTTTACTTGTAAATTATTTATAGTTCATTACAGTTTGTGTATATTAACTAAGAATAAAATTAAAATATTGTGGTTACTATAAATTATAATTTTTAATTTCAACTTGTTTTGTTTTTTAAATTAGTACTCGTGATTAATGGTTTCTTTGGGGGTTTAAATTGTTTTTTCTTATTTATTTTTAATATTTTTATCATAACTTTCTTCTCCTTATAATGTATTCCTTGCAAATCCAGTTTTCCCTGCTGCAGGAATCTGCGAAGGTTAATAGAAAATGAACAAATCAACAATTAAAAGCACGCCACAAAGTTTCAATTGAATTTCAAACTGCGCGTCCACGCCCAGTGACATTGAAATACAGGAGTAAAAGTTCCTTTTTATAAAAGTGCTACAAATAATTATTCGTGCAAGAAACGCTACAATAAATATTGTAATTCCGGGAGGGGCTGCGCACTCCGCCGCCTTTACCAGCCTGGGTGTGCACACATGCAAAAGCGTGCGCGTTTCGCAAGGTCAACATACAATTGGAATTCCGATCCGGTGTGGTTCTATTTACAAGCGCGCTTGCCATTATGTGCTGCACTTGCGATACTTTTGATCGGCAGGCGTTCATTTCTTGGATCAGCGAGCGCTAAAAAGAAATGTCCGCACTTTCTTCAGGAATATAATTATATTATACCTATATGACATCATAATTTTGCAACGCCTCATTCGTGCAATGTCAATGAGCGTGATACAATCGCTCTCGTTAACATGGAGGAAAATTATTTTGCGTCAAAAGAATGCGACCTTCAATCAGGTTGCGAACACTTTTTATTGGAACCACAAACAATTGGCATTTTTTTACCTGTAACTTTCGAGCCTTGAGGTATTGAATTGCACATATATTTTTAGTATTTTTACAAACAAAAGATATTTTATAACCACTTTTTTTAAGTAAAAGATTTGAATTTTAATTTTAAAGACATCTATAGGTTTCTTTGCCAATCAGAGGAAAATTATTTCTCGTATAAGTGTTTCGTTTGTGTGTGTTTTTTTTTTAAAGTTCCGCCCTAGTGCCTTCTGATCTGTTGTAGAATTGTCTTATCTTGAAAAAAGTCGTTTAATTGCTACTTGTACTCAAGTATGCTCCAGTTTGTATACGAGTTTCAATGCAGTTTCAATGCTTGTCGGCTGCAACTTTTAAAAATCTCGTTTCCACTCTCATAACCTGCATTATCATGCGTACTCATTTATCAATACTTGAACTCATCATGTGTGCGTAGAACACAAGTTACTATTTTACTCGCTAATTATGCAGTCCAGTCATGCGAGACGTTCAGACTTACTTGAATAATTAATATTCTGCTTTCAATCTCATTTTTATTAATCCGCTAGTGCCTAATTGAGGGAATCAGAATAATATTATGAAAGAGAAAACTATAGTTTAAATTTTAATTATTATATGGAGCAGGATGGAAGTACAAAACAATGGTTAAAATTAAAAACAATATTTATACGTTGATTAAAATTTTATTTTATCACAAAACTTGCATTACGATCAGTGAATATGAATCCCGAAGGAGAAAAGGGCGAATGTTGATTTGATTCAGACTTAGAATTTGAGGTTGAGCTACAGAGCGGCTCAAGGGTGAGGACCATCTTAGTAGTGGTAGGCGAGGGGAGCCTTGTAGGCCAGAGGGGCAGCATGGGCATAGGCCAGAGGAGCCCTATAGGCGAGGGGGGCGGCGTGGGCGGTGGCGTAAGAGTATCCCGAGTGGACTGCGGGGGCGGCGTAGGCCTTGAGGACGGGGGCGGCGTGAGCGTAGGTCAGGGCGGGGGCGGCAGCAACGACGGGAGCCTTGTAGATGGCGGGGGCGGCGGCGTAGACGGCGGGGGCAGCCTTGACAACGACGGGGGCGGGAGCGTAGGCCTTGACGACGGGGGCGGCGTGGACGGCGTGTCCGGACCTGGTGACGTGGGCGTTGAAGCCGTTGATGGGGTCGGCGGTGTAGTCGACGGTGCGGGTGGTGCCGTCAGCCTCGAGCAAAGAGTACTGGCCCTTGACGACGTCTCCGTCGCGGGTCTCGTGCTGGCTCTTGTGGTCACCGGTGTGGGGGTCGTTGACGCCATAGTTGAAGGAGTAGTGGGGGCGGGCGTGGAAGTCCACGGCCTTGACGTAGGCGGGGGCGGGGGCGGCGACCACCAGGGGTGCACCGGGCTCGGCGCACACGCAGGCGACCAGAGCGGCGAAGGCAAGAACGATCTGCAAATTTTTAAATTATTAAAAAATATTATATATTAATTTTCAAATGGAATTAAAATCTCCATCTACAATTGAGAAAAGAATAAAAATTTTATAAAATGAAAAGCGCAGCTCACCTTAGCAACCATGTTGATTGAACTCGTTGAGTGGAATATGCCTTCGAGGCGAGATGTGCACTTTTTATACTCGCGCGCACTTCCACTTCTTGTCGCGCCGGCAGACCTATAATCAGTTACATAATTAAGCGCTTGCACTTCCACAAGGAAACACCAGAATGGGTGTGTTTGCTTGATTTCTCAAATATTAATAGTGTCACATTCCACTGCCATATTCAAAATTTTTCTCCAGTTCTGCAACAAAATAAATAAATTTGCCGCTTGGCCTTTCTTCGTTCATTTGCTATAGATTTAAATTTATGCACTTCTTAATATATTAAAATCAAGTAGTTTCATTTATGCATAACTTTTTTTGACAATTAGACACCTTTTATGAAACCTTGAAATAGTTCCTTTTCAGTAAAATGAATCTGAGATAAGCAATCATTTTAAATGCTATTTAATTAATTAAGGAAATGTTTGAACTAAATTAAATCTATCGTTTCATATTAAAGGATTATTGAGATTGTTCAAAGTTATGAAATAGAAATACTATCCATAATTGGCAAAACTTAAAATTTTTTTATATTGCAGAAATTGATAAAACTTTGTGTTGCGAAATTTTACTAACAATAATATAAAAATAAAAAACTGAAAACTAAATATAAATCATTTTAATTAGCCATATTATAGAGAATAATTGAAAATAATTAAACATTATTTTCAATTTAATCAAATTTAATTAAAATAACTTTTTAAATAGTGAAAGGCATAATTGAAAGAAATGTCATTATTTTTTACATGTCAGACGATGAGAAAGGCTCTAATTGGAATGTGCCCTGCATCAGGCTTGCAGAGGGTATGTACAGCTTAAAACTATTTTTATTCCGGGTTATTGCTTTTTTTGTATACTCAATTTTTATTTTGTAGCAGTCATCATATTACCATTAATTAAATCAGGTTCACCCACACTAATTTGAAATCATGGTAAAAAAAAATATATTCCTCATTCCTCTCATCTATATTAAAGGTGAAAATTGATCACCGCTCCGTCTAGAATAATTTTTTAAATATTAGATTGCAATTGCGTTATGAAGACTTTTTATTTTTCCTTTTACGTCTGAGGATTCAAAGATACCAAGAATAGCATAGTAAATGTCATCACAATATTTTATATTGATAATATCAGAAATTGGTATTCTAATATCTTATAGCTTAGAATCAATGTTTTCATAAACTTCATTTATTTATATGTCATATTTTTCTATGGCCTTTGAATTTGAAACCGACATTCTATAATATTAATTAATTAATTTGAGAGAAAATTTTTTATTTTACATGCTCTTTGCACAATTTTGGGAAATTATTTGACGCATTGATTATTTTTGTTCTTTTATACTTAAAAAGAGGCAAATGGCGAATATTATGTTTCCATAATTTATTATCCATGATACAGTTGATGACGTTTGTTGATTACATAAATATAAATTTTTTTATCCCTTTTATTCTAAACTTTCTGTGCTAAAAAAAACTTTTCACTGGAATTACCGTAGACAAATAAGATTTGCCAAAGCCGTATTGAATATTACGCGCCTTTCATAAATTATTAATGAAAGGAATGAAGACATTCATATTTATGAAATAAAAATTTGTAAAATTTTCATGAAAATTTCAATTTATTTTTCTCATTACACAGTAACAAGTCAATTAAATATAAACTGACAATGTGGAGATTTATGAACCTGCAAAAGGAACAGGGCAAAGAGTGATGGTGCAATCAGACTTGGTAATAAGGGTTGTTTGTCCTTGAAAAATTTAGTAGTGGTAAGCGAGGGGAGCCTTGTAGGCCAGAGGGGCGGCATAGGCCAGGGGAGCCCTGTAGGCGAGGGGGGCGGCGTAGGAGTGAGCGTACTGGACGGGGGCCTTCAGGAGGGCGGGGGCGGCGTAGACGGCGGGGGCAGCCTTGACGACGATGGGGGCGGGAGCGTAGGCCTTGACGACGGGGGCGGCGTGGACGGCGTGTCCGGACCTGGTGACGTGGGCGTTGAAGCCGTTGATGGGGTCGGCGGTGTAGTCGACGGTGCGGGTGGTGCCGTCAGCCTCGAGCAAAGAGTACTGGCCCTTGACGACGTCTCCGTCGCGGGTCTCGTGCTGGCTCTTGTGGTCACCGGTGTGGGGGTCGTTGACGCCATAGTTGAAGGAGTAGTGGGGGCGGGCGTGGAAGTCCACGGCCTTGACGTAGGCGGGGGCGGCGACCACCAGGGGTGCACCGGGCTCGGCGCACACGCAGGCGACCAGAGCGGTGAAGGCGAGAACGATCTGCAAATTTTTAAATTATTAAAAAATATTCATTTAATTATTTTCAAATGGAATTAAAATCTCCAACTTCAATTGTGAAAAGAATAAATATTTTTTATATAATGCAATAAAATGAAAAGCGGTGCTCACCTTGGCAACCATGTTGATTGAACTCGTTGAGTGGAATATGCCTTCGAGGCGAGATGTGCACCTTTTATACTCGCGCGCACCTCCACTACGTCATGCCAGCTGACCATTACAATTACATAAGTTGGCTCTTGCACTTCCAGAAAGAAAACCAATATGGGTGGGTTTTCTCTCTTTCGTTGTTTAACAAATTTGTCGCAAGCCACTGCTCACTTCAATGTTTGTTAGCTTTTGCACTAAAGACATTTCAGCAACGAATCAAGCAATTTTCGTCTGCAAATATTATGCAGCTGATACGCATCAAAATCCAATGTCTTCTTGTCTTGTAGATGTATGTTGCAATGCTCTAATTTTAATAACTATAAAAAACAGCTGTCATGCCCGAGATTAAATTATCTTCTAATTTCCAACATATATTACAGGAATATGCTTTTATGAAAAACATACAAATTTATCAATAAAACAAGATTAAATTGAGTGGCGCCTTCTGCGTCACTAAAAAAGGAATAGGCCGACATGACTTTGTCTTGGCCTGACCTAAAAAAAGAAATAATAATAAATATTGTATAATTTAAATAAATAGAACTAAATTTTTTGTTTCCTTTGCATATATTTTTTATAATTTTGTCGTGATTTCTGCTAGAAACAAATTGCCAAAAAATGAGCCAAAATTTTTAAATATATTTTTTTCTTCTTTTCTGAAATTTCATCACTTTAAAGCAGAGCGACCAGCAAAGCTATTCATCAGTAAAAAGTTGGTGCCCTGAAAGAATAATTCTTCTGAGTTGATTTACACCTTATTAAACCTTGAATATTAAATGCGGAATTGACATAAATGCACATAAAAGAGAAGCAAAAATTTTAAAAAGTGTCCAATATATTGCATTGAGAAGACAAAAAAAAATTCCAAACGCAAAATGTATTATACCATTTCAAAGCGATGCAAAATCATGGAGTTTCGTGACGTAATGGTATCATGCGTAAAAATAAATTTTTTAAATTCTTCGCAATGAAAATTTTTTTATTTTAAATTAATTTGAAAATAATCTTACGTTAGATATGGTGAAAACAAAATATACCTTATAAAGATTTTGTTGCAGTCCAACTTTCAATATTAACAAATTAATTATCATGGTGCTTATTTTGAAATTCAGCAAAATTGTCAGCTTTTAAAGACGATATAATTTGTATAATTATGTATGTTGTTGTCCGAACGCGCCGAGTTGACTGAATGCATTTGGTCTAAGCGCGCCTTGGTCTGAAGTTGGTCAAAAAGTTTGGACCAAACGCATTCTTATTTTCAGCGCTACCAACTTCTGCTCTATTTTACTTTTATATCTGCCAAAGATATTTTAAGAAACAAGGATAATTAATTTACTCGGTGAAAGTTTTTAAATATTAGCATAATAATGTGAGCCATTCAATGAAATACAAATTGATATTTAAACCTTATTGAAAATTAAAAGCTCCAATCATTTTTTTTTTTTATAATTAAAATTATAATCTAAATATTTATATAAACTTCTTTAAATCATAAAATTAAAGATACGTTTATATCATTGGGCATTCAAAACAAATATTCAAAATTACTTTCCAGCTCGATGTTACAAATCTATATCTTGAAACAGTATATTATTATGGTAATTGATTTGACTTCAACGAATTAATTCAATAATTTTGACAGACTGAATTTTATTTGTTCAAGTATATTAAATGGAAGTTTTAAAAAAAAGTTAAGAGTATTATTCATGTGATTTAGATATTTGTATAAATATTAATATTTATTTATTTAATTACCAGATCAAAAATAAATGAAACATTGTTGAAGGTGGAACAAAATTAAGTTGAAGATATTAAGTTTCTTTGGATAATTCAATTTATTACTCTTATTTACACAGTAATGCGACATGTGTAGGCAATGAGATGTTTATGAACTTGCAAAACGAGGCAAGAAGAAAGGCGATCAGACTTTAAATAATGGCAGAAAATATTCCACCAAGTTTGAGAAATTCAGTAGTGGCGAGCGATGGGGGCAGCATGGGCCAGGGGGGCGGCGTGGGCATAAGCCAGGGGAGCCCTGTAGGCGAGGGGAGCAGCGTGGGCATAAGCCAGGGGGGCGGCGTAGGAGTGAGCGTACTGGACGGGGGCCTTCAGGAGGGCGGGGGCGGCGTAGACAGCGGGGGCAGCCTTGACGACGACGGGGGCGGGAGCGTAGGCCTTGACGACAGGGGTGGCGTGGACGGCGTGTCCGGACCTGGTGACGTGGGCGTTGAAGCCGTTGATGGGGTCGGCGGTGTAGTCGACAGTGCGGGTGGTGCCGTCGGCCTCGAGCAAAGAGTACTGGCCCTTGACAACGTCTCCGTCGCGGGTCTCGTGCTGGCTCTTGTGGTCACCGGTGTGGGGGTCGTTGACGCCATAGTTGAAGGAGTAGTGGGGGCGGGCGTGGAAGTCCACGGCCTTGACGTAGGCGGGGGCGGGGGCGGCGACCACCAGGGGTGCACCGGGCTCGGCGCACACGCAGGCGACCAGAGCGGCAAAGGCGAGAACGATCTGCAAAATTTTTAAATATTAAAAAATAAAAATACTCATAATTTTAAAATAATATTTAAATTAAAATGTAGTGCTGAAATTTAAAAAGAAAAAAAATGAGGATAGTTCAATTGCCGCGCTCACCTTGGCAACCATGTTGATTGAACTCCTTGAGTTGAATATGCCTTTGAGAGTAGATTTGTTCTTTTTATACCAGCGCGCACCTCCACCACATCGCATCGGCCGACTATTCCAATTACATAACTTTACGCTTGCATTTCCACGAGGAAACACTATTATGGGCGTATTTGCTTGATTTCTTTACCTTTTTAAAGTTTTGCACGATTCTGTCTTAATTGTTTAATTTGCTATCTTTTCTTAACCTTGGTTATGGTTCCTGAATTAAAAGGAAGACTTTTTTGATTTTTTTTTTCTTTAATCACACTTAGAGTTTCATTTTAAACAATCTTTATATTTGTTGAAATAAAATCCGGCTTCCTCGGTGGAGATGAGCAACTTTATTGTTTCTGCATGGTACAGAAAATCCCTGCTCTACTAGTTTCGGTTGCGGGTTGCAACCCTAATTCATGAGCTGTTTATTTATTTATTTATTTTTCTTATCTGCTTCTGTCAGGATCATTGAAAATTAGAAATTACTCTTGTGTAATTAGGTGGCTGTATTTTTTCTTTAGACTCTTGAACAATATGTGTAGGTGCTGTATAATTGTTTCGGAACTCTCTTAAATGCTAAGTATTGTCTTTGATCTAAGACCACGAGTCGGTTTTGAGTAAAATTGTCAAATTTGTAAAGATGAAGTTTCTTTTTAAATCTTAAGTAGTTTCATTTATTTTAATTAAATATAATATGAACTTTAAGTTTACAAAAAATATGTTTCCTTTTATAAAAATTCAGATTTTTCACCTCTGTCCTGCAACTGGATAATACACTATATTTTAGCATCTAGGACAGTTATTATGTGATAATACACATATGTAATGAAGAACGGGATTTAAATAATTATCAGGGTTACTTATAACAAAAAGCTTCATGTTTCGTTCTTACATTTATTTATTATTTTTTATACCAGTTAGAAAATAGTTGCCAGTTGCTACTTCTTTGACAGATAAACGTTTTTATAGAAGAAAATATGGTTTTATTATTCTAATAAAATGCAAGTAAATAAATAAATAAATAAGTCCAACCAACCAGCCCAGCTTGAAAGATTATCGGCTGTGCACGCATGTTAACTGAAAAGCAAATTGCTCAGCAGCGGTGCAACAAACATATAAATATTTATAATTTATTAATCAATCATGTTATGCATAATCTTATAATATAACTAATAAAGTATGTCTCAGCTACTGTATATAAAAAAAACGTTTTCGTCTAATTTTTAATTTCACTTCAGTGTAATCAAGTTTTTTGCATTTTTGTTGCTAATCTTAATTAAATTCTTATTAGCAGTCTTTGTAACATTTCAAACCATTTTACTACCCCATTAAAATTGATGAAAAATAAGCATTTGTTGATTATATTTTTTATTTGGCAAAAAAAATCATTTCATTTTATTTGTCATTAAAAATTTGAAACTTTTATCAACAAAGAATATTTATACACAAGTTATATAAGAGATTTAAAAATTGCACCGCTCAAGATTAAATAAAGATGCTGTTTTGACTTATGATTTTTGGGAAAAAATTATGCTTTCACCCCTCGCACTGGCTTGCTAATTATATCGGTCGTCCGTTAGCGCATTCAACCAACAAAGCTTTCCAAATAATTTAAGATTACAGTTGAATTTCTTTAAAGCAACCCGGTTGCAGTATATGTTTCATCTCAAAACATAATTGTGTGTTCACCTAGGTTGAAAGAGGGCAATTTAGTTTTATGAATGGAGGAAATTATAATTTTTAGATTTAAATTAAGCCAAGGCAATATGAAAAAAGGAACAAAAATATACTCATAATTTCAGTTATCTGCTAAATGTTTCATTTTACCATTCATTATATAACACTAAAAATAATGGAAAGAAAATTTATTAAAAATATTGATTCCCGGAAATTTAAAAATGTATTTAAATAATAGTCATTTTTATGACGTAAAAATAAAAACAAACGTATAAAGTAATTTTCAATTTATTTCTCTCATTACACAGTAACAAGTCATATACATACAAATTGATAATGAGGAGATTTATGAACCTGCGAAAGGGGCAGGAAAAAAGGCGATCGTGGAATCAGACTTGGGAATTGGGGATAATCATCACTGAAAAATTAGTAGTGGTAGCCATGGGCGAGGGGGGCAGCATGGGCCAGGGGGGCAGCATGGGCATAAGCCAGAGGAGCCCTGTAGGCGAGGGGAGCAGCGTGGGCATAAGCCAGGGGGGCGGCGTAGGAGTGAGCGTACTGGACGGGGGCCTTGAGAACAGGGGCGGCGTGAGCGTAGGTCAGGGCGGGGGCGGCAGCGACGACGGGGGCCTTGTAGATGGCGGGGGCGGCGGCGTAGACGGCGGGGGCAGCCTTGACGACGACGGGGGCGGGAGCGTAGGCCTTGACGACGGGGGCGGCGTGGACGGCGTGTCCGGACCTGGTGACGTGGGCGTTGAAGCCGTTGATGGGGTCGGCGGTGTAGTCGACGGTGCGGGTGGTGCCGTCGGCCTCAAGCAGAGAGTACTGGCCCTTGACGACGTCTCCGTCGCGGGTCTCGTGCTGGCTCTTGTGGTCACCGGTGTGGGGGTCGTTGACGCCATAGTTGAAGGAGTAGTGGGGGCGGGCGTGGAAGTCCACGGCCTTGACGTAGGCGGGGGCGGCGACCACCAGGGGTGCACCGGGCTCGGCGCACACGCAGGCAACCAGAGCGGCGAAGGCAAGAACGATCTGCAAAATTTCAAATTATTTATCAAGAACACCCTTTTCACTTGAATCGGTATTATTTCAATTGGTACTTTTTCTATTTTTTTAAAATATATTTTGTAGCAAAAGCCACCTGTCTTACCTTAGCAACCATGATGATTGAACTTCTGAAGTAGAATGTGACTATGATCACAGTGTTAAGCCTTTTATACAAGCACGAATCGCCTCCACGCGACGCACACTTCCATCAGGAAAGAGTGGTCAGCGCGAGTTGTGCACTTGGGTGGAGGCAGTTTATGCAACATTATGTGGAACAAGCAATTTTCATTATCGGCGCTACCAGCAATGATCGCAATCACCATGAAACCACTATAGAATTGCAATGCTCTGTGCAAAGCCGGACCCTAACCTTAAATATTTAACCAGGCGTTGAAATCACTGCCACGACCATGAAATCGCTTGAATATGTTTCCCAAGCAGATTTTGAAATGAGGAATTAAAATTTACTTCAATTTTAAGCACTTTTAAGTATTTGTTTGGCCAAGTTTTTACAATTTTCATCTCAACCAATTTAGTAAATATCTGAAATAATAACAATAATGATATTACTTATAATAATATGAATTTTCATGAATAATAAGATAATAAGCTAATCAACAAATTTTGTATTCTTAAATTATTCTAATCGCTATAATACTTAAGTTTTTTGTTTATAAGAGTGTCATTTGAAACAGGGTTGAAGTAAAATTCTATGATGATTAAGCTATAAAAAATTAAAATAAGGCGCTGTCAAAATAATATTATTGGGGGGGCGATCAAACTCATTTGTATGGCGGTTCAATGTGTCAGCTCTTATGCGTCTAGGCAACTCTATTAGTTATTTTGAAGCTTTTTTTCGTGTGCTCGGATTAGGGCTCAAATTCGAAATTTCCAAAATTATTAAAATTTCAAATTATTGCCTTTTTATATTTGAGCAGAGTGCGGAGCCGCCAGAAAAAAATGTTTAATTATTAATTGATCACCCAGGACCCGCCAGAACCCATTGTATGGGTATCTAGTCGTGCAATTTGATTTAAGAATACAACAATTTATTGATTTATCCTTTAAATTTGAGTGTCCAAAATTCTTATTAAGAAATTAAATAGATTTTCCCTTTTCTGATCACATTTGACGTCAGTGGTCGAGTGGTCTTATCATGATGTAACCAAATCTAAATAACTTTTAAATTATTTGATTTGTCATGCCCTTTATTTTTTAATTGTAATATACACCACTTTGTTGATACTGAATTTTCTAATTTATTTTGCGCTTTCTATAAATTATTTCTTAACAATATTACAATATATGTGTCATGAGTAAAATTCAGTAGCTTAAAAAAAATTATTAATGAAAATGCTTCTTGATATAATAGTATTTGTCCTTCGTCCATATTAAAGATAGCTTATTTATAAAAACGACTACAAAAAATTTTAATGTTTTTTAAGCTTGTAGTATTTTTAGCGGGAATTTCATTGCAAATTCAATATTTGAAGATTTTGATTCCTTTCGTTTATTTTTAGTAAATGCCTTGTGGTACACCATTCACCAATAAACTTAATTTGCAACTTATCCAAGTAGTTAGAGGGTAGCAGGTGTAAATAAACTTTTTTCCTTTTGCTCTGCTATACCATGATAATAATATTGATTATCTCTTTTTCCTTTTTGTATAAAATGGCAATAATGTCAAACCATTTTAATGTAATACCATTTTAAAATTTGGTACATACACCAAAGATCTCCGTCAAACGTAAACTAAATAACAATTAATATTAAACATTTTACTGAATTTCGTTGCCTATTTGAAGATCAATTTATTCTTACATAAAAACCGGAACATATAATTTTAATCGTATTATCAACCTAAATTAATCTGGCTTTTTTACTAGAAAAATAAATGATTCATGTTTTGGTATAAGGGACAATTAACACAAGGAATATTTATTTTATCTTTTATTTTATTTTAAAAGACTTAAATTAAAACAAGATCTTTGAATACTAACAAAAACTTGAGGCGACAATGAATAATTTATGAATCCCGCGATCACGGCGGGAGAAAAAAAGCGATCGTGCAGTCAGACTAACATTGAGAGAGCAGTTCTGATGCAACGGTGCTCACCGACCGATGAGCACCGAGCACCAAAGCAAAACAAGAGGAGCTCTTTAGTAGTGGTAGGCGAGGGGAGCCTTATAGGCCAGAGGGGCGGCATAGGCCAGGGGGGCGGCCTTGTAAGCGACGGGGGCGGCATGAGCGTAGGTCAGGGCGGGGGCGGCGGCAACAATGGGGGCCTTGTACAGGGCGGGGGCAGCATAGACAGCGGGGGCGGCGTAGGAGTGAGCGTACTGGACGGGGGCCTTGTAGATGGCGGGGGCGGCGGCGTAGACGGCGGGGGCAGCCTTGACGACGACGGGGGCGGGAGCGTAGGCCTTGACGACGGGGGCGGCGTGGACGGCGTGTCCGGACCTGGTGACGTGGGCGTTGAAGCCGTTGATGGGGTCGGCGGTGTAGTCGACAGTGCGGGTGGTGCCGTCAGCCTCGAGCAAAGAGTACTGGCCCTTGACGACGTCTCCGTCGCGGGTCTCGTGCTGGCTCTTGTGGTCACCGGTGTGGGGGTCGTTGACTCCGTAGTTGAACGAGTAGTGAGGGCGGGCGTGGAAGTCCACGGCCTTGACGTAGGCGGGGGCGGCGACCACCAGGGGTGCACCGGGCTCGGCGCACACGCAGGCGACCAGAGCGGCGAAGGCGAGAACGATCTGTGTAATTGAATCAAAATATTAATTATTGAAAGTCTTCGGTGGATTCCAAATTTTTTGTTCAAAAGTCAAAACATCATTACAAATTTAATATTTGTGTTTCAGTTTATTTTAAATATCAGCCTTAATTTTTTAGAGGAATTAAAAAAGTAATTTACCTTAGCAACCATGATGATGATGTATGAAATCCTGAAGCAGAATATCCTTGCGAGTTGAGCGCCGCTCCTTTTATACCCGCACCACTAACGTTTTGACCGCTCGACACTTCCACTCGGAAACTTGAGTGACCGGCGGTGGTGAGGGTAAACAGAACTCTATGGCCGCGAACAAATGATGCTGAAAATTAATGTGAAATCACAACGAAGGTCGCCCGTATTGTGATAATGATTTTTTTAATTCCTCAAATTTTTAAAATTTGTCGCACCATAAAACAAATTTGGATTGGGATAAATTATTTATGATATTCCTTTGTAAGGGGCCTATGGAAATTTACGACAGTATTGAATCGTCTTGAGAGACGATTCTATCTTCAAAAGACTCTTGTGGTGTAAATAAGGTGTCTGCGACAAGTACATCGCTTTTACTGGAAAATGCAGTCGTCCGCACTGTGTGATATTAATCGGAATTCGTGGAGAAAGCTTTTTGAAGACGAACCATGTAGGGCACTTAAACGCACCGGCCGATCATTCCCACCTGCAGTTAAATTGAACGAGCGCATCTCTAATTAATCACTTTCTTCTGCCGTCTGCATGTAAAATATGAAACTCGCCGCTCGGACGACGCAATGTATTAAAACTATTGCAGCTGCAAAATATTATGCTCTTGAAACAATCGTTCGGACTCGCACTTTAGCTACTTAGTCATAGAAATGATGCATAATTCATCAGGTGAAATGGACTCTTGTTACGCAAGCCGCGCTCTGCCTAGCCGAAGAGTCGCGGCGATTTACATGCTCCGGAAAGAAAGCAATTACACAAGGAAACGCGCACATTTCGCGCGCGGAATGAGATAATTGGAGCTCGATTTATTTTATTCGCCGCTCTTATTCAATAATCAGCTTCCTCGTTGCGCATCATAAAATCATTTCATTCATCGCGGGTACGATTTATCTGACGCGAGTCGCACGCACGCAGTATACTTTCTTCCTTTGAGAATTGGCTTCGGGCTTGAGTTGCTCTCGACGCGACTTCTTTTCCTGTCAAGATGCATGGAGAGCGCTGAAACATACAATCAATCAGAATTTATGCGTGCTTTGATTTGCCATGGGCAGCACCGGCAGACTTACAAGCAATAAAGTTATTTCGCGTGTCTCTGTAAATTTTTTTGTCGTAAAATTGATTTTTTAATAGTTCATAATTTCTCAGAATATTTGCTTTCTTGATAAATGTTTATTGTTTAGCATTTTGAGAGGAAATATTAGAAAACTATTTTTTTTATTTAAAATTAAAATTATTTGCTTTGGTTTATTGAAATTCCATTTTTTTTTTATTATTTAAGCGATTCAAAAGTTTAACCTGGCCCTAGCTTTATGATCGCCTTCTGCATTGCTTTATATTTGCCTAACTTGTTATAATCACATTACAGTACTTTTTTTAATTTATTTCCTGAATTATTAAATTTTCTAATTGTTTTTTTTTTTTTTTTAATAATTCATTTAACTTCTTAATTTTTTGTTTTTAAATTTAAAATATAATTAAAATATATTTTAACTGGTTTAATATTTTAAAGCTAATACATCCATACAGTTGACGGTGCCTCATTTTATTTTATTTTATTCATGAAACTTTTAAAAGTGTTGAACAATCTTCCTTTGAGGCAGAATTATTTTATAGCTCAGACGTAATTCCATATGGAAACAATAAGAGTGCTCTGGCAACGAGTGTTGGTTTTCCCGAAGTATTTTTATTGGCGCCATCGTTTGTCAATCGGCTGCGCTTTTGCAGTGAAATAAAATGAAAAGTCAACAATATCAAGAGCATTAAATAATTCATGCAGTGTGTCAGAGGCGGCCGCTTTCCTTATTGCATATGGAAGCGTTATTGCACCTCATGCGCGCAACATATGGAGCATGAAAAGATTGTACTTCCAGTCGCGTATACGTGCGGACATTAAATGATATAATCATTTCGATACACGGAGGTGCATTTGTTTCACGTCTGCACTTTATTTATTTACGGCTTGCATTTTTCTTTCTTGTCTCCGAGAGGCCAGAAAAGGGAAGGGCCGCTCAAGACCTTGCGTCAAATAGGAGGAACTGCGTCTCTATTTGATTGCGCGGTGTCGCAGCCGCACTCTCTCTAATGCGGGTGATTAAATGCGTGTACTTAAAATGTATAATTATTGATTTTAAGTATCGAGCAGCTTGATTGAGAAATTATTGAGTTCTAATAAGTAAATGATATTTTGAACTGAATCGTGAATATTATTACTACCTTGATAATTTTTAATGCTTTTTTTATTTTTAACAACTGCAATTTAATAAAAATTAAAAGTCGTCTCATAATTGGCTTGTTCAATTTTGGTATATAAATTATCATGTTGCGTATATAATTTTGGAAAAAATTTCATCATTTTTTTCCCAAATTTCCTTTAAAATTTAAATAAATTACATTAAAAGGTGTATAACATTTTAATTGTAACAAAATTTGGTACTTGCAATATGAAAAATTATTTGCAAAAATTTTATTGCTTATTAATTTTCATTTCTTTTGTTTTATTGTTTATTTAACTTCGTTGTTACTTTTATACATCTTTACATTCCATTTTTGAAAATTTATTCCTTTCAAAATTCTGACTTCACAGCTTTTACTTAATTTTATCAAATCACATTATTTTTGAATAATTTAGTGCAAATAAAAGAAAGAAATAGAAAAACGACGAAATGATGTAGATGAACTGAAGTTCATTCCAATATGAAATTGCCACTCTCATTTAAATATTTGTCTGCCTAAAGCCTAAACTCTGATCAGACTAACAATGTGAACGCTATAATTTAATTTATTTAATTTGCGCTATAATTTATTTCTCATATTTTGTTTCAATTTACGGACCTCTTTTTGTTAACAGATTCTTTCTTTACATCACGTATTGATAACATTCACTGTAACCTGAAATTTGCTTTTATTTAATATAATTTTAACAGCCTGATTTAATTTTTATAATTTTTACAGCAATCCTTTGTTTGCCGCGATGATTAGTACATTTTTCATTAATTAATTAACCCAGTTACAGCTAACTTGTGAGCCCTGCTTGTAAAGTGAAACTCTCCTTTTCATCCAAAGACCGTGAATTATGATTTTTTTCGATTGCACTGATCGTTTAATGAGAGCAACATACGTCTCGTTATCGTCGGCGACCCCCGTGAAATGGAAGTTCATTTTAATTAGGGGGGCGGCGATTGCGGCTCGCGGACGGGTATGTGTGTTGTGATGCAACCGCAGCCGAGATCACTTGAGCGGAACTTGCAGGTTAGTTAATTCCGCCGCGGCGATTATGACACGTCTCGTAGTGGCGCGCACGTTGGCTTAGTTAGTTAGTGTGTCTCTGTCTCACAATCGAAGCAAAGCCCATTCATAGAAAGAAAAGCAGCAACTCTCTCTATGCAAGTGCGCGCATACATAATAAACCCGCGACGGAAAAGAGACGCGTGCGACAACAGACGCCATAAATTATTCAATAAAACAATTTTCCTTTTCGATCTTTGAAACAGAGAGACTTCTTTCCGGCACGTATCATTCTGCTGTAACTTTGTCTCTGGGCTCTTTTTTATTGAAGCCAGAGCTGGTGTGGCGCAAAAACTCATTTGCATTTGTTCTAATCTAATTAGAAAAGCTTCCGTGAAGTACAAGTGGACCAGTTTTGTTTCAAATGTGCATATTTATAACACGGAAATAATTCAAACAGATGATATTGTTGTGGACAACTGAAAACTTCCGTTCCAAAAAATTTATTGAAAGCAATTTAAAGATTTTGTGAAAATTATTTTCTTATCAAAAGATTAATCATGAGGTCCAATTTAATTACTTATAAAACATTATAAAATTTATTATTTATAAATAATTAAATAACATATACATGCAGTTTACATTGAACAGTAGAAATATGGTGGGAACCGATTAATTAATTTCCCCAAATGTGTGCACAAATTTTTCACTCTAAATCGCAAATTCTCTTTCATGAGCACTCAAAAGTTGTTTGGTTCCTCAATTAAAAATTGCGTGTGAAATTTCAAATCTTAAATACTAAATGTTTGATATTTTTCTTTTACGGCTACAGCCTAGCAAGTAGTTTTAATTTTAAATCACTTTTTTCTCAAATTACAAATTAGATTCTATGATTTAAAGTAGTTTAAAGTTATATTCTCCTAATGTAATTGCCACTTCTGTAGGTCTGTAATTGTGAGAGAAAAATTTATATGGTATTAAACTTTCTCAATTATTTTTGTGTGGTTTTATTATTACTCGTAATCGTCATAGTTGTCATAATTTTCAATAGACGTGTGTGCTTTTGGCCCTTTAGGGGCCGCGGTCGCCGTTGCTCTGTGCACCTCTGGTGCTTGACCCGCCCGTTTGACCACTGCCTGGAAGCCGTTGCGCGGGTCGGCCGTGTACTGAACTATGCGCATCGAGCCGTCTGGCTCGAGGACGGTGTACTCGCCCCTCACCATGTCGCCGTCGCGTGACTCGTGGTGTGTCTGTTTGTTGCCAGTTTTTGAGTCCTCCACTCCGTAGCCAAACTTGTAGTCTGGCTTGGCCTGTAATTTAAATAAAGATCTTGAATAGATTAAACGTTTTGATGTTACGGTGCCTAAAATGAGGGATTTACAAAAGTCGCTGATATGCAGATTGGATAATAAAAATAGTGGAGCATTTCTATTCAAGGATATTTGCAAACCAAATAGATAGAATATAGAATATTACTCTTAAAATAGCTTAGTTGGCATTTTTTAGGTAAAAATGTAAAATTATTGGTCTTCGTTTTAATACATCAGAATGCAAATATTTTCCCGGGTCTATTTGAATATCAGCATTTGGCTGGTTTTTAAAATGTATTAAACCTAAACAAATAAATATCTTTTATTTGGAAAAAAAGAGAATCGGGAATATTTCACAAAATTTACATACTTGTATTTTTCTTTTTCTTGGCAAGAAGGTTAAAAATATAATACTATGGATGATTTTCAGTTCGACTTACGACAAAATCATATGAAGTTTTTGCGGAAGCTCCTGCTAAGTGTGCAGGAACAACAATTTGGTACTCGGCGCCTGAAACTGGCCCTGCAAAATGCGCGTACTGTCTGGACACTCCATGTGGAGCATCACTATTGTAGAAGTGGGATTTTTGTTTGGACGCTGTCTGGTGATTTTGTCCGTGAGTTGATGCGACAAGTAGAGCGGAAAGGAAAACCTAATGATCCATTGAAAATAAAACATTTTAAAAATAAAAATTTGTAATCAACAGAAATCAATAAATTTCTTAGTTACCCTTAAGGAAAGCTCCATGAATAAAATAGATAATATGAACAACAGAAATTGTTAACAAACAATGACACTGCGTCCTGGCCCAAATCAGCTATTTATACTATTTGTGAAGAAAGAATGGCCAAATGACACACTCCCACCTTAAATCACTTCCCGAATTCATCCAAGCTCGCTAATTTTTGCAATAACCACTTTGCCATCCATGTGCTTCCGACGATCAAACCAATGGAGCGCATCCAAAGTGTCACACTTTGTTGCAAATTGCGTGAGAGAACCAACAGTCTCTTCAAATAATAAAAAATATTTGCATTGTGTTAATTATGAATAATTTTTCTTGTGAACAATTTAATTAAATACAATTTTAATCCTTTTTTAACAAATTGAATAGTGAAAGGAATTCAAATATTGAGGAGAAAATTTCTGCAAGGTATAGTGGTATAAGTTTTTACTTTTGTTACTCCTTGCTTTAATTTTTTTGTATATAAAAAAATAATATTAAATAACGCTTTGAAAGTTATACAATGGTTTGTTTTTTGTTTCATGCTCTTTGGTTTCTTTATTTCCATTTCATAACTATACATAAAATTTGCTTTGACACATAGGTAACTACAAACACTGAAAAATAAATATTTGTATCAGCTTCTTGAGCTGCTGCGACTTGATCGTGGGTAATTTTTACACCATACTCATTGATCAACAGACAAATTCATTTAATTTGTTGCATTTATTTCTTAAAACAATCTTCACTGCCCTATCTCAAAGTTTCCTATTTCACATTCAGACAATATAATTATTATGTTATACTTTGACATAAGAAAATCACATAAGGTTGTAGCAGTTTTAATTAAAATCTCAATTGAAACTAGAAATAGACTCGGCGCGCAAAAAAGGTGTTTAGAACACAGATATTTAATAAAAAAGCTTTGCACTGCAATTGTTAAAAGTTTTTCAACTAAACAAAAATGCAGGAATTCTTAATTTACCATCAATTGACATCAACTTAATATTATGGAGTATTTAATTAGGAAAAGAGGAACAATAATCATTCCACCAAGTTAAAAATAGGCTTTCTCTTACAGATCTCGGCAAAAACAAATTTTTCTGCCTTTGTAAAATCAGCTGCCGTCATTATTTTTTATAATCAAAGTACAAAGCTTTGGAAAAGAAAATTACTTTTGAGTGCAAAGATTGTCAGCTGTGTATTCTACAAAACTGCCTTACGTCTAATCACCAGCAACAGTGTAGGAAACAAAATTGTCCAATTTGAGCCTGCCTCTCTGCAAATATCGTAGTAAATTAGTGTTGTCAGAAATCAATTCCCGGACCCCATTCTGACATTTATTTGCAGATCTCAGTGGTAAATAGCATTCAGAGTAGTAGTTAGTCTCTTGTTAATCTGCAGATTTATGCAAAAAATAAATGCAGTCCAGACAATGCTTGTATAAGTTTTTCGAAGATTTGTGCGAAAAGTCCTTTGTGAACACAGAGTGAGTTAGATGATGCAGCACCGCCGACGGCCTCGCCGGCCTTTCTCCAAGTCGTACGCTGGTTGGTTGCGTATTATGCGCACGACCTGATTTGGATGGAAATTCTGTATTAGTAGAGTATATAAAATTTAAGGAATTATCATTTCATATTTTCTAAACCTCCGTCATAAACATAAAATTTTTCAAACATTCACTCCTCAATTTTAATTTTTTTTTATGTTTTAATAATTTTATTTTATTTTGTGTTGTTTTGTGTGCAATTAATTCTTCATAACTGAATCAAATTCACCGACAATTGTACCATAAATTCATTTAATTTCCAATGGCTTTGAACAAGTTGGAATTTCAAACTTGAACTTTTTGAATAACGAATGTGATTTTTATTCTTAATTTCAAAATTTAAAAAAAATACCTCTTGGAAAGCTGCATCCACATTCAAGGGAGGGTCTTTGGCACTGGTCTCAATATAGGGAATGCCAAGGCGGTGGGCCAGTTCTCGTCCTTGTTCCTCGGTTACTTTCCTCAAATGGACCAGATCAACTTTGTTGGCAACCAAGAGCATAGGATAAACGTCCCTGAAAAATTTATCAGAGTTTAGTTTCTAAATTTTTACATTAAATTAAATACGACTTATATATTTTTTTTTGAACACTGAATTTGCTTCAATACTAATTAAAAATGCCAAACCTGTCTTTCACTCGCAGGATCTGGGTGTGAAAGTTCACTATGTTTTCATAGCTCTGCTTGTCAGTAACAGAATAGACTAGTAAAAAGCCATCGCCCTTCCTCATATATTGTTCCCTCATGGCACTGAATTCTTCTTGTCCTGCCGTGTCCAATACTAAAATTTTTTTTAGAAAAACCATCAATTAAAATTTAAAATATTAAAAATAAAAGCAAATAAAATTGAGATAAGTTATATTGAACAAAACTAAAAGAAAATTTTTGCAGGAGGTGCTAGAAGTGAAGAAAAAGTTTTTCATTAATTTATATTAGGTTCTATTTTTCAATTATATACAAAATTTTCTTCAATTTGAATGCGAGATTAAAATTTCAGTCGCTAAATTATTCCTTATTTTTATTTTCAAAAATTAATCAAAAAAATTTTGCCCTCTACCATCAAGAATGCACCATTTTCCATCGACTTCCGTGTGTTGGATGTAGCTGTCCTCGATGGTGGGGTCGTAGTCGGTGACGAACAGCTTCTGGAAGAACTGGATGGTGAGGGCGCTCTTGCCGACGCCTCCGTCGCCGACCACCACCAGCTTGTAGGCCGGCAGGTTCTCGTTGGGCGGCTTCGACATTCTCCGCGACGTGGCTTAACCGGACGCGGACCTCATTTCTGCACTGAAATTAGAAACCAAAGGTCAGAACCCTGCGGCCCAGGGGTGCCTACGTGCGTCCTACCAGCCACGCCTTCCAGCTCCGGACGGATCAAATTACTGGCCGAAATTCGCATCCAAAGGAAGGCCGAGGGGTTCCAATTTGGAAGACACGGACGATTCTCGGTTCCTCCACCTCGGTCGGCGTGCAGACGGATCCCGGGCCACAGGCGAGGCAATTTGTGAATGTTTTCCTCGGCGATCAGTCAATACACGGCTGCCCTTTTGTGTTCCATTACTCGACGGTCATGCGCACTCGCTTCCAGGGCCAAAGGAAAATCCATTGAATATTAGCATGCGCCGGCCCATTCAACCCACTATGCCTCTGTAATCGCGGCAATGAGCCATTAAATTTCGATAGGCTATGATTATTCTTAGGGTCCGTTTTGTGGAGGTCAATACACCAATGAATTATTTATTATTGGTTCAAATAACTTCTAAATTTCATAAAAAGTAGTGTCGTTTTTATCAGAAAGAAATTCGCCACATGCACGCTATAATTATATTTATTCTCTAATCAATTTGTTGAATTACAATTAGTAAGAAGTAGCAAACAGAAATATTTAGTACTTTAAAAAAATTAGTCTTTTGACAGCATAACAAAAAATTGAAGAAATATTATTTAATGTTTTTTTAATAAGAACTAAAGTAATTAAAATATTTTTAAAAATAATTTTTATTAATAAGAAAGAATGGAATTAGCTTTTCACGTTATGCAAATGAATTCCCTAAAACATTGTATAGTTTGTAACTAGTTTTAGGTGATAATTATATTATCTTAGCAATTAAAGATTAATTATTTTTTTTTCATTTTGAAGCTTTTTTGGTTTGTATAGGTTTTTATATTATAGAGTTTAGAATTGAATTGAATTGAATATAATAATTACCTCGCATAATTACAATATTATTAAATTAAGTTTGTACTTTATTTTGGTACATCATTTTATATTATTCTATTTTTGTTTTGTTGCAGAAAATTTAAATAGACTCCATCTCTAAGACGCTCAACTACTGACCCATACTGTCCTTTGCAGGAAAGAACAATTGTTACTATTTCTGGTGAGTAATACTTTTAATTTATATATAAATCTGGCAGCATTAAAAAACCTGTTATACAGAGCGGGGAACACACTACAGCCTTTTTTTAATTCCGCGCGGTCTATTTATTCATTTACAAAATAATTTTAAGATTTTAAATTTTATAACTTTACTCACTTGATTTAATTAAAGTTTTATTTAACAATTATAGGGTTGAAAAATAAAAACAAATGGTAAAAAAAAGTAGAAAAAGTTTCCTTGTAAAAACAGTTTTTTCTCCTTGTGCTTCATTAAAGTGCCTCAAAAACGGCGGAAGCTCCTGTACTCGGACAGTCCACCTCCCTGTACGCCAAATCCGTTGCAACCTTTGCATTAAAGTTGTATTCAAACTGGATGACCACACACGCATCTTTTGAAGTGGTGTTCAGTCCATCATCCCTCGCCACCCACGGCAGAAGCAAATCGTTGAACGGTTTTGGGCCCTTGACCGCGCAGAAAGAAAAAACAGGCTTTTCTTTTTTGCACGCACGCTTGAAACCAGAAATCCAAATCCGTTTGCTTTGCAGCTGCATATCTGATCACATGAATCAATAAATTTAAAAAAAAATTGATTAGAATTTGAGAGTCTCACCCGAGAGCCCGTTTTCTATGACACACTTGACCTCTTTTGCATTTGCAGGCTCCCAAAACTTTTGCTCGCTTGATAGCAAAACTGTTCCTCCAAAGAAAAATGTGTCAAAATTGTCCTGATCATTTTTTTGTATTTTTAAATTGCTCAGCAAATAAATTAAGATTACATTGCCTGAAAATCCAAATGCAAGTTTTTTGCCACAAATTTCCTTTATTCTTGGGGGAACTATTTTTTTTTGTCAATGAGCACTCTTTATTTCTAAATAGAATATGCGAGGACTTACAGAAGGAATAAATATTCCGCATATCCTTTAACTAATGTTGAGAATAAATTTATAAAAAATAAAAATATAATATCTAAAAATTTATAAATTTAAAAAATTATACTTTTTCTGCGTTTGCAGTTGCTGGGCATTTTGAGCAGGAGCCATCCTATAAATTTTTTTCTTTTCAGTTTGCGACAAATGAAAGTGAAAAATAAATTATTTATTACCAATCCAAGTGTAGTTGAAAAGTTCAGTTTGCAGCGCTTATTCAAAAAATTGGTTAAATTCAAACATTGAGAAACGCATGTTAAAATGTAGAGTTTTTTCCTTGACGGACTTTCAATCGCTGCGCAATTTTCAGTAATTGGCTCAGTATATGCTCTGCAAAGCTAGAAGAAATAATAAATTTGAAAATAAAGGTTCTTTTAGGAAAACTTTTTCTATGAAATTAATTTGTTTTGGTTTGGGTTTTGAAGCTACTTATTGTTGCGTTTCAAAAAATTAAATAATAAAACGTAGTTGGCTCTTGAGAAAAATTAGACTGTAAAAAGTGGTCTCTATAACCTATTTAAGGAGAGATTCTTCAGCTAAAAAAAAAATTGCCTGATAAATTTTTGCTCCTTTCGGCCAGTTGACCAACATAGGAATTTAAACCCTAGAGCACAGCGTACAAAAGTGGGTATAATAATAAAATATAGCCTGATTCAACTTTTTCCGGAGCTCCTTTTTAAACATTGAATCAATTAAAGTTAGATAAATCGAAACTGAAAATACTAACTTACCGCTTGGGATATGACAAAAATTTTGAAATACGTGGAAACTAGCATTGTTCTAGATACTCGAATCCTTTGCTTCTGCAGAATTTTAACTCTGCCCTGTGTTTTATAGTCCACTAAACTAACGCTGGGCCAAGCCTAAAGTCATTTGGGAAGTGTGGCTTTGTCGCAGGAAAATACCCCTACAAGTTCAGTGACAGTGACGAACGAGTAGGCGCTTATATTTGCTACTGTTATTAAAAAATGCATTATTTATAAATCTAGAAACGTTCACATAGACAAATGCTGAAATAAGCAACAAATTCTCTCACAGCTTAATTTTTTTTATTTGTATCGTAAAATCTACAAAAAAAAATTGATGGGTAAAAGTGCAGAAAACCGAATGTTGGTAGAATTTTGATGCTGCGAATGAAAAAAATTTTAGTAATTACCAAAGCAAGCAAGTATCACAAACTTAAATTTAGTTTCCTGGCAGCTTGAATACGTTCACTTTTCTGACTTGTGCAAAAGCTGAATTGCATTCAGTGGCTATTTTTTTCTAATTAGTTCTCTTTGAACACTAAAAAATTTATTTCGCTCACTTGCTTTCCGATCGCAATACTGCAGGTTTTTTTTTGTAATCATATTAATTGGAGCAGATTAAGAAAAAAATTACCCTCATCAGCTGCTTGTACATGCAGTTCATCATAATGGTTGATTTGACGCTGCAAAATATGCCATTGACTTGTATCGCTTCCGGGGTTGCACCTTTGACCAAACAGAAGTGTTAAAGCAAATCAAAATTTTCATTTCAATTCATACAAGCAGCGGGTTCCTCGCAATTGAAAAGGCAATCTTGGATTTTTGGTGCCCAGTATTGATCGTTTTTGTTCGATTCAAGGAAAACCCTTTCCACTTCCGCCACGTCAAGACCTGAGCCGTTGAACTGCAAAATCCAAATGAGAGGTAATTAAGTAAAAAAATCTTTGCTCTTACAAGGCCCGCTTCGGAGAATACACAGTCATTGTAACACTAATCAAAATAAATATTTCATTATCTGCAGTAATTAACTCTTCTCTTTATGAAATAAAAAAACTCACCACAAACTTCAGAGATATCTTTTCTAAATAAAATCAAGACCATCACACTCAAGTGGATTTTAATTTTTTAATTTTTATTTTACGAGCTGCCTCTGATTGGCGTCCAAGTCTTCCACCTGCAACATTTTTAGCAGACTTTCGCGCCGCATTGAGACTGTTTGAGATTTGTTTGAACCAGTTTGTTGTGCGGGCGGCATTATTTAGCTTGCGGTTCTTCTTTTTGTTCCTTTTCGGTTTTTGATTAGTGTAAGAATTGGCGCCTAAATTTTGATTAAAATAGAAAAAGATAATAATAATAATAATAATAAAAGTCACCATCTGCTGGTGGACAAGACGTGAGACCATCCTCAGGTAAAAGGTATGGTAGCGGCCTCTTGCAGCATTGCAGCGCTTTCTGTTAGGGACAAAAATTTTTACCAGGATTTGTCAAAGTTATCAAAATATTTCAGAGTTAACATTGGATTCAATTAATTTTACCCAATATTTTCTGGTATGATTAACTTTTGAAATAAAGCCTTACATAGAATTTAACGTAGGTATCATGCAGCTTGTAAGCGTAGTTCTGACGCTTAGAGCGAGGAATAACTCGAATGTCACCTATAGATTTTGAACATAAATTAATAGCTAATTAGCTACTTATCACTAATAAATTTTTTAACAAATATAAAATATAGAAGTTCTATATTTTATTGGCATATTTCCAAATATATGCATTGTAAAATATTTAGTAAAATTCAAAGCCGACCTTCTTCTTTATATTTGTGAGGGTTAGTGTCCTCCTTGCTAGTCCGTTCCCATATTAATATGGCCACCTGTATAATTCATTTGTAAAAATATTTTAATCCTTTTTTTAACGGGAATGAAGAGTGAGATATTTTTAAACAAAATTGTAATTATATGTACCAATAATGAAGCGGCGATTGATAATAAATACTTCTTTTGAAATTTTTCTCCGGCCATGTTGGCTTTGCTTTTCCGTCCCGTGTATGTGGTTCTAGAATTTTATGTTATGAAACTGGGACGCCATTGCCCGGAAATCACAAGCACGATTTGGCAACGACAGAGGGGAATAATATACAGAATATCACTGCGAGAGTTGATGGACCCATCAACTTAATGACACATTTGAATTCAAAGTATTCACATTTTTTAATTACATAAACACGGCTTGATAAAAAAGGATATGAAAATAAAATTTATTTTATTATTTTCTTTTTATAAATTTATACCATTTTTAACCTGATTTTTTTTAATTTTAACCAAAATTATATAGTTCATTTTCTGTCTTGAATTCAACAATTATAAATTAACAATATTATAATTTTTTAATCATTTATTAATTTATTTCACATTGTTTCTTGTTGAAATTTGAAATTCTTCTACTAATCGCGATGAGCTTTAAAGACGTCTGTTCTCTTCAGTTGTGCTAGGGCCGTGTTACATTTGGCAGCTACATTAACACCACGATTAAAAAAAATTCATTAGAACAATAAAAAAAATTAATTAATTACTGTTTTTTCTTGCACAAGCCTATTAATTTTCCACGTTACTAAATTTTACAAAATTTTATAGGAAAATGTTACTTTGGACAGCTGGATGCGCATGCAGTTCATCAAAATTGTCGGTTTCATGCACCAGTATTTTTTATTGACCAGAATAGTTTCTGGAGAGGCGCCTTGAATTAAACAATATTTATCTGCTGCAGTATTTAAAAAATTATATAATAAATATTCACAAGCAGACGGTTCTTCGCAAGCGTAGAGTGCATCCAAAATTGTATTCTCCCATTTTGGATCCGTATTAGTGGCCTTAAACGTGTCCTCAATTTTTTGCAATATCAGCGCTGATTCGTTGAGCTGCAAATAATTAATTTTTCAATCTATTTTACTTTATAATTTTGCATTTTACCAGGCCAAGATAAGAGAAGACGCAATCAGTGTAGCACTGTGAGAAAAAAACTTAATTTATTTATTTGAAACTAACCTGAATAAAAACTTACGACTGATGACAGAAGAATTTTTTCTAAATAAATCAACATGTAGATTCCGTTTTGAAATCAATTAAATTTTAACTAACGCGGCTCTGTGCTCGCTGCTTGGCGACCTTTTCTGGCGGCCTGATTCTTATTATTGGTAGTGGCTTTCTTTGCAGTGCTGGGCAGAAAGTTTTTCCTTATACGCGACAGCCAGTTATCCTTTTGCTTGGTTTTTTGTTTTTGCTTTTGCTTTTGAGGCACATAGTTGCCTATTTCAAAGTGAAAAATCAAGTTCGCTCTGCATTAAAATTAAACGTACCATTTTGACAAGCGTCCATTGCATCTTGTGGCAAAATGTCAGGTAGAGGGTCCTTGCAACAATCCTCATTATCCTATTGAATTTTTCAATCAGGTGCAAATTAAATATTGAATTATTTATTTAAAAAAGTACGCTCAATCTCTGATAAATGGTGTTGAGTCGTGCCGCGAAATTTCCACGCTTTGTACGGTGAAGAACTCTGTCGTCTCCTGCAAAAATTATTAAAAATGCTTTATGCTCATTACTTTTTAAACTCAAAACCTTCTTCCTGGTAGCCGAGGGGATTTTCATAAACATCAAGATCATTGTTTCGACCCCATAACAGAACCGCCACCTGAAAATTAAGAATCCTTTCATATTCATTTTTTGATTATTTAGATAAAAATTTTACCAAAACCGAGGCCAGTAAAGGGATCGCGTATATGTGGACTTTGATGGACATTATCAATAAATTGGAAAGGGATGGTTGTGTTTCACAAATGAAAGCTTTCAACTGTCATTAATGGGAAAGTGGCCCAGCTTTGGTTTGATGGAGGCAATTTTCCGTCAGTAATTGTGAAAAATAACAGGATGAAAACGGAATAGATGCGAAATGACGTCATCAGGTAAATTTCCAAATAAATGGCTCACTGCAGAGGACGGTTTGAAAAATTTCCAGCTACAAAATATTATTGAGAGCTGATATATTGACTGTGGGAGCAAAGGAAAAGTGAAATTTTCAATCAAGAATTCAATTTTTATTGAGAAAGTACTCAAGTTTCAAATTATTTATCATTTCATTTTTAATTGCCGGGAACCTTAAACAGGTCGGTTTTACGCAACTGGGCCATGCCAGTGTTACAGGTGTAGGTGTTTTTGACACGTGCTGCTGGATTCTATTTGTTTATAATTAATTTCCAGTATTTTTAGGCATAATTGACGTACAAGGCACAATGCTTTCTGCATGCAGTTGAACAGCATGACGGGTTTGACGGAGCAGTAATTTTTGCCAACTTTCACGGTTTCTGGTGAAATACCTAAAAACAAATTAGATTTTTTAATAATAATAAATAATAATGAAAATAAATTAGTTTAATCTCGTTTTAACTATCATCGAGTAAAGTAATCATTACTTTGAATTCATTGTTGCCAAGTATTAAAGTTTTCTTAAAGATCTTTAAAATCTTGTATTCTCAATAAAATTTAAACTTAAGAAGTCAAGCCATTAAAATTGCAACTGCGAAATTTAAAAATAGAGAGATTCTATAATTAATGTTTGTTGTTAACTTCGAAACTTACATGCTGAGTTTTGCTCGCAATCGTAAAGAGCGTTTCGGGTCAAGCCACCCCAGTCAGCACTGCTTTTGCCACCACCGAGGCTTTCTGCTGAGGTTGTTGCTGTTGTTACAAACGTTTTTTCCACTTCATCCAGGTTAAATGCGGACATGTTCAGCTTTTTTTTAATTAGTCGAAGTTCATTTCTAAAATGCATTTAACTTGCCAATTGCATGTAAGAGAACATGCAGTCCATATAGCACTGCAATTAAAAAAAGAATCAGTGGATCTGAAGCCCTACTTTTGGTATTACCACAAATGAGAACATGTTTTTCTCTTAAAAGATTTTGGTTATAAGTTATTTAACTTTCATAATTTAAATTAGCTACGAGCTTCTCCTTTTATTGCTGGCTTCTTTTGAATGGTTGATGTTAGGTACGGTTTGATTTTGTTGAACCAATATTTTGTGTCCTGTGCTTTATTGCTGCCTTTTTTCTGCTTTTGGCTTTTGTCGACTATTCCTTTGATTACTGCAGGAAAGAAGTGGTTAAATTTCTTTTTTCATCAGCGCTCAGAATTTCAGTTCAGGGACTCACAATAAGAGCAGGCTTCTTCGGCATTGTTTGGAATAAACTGAGGAAATTGGCAGCACTTGTCAACTTTCTGTTTTGACGAAAAAAATGAAACTTTCCCAATTAAAACAATTGCAAAATTTAAATAATGCTCTGAAAATTTTACTCCAAATTGCTGGTAAATGTTTTGCAGCCTGGTGCTAAAAGAATTCCTTTTGAAGCGGTGCAAAACTCGGTCATCAGCTTTGAGCAATTTTATTCTGCTAATTCATTACATAATATAATAAAAAAAAAAACTACCATCTTCTTGATAGTTTAGAGGATTAGGGCTGACATCCAAACCTCCATTACGATCCCAGAGGTAAACAGCGATCTTATATATAAAAGAATATTGTAATACATTACCCATTAAATTTAAAAAAAAAGAATCTGTGAGGATAATAAAATTTTACAATTAACGACCCGGCAAAGGCAACAAGCAGCTGCGCAGGCAGTTTAATTTTCGACATGTTATGTAGAAATCTCTTAAATGTTGACTGCTGGGCCTGCACGAATCTGGATGTTGTTACTGGGGAACTGGAAACAAAGTCCACAGGATATGAATTGTGTGTTTTACAACCTGCAGCCCTGCTCCCTGCTGGTAATTAGAAAAACGGGAGAGGTGCGATAGAAAATAATCGTGGGAAAGGCAGAAGTTAACTAAGCTAAAAACTTACAATTTTATAAGTAATGAAATTATGAAAATTAGATTATTTGATTCTTAAATTTTTGATACATTATTTGATATTTAAATTTTTCCACAATGCAATTATTATATTTTTAAAATATTTTTTAAAAAGCTTTTTGAGATTTTTTTGCATTTTTCCTGATCTGCTTACAATTAGCATTCAAAATATGGAGTCATAATTCTTCTTGAGAGCGGCGCACTTTAAATATTCAAGTCTCTTTTACACATTAAGCTATGAACGTCATTTAAAAAGTAAAAACTATTAAACTCACGTTCATTAAGTTATTATAATTAAAAATTTATTTTATTTGTAAAATTTAGTATATTGGTGTACCACTATGCAATCTCTGCCAAATCATATTAAAAAATTCACAAATTATTTTACACTCTCTGCAATCGGCATCACTTAAAAATTTTAAATCAACCTTTGCTATAATTAATCAGGCATTTTATTTTCTATTAATTAATCTTATCGTCTAGGTAACAAAGATTCTCAGTGTAGATCCAGTTATAGTCAAGCAATTTGTCTTAAAATAATAAATTTAACTAATAACTTCTAGATTATTTTTGTTTCATGAAGATCTTTTTCTTATTGTTAGTACATTTTAATTTTGCATGTTCAGCATATTTGTCCTCTTGAGGTTTGCCATCTTTGCAGTGCAATCAGGTGCTACAATTTTTTTGAAGTTGATTTTTTTTAGATTGAAAATTTGAACACCTACTCCTCTTGCAATTTTTGCCTTTGAGAGACTCCAGTAAATGTTTTCTCACGCAGTTCATCAAAATAGTAGGTTTAATTGAACAATATTTCCCATCAAGTAGGATTGATTCTGGCGTTGCACCTTTGAGATTGTCTTTTCAGTAGAATTAAGTGAAATGAACTTAAAAACTTACACGCCGAGGGTTCTTCACATGTGTAAAGGGCGTCGTCCAGAACATCATTGATTGTCTTATTGTTGATCGTGTCCTTCATAGTTAACTCTATATCATTCAGCATGAGGGCTGATTCGTTCAGCTAAAATTCACTTTTGAAAATAAAATTTTGTGGTCTTAAGATAATTTAGAGCGCACCAAGTTCAAATAGGAAAACGTACAGTCTGTGTAACACTTTTATAAATAAAAAAATAAAAAAATTAGATAAGACAAAATTTTGTTTAGTTTACCACCGACTGGAGCGTGATTTTTTCTATTACCAAAAATAAATTCATTTTTAGATTTTTTAGTCAATACCAAACATCAACTTACGAGCTGCAGCTGTAGTTTGGCGGCCCTTTCGTGCTGCATTCGACTTTTTGTTGTTTTGTGGAAATAGTCTTTTAGATATTTGATTGATCAAACTCAGAGGTGCGTTGTTGTTTTTCTTTTTCTGCGATTGTTGCTTCTGCTTTTGTCGCTTGTTTACAGTTTTCCCTTCAAAAACTAAATGAAAAGTTATTTAAAAATATTCCATATAATATGCAATGTTTCTATTACTGGGATTGCAGGCAGCAAGTGCTTCAGAGGGTAACAAGGGTGGTAGGCTGCAGCAACCTTCTACGTCCTTTAAATCAGAATAATTTTATCAGAAAAATTTGTAACATCTTTGAGTTTGCAAGATCTTACATTCAGTGATGAGTATGCTTGTCGCAGCTTCCTAGCAAAAGTATTTCTTTTCTCTCGGGTGAGCACCCTGTCGTCACCTGAAGCCTCAAAATGATTGAACATTCCAGAAGCCCAAGATTTTATTTTTAGTTTACCATGTTCTTTATAATTCAGTGGATTATCACTATCAAAATTTCCACTGCGATCCCACAGCATCATCGCCAGCTGAAAATTTCAGATCAATTAATTAAGTTGACCTCAGTTTTTATTTTCCACGATTTAAGTTTTTTAATAGATTTAAAACACTGAAGTGTCAAAAAATCTTACAATTGTGGATCCAATAAATGCAGCTATCAGCCTGGCATGTAAATTCAACGTCACTTTAAAATTCATATTGTGCCTTTTAAAATATCACTGAAAATCAAACTGCGGCAGCGTTTCGATAACTAGGTCGCCAGAGTGAAATTTCACAATCCAGAATTAACAGGATGTTTCAGTTGGCAAATGAACGTTATGGGATGATTTGCCCTCCCTAAAGCGTGCTTGCTGTTTACGTCAGCAACATATGTTTAGTGTTTACTTGCGACAATAAATTAAATTTCTCACATGTACATATTATTTGTTGTAAATTTAGCTACTGATCTTAACATATTTTGATGAATTATTATTATCATCGTTGAGAAGAATCGTTGGGAAGAAAAATTTAAAGCATCAGTTTTTTTGTGATTTTCTTTCATTTTTTTTTTCTTATTCACTACATGTTTTTAAAAGATTCCTCCCAAATATTGAGTTCTTACTATCTTACTAACGTCCAGGGACTCTTAGCAAGAAAATAGCAAAAGTATTTATATAATATTTAAATAATATTTGTCTCAGAATAATAAACAGCGAAATGAGCTCAGCTAGTAACCTTGATGTTCTGTGGAACTGACAGGAAATTGTTGGTCGTGACGCGTGGGATTCGGACCGTGTTGTGATGCAAAAACCGATCATATAATATGGAGTAAACGATGGAGGATTCCTCAAAATTCCCTTGTCAGACAAAAAATTTGCACAATTGCTAACAATAAAATTAAATAAAATGAGCGTTTCCGAGTGAATTTAAAGGGCGATTGGACGATTTTGGACTAGGCAGAACCTGTGTATGATTTTTATACATGTTTGAGAGGGTGCCCAGGGGTGTCCACACACAAATTTTCAGACCTCTAAAAAGGGGCGTTACCCAAAATTTCGGGACGTGAAAAATGGGCAAAAATTATTTTGGATTTGCTATAACTTTGGAACGGATAAAGTTATATTGACGTTCTTGCCGGATCCTGACGTAACTTTTTACGCTGAACAACTTTGCTGTTGACATCAAAGTTGTAGTGTTAAGGGAAATGTCACTTTTAGGTGACCTCTGACCAAAATGTCAAATTTTGACAGGGAACGCCCCCTTCGATTTTTTTCCAGGTATAGGAAAAAATGTAGCCCATGAAATTTTACATCACATATGTCAAAATTAGAACAAGGTTATTTTTAGTTTTCGAGTAATTAATCGTTAAATAAGAAAAAACGAGTCCGAGGAGGGTCGAAAATTTTGAGGTAAATTAAAGAATTAACAGAAACATAACTAAATCAAGTCAGCAATGTTCCATTGTATCAGAAATATTCAATTAAGGCAAAAGCAACATACAGGACACGATTTTTTTAAGTTTCCTTCGATTTTTGAAATAACCTCAAAATTTTCGACCCTCCTCGGACTCGTTTTTTCTTATTTAACGATTAATTACTCGAAAACTAAAAATAACCTTGTTCTAATTTTGACATATGTGATGTAAAATTTCATGGGCTACATTTTTTCCTATACCTGGAAAAAAATCGAAGGGGGCGTTCCCTGTCAAAATTTGACATTTTGGTCAGAGGTCACCTAAAAGTGACATTTCCCTTAACACTACAACTTTGATGTCAACAGCAAAGTTGTTCAGCGTAAAAAGTTACGTCAGGATCCGGCAAGAACGTCAATATAACTTTATCCGTTCCAAAGTTATAGCAAATCCAAAATAATTTTTGCCCATTTTTCACGTCCCGAAATTTTGGGTAACGCCCCTTTTTAGAGGTCTGAAAATTTGTGTGTGGACACCCCTGGGCACCCTCTCAAACATGTATAAAAATCATACACAGGTTCTGCCTAGTCCAAAATCGTCCAATCGCCCTTTAAATTCACTCGGAAACGCTCAAATCTATTTAAAAGGAAAGTAATGAGATAATTTACAAAAACGTATATATTGAATTAAAAAAATAATTTAAAAATTATTAATATAATTTATTAAATTTAATAAATTTTCCCGTCAAACTTTTACGCCACGAAAAAATTCTAAAAATTTATTTTTAGTTTTTAGCTAATGTTTGGTAGTTGAAGTTATATATTTTGGACTTAATATTTTGAAATTAAATATTGCATTTTTTTTGTTGTGTTTTTTAAAATTTTTTCGAGCCTCTACCGCTTTTCATTGTGGCAGCACTATGCAGAAAGTTTCACAGTAAATGGCACACACGTTTTTTTTTTAAGGTCAAAGCAGCCATATTAGAATCAAAATTTTATAAAATGCTTCGCTATCGCTGCTTTTAAAAATGGTATGGACTTTTTTCATTTTAGCCTTCCTTGCACTGCAACTTAACGTAGAAGCTGAGGTGAGTGTCTCGACGACGATAAAAGACAACAAATAAAAATTGAAACCACCACTAGACGTACATTAACTCTTCTTTGGAGACTGAATTTGGCAGAAGCCACAGAGAACGAAGGGCGGCGCGAGCTCTCACAATCAAATGCTGCAATCTCAAGACGTGCCAAGCAGCACAAAACATTAAAAACCGGCCTGGGTACGGACGGGTCTCACGTGCTTTCATGTAAATTAATTTTGAATTCAAGCAATTCCGGTGGAGATTTTCCAGAACAATCTACTACGACTTTTGCACAGTCTTGTCCCCAGCAGCCCTTTGGAGTTAATTTTGCATTCCATTACAAATTCATCATAATAATGCCTCGTTTGCAACGCAGAAATTAGCTTTGTGTTGCCAAAATCACCCAAAAATATTCGACTACATGGAGTCTGAGTTGCGTCTGTGCACAAACAGAACCTCTAACCCCCGGGACTACCAATATTACAAAACAGTTTTGCTTGAATATGTGCTGCACAACGCTATGAACATGAAAAATAGAATTGACCGTGAAAGAAAATTTTAGAAAAATTAATTTAAAAAATCCAATTAAATTTTTAGTTCGACGGGTTCCAATGGCAGTTGTAAGTACAAAATCATAATTGAAGTGCGAGGAACATATTAAATCCTTTCATGATGGAGTCATTCTTAGTATAAATTTTCAGGTTGATTAACCTGATTTACTATAATTTCTTTTTAATGAGAGTGAATAGATGTTTTAGGCGATGATTTAAAAATAGGTTTTTAGCGGTATGTAGGAATGAAATTCAGAAATAATTATTAAATTAAATTTTTCAACTTTATTTTTAAATAAAGGTATTTTATAATTAAGAAGAAATTTAATATAATCGATTTGATAGGAAATTTCCAAGAATGGCTCCTTAAATTTTTTAAGATGATATAATCTCTGAATTTCAACACAAATGTTGAAATTTTTATATCATCCTCTGCTGCACCTCATTTATAATGTTTGCACTGCATGAAGCTGAAAATCAATACACACACGCTAAACAAGTGATTCCACAGAAATTCATGGATTGCTTCTTCACGGAGCGACGCTGGGTAAGCATCAGAGCTCGCGCACTTAATCAAAGTCTTATTTACATTCGGGCCTTTCAAGAATCACTCGCGGAAAGCGCTTGCTTATAAGGCCCCGAATTGGGAATCCATTGAGCGCGGCCGCTATCTCACTTTTAGCCCGACTTAGCCTCTATTTCCGTCCGCACAACGGAATCCGTCCGTATTTGTTGAAGGGAGATTGCTTCTCTCTCGACCCCTTTTATCTGGTGAGACAAGCAGCCTGGCCGACGTTGAAGCATTGCCGGTTGCATAAATGCGATTTCGAACGCCATGTTCGGCTCATTCATCTTCCCTCTGCCAGCGATTTTTTTCTCTTCAGTAAAACGCGGACTCTTTAACTTTTCTGTGCTGCAAAATAACAAAAATCGGTAAAATCCTTTGAATTTTCTTAAATTTTGTTTTTTGTTTTAGCAAAGTTTGTAAATTTAGATTTTTCCTTTTTACAAACCTTTTGAAAATGTATTTTACTGTTATAGTCAGGCCTCTGAAAGCGAATAACTAAGGGAAGCGGTGTGGGTGGAGCGTAGGTGTAGGGAAATACACAGAAGTAGCCCCTGTAAAGTATGCGCAATTTTGTTATATTTACAAGAGATTAATTACAAGTGAAATTAAAATCCCGCGTTTCCCTACTAAAATTGATTCTATGTCATGCGATATTTTTGTCGGGGCCAAAAGTGGCGAATCCCGAGCAAAGCCAAATGGCTTTTCATCGGCGTGAAATCCAATCCGCTTTACGCATTCCTGTTATGCAAACTTTGGCGTATGATATACATGCAGCAGAATTTATGCCTTTCCAGTTTGACGCAACCAAGCCCGAGTTGTACACAAAGTCACTGGTGGAAGAGTTCATCGACAACATTGACATCTCGTGGGACGATGTGATGACAGACGCCATCGTCAATTGCTCGCTTGTCATCAGAGGTGTTTATTTACAATAACTGTTTCACTCGCATACATTTGCCCTCTGTTGTGAAACAAACCGCGCACCGCCGCCGCGTGCTGATTAAACATTGATTTTTCTCGTTATCTCCCTCTTTCACCCCTTCCTTCCGCTGCGTCCCGCTCGAATGAATATTTGAAAAAAATTGAACCTCTTCATTTACGCTCTTTTGCAGCCTCCAATCAGCCGCTCACTTTGATGCTCCCGTCGCAAGGCAATTTTTTTTTCATTTCAATGTTTTTTCCTCGATAAATTGAATGGGTCTCTCGATGAAAACTTACAGATGACTTGAATCAGAAGCAGAGTTATTTGGCCTTTCCATTCATATTCACGCAATGCGTCAGGAAGATTCTACTCATGGTAAATAAATAGTAACGAAAAACTGCTATTTGGATATAATTAATTTATCCTTTTTTAAGTATTGTCCATCTCCAAACAAACCAGTCGTCAGTAAGATTTGAAAATTGAGCTTTTTAAATAAATTGAATGCAAAATATATCAATAGCTCAGGGGTGCATCGACCTTCGGAGCAAATTCAAATTGTGTGATCCTTTGCCAAAAACTTCAAAACCGCAGGGAGACGAGTATGAATATTACTATGAGGATGACGTAACCACAACCACTGGGGACCCAAATAATTCCAATTATTATGACTCGCTGCGAATTGATCCTGGCCAAGGTGAAGGCCAGAAAGATGACGGTGATATTGGGACAAACGGCGACAGCAATAATGGTAACGTCTACAGAAACGTTGAAAGTCAGAATATCGAAGTAAATATAAAATTTTTATGAACGGGTGTTTGTAAGAGTTTGGAAAGGGGTCTTTCTAGCCATGCTAATGATTATCAAATTTTTCCATAAGCTCAAATTTTATTATAAAGGCTATCTAAAATTGCAAATTTCATTTTACAACATCATGACTTTGAATTGTGAAATATTAAATACGTTTGAAGAAGTTGACACTCGAGGAGATGATCATGGAAATGAGGAGATCGAAATTTTTCCTCATTGCAAAAATCGTTTTTATTCAAAAACAAAACGAGCCATTTGTGTTTGAATAAAATACAATTTCTGCAACGAGGAAAGAGCCTGATCTCTTCATTTCCAAACATTATTAAATATTTTTTTAAATTTTTAACCAATTTACAATTTTATGATTTAACATTACAATTATCGCATCTATATTATTGCTTACATAAAGTAACACTTTAAGCTTTTACACCAAATTAATCAGACAGAAAACAAATAAGGATGTCGCCCAAAAAATATTATTTGAATTTCTTTGAAAATTTTTTGATAGGGATAAGTTACTTATTATAACAGAAAATTGAAAAATATTAATCTTTCATAAGATGGCATCGACACTTCTGACGGTTCTCCTGGGAACAATTTCAACGTGGATGGCTGGCGGGCGAATCTTCAGGAGAATATCAATAGTGTGAGGGCCAGGGTACGGAGCATGAGTGGTTTTCGGCGCCGGCAGGAAGAAACACAAACGACTGCGACAGTCGACGATTCACTCAGGGAGGCTTTTGGGATGATTGGCTGATGGCAGGAGAGACGCATTTTGTTTGCACCCATGATTAATGAACATTATATTCTTGTGTGTGATTTGTTAATATAACGCACGGTGGCCGGTTAATTGTGAATTCACCGAATCACTTTGTACACATCGCTGTGTTTGCCTCTGATCGATTACCTAATATACAGTCATATATATAATGGAAACGGAGGAGTTTGAGTGTTTGCTCTGTAAAATCAGCTGCAGCCTTGGTTTGAACAGCCGATTAAAAAAAAGAAGCAGACTAATATCAATTATGTAAACGTGCATAGTAAAAACCCAGATATTGTTTGTCCAATGCCCACATCCTTCGCCAAACAACGTTTTGCATTTCAATGAGAGGACAAATGTCATCATGTGTGCGATGGTAATCCAAAAGGAAAGGAGGGACAATGGCAAAAAGGCGAGGACAGAAATTAATTAACAGTCTCCAGAGGGCCGTGGAACAAAGAGCAAAGTTTATAACGTGCGCTAAATTTAATTAAAAATTCGTGTAATTAAATTGGAGAACGTGGAATTCTCGTTAAAACTTTCCGACTGCGCGCGTTCTACAAACTAACTAAGCAGTCGGTGGGTTAATAGGACGAGGGATGGCGTAATTTGCCGTGAAACCTGATTAGTGCTCATTAGGAGAGCGTGTGTTTATATATTAGCCTGCTCGTCATCATCATCTTTGTTTGCTGGGGATTTTGCCAGGATGCAGAAAATCGATGTCTGCTCGTCGGTGGGGGGATGGGTGGGCGAACAGGAAATTTAATCACATTGTGAGCATCTTGGTAATCCGCCGGCATTTTCCGATCGTGATGAAAAGACTTGAAATATCTTTGGATGGGCCATGCATTACATTCAGCGCCTTTGACTGCGCGAAGATTTGCGACCTCCCTTTGGTCGAGATACTTATTGAGATGTTTTCCTCGTGGAGAGGAGGAAGGTGCGCCGCACACAAAAGAGCGAGCATGGGCTTGATAATCGGCCTAGGGTTGTTGCCAAGGTAAAGCGAAGGGAAATAAAGGCTGGCCCATAAATCTCCTCCTATTGCTTCCTCGAGAGATATTATGTTTCGAAAAGGCCTGCGAAATTTAGATGAAAAGATGAAGGAATGAAAAGGGCAAACTTCTGCGAAAACGAGAGATGGAGTTTTCCACTCTGATGAAATATTCCCCACGAAAAAATTCATCAAAATTTCGTTAAATGCAAAGTTTTCCTTCAAAAAGTAAAAAAATTTTTAAACATTATTCTGATTAAATTTATTTGGAAAAATTCTACTGTGGCCAAAATATAACTATTCTCCTATTTTGAATTGAAAAACTCTGTAGTCTTTGTGCAAACAGTTAAATATTTTGCTAAACATAAAACAAGCGCACCAAATCCAATTTTCTCACTGGCCCAAGGCCCTTTTTCCAGCAGCTTTGATCAGCATTTTGCTCGCCGCGAGCCGTTATTATAATTGATAATTTTTTTCTGTGTCGCGCTCCGGGGAAATTCGAAACAGTCATACTGGCAGATGCGAGCCTGTAGGTGCTCCGCGCGCGCGACTCCGAGTCCTTGCAGAGAGCCACGCAAACTCGCTCAGCGAGGCTATTAAAGAGACCTGTAGTTGAGCGCAGGCCAACAGTCGTGCGCCGGCGGATCCCTTGCTTGCAACCAGCATGGCTCCTCTGCTCTACACACTCGCCCTTTTGCTCACTCGGGCCCTCGCAGCACCAGGTATAGAAAACAATGCTTTCCTCACAATTCCAAATCTCAATCAACTTATCACGCGCTTATTGAAAATAATTCAAATAATTTCGAGTAAGCATTACAAGTTTATGAACAATTATAATTTCTCCTCAATTGTTTTTTTAATCAGATTTCAGGAACATTTTTTTTAATATATATAAATTTTATTTTCCTTCGACAGATTTTTTTTTTTTTTTTTTTTTTTTTTTTTTTTGTGGAAAAAATGGAGTATAAAAATCTGACACTGCGCAAAAATGAAACTTTTTTTTTAAAGTCATTTTTGAATTAAAATTATATAATTATTATTTATTAGTCATCTGGTTATAAATTTGATTTAATATAACAAACAACAAACATGCATTTTCTATCAAAATTCTATCACAAAATAAAATAAAATATTATGGCCACACAATTGTGTGGAATACTCGAATGGATAATTTTTTTAATGTCATGTTACGTTATTATTAATTATAATTTCAGTAAATACGCCATTTTTGTTACCTTATTTTGAATTTTGCTTTAACAAAATCGTTAAAAGCTGATAAAAGATAAAATGTACATATTTTTCTTTATTCCATTGTGTATGAGTGGAAATCGTTCTCTATATTTGTTCAATGAATAATTTAATTTTAGTTTCCTCTTCCAATTCTTAGTATTTTTATTGCAAGGTTTCCTTGCAAAAATTACTTTTTTGCATTGAGATGTGCAATAATTTTGTTGCCCTAATTGCCTCCGCCCATTACGTGTTCATTGCCCTGAGGCTTAATGAAGCAAGAAGTGTCGTATTTGCTCACACATGTCCCACCAAAAGGTCGTGGGATTTCACAGGCGGTCGGTAATCAGAGACGCCGGACACGTCTTTGTGCAAATAAATGTTCTCATCTCTTCGCGCCCATTCATTTTTTCACTTAACCTTAAAAAAAATATTTCCCGGTAAAATAAGAATATACATTAGCAGGCAAAGAGAAACGTAATTTGACAAACGAGTTGATTAACAAATTACTAAATTCATTTCTTTGAGCAAACCTGCCGGTGCAGTGCCGAGGACCTAAGCATGCCTTGTTTGGCAGCGGTGCAGAGTTAAGCCGGCACGTCTCCTAATTAGAATTTGTGTGGAGGACCTGCTGCTTGCCGTGCCTGGGATTATTTCGTTTGTTAATTACGGGACAGGTGTCAACACGCTAATTTATTCGCCCCGCTAATTAGGACTATCGATTTCTGGGGAAACGAACGTGTTTTGAGGGGAACATGAACTGTTTGCACAAAAAACCTGTTTTTAGAGTTATTTTTATTTATTTTTTTATTTTTACATTCATACTTTTGTATAATTTTAAATCGAAAGAGCGTTGAATTCAGTGACCTGTTAGAAGTGGCTGCAGTTGCTGCGAGCGCATTTAATTATTTGATTACAAGTGTTACCATACCAGCATTTTGTTTTTTAAAATTGTAGAATTTTCTACAGGAGAAGCGTTTTTATCGTGCGAGTTCATATGTGCTATATATGCGTGTCAAGTTTAAATGTTGGAGCATAGACCATTAAAGTAAATTTACTTTTGAAATGCAAAGAGTTAACTGCCGTCAACAGCAGCAAAAAACGTTTTTTGGGTCAGGCCAAGACAAGTGTCTTATCGTCATGTGCCCTTAATGAGGTTGCATGTGTTTTTATGCATATTTTTTTATTATTATTTAATTTCATATTTTTTTTCACCACTCCAAGTCAGCGAGACATTTTTACCTGTATGATCTACTAATGAGAAAAATGTACTTGAAAATAATATTTATTTTCCCTTCAATATTGAGAAATTATCTAGCAAAAATCGTTTTTATATTTAATAATAATAAGTGAATACGGAAATGTTAACTTCTGGACTTTTCTGTTTTGATAAAATTGGCTTTTTATGCTAGTATTTAAATTTTTTTTTTAAATTTTTGTTCTTTTTTATTCTAGATCAGGTTAGAACAACTTCTCGAATATTGTATTTTTTTCTCAGTGGCGCAGATGGTACCACCCAATTTTATCTTTATTCTGTGTGTTTAAGGTTAATCTTTATTAAAAAATCAAACATGAGATTTTGTTGGCGTCGTCTTGTAACATAGTTTGAAATAGAGATTAAATAAGAAATTCACGCCTAGAGAAATTGTGTAAAAGTTACACAACCCAATATTACAGGACTATTTCAACTCTAGTATTTGTTACATAAATTATAAATCAATAATCTCAAAATTTTCAAGTATTTTAACGCTTCGGACTGCATTTTTTTATCTTAAAAAAATTGTGTAAGACGGACTTAATATTATGTATGAATTTCCATTGGCGAGAAGTTTTCTATGCTTTAATTTTGAAGAAATCTTTTCAACTATGAAGTCACGGAAAATTTACAAGAATTATGTAGAGATAAGAAATTAACAATGGCAGAGAAAAAAAATGCAATTGTCCTTGCCAAGATATAATCCACACCTATACACGTTTTCATACAATCTTCCACAGCAAGTTGAAGCTATTATAACAATAATAGTGTTCACCTTCAATTAATTATAATAACTTCCTTCGCGAATAAAAGTTTAAGCGTGTTGTTTGTTCGCATCCGCGGTAGATCCCGCGATGCCTTTGCCTTCTTTCAAGGTGACAAAACTCATCACCATAAAAGCGAAACAACAACACAATATGAACCCCGCATGCATGTAATACGGTTTGCTCGCAATAAGCACAAAATGTACACAGGTACTTTGTCAGCGGCTCGAGGATGCAGAGCAGAATTGCGGCGTGGCAAAAATGATGTAACTCTCTCTGTCTCTGCTGGCACAATAGATGTGCCTCTGCGGCGTTTTCGGTTTCATTGTGCGCCGTGTGCATTGTGTTTTGTGCGTGGTACTATTGCACGGCCACAGCATCGCAAAATGCCAATCGGCCTTGAACTTGACTTTTGCTTTCGATTGCTATGAACTTGTTCCGAAATCTCCTGGCAAAATGACAAAATTTTTAAGACCTTGCGAATGTTTTTATTTTTACATATAAGCATAAATTTAACTGATTGACAGTGATTTTGCCAACCTTGGTTCAATAGGAAAAACTATAAATAAGTTCAAGGCTTATAGAGAAATAAATCAATTTGGCCGCGAAGTTCAGGTCCAGTTCAGGGCTGGTTCAGGACATAAAAAGTTACTATTTGGTGAAGAACGAAGAACCATAGCACCCATAGCATATATTTTAAATTTGATAGAAACATTTCAATTGAATCTTACGCGTGCCCAAAACTGAAGTATGACTTGTTATTCTTAATTTTTCTTTTTTCAAAATCACTTTTTGATGCACAGTATTCCGCTCTCCAAAACCTTAGGTTATTTAAACGCTAAACATCAGCGTAGATTAAACACATCGTGTGAAAATTTATCCATAAGTACCATTCACTTCTCTAATTAAAGCATCGTCAGTCAAAAATCGCAAGACTAAAATAAATTATTGAATTTTGGAAACATCAGCTCAGTATACATGTTACATGTTGACTTAATTATTTCATTTTATTAAGACGATGTATATTTTTATTCTACTTTTTTTTAAATATAAAGATCTGCAAAAAGGGCTAAAACAAAAGGACGGTGTCAAAGGACAGAATGGAATTGCAAGCTTGCGGCAAAGGCAACCTTTGATAAAAACGGTTTCTTTGTGTTTCAGGTGTCACTTCCAGTACAACTCCGCTTCCAGAAAATGTTTGCGGAATGCCTTTGGAGACGGGCCGGTGCGACGCCATCAAACACAGATTCGCCTTTGACGCGGTAATTTTTTGCGCTTCCTCAGCACATTTACACCCAATTATCCACTTGGACAAAAAACGCGTTCCCTTTCTCTCTCCCGGCAGTAGCTTTTTGCTCTCAGAAAGTCGTGCAAAGATATGTATAGCATAATATAACACAAAAGGCGAATTCCTTTTTTATGCGAATAATATTTGATGCTGCACATCAAGCAGAGAGCATCTTTATTGCATGTCGGGAAAAAAATACTAACTCTACTCAAAATGAGGAAATATTCTCTTGTTCCTGTTGTGAAGAGCGAGAGAAGGAAAGAGAAAGAAATTCGATACATAATGTCATTTTCCTCTCTATGGGAATTTTTTTCTCCTGAAGGAATTGAGTTACATAACCCCAGATCAATATTTTTGCTGTTACAAGGCCCTGCTTTTTACCTCATTCTTTTCATAATTAAATCTTGTTATTTTTAGTTTTTAGAGCTCTGCTAAACGAATTGCTTGGAAATTTTTTCCATCATATTTGCATTATTTATTTTGATAATGAGAGTCATCAGTATTATAAAATTGCTGAAAAAGTACATTGGAAAAAAAATTTTAAGCTTGAATTATATTTTATATTAACATCGATGTGAATATAATATTATGGATGAAAAGAAATTTGAATTCTTAAAAAAAATCTTTTGAACACATTAAAAAAGTTCCAATCTCCAAATAATCTAATAAACTTTCAAGTTCTTAATGAAGTAATTTCTCTCGTTATTTTACGTAAATCATGTTACGTTTTGCATCTTTCATAAAATTAAGCAGTTAACAAAAGCTACTCTGATATTTGTATTAAAATTATATTTGTAGATGCCGAGTTACAAACATATATAATAAAAATTAAAAAGTTAGAAAGTTGGTTATGTATATTATTTTTAAATCCATTTTAAGTTTTTAATATAATTTTTACTCACATTGCCGACCTGTGTTTTGAATTAAAAATAAAAATAAAAATAGCGGCAAATTTTTAAAAATTTCAAAATAAGAAACAAATCTCAAAAAGCCTAAAAAAATTGAAAAAAACCAAAACTTACACAATATTAATCTCCCAACGACATAATTCACAAAGATTCGTTGTCAATATTCAACATAAGTTTTAAAGAAATGAAAATTGATGTAACTGAATTTCAATATTAAAAACAAATGAAATCTCTAGCAAATATTTAAATATTTCTTAAATTTCCAATTGAAATTTTCAGGCGAAGAACGAGTGCGTCTCGTTTGTGTATGGAGGGTGCGGCGGGAACGGCAACAACTTTGTTTCCCTGGCCGATTGTCAGGCGGCGTGTCCGAAAAAGACGTCCCTGGCAGCAGCGCCCACCGCAGCCGTGAAGCCCGTCACGCAGGAGGAAATGCCCCAAGCGGATCAACCACCGACACCAGCTGCGCGTAAGGGCTTGTTTATTTGCTCTGTCCCGTCACGTAATTGCCTAGTTGTTTTCCTTGTTGTGCAACAACAGAAATTGGACGCGCAGCGAAGAAAATAATACAGATTCTATTTGTAAAACATTTTAGAATGGTAAATTTTGAATGGGAAAAAGTTTACAAAATTTTTATGGATTTATAACACAATCTAAAATTTTGCATTTGAAAAACAAAAATTTTAACCTCAAAGGCAATGTTAGTCCAGCCAGAATAATTATTGCTATTGTAACCCAAATTTAATGTAAAAGGTGAACTTCCAATGATAGTTTAGGTGTTCAATTTTTTTATCACAATTTTGATGTTGGTCATGAATTTTAAATTTAAAAAAAAAAAACTATTTATTGTTAGTTTCAATTATATGCGCGCTACTTGATTTTCGCAATTCGGGCAAGCGAATTATTGCTTTTATTTCGTTTCTATGGAAACAAGCCGCTATGAATTTATCATGTGCTTACACAGGAGCGACCTGCGCCGCTTGTCCGAACGAGGCGTATCTGACGCATTACCAGGAGCTCGGTTGCCAGCCGATTTTCTCCGAGGACAACAAATGCTGCGCCGTGAGATACAATTGTGGTAATATAAAACATTATTTTCTGCGACACTCGCGAAAGAAGAATCCCATTGTTGAACGCACAAAAAAGGGAAAACGCGCGGGGGATTTACTTTTGGCAGGGACTTTTTTTAGACAAAAGAGATTACAGAGGGAATTCGCACAGCTTTTCATCCCGTCCCTCTCGCCCTCAAAGCAAGACGACTCTTATTCCAAAGCCGGCCTTGTTAATTTGGGATTTTATTTTTGGTACCATACACAATGTGGAAAGGAGAATAGGATGAGATCAATATATGCAAGTTTGTGTAAATATAGGCAAAAATTAGCACTGCGTTAATTCTATACATAACGCAAATTGATGAAAAGCTATGAAAATTATTGTAAAATTTAATTTCATCATATAATTTTCTAAATTAAAATTTTAAAGCTTTTCAATTTTATTGAAGGATGTAAAAAAAAAGCAAAATTCAGAAACAAATTTAGGGGATGAATTATTTAATTGTTAGTTTAATATATTTTTAAGGCGAATGTTATTATAAGCTGTGCTGAAAGCTATGATGCTTGTTTGCCTTGCGGATTATTACTTTATTTAAATTTTCCACCAGCTCAAATACACAGTCTGGTCAGAGAGTAATAACCTGTGCAATCCCATTGATCATCACAAACATGCATCTGCACTACTTGTTATTAATCAAATTGTCAATGCTCACCTGTGATCGCAGGAAACAGGGCTTTGCAGAGCAAGGACAAATGCTACCACGAGGGCAAGGCCTACGAAATTGGATCGGAAATCCCTAACGACGCAACCCCCAGCTGCCTGGTGCACTGCAGATGCACGCAAACTGAATTTGACAAGTAAATAGTTTGTTGAAAAAATCACATTAAATTTTATTTTAAACATTTGTATATTAATTAACAGGGCGCCGCGAATGAACTGCATCAGTATTGAGTGCCCTATGAGCTGTTTGAAGGACCGCTTTCTGATAGCAACTGTATCAGGCAATACAGTCGAAGCAAATGCTGCTCCCAGAACACCTACTGTGGTAAGATAAAATGATTAAAAAAATAATTGTCTCATGGGAAAATTAAAAAAATTTATATATATTAACGGGTAAAAGTTATTTGGTTTGCTTTTACATTAAAATATTTGAATTTTTATTTGCATAGTCAAAATATGTGTTCATTAAACATTATTATAATTATTTATTGAAATTTTTTAATTATAACTCAACAAAAACTCAAGAGCTTCCTAAGATTACTGTCAGAATTTTTTTTATAATTCAGGTTTATAAAGAAAATATACATTATTTCATATATAAAATTTAAAATATCATCTGTCAAGAAATAAATGCCAGGAGTAAGAGCAAAAAAAGAACAAAGAAAGCGGCATTCGGAAGTATCAGGCAGTCATCCAGAAAAAAGTAAAATGTTCAAAGAACTTTACTACTGTTAATTTTTCTTTTGTTTTGTATTTTGTTATTGTAAAAATTTGTATGTAAAATTATCATCTCTTCTCTCAATTATATTAACTTGTATAATTTTGAATGTATTTAATGATGTATCCCGTTATGGGCAGCAATTGCCTTTGTGATAGATCAATAAACACAATTTGCAACTAAATAAATAATATTATATCTATTTTGCTTCTGCAGCTCCAGCTGGCTCCACTCTAGAATCTGCCACCAATGTTGCCCACTGCAGTTATGATGGCCAAAGTTATGTTGAGGGAGAGAAGTTTTATCCAGAAAAAGAGCCCTGTCTTGTTTGCATTTGTCAAAAAGGATTTAACGGTAACATTTCTCAATATCCTGAGTGACAAAATTTCACAAAATTAAAATAATTTACAGGAACCCTCAGTGAGCCGCACTGCCAGAGGGCCAAGTGCAACATTGAGCTGCATTACAGTCATTATCTAAGGCGCCAGTGTGTGCCAATTTACTACAAGGACAGGTGCTGCCCTATCGACTGGAGTTGCCGTAAGAAGACAAGATTTTTTTCTTATTCTTCTCTTCAAAGAGGCTTTTTTAATTTTCAATACATTAATTCTTATCATTATTACAATAATCGTTATTTTATTATTATTATTTATTCTTCTTGGTCAATACAGAAATTTTAAATTAGAAAAAAGTTTACAACTGGCAGATGTCTGCTAAAACGCCAAACATGCAAAGAGACTCGGCCGCCGCGGTAAACCCACAAGTTAAAAAACTACATTTATTTGCAGCTAATGGAAACCACCAAATTGAAACAACCACCGAAGCTGCTTCGACCAGCATTTTCACTGCTGCAGTTAAACCAACCTCAGTTGCAGTTTCCACAAAAGAGAGCAAAGAGGATGAAACAACCAGTGAGTAAATAAAATATAAATTTATTTAAAATATAAAAATATATTTTTCCCATCAGAATGTGTTTTCGGAAATCAGACATTTGACCTAGACGAGGAACTTCCACAGGAGGTGGCTGGAGATTGTGTCACTTGCAAGTGCTTGGTGCCCCCGGTGCCCACTTGCGTCAAGGACTACGATGGATGCAATAGGAATTAAAAGTAACCTTTTACTGTCTAGAGCAGCTATTGATGTTTCAACGATTTCTATAAATGACTGTTTTTAATTGCTTCTCTCTCAGTTATCTCTCTCTCAATAACCTTGTGTGTAGCCCTTAAACAAAATTACAAATGGTTTTATGTACAAAATTATTTGTTTTTTCATTGCGCTGTCCGAAAAGTCAATTTTGAGAATTGACCTGCACTCGTTGAAACTGAAAACCACTTTCGTTTTCTCAATTCTACCGCTCGGCAAAGCATGAGAGAACAGCAGATCGAATTTCCAATCATGTGATGGCGGCCAGTCCCTTATGTCACTTGAGACGGAAATGAGTTGCGACGAGTAACTTTTCTTAAGGGGAACGCACATAAAATATAAAGGGAAGAAAATGAAGTGCAGCTAAGCTTCGCACGCATGTATAGAATTGGAATTCTTCTGCCGGGAACAACTTGTGTCATGTGTGACAGCCTATTGTCAGCAGACTTAACAATCGCTCATCCGCACTCTGATTTAATTTATGCAATTATTTATTTTGGTATTTCTGTTTATATAAAAAGATGCAAACCAAAGGAAGTCAAATTGATATAATTAAAAAGAGTACTCAATTTTTTTTTTATTAATTCTTGTTATTAATTGAATAGTTCTAATTTTGAGTATAAATGTGCTCCTCATAATTTTTTTAAATAAAAGGAAATCTTCGTAAAATAAAAAATAGGTGTAGAAAATAAAGCCATTAGTTTTGTATAAAACAAGTATTGCATAAACATATTTTTTAATTTTACTTTAGAAGCAATGGCAAATAATTTGGACAATCTAAAAATTATTAAGATTTATTATTATCAAGCTGAATAAAATGCAGCGTTACATTACCTCTAATTTAATTTCAAGTTTATATTGATGATAATTGATAAACTGTTTCAAAGTCCTCTTTTTATTTAATTGTCACACAAAATATTCAGTATAAAAGTGGATCAATGAGGACTTGCAAGCTTTCACGAACCAATAATAAATTCACCGTGGCTTGTTCGTGATTTTCATTCAGCGATGCTTTGTTCGTTAGCCTCATGAATCTCTCACACTCTTTCCTCGGCCGCGTCTCGAATCTCCTCCTCGGGCAACGGGAGCTCCGATGGAATGACACTCGATGCTCACCACAGTCCCTTCTCGTCGCCTAGACTGTCCACTCCAGCAGCTCCATCTCAAATTATCCATTGGTCCCAATTGATTCGACAAAAGCAGCCGCTGGGTCAATTAATCTGCAATAGTTTTCTGGTAAGCGCGAGCCCCTTTGGATCTGCATTTTAATTTTATCATATCAAGCTTGACCTCAAAAGGTCCCGCTGTTTTTATATGCTTGGTATGCGTTTTGAAGACCTTCGAACTTTCAATTTGGAGATAAAGTTATTTTATCATTGGCAAGATGTCGACTTGGATTTCATAAGGTTATTTGCATAAAAATATTTATGATTTATTATGTAGAAATAAAAGGTTAATGACTTTTTCACAACAGGTGATAAATGGAAATCATGTGATTGTAACCTAAGCAGTGGAAAATTTGTCTCTATAATATGAGAAAACATAAATTACTCCTTAAGAGCTTGTGGTTGTTTTTCCCGCAGAAAGAAGAAGGAACGGGTTTTATGCGATTCACTGATATGATCATAAATAAAGGCTTGCGCGGCCTTCGAATATTTTAAATGCATTTTGAAATAAATTTTCACACTCCTTCGTTTCTGTCATTTATTTATAATTATTCACATTTACTTAAATATACACAAAATCAAAGAATTAACAAGTATGTAAGTAATCTGAAAATTTTAATTTAATTAAATAATTTAATTCTTGGTATGAAAATTTATTTTAAATTTTTAATCACAGCATATATTTTTAGCATTAATAGCATTCAAAGCGAAATCCGTGTTCACGGCCAAGGTTCCCTCCCAAAATAAATGACTTTTAATGCCAATGCTATAACTTTTCCTTTTCTCTCCAAATTGAATCCCTTCCACTCTCGCGGCCGTCCCGCCTTGTGCGCGGCACTTTTTTCACTCTCTCGCGCGGTCGCGAATGGGAAAAAGTGCACAAAGATACCAGTCAAGTGCCCTAAACACATCTCGAATTTCCGATGCGTGAACAGTGAGCATTAAAAGAAGTCCGGCGCGTCGGCCAGGGCAGTTTGCTCGCAGACCAATTTGCGAGAGCGTCGATCGCGCCATGACTTCATTGTGAATTCCTTTGTCTCTCGCTCTAGACACACCTGATTAATATTCAGCGCGGACTGTCGCAAAATTTAAGTTTCGATCTCTCCCCCTGTTTTTTTTACGCAAACGATCCATCATGCCAAAGACCAATGTGTTTGCAGGTGTCAATCTGCAGGAGTTTTCCGCCGGCTGCACCAACAGAATGAAAAGTCAGTAACAATATTTTATACATTATAATCTTTGAATTAATACTTGAAAAAAGACAAAAAAATACCACATGCACTCTAATTATATGAACCATGAAAACTTATCATTTGATTAGATTTATAATTCTGAAATTCCATAAATATTTTGCATTCCTAAATTTTATTCAAATTTTAGATTTAATTTCAACTCTATTTTTCCGAGGCTCAACCTAGGAACTTGCTTCACCCGGATTTTTTTTACAATATTGTTAAGAAATCCATAAACCCCAATATTTTATTCAGATTTTATTCTGCTGAAAAAGAGGCGGAATTTTTTTAAATTTTCAGACAATTTCGTGAATATTGATCACTTTATAAAAGTGCTCTCTTTTTATTTAAAATATAATCAAAGTAAACTAAACAATATGAATCAGTGGGTAGTTAAATAATAATTATAGACGTCAATAAATCAATTTACGATTGTACTCATTGTCAGTATATTCACACTACATTATCAAATTATAAGCAATGACTAGTCCAATTTTACTAGAAGAACTAGAAAATTAACGAAATTTAATTTTGAGTTTAAGATTTTATTCTTTGATATAATACAATTATTATTATTTATTCTTCTCTCTACAAAAATAATTTTTTAATTTTTATCTCAGATGTTCAAGCGCGCCATGTATTGTGTCTGCTGCTCTTCTTCGGCTACTTCATGGCTTTCATGCTACGAATTAACCTTAACGTGGCCATCGTCGTAATGGTGAAGCCTTCGAACGCGACCTCCGGGGACCAAAGCCACTCTTCCTCGTCTGTTTGCGGGCCTCCGCCTCTTCCACAGACGCCGGCACCGCCAACAACTTTAGCACCCTTTATCACTGAAACTACTTCTCCAGCGCCTACAATTGAATCTGCCACAAATGAAACGGATGAAGGGAATGTGAGTTCTTAATTTTGGTACTACTCCATTCATTTTTTTTTTTTTTTATAAAAGTTCATATTCCATTGATTTAAATATATTTTTATTTTAAAATATTCAAGAAGGGCAATAAACCCCCACTATTTTTTTTTAGCTGATAACTCTTGGATCAAACAGACCTCCTAAACTTCAAATTGAACCAGAAAATTAAAATAAAATTTTTCTGAGGGTCAAGAGGGTCATGTTTCTTGTGTTCAGAATCTTGGATAGCTTCTTTTATTTTTTTTTTCAGAGATTTCTTTTATAAAAAACTGTGATGTTATTGAAAGCAGGTTGAAATTAATGCGTGCTTACATTGTTTGACTTTTGAGCACCTTTTTTGAGGTCGATATCGCCTTTCAATCGGAATTACTTCATTACTTGTGACAGGTATCGTCTCCTGGCGCGCTCACCGCAGAGGAGGAGATGGGCGAGTTCGAATGGGACGAGTTGACTCAGGGCCTCATCCTGGGCGCCTTTTTCTGGGGCTACCTGATCTCGCAAGTGCCCGGCGGTCGCATCGCGGAGGTCTACGGACCGAAAATCGTGTTTGGCGTTTCCATGATCACCAACGTTGTGCTCTGCATCGTTTTGCCGCTGGCGACCAGGCTGCACTGGAGCTGCTTGCTTGTCATCCGAGCGCTGCAGGGACTCGCCCAGGTAACCTAATTCCTAATTCATTGACAAGATCATAGGCTAGATTTTTGTCTGGAGATAAATTATTTAGCGTGAAATTAGTCTTATCTATTATTTTGTCCTGAAAAGCTGATTAAATTTTGAGATCAATAATTATATGTTTTTTAATATGTTTAATTTAATTTTTAGCATTTATTTAACAAAATTAAAATTAATTAATAAATAAAAATTTATTTTACAAAATTTAAATAGTGGATTACAGAAATTTTCTACTTGCTTTTGCTTGCAAAGTGTAATTAAATTTTTTTGATTAATACTGTAAAATTCTATTTGCTCCATTAATTATGAAACGTGAATGTTCATTAATTATAATTTTTTGTGTAAAAAAGTATATATCATTAAAACAATTTCTTCTTAAAAACCAAAATGATTGAGCATCATGAAAATCTTAATTTCTAAAAATATGATAACACATAATTAATAATTATGATGAAAAATATAGTTAAGTTTGAAGAGAGAGGCTAATTTATGTTTTTTTTTTTTATCTGATCTTTTGCAAAACTTGTTTGAATTCAGTGTCTATGCATGCTTTGATAATTAATTTTTAAAATAAAAAAATCAAAAAAAATTCAACATGGACTGTTATTTTACATGCAGGGCGCTTTGATCCCCTGTCTGAACGCCGCGGCCGCAACTTGGTGTCCTTTGGATGAGAGGGACCGCTTCATTTCGTTTGCAATCCAAGGTGAGACGCAGTAATTTATTCCTCTCTCTCTCTCTCTCTCTCTCTCTCTCTCTCTCTCTCTCTCTCTCTCTCTCTCTCTCTCTCTCTCTCTCTCTCTCTCTCTCTCTCTCTCTCTCTCTCTCTCTCTCTCTCTCTCTCTCTCTCTCTCTCTCTCTCTCTCTCTCTCTCTCTCTCTCTCTCTCTCTCTCTCTCTCTCTCTCTCTCTCTCTCTCTGACCTTTTTTTATCTAAAATCTCCACTAAACAAAAATTTTATTCACGCAATTTTACTTCGCGCTCGGTACTCTTATCTCAACTCATTTTGTTTGCCCAACCGTTTGACAGGGGAGGATATTATAGAGTGTTTTGACGAGAAACGAAACGCTAAAAAAATGTGTGGTTTTTTGCTCGCAGGCGCCGTAATCGGCTCTGTCGTGAGTCTGCCGCTGTGCGGCTTCATCGGCGCCTACCTGGGGTGGGACGCGATTTTCTACATCTCCAGCCTGATCGCTGCGTGTTGGTGTGTCGCTTGGTGGATGTACGCCGCAGACACCCCTGCGTCGCACCCCACTATTACCCAGGAGGAGCTTGAGTTCCTCAGGCAAAATATTCCACAAAAGCCAAAAGAGGTGCGTATTTTTTTTCTAACAATTCCTATTGTGCGTTTACATCATACGTATATATCATGGAGATTAAATAAATTGTGGATTTTAATCGAGTGAAGTTAAGTATTTCAATTCAGATTTCATAATGTTTTATTTCCACATTGTCACTCTTGATTCAAATTGTTGTAATTGAGTGTGGATGTGTTCTTGTATGTCCTTCACTATTGGGCGAATTTTCGCAAATAAAATCTTATTCTAAATAATTATTTATTACATAAATTACACAACATAAAAATTTATAAAAATTAGAATAAATAAATAGACTTAGCTCTCCCGGGATAAAAGATATCCCGGGATAAATCTAAAGGGATAAAATTTAAACCACTGTCCCGGGTTAATTATTTTTTATCCAGCCTTCAATTTTTTGTCCCCAAGTCAATGGGGATAACTTTTCTTAACCCCCTCAAGGGGACAACCATTTGACCCGCTCTAAAATCAGCTGGTTATTAAAAGGTTTAAAAGATCCTCAACATGCTCGCGAACTTTTTAAATTTTGGCCAATTGCAACGAACAAAAAACCTTTTTCAAATCAGAATTTTGTGAGGATCATGGAATTGAGGGCAAAATTGAAATCCAAAGCTAACACGAAAATCTGTATCCAACATAATTTGAAAGGTGTGTTTTTTTTTTTTTTTGCTCAGAAACATTTAAAGATCTCTTCATCAAAGCGAAAATATGCAAGAAATTTTTTCTTTTGAAATTTTATGAATGTAAAATTACATTTCGCAACTCCAAAAAATTAAAATTCTTAAATTTATTTTCTCATTTGTAGAGAAATTATATTCGTTATATCTTTTAATTACACTTTACAAATCAAAATGGAAAAAAATAGTGAACATGAAAAAGTTAAAAAAATTTTTTTTTTTTCTTTCATCTGAACTATCTGAAGTATTACCCAAATATTTAAAGACCTTTTCATTAAAGCAAATTGGTCAAAGAAACCTCTTTCTTATGGCTATCAAATCAATTATTGAACCAGTGCCTGGCTACCAGCTGCCGGCTATCAAAAATGCAATGACACTCAGCCTATGTTGAGAATTTTTTTTTTGTGCTACCGGCTGACCTTTTTGTATAAAATTGGCAGTCAAAATAGTTGATGGCTGGTTGACGGAATGCAACTCTTCAATGCAACTGTTGATCCAACTCTTTTGTCGGCGCAAAACTGTTGGATCCAATTGGATCCAACTCTTTCGTCGGTGCAAAACTGTTGGATCCAATTGGATCCAACTCATCGTCGGTGCAAAACTGTTGGATCTGTTGAATTCTTGATTTGATAGCCATAAGAAAAAGATTTATATGACCAATTTACTTAAATGACGAGCTGCTCATATGAGCACCTCAAATGAGCACCTCAAATGAGCACCTCAAATGAGCACCTCAAATGAGCACCCCATATGAGCTGCTCATAACCTTGTCAAAAACGAGACCGTTGGAGGTCGTACTCGGGCGACCTCGAACGGTCTCGTGTGACCTTTCGTGTTAATAAATTGAAAACCATTAAGGGCAACTGCCCCTCTGGGTCAAACGGTCTCGAGACCGCCCGAGGTCGATCGCGGCCGCCCGAGGTCGATCGCGGCCGCCCGAGGTCGATCGCGGCCGCCCGAGGTCGATCGCGGCCGCCCGAGGTCGATCGCGGCCGCCCGAGGTCGATCGCGGCCGCCCGAGGTCGATCGCGGCCGCCCGAGGTCGATCGCGGCCGCCCGTGGTCGATCGCGGCCGCCCGTGGTCGATCGCGGCCGCCCGTGGTCGATCGCGGCCGCCCGTGGTCGATCGCGGCCGCCCGTGGTCGATCGCGGCCGCCCGAGGTCGATCGCGGCCGCCCGAGGTCGATCGCGGCCGCCCGAGGTCGATCGCGGCCGCCCGTGGTCGATCGCGGCCGCCCGAGGTCGATCGCGGCCGCCCGTGGTCGATCGCGGCCGCCCGTGGTCGATCGCGGCCGCCCGAGGTCGATCGCGGCCGCCCGTGGTCGATCGCGGCCGCCCGAGGTCGATCGCGGCCGCCCGAGGTCGATCGCGGCCGCCCGCGGTCGATCGCGGCCGCCCGAGGTCGATCGCGGCCGCCCGAGGTCGATTTTAATTTTTTGGAGTTGCGAAATGTAATTTTACATGCATAAAATTACAAAAAATGAGCTGCTCATATGAGCACCTCAAATGAGCACCCCATATGAGCTGCTCATATGAGCACCTCATATGCGCACCTCATATGAGCTGCTCATACCCTTGTCAAAAACGAGACCGTTGGAGGTCGTACTCGAGGTCACTCGAGACCATGGTCTCGAATGACCTCGAGTACGACCCCCGACGGTCTCGAACGACCTCATATTTTTACATGGTTAATGTTTAGGGGCAACGGTTGCCCCTCGGTCTCGAACGACCTCAAACGGTCTCGGGCGACCTCGAACGGTCTCGGGTGACCTTTCGTGTTAATAAATTGAAAACCATTAAGGGCAACTGCCCCTCTGGGTCAAACGGTCTCGAGACCGCCCGAGGTCGATCGCGGCCGCCCGAGGTCGATCGCGGCCGCCCGAGGTCGATCGTGGCCGCCCGAGGTCGTTCGCGGCCGCCCGAGGTCGATCGCGGCCGCCCGAGGTCGATCGCGGCCGCCCGAGGTCGTTCGCGGCCGCCCGAGGTCGATCGCGGCCGCCCGAGGTCGATCGCGGCCGCCCGAGGTCGATCGCGGCCGCCCGAGGTCGATCGCGGCCGCCCGAGGTCGATCGCGGCCGCCCGAGGTCGATATTATTATGTTATTATTAGATTACTATAGTGGATATTAAGTACTTCTCATTCTCATTGAACATCTTTTATCTTAAAATAATTCTTTTTTTCAAAAGTTTCTAGCTAAAAAGAGCTGAAAATTATATAAGTTTTATTTTCAATTTCACAGTCATTACAAGTGCCCTGGCTGAAAGCTTTGACTTCCGTGCAGTTCTTGGTTGGGTGCATCGCCAATATAGGAAATGACTACGGTTTCCACACTCTACTCACTTACGCGCCCAAGTACATGAAAAGCGCCCTGGGATTTGACCTCCAGAGGGTAGGTTCATCCCCAAAAGTTTCATTTTTTATATGAAAAAAAAAAAATTTAATAAATTTCAATAAAATAAATTATCTATTTGCATGATGCAGAACACGTTGCTGGCGAGCGTGCCCTTTTTGTCCCAGTACATTTTTGCCATGATCTATGGTACCATCATGGACAAACTGCTGAAGCGGGGCTATCAACTGATGGTCGTCCGAAAACTGTCCGTTGGCGTCTGTAAGAAAATGCACTTCTTAAAGCGGACACAAATAACTTGGTGACTTTCAGCACATCTGCTACCGGCCATTGGTCTGCTTTGTCTTGCCTTTTCGGGCTGCTACGTCCCACTGTCGGTCGGCATCTTATCCTTCTCCGTCGCCATGGTCGGCGCTTTTTCTTGCGGATTCTTCCAAAATCCCCTTGACATTGCTCCAAACTTTGCAGGTGTGTATTTAACTGGACTTTTATTAAGGGAATTACTTAATATTGAAAATTCAGGAAGTCTCACTGGAGTGATGAACATGCTCGGCTCAATGACAGGAGTGATCGCCTCCCCGGTAGCAGGACTTGCGCTTCAAAATTATGTGAGTATCTCCAAAATTTGTTTTACATTGCTTATTTTTTTCAAAATTAAATTTTACAGGGTCCACTGGGAGGTTGGCAAGCGATTTTCCTGATTTCGGCCGCGATTTACGCGCTCAGTGCATTGCCCTATCTGCTCGTGGCGACGGGACAGGTGCAGCCGTGGAACGACGAGACCAAAAAAGACGACACATCCACCAATGGCGAAATTGTGCCCATGAATGACGTCAGCCACATCGCCTGATAAACTGAATTATTATACCTCTGCTCTCATACTGCACTCAATATATACATGTAATGTTACGCAGGATAAATGTTTAGATTTATATTTATGCGAGTGGTATTGCCGAGTAAAAACTAATTTCGCTTCTATTTATCGTGAGCAAGTTTGACACCCACACTTTAGCTTTTGTAATAGATTTTTGAATTTATGTGTTCATTAAATTTTGAAATTTTTTTTAAAACAAATTTTTATTTACTCTTTTAATCCAATTATTTTTTGCAGGGTAAATCTGGAGTAAAATTTTCTAATTCAGCTTTAACTATATTTCATTTATTTGCAGTTTACTATATAGGATTTTATTTTTTCATAGAGAGTGATTTTTTTTATCTTCCGGAGCGCGAACTAGACGAGAATGGGTTAGCAGGGTCCATTGGTGCTTCTTCCTGAGCAGCCTGCCCATTCAAAACCAGGTGATTCCGCATTTCACATGAAGCTAATTGCCGCAACTCGCTCTGCAAACAAAATAAGAGGGTGGAATACAATTTAAATAAAAATCTTTATTTAAAAAAAAAAAAAGTAAAAAAAATGGGCTACTTACAATAAGTATCTGGCACAGTGCAATAGTTGATTTCAAATTTGGAGAACATTCGGTGCCCATTCCAGGGCTCAAAGACCTTTTACCGGCAGTCCAATCTCGAGAGAAGGTAACCTGAATGCAGAAGAGGCCAAAATTTAATTCAGGCCACTGTAAGTTGGCACCGTGCAACACTTGGCTGTTTCGCAGGTTGCCTATTTTTTAAAACATTTATAGCTTGCCTGAGCGATTGCAGAGTGCCGGATGACAAGGGCGGCAGCCAGGAGCATCAGCAACGGCAACTTGTACCTAAAGAGACAAATTATGCTTTAAAATAAGTGCCATGACAAGGTACAATTAGTTAGAAAGTGAGCATAAGTTTCAGGGTTTTAATATTTATAAATAAATTATTTTAATTAAAGAACCAAGTTGAAAAAACAATTTCAGCATTTATTATTTTAACTTAAAAATACCTAATTGATGCTGATGTTTTCGAAGCTCAATTAATTGATGAAGCCTCGGAAGGGCAACAGAACTAAATTGCAAAATAAGCCTATCCGTTCCTACAACTCCAAATAAATAACAAGATCACAACAAAACTCACAAAAAATGAAACTAAATAAACAAATTAAATTTAATTTCAAAATATATTTAAATATTTGAAACAAAATATTTCGCGCAAATTACTAAATTAAATATAAACCATACCTGTAAGCCATCGTCATTTCGCTTGTGTTAGAGCTGCAAAAATGTCTTCAGCAGCACAGAGAGACTAAATCAGGATCCAAATCAGATTCGCGAGTGGATCGGCTGTCGATCGGGGCCCGTCTTAAATACAAATCGGGCCGATTTGGGGATGATGTGTGCGGGATAAATCGCGGGGGCGCGTGCTCCACGATTGGATCGCGCGACGGCCAATCCAGAAATGTGCCCTGCGATAGCTTACGGGGATTATGAATTTTACGAGGGTTGGTGGCGCGCGGAGGTGCGATTTTTTTACTGCAATTCTCGCGCATCAAAAAGTTTCCTCCGCTTCAATTACACACACGTCGCGTGTGTTTCCAGCCTATCTTTTTCCGACGTTCTGCTAATGTCATGAGATATAAATGCCCCGGCACTTTATGGCGGCAGCAATTTGTTTCGCTCGCGAAAAGCCCCAAACAACTTTTAGCACCCCCGCATTTATCCGATAAAAAATATTTTTGACGACTGCACGTCTTTTTTACTTTATTTTCTGAATCGATATTTTATTAGAAAAATTAGAATGTAACTTTAAACTACAAAGACTTTCCAATTTTTAATATTATTTCATTTTAAGTTAACAGAAAATTATAATTTTAATAGTATCAAAATTTTGAATCTACTTTTACTTTCAAACTACACTTATGATTTTCATTTCTTGACCCAATAAATTTTTGGAATGTTTATTCAAAAATAAGGACCAAGCTTCAGAGTGGAGCTCTCGGGTCAGATTTATTTTCGTCGTCAAAGAAAATCCATTGGGAATTACGATCTATGAGTTTTCTTGCTTATTTCAGCGTGAAATTTCTCTCTGGCTTCGCATTTATTCGACTGAAAGTAGAAAAATACAAACATGTTTTTGCTCAACAGTCTTGATATAGCTGATTTTTTTTTTAAATAAAAATTAAATTCACAGGTTCTTGTACATTATAACAGAGCGTGGGATGCGATTGAAAAGCAGTTTGCAGATTTCCCGGAAATTTTGATTTTTACCTCCGTGCACTTGACAAGACGCATGGCCTGGAGCAGAGTCGCGGTTCGCTTCATATTGGGAACAAATTAACCAGAAATTATGCGCTCCCCATCATGCTGTCAGCCAAAAGATTGCCTGTGGCGTTAGTTTATATATCAAGAGCATTTCATTGAAGGTCTCGTTCGTTTTATAATGCTAAAAATAGGTGTTTGCTTAAATTTTAGGCTGCTCTTTCAAAAGAATCAACAGCAATATTTTTTTCCTGGCTTCACTTAAAATCCAAAATAATTTAAATTAATGTTAATTATATTTCTCTTATGCTTTTGCATATAATCATACCAATTAAATCGGTCAATTATATTATTCTTCAATGAATCAAAAGAATTATAAAATTTGTTCAGTATAAAATATTATAATAATTTATTTATTTATTTTCTTTATAAGGTGTTGCTAAATTTAAAAAAAAAATTAAACAAAAAATTTTAAATTTTATAAAAACATTATTTAATTACAATTTTACAAATTGAAAATTTATTGGGATCAAAATTATCAATTAGAACGAATTCGGCAGATTTCCATCGCAAGCCATTTCTTTGTAGTTTGAATTACTGTCCAGTTTTGGCCCACTGCTGGAATTTGCTTCTGGCACCCTCGATGCTGGCGGGCTGTTGTCGAGCAGCGACTTCAGCGAAAGGTAGTCCATGTGGCTTTTGTCCGCCGCCGGAGCGGGCATCAATGCGCCGAGGACCATCTGTGACGGACTTGGTGCCTTCTGGATCACACCTGGCCTCGGAGGAGAGTTGATGACCTGGCCACTCAGAAGGTTAATCTTGATGGGAGGCACCCTGGGAGGACTGGTGGTACTCGGAGGCGAGGCAGGGTGACCGTGAAGAATTTCCATCTGGTGAAGCAGGTCCGACGTTTTGGCCACTTTCGGGAACTGCTGAAGTGGCGCAGGTGAGGGCGAAGAAATCACCCTGGCGTTGTTGAAAATGGTTTCGAAGGAGGGCAAAGGAGCCACTGGTTGGTTCGAAGGAGGCGAAGCAACTTTAGAAACTGGAGGGCTGCTGATCTGCAAGGGTGGAGGAACGGGGCTGATGACCTTTGAAGGTGGAGGAACAGGGCTGGAGACATTTGAAGGTGGAGGAACAAGACCGTTGACTTGCAAAAGTGTGCCAGGAGGGCTGCTCACCTTCAAAGGTGGAGGAACAGGGCTGATGACCTTCGAAGGTGGAGGAACAAGGCTGCTGACCTGCAGGGATGGAGCAACAGGACTGCTGCGTTGGTGACCTTTGAACTGCAACTTGTCCAGAGTGGCCTCCTGAGGTGGAGATGAAACGACCTGAGGGACTGTTTGTGGTGAAATTGATGGGCTTGAGTTGGCCCGGTCAATTTGAGAACAGATATTCGGAACCCATGTGTTTGAACTGGCCATCGTAGTTGCAGGTGTCGTTTTTCTGTAGTCTGGGTCGGCATTAGGCGCTTCTTCGATGACAGCCGACCTTGGAATGTACGTTGGTGCAACGTTGGACTTTCTTCCTCGGCGCCTCCTCTTCTTCTCCAGCGGCTCCTCTGGGTTCGCGACCTCTTCGCGCATCCTCTTGACGTACAAATTTGACATGTCAGAGGCACCGAGCGGGGCCAAGTAGTTTGGAGGGTACATGGGAGGCAGCATGTTGAAGGGCAGGGCGTACGGCCGGTAGAGCATGGGGCTGCTCTGGGCCATGGCCATGTGGACGGCGAGGGGGCTGACCATGGGAGGCGGCGCCACCCCCAGGTGGGTCAGGGTGTTGCGAGCAGCGTTCAGGTACTGGTTGACCTTGATCTGGTCGATCTGGCGCTGCATGTCATTGAGGAAGGGGTTCGGCGGTAGAGGGTGGTGGACTGTGGTGGTTGGCGTTGGCTCGGTCATTTGTGTAAAGTGTTGTTGGGCGAACCTGGGCTCAGGACGAACGACCTGAAGGGGTTTCTGTGGCTCGTTGGAGGTCAGACTGGCTGCTTGAGCTTGGCTGTTGTCGGAGGGGCGCAGGTTGTCCGAGTTGACGTAGTCAACGAAGTCCTTCACCGTGATGTGGCTGAAGAGGATTTCCACAATTGAAGTGCACGGGTTGCGGATGTCGGGCAAGTTCGGATGAGATGTGAATCCCTCTAAAATTTACAATTGAATAAATCAAACTCTGGTCATTGAATTGTTATAAACGAATGGGAGCATTCAAATTTTTTACAAAATTTAATTATTATGAAATTGCTTTTAGACATTTCAATAAATAAATAAATAAAAATGACATTTATCATCACCTGTTTAGAAAAAAGGGAAATAAAACAAATAAAAATTTGGTTTAGACACAAAACTAAAATTCTTCCTGGCTTTTAAGTTTTACTTGCATACTTACAATAAATTTATTTAAGAAAATTTTTTATTCACAAGTAAAAGTATTAAAAAATAAATATTAATTTTGAATTTAGCAAATCCTCTAATGTGAAATTCTACTACCAAAAAAAAAGCATTAATAGTACTATATTTATATTTACCCAATTTTGGAACTGGCAAACGCTGCAAGCTCTGGTAGAAATTCTCCAAGCGGGGTGTGAGCTTCTCCTTATTTTGCAGGAACTGATTGAAGAACTTGTGGATGCTGGAAACGCACAGGAAGCACAGGTACTCAGGGTGGTCAGCTGAGAATGTGACCTAAAACACAAAAATGTAGTTGAAAACATTAGTCAGCTTATACATAAATTGTTACTATTTTGTGAAACAATTAATTAATATAAAATAGTGAATCAATATTTTCAAATAAAATTATAATTAAAAGAAATCTGAATAAAATAAAGTAATTAACAATTTCGTTTTCCATGAACAGTTAATTTTTTCATTTATTGATAGTAAAAACCCTAATCAACTTCTCTTATTACCAATATTTCTCTCAATATATAATTAAATCAATACATTTTTATTGCTTCTCTCTCCACAAAATAAATTTGACAAATAGGAAAAAAATCAATTCTTTTCTTACCTTAATACCGACGAGCTTGAGCATGGCGTTGATGTCTTCAATGCCGTAAGTTTTGATGGTGAGGCAGGCCTCTGGATTCTTGATGGCGCCGAGGCAGACCCTGCAGAAGGACCAGCCATAGGTGCCGTTGTCCGGACACGTCTTGCGGGCGAGTTTAGCAGAGCTGCTGTTCGCGACTTTCTCGTTCTTCCAGACAGTCCGCAGGAACATGTCCAACTTGTAAAGACAGAAGTGGCAAAACTCGTTCGAAAACCCAGGCAAAAACTCGATCTAAAAACGAACATACATTATTTTTTAGGTTAGATCTTAATAAAAAATTTGAGCTTTTTTGTTCTTCCACAACAAGTCAACAAAAACATGGAAGTTCATTTTAAAACTTATTCAATTGCTTCAAAATTATGCATAACATCATATTTTTTTTTAAATGAAGTATATTTATTTGAAGAAGTTACAAGTCCAGCCAACTTGAAGCGGAGTTATCAGCCGTGCTTATGTGACTGGAAAGCAAGACTTAAAGCCGGGCAATCCAGTTCTATACACATTGTTTTACACGCGAATTTTTACAAAGTTTAAAAAGTCAGCTAAACATTAGAAAAGTGACAAATTAAACCATTTTTTAATATGAAATTTAACAGAATTTATTTATTATATTAGTTATTTTATATTAATAAAAGAGGCAAAATTTTAAATAGGCACTTACGTAAATATTGTTGTACCAGCGGAACCAGGCTTGGATTTTTAACGTGTCCGGCAGAGTCATGGATTCGCCAGTGTACATTTTACTGCAGCAAAGTCGGCAGAGCGAAATATTCTTCATACTGTCGGTTGCCATCTAGAACATAAGCAACAAATTTAAACAGAAATTTAAACAGAAAAATTATTCTAAACACACTAAGATTTAAACAATTATAAAAAATGGTGCCAATACAAAATCTTGTAAAATTATGAGGATTATAATTCAAAAAGGTAGAAGGCAGGTGAAAATAAATTTAAACGGACGTACTTAATAAAATTTATGAAATGTTGAGAAAAAGACAGATCCGAGAATTAAAAAGATTCAACTTACTTTGATTCGCATGTGTGTAAACGCGGATGCGTCAAGCGCCTCAAACTACAATTATTATTCAGTATTTGCTGCCGTGGATGGACCAGATGGAGCCGAAAACTGAAGAAACAATCACAGATAATCAATCTTATAGAGCGACAATCGTGGCGCCGTCGAACGTCCTGACTGAATGAAATGAAAGCAAGTAAGCAGCAGCACGCATCAGGTATGATTCATTTGCCTGCAGCACACCCTTCTGCCGCTCTCTCCACCAACCCTGAGCTTCGTTCCTCCCTCCCTCCCTGGCTTTACCTGTGATTATTTCTTTACATGCCCCTTCGCTCCTCCCCACACTATCAGACTGCACGACCACGACTCGCGCGTGTTGATGAAAAATATTTTCCTCATTTTTAACTTGTTAGGAAAATTTTAATCAAATTCATTGATAAAGACCGCTCTTCTTCTAATTAACTAGTTAAATTGATATGCGCCCTTAAGTTTTAGACGCTTCGAAGAATAATGTAACATATTTCAATAGATTCTATTTCAATTAATTTAATTTTTTTCCAAAAAAAAAAGACAAAGCAGATTCATGCAATTTTCATTTTTAACTTTATAAACCAAACACGCGTACTCTCAAAAAATCAAAATAAAGTGAAGAAAAAAGGGATCCAAACGATTCTTGACTCAATGTTTCCTGGAAAAAAACATCCTGTTCATTTGATTTTTAATTATCTAACTGTTTTTGCCACATTCTTACAATTATATAAACTCAATATATATGCAGTATTTTGGGAAAAATTTAATTTTTTTCTTTCAATTATTGAGGCATCAGAAAAAGCTTGTCCATCTTAATTTTATAATCGCTTATTCGTTCCCAATGCACTGTCAGTTAATTTTTTTTGGTCACTTCGTTTACGTCAGGTTTACGTTTTGGCAAAGAATGGCTAGAGAAAAATCTTTGAAAACTCAAACAGATGCAATTTGAGAAAAAAAAATGTAAAAAAAAAATGTGATTCCAATGTGAACAAAATTAAAATCAGCGATTATATTCAAAAAATAAAAACGTTACAGAGGGACCCAAATATTTTATAATATTTTTAGGCCTGAAAAATTTTAAAGAGAATATTCCACTGATTTGCAGCATGTGAAATTTGTGTTGCTTGTCGCTTTTCCCTGGACGAAGATGGGTTGAGAGATGTCTCAGCGTCAGGGGCTTATTTTTTTTTTGGGAAAATAGTGTGTTTTGAGAGGAAAGGGCCAATGCACTCAAATTCTTTCTTTCGCTTGACTTGGCCCATTCTGTCGTCCATCACACTCGCGCCTAAGCGCACATTTCCACATTTGAGCAGGATGAGAAGCAGACAAAAGCAAAGGGGGCTATTTGTGCAGCTCGCGGCCAAACCTGCGCTCGCCGCGTGAGGCTGATTACGCTTGGCATGGACGATTGAGCTGCTGCGCGGCCAGCAGGAAATGACATTTTTCTCTTCATTCTTAATTGCACAGCTAATGGACTTAATACTAGAGCGAGAGTCAATTTTTCAAGAACATTCCGCTTCTTAACAAATAAGAGGAACCAATTGATTTTTTGTCAATAAAATTTAAATATCGGCTTTCAAAAGTTAAAAATAGTTTGTTTAACAGACACGGCTACTTTTAGTGGGAAATTCCATCTGTGGGAGGCTTTGTGAAAGAGGAGGTAACGATCTTGTGGTCACCACGGCAACGGAGTCTGCGAGAGCACCAAATTTGAATACAGATGGCAGCTTCAGTGTGCTTTCTGGAAATAAGGCAAACTCTGCCCTCAATACAAGAGTGAAATTTTTTATTTTCGCTTCTCATGTAATAAGATGATTTATTTTGACAAAAACACGTATTTATAAAATTTATTTATTTTTAGCTTTTTCCAGGTTTAATGAAACAAGTTTTTTAAACCACAAATTACATAGGATTAATTAATTTATTTCCTTCAGTGATATACATTTGTTCGAACTGTTTTTCGAAATGCATTTTTTTTTACAACTTCAATCATTTTTGACATTGATAATGATGTACAATTATATTATACAATAAACGCATAAGTTAATGGTCACATGAACGGTGTTGTTTTATTCTTTTATTTTCTAAAGACTGCGAAATCAAGTATCACAAAAGGTATCATTGATATCTTATCCATCCGTAATTATATCCTCCCTCTTTCAAATCAACATCACCCGCGAAAACAAAGGTATCATCCTCCTGATTGATTCTTTCCAAAAAATGACTTCTACGTGCAGACTTTGTTTCAACGCACAAAACACATTTTCCTTTCTCATCAAATTAACGACAAATTTCACTATATATATTATTTATCTCTGCAGGTGATAATTGTTCACATAAATCTTGCGGTGATGACATTTTTTTCACAAAGTGGACAACATTTGTTGTACGTATTATTTTTGAATACAGCGTATTTTCTTTAAGTTATATTAAGTAATCGAGCGTGTTGGTAAGGAACAGCGAGAAATGACTGCAATTATACAATGATACTCCCTATACCTCAAAAGATGCCGTTTTTTTATTTTATAATTTATATTTAATTATTTACCACAACTCATCCAAACTGCCTTCTAAAAGGGACCTGTTTTTAATTGCATAATAAGTCAAATCACGCACTCTCTTGGTTTTTGCTTTTTCATCACTTCATTCCAACAATATATTTAAATTTTTTTCCCTTCTGAGCGAATATCTCGGTTCAAACGGTTTATCTTACTTAATAATTAATAAATCCTCTCGCAATCACTCCTGAATCATCGTATTTTATGATATACAAAAGAGATATTAAAACCTTCAACTCACTGCACTGATTGTTTTATTTTATATCCACTGCTTCTCTCTAAACCATTATAGCAATTATTTTCATAATCGTCCCGTAATTGCATTTATCAAGCACATTATTTTTTGCATCAGTCGTATGTCTTCAATTAAAATGTCTCTTGGACCATGGTTCATCTCTGTTCGGAAATTCCTTTTCTACTTCCGGTCGGGGGAACGTCGATTTTTATATAAATTATTAATTCTTATAAATTGGCCAGCCACGTGTTAAACAGTCACATTTTATTTCCTCTTCCATTCCTGGAGCAGCTCGGCGTCGGCCGCTCGCTTTCAACTCGCCGTCTGGTAGCGCGCGGCGCGGCCGTTTTTCTTATTGTGGTTGGCCACCCTGACCCTTTCGTACCCTCCAGAGGTCAGGTCGGACTCGGACAGGTCGCTGCTGCTGCCGCCGCCTGAGTACGAGCTGAGGTTCGACGGCGAATCGGGCGGCTCCAGAAGACTCTTTTGTTGCTGGTAGCAGTGCCTGGTCTGGTGGTGGTGGTGGTGTCCGCGCCGGTGGTGCCGCACCTGTTTTTCGCGTACGTCGCCCAGACTGTCCGAACGTCGGTTGTTAACCTGCTGGTAGCAGTCGTCGGACAGGTTGAAGGCCGTCAGGGCCTCGTGTCGTGCCTGATCAGTTGTTGGCCGGAAGTGCAGCGCCTCCTCAGGGTACAGTTCAGCGGATTTGCCGGAGAGTCGGTGCTGTTGGTGCCGCTGACTGGGCATGGTGCCGCTTTTTGGTGGCCGCTTCAGACTTGTGGTGGCCGCCGGCCGCGGGTAAATGGGCTTCAACGTATTGGCGTGCTCGTAGACGGCCTTGCCGGTGTGCAGACTGTAGTTGTGGATGGCGTTGTTCTTGCTGCAGATGGCCGGGAACAGGTCGTCAACCGATTTGCTCTCCTGAGATCGGAAACAGCAACAACAGGCGCCGTGGCCGCGGTTGTTGGGCACCTCGGAGCGACGCAGCCAGGCCACGGTGGCCAGCAAACAGGCCACGGTGAGCTCGAGGACTCTGGCGGCCAACTGGCATGACCAGAAAACCAGGTCTTGCTGCCCCCGCTGGCCGGTGAAGAGGACGAAGACGTGCACCGGACAGAGGACGAGGATCAGCACGGCGGCGGCCAGGATCAGTCGGGCGGCCAGTTTGAGCTGCGGCCGCCGGGGCAAGGCGCCCATCTTGGCAAAGTTGGCCCTGAGAACATCGCCCTGCAGACGGCGGGCGGCGCGGTAGACGCAGCGGAAGGCGATGACGAAGCTCAGGGCGGCCACCAGCAGGCCCAGCAGGGGCAGGGCGCGCAGGGCGCTGACCAGGAAATCAATCAGGTCCAGCACCTGGGCCACCCACTCGAGCAGGCCGAAGAGGAGAACGTCAAGGGCGACCAGGAGGGAGAGAAAGGCGGGTGTCTGGAAGGCCGAGTGGCACAACTGGACCTTGGTCATGCGGGCCAGGCTGAAGAAGAGGATGGTGAAGGCGGCGAACAGACACGGGAACGCCATGTCCAGGGCGATTGACTCAAGGATGGGGATGAACGTCCCCCGCAGGTTGTACGCGTCATAGAAGAGGAAGGCGCTGCGGGACACTCCCAGGACAAAGAGGAAAAGGTGCAGGAAGCAATAGGAGCCGTGGCTGACCAAACTGTCCGCGGCCCTGAACGGACTGACCGCGAAGGCGTACACGGCCAGCAGGGCGAACAGGCTGGCCAAAGTGTACACCATGATGTCCCAGGCCAGCAGACCAATCTCTTTCGGCCAGTGCTCGGTGGCCTCGGGCTTTTCAGTGGCCACGGCAGGCGACTCGGACGGTTCCGAGGTCGGCGGCGGCGCTTGGATGTCAATCATCGAGTCCTTATTGACCAGGTCAAGCAACACCCTGGACGAACTGGAGTTGGTCTGCGGCTTCTTTTCGGCCGGACGGTCTGTGTCATGGTGCTCGGACATGATCCGCGTGATAACAGGGACATGGAGGGCCGGGAGGGATGGTGACTCGGAAGGGTCTGTGTCATTACTGTGCACCTCATTGGCCGTCGGTTCAGGGTTGGAGGGGGTGTTGAGGGGCTTCTTGCGGTCGACCTGGGCTGGCAGGTCAGGCGGACGGTAGGGGATGCGCTGCTGGATGTCCGGCAGCGGCCTGATGGGTGGTTTAGGGGGTGGATTTTGGCGCCGGCCGGTGCCGGTGGCCGGCCCTTCGGACTGGCTGCCCCTCAGGATGCCTTTGTCCGCGAAGGGGTTGTTGTACTCGGGGGGCAGAGGGGGTTTGAACCGGGGTCTATTGTTGAGGAAGTCGGGCGGGTCGGGCACCAATAGGGATGGAGGGGTGATGGTGCTGGCGGCCGCCGCCGCGGCGTCCGCACTAGCTGCGGCCGCCGGCGGGGCCAGCGTGGTGGTTGCGGGGGCGGCTGTTGAGTTTGCGGGGGCGGTCGTGCTGCCGTGGGCCACGCGGTTGAACACGGCGGCCAGGTCTGCCTCGAAAGAGTTGCCGCGGCCAAAAGCTCCGCCTGGACGCGATCCGCTGCTGGGGTTGATCAGGCTGCCTTCCGAGGAGGCCAACAGGAGCAGCCAAACCCACCACATCATCGCTGCAGCAGCTCACTCTTCACATTTCTGAAAATCAAAACTTTCATTAATATTTCAATCAGAAATAAACAGAGTCATATGAAATTTTTAAAATCTGAATTTCATTTGATAGTTGTTAAAAATGTTCATTTCATGTTATTTCATGGGGGTAGCACCATTTCATGGTTTATATTATGGAATTTTTTATGGTAGGAATTGAACAGCGGAAAAAAATAATTAAAAAGTATTGAAACACAAACCTAACAGAAATATAAGATTTCCCCCCAAAATGTATTTTAAATTTCATGTTATTTCCTTAAAATTTCTTAATATTTAATTTTACTTCTTTTAAGTCTAAAAAGTTTTAATTAGGGATGACGCAGAAGCGACTCGTTGTAAAATTCTGCGTGTTGATGAAAGCATAGAACGCTAGTTCATTTCAAAATCCTCTCACGCTTTTATACGAGCACATTTTCGTATAATGTGTCGCTCAAAAAGTGTAATGGGGCAAAAAGAGTCGCTTTTTTCTGTTTTTCATTGTGTACCAGTAGCAGCGGCGGCGGCGTGCGCGGCTGGCCAGGATCAAGCAAAGAAACTTATTGGCCATGGCACGCAGTCATGATGCAGCGAGCGCGGCTTGAATAATGTTTCGGCACACTTTTTCAGCACTTAGGCGAAAGTTTGCGTCAATACACAGGGGCGGCGAGTGCGAGAGGCAATAATTCAGCCGCGCCGCCCCAAGATATGATAGCGACAAAAAGTTTTGGCCCCGGGCTAAATTCTCATCTCAACTTTGGCGTTCGACGACCAACACAAAACTACACTGCGCTCTCTCTTAACTTTAAATCGATGCTCTGTTGGCCAATACACAATATCGGAAAAGCCATGGGAAATTTCGTTCGCGCGCTATCTCGTGTAATTTGATCTAAATCTATCCCGGCCGCCCGCAGGCGAGCTGTTGATGAAAACGGATGCAGTCGGATCGAATATGGTTTTGCTGATCTCATTTATTTGGTCTTGGGGAAAAGTTGATTGTTGGAGAGAGCGAGCGCGGAAGGCGCGTAAAACGAAACGACCGCGCATTGAAAATCTGCAATATAAAACGATTATGGCCGTTGGGCCTGCGAGCATTCCCAATTCGATCGGACTGAACGCAACAATGCAGCAGGGGAGAAAGCTAATTTTCTGCATCCGAGCACTTTTTCCACTTGTGTGCCACTTTTATTATCATCCGACGTGAAAAGCAGCGGAAAATACTTCCGGGCCACCAAAATATAACCCTCTTTTGGCATATCCATTTTCTTAGCAAGGGAACGCTGTTTTTTGAAATGTAACCAAAAAACCAATTTTGATCAAATTTGCACAATATGCTCTAACGGCTAGAAATTGACCTATTTTACAACGGAAAGGATCACTAACTATTTTTACTCTCTTACTTGAAACAAAAAAATGCGAAAAGATAAATTTCTCAAATCATTTAATTTTAAATTTATAGGTGAGCATCTCACAATCGTAGTCTTTCAGCTCTTGCATATTTACCAAATTAACATGTTTATTTTTCAAAATGTATTAAATATAAATTTATAAGAATAGTTTTGGTGCATTGGTAATTTTAAAATATTAAATAATTGAAAATATGTGATGAAACAATTGGAAAACAATGAAACATAATTCATTTAATTGATAAATAATATTCCAAAATCCTCACAATATTGATTATTTTTCAAAATATTTGTCAGAATATTGGAAAAAAATCAATTAGTAGAAATATTTAAAAAAGCTATTTAATTTTATAAAATCTGAATTGCTTCCAAAAAATAATATTATAAAATTATTTTAGTATGCACTTTTTTATTTCTTTAATAAATGAAAAGCATGAAAACGTTAAAAAAATTACTTTCAGCGCTACAATTGCAAATTTAAAAACACGATAATAAGTTAGGAGATCAAAATATCAAATTGGAGTTTGCTATTTTAATTTACAACACTTTCTTTTTTCTTATATTTCTTTCCTCGTTTTGATGCTTTAACTTGCGCAGTAATCGAACAAACGAATAATAATTATTATTGCTTAATCTTTGAACTTTCAAAACAAAAACGTATCGATCCTGGCAGGATTCGAACCTGCAATCTTCTGATCCGTAGTCAGACGCGTTATCCGTTGCGCCACAGGACCTTGTCTTAGCACAGAAAATACATTAGTATTTACAACTCAAGATTGCCGGCCGTGGCAGCTGCTCGAAAAAACTCGCCTCCCCCCCCAAGCGACGCTCGAAATAACGAGAGCCCTCTCACCTGGTCCGCGTTGGCCTCATTCAAGAGAAACAAGCAAGACCCCTCTGCCTTTTTTTCGATATAATGTCAAACTCGGTGCTCTGCAAAGTAATGTACTCTTTTTGCTGGCGCAGCGTTTTCGCATCTTCCATCGCGTTTTATCAAGTTGAAAGGTCACATCTCTCTCCACTCGGGCGGCGGCGAGATTTAACGCGGGATCGTGTACATAATTCGGCTTGATTAAAATGCAGCCAGCGTCGCTCTGATGATAAGAATATGATGATACATGCCGGCGTGTCGCGCACGCAAATCTGCTGCCTACACTCGAAAATGAAATCCGCATACACTCAAAACGCATCGGCTCAGAAAAAAATTGAGATAAAATATAAATCGCGCGCAGTGAATGAGAAACGGCGCCGGGAATAGGGGGACGAGCAGAGATTTCGAAAAGGGGGTCAATGGTCTGAAAGCTAATGCGACCAGGAAATATTTAACTTTTGCCGTAATAAAAAAAAGCAAGACGAAAAAAGTATGAATTTAACATAAATTGAAAAAAATAGTTTATAATTCATAAAAAATAATCTGATGATAAGTAATTGTGAAAATATAAATAATTTCTAAGTAAAAAAAATTAGCATGCTTTTCTTGAAAATTGTTATTACTAATATTTTTAGTAAAAATATTTTTATGTTGACTCTTTTGTTTTCTTTTGTTATCATAATTCCGGTTTCAGATTTACTACATAATTTAAATATTGCAAATGCTAAAGAAGTAGGTTAAGAAAAATCTACTAACAATAATACAAAATGGAAATAACAGAAAAACTTCAATTAAAAAAAAAATGAAAAAATTTATAACATTTTAATATAATATCTATTAAAATATCAGTAAAACATTAAATTTGAATAAAAAATTACAAGATACAAAAAATCAAATAAATCTGTTCCTAGCACATTTTTCAGAGTAAGTTCCATTTCTATATCAACGTGATTTGTTTTTACTTTCTCTTTCTGAAGAGGAATTTGAATATACAAAGTGAGTGTATTTTTCTGTCTTTGAGAATTTCTCGTTGTGTGAGCATTGTGGATGAGCATCGCAGCAGGGAGTGGCGAGGGAAAATTTAATAAGGCGTGTAAATCAGCGAGAAACGTCTTTGTTAATAAAAAGAGCGATCGGCAAATGAGGCGGGATGGCAATTTTGAGCGCAGCGTGTCGAACGCGGGGGGCGCCTTTGTTGGCAGCGCAGGAAGTGCCAGCGGGCCTCTTTTTCTCTGCGAATAAATAAATTCCGATCGGTTTATTAGAGCGGCAAGGGGTGTGATTTCGTATGCGGCGGCCTGACGGAAAGCGACATTTAATACTGGAACTGCCGCTCTTTTATTACCTCTCGCCACATTTCTTTTCTCGCGCTGCACAAGAGAAAGCGAGAGAGAGGGGTGCGGATATAAATTTGTATATTGCGACTAACGTGCGCGCCCAGGCCCAATAACACTGAGACAACATGACACATTATTAAAGAAGCCGCGTGCGAATCTAGCTGCTCGTCCCGCAGGACGACAAGTCAGTTTTATTTCGCCCGAATTTATGTGCCAGCCACGCGCATTAACGCCAGCAGCGACTTTCAACCCTCCTCACGAGGATTCGCAAAAGTTTAACGCCGCCGGCTTGTGAATTTTGAGCAACAGTAACTTTTTACTGGAATGACGATGAACGTCAGATTATGAAACGCAGTTGAAGAAATGAAGATTTTTAATTAAAATCCGACGAAAAGGTGGAAATATAAAAATAGTTTACAATCATTGCACAAATTTGGTCAAAACTTGTAATACAAATTTCATTGAACAACAATTTGTGAAAATTTTGCCCTTAATAAAATAATTATTCAATTTATTTTCCCGGGCCTAATTTTGTGGATTATTTCTTCAGTTTTATTATTGGAAAATTTCAATGGGAGTTTAAAATAACGAAAATAACCAATAAAATAATTTTGTTTTTGAACTACTCAAAAATTCACTTAATTCTCTCAATGTACACAAATTAAATTTTGGGAGAGAAATAAATTAAAAAAAAAATATATTATGCAGTAACTTTATCAGAAAATGACAAAAAAATTTTTTTTTGTCAATCTTAATTTGAATATAAAACTTTGTGATATTTGCTCATTTATTTCCCTTTTAATTATTAATTTCATATGACGATTCAACAATTTTTTAGAGAGAAGGAATGGGACGAAGAGCTTTTTGCGCACAGCCCTTCCTTTCATAACAAATTCCATGTTTTTCGTTCGCATACTTTCGGAAAGACGTCAGTTGACAAAAACAACCCCACACACAGAAATTTCCGAGAAAATGCAACCACAGGAACAAATTCTGCGGCGACAGGCGCGTCCCTCTTATTTTTTCTTTCTAAATTTTAATCCCCTTGAAAAGCATTACATTGAACAGACAATGCACCTCCACAGGTCGTTTTGGCAAGACGCTTGCTCGTGTACCTGCTTGGTCTGCACTCGAACATGGAAAAGGGGGGAGAAAGGTCGAAAATAATGTCGTTTCCCACAAACAGATTCCTGGAAAAGGCCAACGACCTTCTTTCTTGAGACGTTGAGACGCAAATCTCTGCTGTCGCCAGAGACATTATTCCACTTGGCCACCTCAGGTACAAAATAGATGCAGCGCCCCAGGAGGCGAATTCTCCCCCGTCCAATAAGGCGCAGCAAATGCTCTTATGCATTTCTCCCCTTGGGGTTTCGGGGATCAGCACCCACCCATCACGCG